AACTAACAAAGAGCATAAGCACGAACAAAGACAACCCTGGTGCAATCCTTTACAGGGAACAGAAAGAAAAAGTGAGTCACTTTGTGTTCGCGTCCACTGAAGGTCCAAAACTGACATATACGAAGAATATGACTACTTCTGCAATGTCATTATAACTTCTGAGATGTCATTATATTAACATAAAAAAATTCGGAAGATTCACGACATGACCAAAAAGATGGCTCATCAACAAGGATTGTTGTTGGAAGTAGGTACGCCCTACTTGTAATGTTCCTACTTCTTTCTGAGAGGTATGATTTTGAGGGAAATGAAAACTCGAGTAGAACAGCAAGTGCTTTTTACAGCTTCTTTACGGACGAATATTGGTAGCTTGTGTTTAGAGGACAACAAATGACAAGGAATGAAACATCTGTGTTTTTTATCTTCAACAACATGGAATGAAAAAACTGAGGCCAGTGAAACTACATGCCTACACTGATCGAAATCGCCATGGAGCAGGTGGAACCACATCTGGCGATTTCCTTGGAGGTATCAGGATGTCCGGGGAGAACTCCTCTTGCGCGTGACCTCTGCAAGAACTGCCTGGACGTCGATGCAGCTGAAGAGAAGTTGTAGAGCTTCTCCTGGCAGTAACGCGTTGTAGGTACTAGCGGTTTCGGCCCCGTCTGATTCAGAGGGCTCCGTGGTCCCAAGTGGAAGGACGCTTCAAATCCGAACACGAAGTTTTCTTCTCAGTAAAGGACGCTTCAAATCCGAACAGGAAGTTTTCTTCTAAGTAAAGGAGGCTGTACCGAGCAGGAAGTTTTCTTCTAAGTAAAAGACTATATCAGACAACAGTTTTAACATCAGGGAAATCCGTAAAACTCAGAAGAGATTCAGGGAAGTCGTAGGACAACTCCGAACCGACTAACATCATCAAAAGACTACATCAGAAGAGAAGAACTACTCCAACAAGATGTCGAAGAAGCTTCATCATTTACACCACTTGCCTGGCATAGAGACCCGGGGTCTCAGCCGCGCGCTCACTGCTGTGATTAAGGGTGGTTTATTACTATCCCACGTGGTCGTGGAGCAAGAATATTTGCTGGGTTTCCGCTCAAGGGGAAACCAAGAAGGGTGGAGAAAACGCCAACTCACTCACCCACGGAAGATAGTGAGAAACTAGCTTTAATGTGAGCAAGAGGTTAGTAGATGATACAGCTTTCAACACCTTCACCATGATTTTGACGGTCTACGCGCTTTTCGGCGATGACCTACGGCTGGCAACTACGTCAGGTACTATCTTCTTCATCTTGTTGTTGTATCAATCTTAAAGATTATTCGTTCTTTGGTACTTGTTCGTCCCCTTGATGGTAGGATATTTGATGAGATGTTTTAGGTTGTTCGAGGACTTCGACGTTTGTGTCTTCTTCCATACAGAACCTGCTGATCCGATCTTTGACTGGATCACGGGTATAGCTTTGGTGATCTTCGCTCTCGAGTGTGCAGCCTGTTCCCTGGCTAAAGAGGACTACTTCTTAAGGCATATGATCTTCAGGAGACTTGTTGAAGTCAAGTCTGAAATTCTTGAAAATGACGCCAATCCTCGAAAAAATGGTTTTTTATCGCTCAGCAAATCAATTTAAATTCAGAGTTTCCACTCCAAAGCCTCTTCGACTGTCACTATTTTCCACAATCTGTCTCAGTATGCCACTATCTATGACTAAAAGCTACAAGCAAGAGCAAGAGGAATGGGTTGAACCTGGCCTTATTAAAGCTCTCCCATCGAGCCTCCTCCTCTAATACCTATGTCCTTCTCGTTTTCTGTGGATTTGCTCGCGACTGTCAGTCTGATCTTCGATATCACTACGGTGGCCAAGAAGATTAGCGGAACTGGCCAGCTAAAAGCGGGAACACAAGCTGCTAGAGTTTTGAGGGTCTTGCGGATGATTCGGTTATGGATAATACTAGAGCTCATCTGATGATAATAAGAATCAACAATCGCGGCAAAGAACACCTATGATTTCTTCACGCCTTCTCGTCCGCACCAGCTCGCCTCTTTCTAATCTTGTTGATCCGTATAGTGAAGCTGTACAAGCAGTACCAGGATCAGCAACAGCGGAAGAAAGTGCGCGCCGCACTCGAAAGGAAGCGTAAAAAGGAGGCGGAAGAAGGCTACTCAAAACGCGTGGCACCTGGAGAGGAAGAAGACCTCATAGATTTTGAAGATGACAGTTTTGCTGTCCTTGCGCAAGTTATGGCCATCTTCATGAGTTTGAGTGCAGCAAGTTCTGTACAACCTAGTACAGGAGCGCTGCAGTGTTGAGTATGGGTCCTCTAGCTCTACCGGCGCATGGTATCATCAGAAGATGGCTGTCTAAAGGAGACTACTGCACATGTCGCCTAGGAATAGGAGGGCCGTCCCTGCCCTCTCCACTACCAACTAGTGCTCAAATAATATAACTGGGGAACCTTCTACTACCATCTAGTGGTCAAATAATATAAAAGAACTTTCTCACCTTTGTAATTATTTTCATACCTTCTAGAAGAAGTGAAGACTCGTCACTCAGCTATCTAGTGCTTGTCCTGTTCTACTTTCTCCACGAACAACTGCACTACTTCATACCTCAAGACGGCATGCCTGCGCAGGAGTCGCGAGTGGGGAAGAAATTGGGCGACATGACGAAGAACAAGGTTGTCTTAAGGCTTCCCATGCTTCCCGTCCTCGTCATCCAGCCGCATCCTGGAGACGTTCATCTTCAAGGGGATGAAAAGGGGCCGTCCAGGTCCAGGATGTACTATCTTGAGATGCCGTGGTCATGCGAGCTATTCATGATGTGGCTCTCTTCGGTGTTCAGGACCAGGAGGTTTGAGTTGTCTCCTGCTTTTTTAGGATCTAATTGTCATTCTCGTCTTGTGCATGCTCTCTAATTGTCATGCTCGTCTTGTGCATGCTACTGGTAGTCCCGCAGTTCCAGCTCTCCGAAAACTTCAGTCACAGACAGACCAACGCTCAATATGCCATGGATATTCTGGTTATGAAGATGCAGATCATGTTGCTGATTTTTGTTTCTTTTGAGTGATTGCATCTGCGTGATGGAGAAATATGCGTTAGACAGTAGAAGATGCAGTCGAAGTCGGTAGAGAAATCTCCCGCACATTGCGGAACAATAGATTCAAGTCGTCAGCGACAGGAGTAAAAAGAGTTGATGGCGAAGTGTATCGCTTCTGTTTGGAAATTTTTTAGACGTTGCATAACCTCTATCCAGAATAACCCTTTGCAAATGTGTAGCATACATGCAACAATACGACATTCGTCATTCAGCCTCTAACCTAAATGAATTCCTCAAGGAGTACCAGACCGCACAACGTGATACGCAATTGTCAGCAGTTATACGGAAAGATTAAGGCTACCGCTGAAGCATCCTCAGCAGTCTCATCCGATCCTCAGCCTCTTTCTCAGAGAGATAACTCTTGGGCAACAGTATCATCCCTAGCCTCTTTCTCAGGACCATAACTTCCAAAGGCTTCAGCACGGATAAATAAGGGCTTCAGGAGCACGGCAGTCTGCACTGAAGAAAACTGTGCGAGACTCTAAATTGTATGAAATACAATAGTGCACTGAATAATATTGATGTATTGCAGTATTTTGCGAAGCGAGAGCGCTAAAAAGAGCACAAGAGACAATACGAGAAGCAACTTTTGAAGGCTATCTACGAAAGCAATCCGAATTATGAAGAAGCCTACTGCGATGATCACGAAATCACCTGCGCGGATTCTCAGTACTTATAGAGTTTTATTATAGTCAGTGTACTGAGGTTCACGGTTAAAGGTCCGCGGCTCTACGGCCATGCCGTGTAGTCCGGGACGAAACTGACCATATCCATAACCATATATTTTTGTGGTGGAGCCAACCTACCTGGGAAAGATAGAAAAAGGTCGAGGCATATAAATTAGGGCTAACAAAAATTATCGTGTACTGACCATATAGAATTATTTAGTGTACTTAGAATTATACTGTCAGGGGATTTGCATCTCCAAGCTGGGCTATTATGGGAGTCTGCCTTGAAGTCGGCTGCCATTCGGTATTTCCCAGGCAGGTGTGCTGACTTGCTCATGGGGCCCCGCTGCGTCGGGTTGCGCCTTAGGTTTTCTACAGGGGCCGAGTGTACGGCTCCTCCGATATTCGTAGATTTGTGGCCGATTGTACGGTCTTATGCGCCCCCAGTATGTATTTTGGATGATTTTATATAGGTTAAATAATTGGTGGCAGGGGTGGTGGCATATAGTCCTAACGCAAAAAAAAAAAACTACGGTGCTCAAGAATGATCCTAACAGGGACACACACATGACATGACCAGTACCAATAGGCTAGTAGAACTCTATGGGACACAATTCGAAACTACTCTAGTGCTCAATTTTTTGGATTATGTCCTAAACAACATTGATGTTTCTAGCATCTTCATGGTCTTGATGGATCAACCCTTATGCGATCATCACTACCATCCTCCTACTTCGTATTTGTATCATGGACCCGCAACGCTTCGTATTTGTATCATGGATTCCTTCCGCCCCAGACCCAAGTACATACTTTCCATCCAAAGCATTTTACTACAAAAGGTTTGCCGAGATTTTGTTCATCGGTTATCTGTCGGAGGGCGGTTGGGATATGCGAGATAAATTGCATATCACGGAGCTTCCCAAGAGCTCCTGGGATGCGGATCATAATCGCTATGACCTGGCGTTCGAGGTCGGCTTTGCTGGTGGGGACCTGCCAACCACAGTAAAAACAAGACTCAGCGAGGAATGGCGACAAGAGTATATTTAGATTCGGTAGAATTTGCATTACTAAGCGGAGAATGGAGACATCGACCAGAGTTGTATATTGAGATAAGTAGTTGATTATATTGTCCATCAGAATCTGTGATTAATAATTAGAAGTAAAAGGAGACCGTCCTCCAGCTCCAGACCTTTTTCTTCAACTTCATCGATCGTTCTTGTACTACTTCATTAGGTGTAGCGACGACGCAATTGAGAAGAAGATAATAGGGGTACCATTACGCATCGATATCCTGTGTCCACCAAGGAAACTCCGCTTCAACGAGATTGACACCAAACTCGCTTGGGCGGGTAAATTTCTAAATCCTCCTGCTCCTGTGCTACTGCTATAAATTTAATATACATTTTCACTTACTGTACTAATTAAAGAACTTATACCCCGTGAGTGGGTACATCTATCTATCATGCAAGTAACAGGTTTCGACCGTTATACTGGCGATGTGAGGAACGATTCCTTGATAGCGTACTATGACCTGCGAAGATTGGTGCACTTTGAAAGCGTCATGAGCATGTTTCAGACTCTCTTCGTCTTACGGTTTTCTTCTGAAAATCCATCTAAGAAGGCATGAAATCTCTTCAACGTAGATGCGCTTCATCAAGATGCATTGCGACTGCTTTTTGATGATGGATTTTTCATCGAGGGTGGCCTTCTAATTGTCTGCATAGTCCTCGGTCTCACGGCGACTTTTTTCAACAAGGACTCGAAAGAGCTGGTATTGGAGCCAATAGAGTATGGCACGAAGACATGTCGGAAGATTTTCATTCTTTTCAATGACAATAGTACTAGTAGATGTACTTCTACGTACTACCTTATTATAAGAGGAAAAGGTCTCGACATCAGTTTGTTCTTCGCACAGTCGTATTCGTCACAAAGCAGGAAGTAGAAGTTGTTGTTGATTTATTCTAACAGGTTCGCACATTCACTTATCACGAAGCGGGCTGTTGATCTGTCTATAGTACATCCACTTTCCCCACAAAATCAAAGCCAACACTCTAACTCACACGTATGATAGCGAAAATGCATCGTATCCGTGACAATCCGCTTGTGGCTATGCGACTGGGGGATGAGGAATTTCATCAACAGCAGATTGCCTTAAAACGCGACCTCGAAATGCAGGAAGTGTCCCTTTCTACAGGCTACTTCTCGTGGTGGCGGAAGTACTCCTAGTTTTTCGTGGTTCAAACGCAAGCATGATTTTGCTCATTTCTAGTGGCGGATAGAGTGCTCGTCCTCTTTTTGACCATTTATGCGGTGGAGTAGAGTGCTCTTTTTGGCCATTTCTAGTGGTGGATAAGTCTTAATCGTGCGAGATGCAGGACCCTTGTTGGCCATTTCTAGTGGTGGAATGAAGGCATTTCTCGGTGCTATGTGAGTACAGGTCTGCATGGTATCCCATTATTTCTTGTTGATCTTTGTCATATCACCAATACCTAAGATTTGGAGGTGTTATAGACTAGAATACTCATTAGAATCCTTGAGATGGGTGATATTTAGTGAAATATGACCGATTTGATCGAAAACAGGCCAAAAGTACATGTTTCTGTCAATCCCACCTTCAGAAAATGAATTTGCTTAAAAGTGAATAAAACTGAAAATTCTTGGATATTAACTTGAAACTAATTCAAATTAATTCGAATTTGAAGTTTCAAATTTCGAAATTTGAAATTTCAAGACTCTGACACATGCATTCTGTGTGTCGATTGAGCCTCATGATCTTGAAATAATGCTAAATTTCGTCATTTGAAACCATTATCTGATGGTTGGTTGAGCTGGTTTGCAGTATCTCTTAGTCCTTCACTGTACCATTTCGTCCCTGAAACCCATGGCAATCTCCTCCTGATCATCGTATTCTCATGATAATCAGGATTCTGATGCTGGTAATCATGATCAAGAAGATTCTAGTCCTGATCACTAGCTGGATTGTCATCCTGCTTGATGTCGTTTTTATCTTGCTTCTTGTCCCCACTGCTGTCCTCACCTATTACTAGTGCAACTATCTTCCCCCGAGCCACCATCCTCCTCCCTTCTCTCCTCCTGTTATTCGTCCTCCTGTTTCCCCTCGTCCTCGTTCCTTCCATTGGGTGTTCCATTGACACAAAAATGTCCAGATTGCGATCACGTTGGGGCTTGGAGGCCAAGAAGAAGCGAAAAGTCCAAGAACCTATGGAAACCGTAATCCTAGAGTCGACACTGATCAAGCTTGGTGGCTTGCTTGCAGTAGGGTTCGGTGTGGCTGGTGCAGAAATCATTGGGCAGAATTTGTCGTTACGAGAAGGGGGACTCAGTGGAAAATAAACCCGCGTGAGAGTGTGTGTGTGTGTGATTCTTGTAGAAAGCAGGAGCGCTAATCTAGAATTTTCTAGCCGGATGAGTTGGAGTCAGTCTCAGTTGCGGCTTGGTAGAAGTAGGGTCAATTACGGCTTTCGTAGCTCATTAGACATCTCCTGATCGTTGCGTGTCTGATCAGATTTTTAGGGTCCTGCTAATTATTGGAGACGCCGCCAGTGTGAATGCCATGGTGCCAGGTGTGAAAATCGAGGCAATATTCGGCTTCTGCAACATCTTATGAGGACTGTATAGTGCTACAGTTACCTTCCAGAAGCAGGAAGCAAAGAATTGCTATCCTGAAAAAGCTAAGTTTTTGATGGGCAACACGCAGTACATATGGATGCTGCATAACATGATGATATTTTTGATTACCCCTTTTGCAGCCCTAAACGCTGTGTTACCCTCTGGTGCCCCTGCTCCTCTAACGAAGCATCACTTCAGTGAAGCAACGGAGATCTTGGGTGACCGTATCATGATTTACGTCAACCAAGTGGCGGAAGTAGTGCATTCGCTGACGGATATGTTCGGCGGAAACGCGAACAAGAATATTGGCGATGCGTTTCTATTAGTGTGGAAGATTGGTACTATTTTGTTAATATGATTGCTTGGTGCACTAGTACTAGAAGATTCTTGCTACAACTAGAACTAGTTCCTTGCTTTTCTACAACTACCTAGTATAAGTATCTACTCGTTTGCAGCTAGTTGTTCTTATTTGCATGCCGCGCGGCAGCCTGCACTGAAAACTATGCGAGATTAATTCTATTGTATTGTATCTCGTTTTCACATCTCCAAGCAGCTACCTTGCCCAAGGACATATCCGGTGAGCTAGAGGAAAACCCGATATCCAGGGAGCACCGTTTACGCCGCATGCGGATGTGTGACATGTCTGTGGTTGCTTTCTGTTTCACAATCTCGGCGATCAACAAATCCGCTATTTTGGCAGAATATCGGTCACATCCTGGTTTCCTGGCACGCTTCCCGAATTACAGAGTTCAGATTTATGGATCATGTTATATAGTCACAGGCTTCCGTAGAGTTCGAGTTGGATGTGGATCACTATGGTGATATGATTCTCTTGCTCTTCTCTCCCTCCAGCGTCCTCTGCTTAGAAGCAGGACGATGTAGTTGTGAGTGTCTGCTTGGAAGAGATGGAGATGCAAGCAGCCTAATTGATGTCCCATCACGGTACTCACGAAAAAAAGAACAAGAAAAATATCTCATCCCCGTCCTGCTTTCCGCTTTCATACTATGGGATTTGGGCTGCACTTAGGATACGCAATCGAAGGAGCGATCGGGAGTGAGTTCAAAATCGATGCCAGTTACCTCAGTCCAAATGTCAACATGGCAAGCAGACTCGAGTCGGCATGCACGCAATATGGAGTGCATTTGCTGGTATCTATGATGTTCATATTTTGAAAAAACACTGTGTTGAGTTTCGCAACAAGAACAAATTGTTTCAGTATACTGATAGTTCGTGAAGAAGCTGAAGGCACATCAAAAGTAGAAGCCCTCTTGTACTTGACTTGCACCGTCCACATCTGAAATCTGTAATGTTCCTCCTTCACGACCATCATCATGTAGTGGAAAGCTAGTACAGCCTATTTGTCAAAAGGTTAAGTGAGAGTGACTAGATGAACTTCGAGTAACGTAATCCAATATGAGTGAGTGCGTCCTCACTGGGCTGGTGAATTAGAGTGTTACTCGAACTTGTCCCACCTCATACCCAGATGTCTCACTTCCTGCTGGATCAAGCTAGTGGCGCACTCAGGGACGCCTGTCGTCAAATCGACCGGGTCTACGTCAAGGGCAGTAAGAAGCCAGTCGGCCTCTACACCTGCGATTTTACAGTCGGGGTGTTGCACTTATGAAGATAAGGGTGGTCTTCTACTTCTAGTCTGCACTGAACTTTGTGCGATATTAATTGTATTGTATCAATTTTTACTCTTTGATGATAGCGTCGACGTCCAGACAGTGGGGTCGTGAGGTGACCTTGCTAGAGAGTCGAAAGCAGCAGAAGGACGACTAACATCCACGTAAGTACCAAGACTGTAAGTGCCAAGCCTGTAAGACTATGTGGATGCGGAGAAAAATCTGAGGACAAGAAAGGATTCCATTCAGGATGACACAATCCAATACTACCACTTCTAATCCACGTACAAGACCTCATGTCACACATCGATCATAAGACGTTTACTGTGCGGCGAAAGTACGAGGTGCGACAAATCCGAGAATTGAAGAAACACAGGAAGTTAAGTCTCGTCATGATGTAAGTGTAAGACCTGGATACGTTAAGGCTAGTCCTCATGTAAGACAACGGGGATGGTGGTGGTCTAAGACAATGGCAACAGGGACAATGGCAAGTTTTCTTTCGATCCAATCCTCTAGCAGGTGTCATCATCTATCAATCATGTTACTTTTCTCATATACCACGATCTATCATATTAGGACTCCTTCAAGAGCCTTCGTTGTGGTTGACATTGACCTGTATCATCACTCTTTTTATCGTGTAGATTGAGAAGATGACGCTGCAGCTCTTACTCGTAGACTGTGGTGATTCTGAGACTTTTGAAAGGGATTGAAAGTGGACTATCTGAATTTGAATTCATTTATTGGATCATAAAAAACCATTTTTTCGAGGATTCGTGAGATTTTCAATTTGAGGAGACCTGAAATCTTAGATAGCTCTTACCATCACAAATTTCGAATCCTCGTGATGATGATGATGATGATGAGAATTATCAGCCTAGCATCGTCATTCTCATACAATGCTAGAACCTCATCTTGTAGAAGATTTCCTCCCTGTGAGCTTTAGGTCTAATTACACCTTTCAGTAAGAATCCTCTCATCTTCCTAGTACCCCTTCCTTTCTCCTTTTCCCCTTTCATCCCATTGGGCAGACGATTATGAACCACATCGAGAGCTGTTGGAAGATCCGGAGATCATGCCAATGCGAGAAGCCTTTTCCAAGGAGTTTTTCCAGAGGTTTGCGATGGCATTCCGCAACTACATCGCAGGTGAGTGGCTTGTGGCTCGAGAGATGCTACAACTCACAAAAACGATGCTCATCATTAAGGCAATCCTTGTTCAACATTGCGCATGTGATGTATTCGTGTGACCGTGATGAATAGCAGGAGGATGCAGCATAGCCTCATGATGACGATGATGATTAATAAAGGAGGTATTTTTAAAAGTTACAGTCTACGAAGAGAACTTCCACCTTACGACTACAACTATAACCTAAGTATTCCTCTAACCCGACCCGCGACGCAGGGGCTAAGCGGGCCAGACTACTGACGGATATGCCGAGCGCGACTTTACTGCACTTCATGGGGCAGCACAACTACAAAGCTCCTGCGGATTGGGATGGCTGCAGAAGTCTAACTTCGAAATAAGAGAGTGTCTGAGTCTCTGAGTGTCTCCTTCTGTGTTGTCATGTGTTATTAACTCTCGTCTGAGTGTTTGTCCGTGTTGTCATGTTGATATCGAAAAGGATTAACTTAATGAGATTCGTTTCGAACAATTGTTCGAATAGAAGAAGAAGATGATAGTTCCTGAGAAGTGATCACAGAATAGAAGATGAATCTTTGCCAGGTTTTAACAGGTTTTGAACAAGTTTCAGTATCAATTATTTCAGTGTCCAAAGCATTAACTCAGTATCAAAGACTAAGTATTTTTGCCAGTATGTTCACCAGGAGATAGAATCCTACAACGTAATCCACGACGAGCTCGTTTCCCTATCAAGAGAAGTAGCAGAATATTTAACACAGAAGTCTTTTTTGCTCTGAGTAGCAGTAGCACGAGTTCTAGATCTAGAAGAATCAGGCATCGGCACGGCAGCACAGCGGAGTACAAATTTGTCAAAGCTCAGGGATAAAGTAGTTCAATGAGTAAGTAGACATATCAACACTATATTCCTGTAGTTGTAGTCCTCGTCCAAGTAGGAGTAGTCTCAAAAATTAAATCTTCGCTCTGCCTGTGCCGTTGCCTAGTTCCGAATAAAATGCACCAAAGTCGAAGCTCGTCCTTTTTTTGCTGCAGATTAGGTCCTGTCGTTCATGTTTTTCTCGTGTAGGTTTGATGTATCCACTCGTCTGCAGAAGGATGAATGAGTGCATATTTCATGAAACGCATTAGTACATACTGGACATAAAGTCATGCGTGTGCATGGACAGTAGTAGCAGCATAATGTTTCTGTTTCAGCTTCGCTAATTGTATGCTAAAATACGTTAGAGTTTATCTAGGCATAGGATTGGTGATTTTATCAGTTTCAGTGGAATATTGATCAATGCGGAAGGCTGAGGCGAGAATTTCTCTAAATTTATATCTGCCCGCGTGTAAATGAATTTTTCATCATGATCTACGTATGAACTACATCAAGAGTTCTTCTTATTCATGCAGTGCATATAACCTTTTCTATCAGGCCCTAGTGTCGATTCTGGAGTCATAGAAGCATGAATGAAATGAAAAGAAGCAATTATGGGGTCCACGGACGTAGAGGTGCGGCAGTAGCAGCTGCGGGGAGGTCGGTGCCCTGTGGAGGCAATCTGACTGATTGACTGATATGGGGATAAATTCGTATTAAGTCTTAGAAGTAACTGTTGGGTTAACTACTACAACTACTAACTTACACCACAGAGCTTAGGGTTAGGTATTTTTGCGAGTAGCTCGTTGGAAGATCAAAGTTTCCAACCTGGACCTCATGGATTAAGATCAACAAAAGGAATCCAGCCTGGGTTGGAGGTTTCATCCACTGCTTAGGAGCGAGCGTCAGGAGGTCTTCCGCCGACTCGCAAGGCAAAAGCGGACCCGTACCATTGACGCTAGTAGATATTTCCTTCTTAATAAATATTCTTTCGCAGTGACAGCGTTGAAGTTGATCACTCTTCACGTTGTACTTCTAGTGTGAACGAATTGGCAATCTCAAAAAAAAAAGTTGTCGACGTGACGCTGCCTGACAGCGTCTTGCGGGAATTCGAAGGCATGCCCATGGTCATGGTGAAGAAGATGTGGAAGAAGATGATGAAGTTTGCCGGCAGCGATGAAGGGCCGTCCTTAGTGACAGATGGTGGAGGCAGTAAAGCTGGTGGAGGAAACACCAGCCTCTCCTTTCTCCAAAACCGAAGTTGTATCGGTTTTGGAGCAAGGAAAGGCTCATCTTTGTCTCGGTCAATAGCTGCTATCTGCTCGGTTTCGGTCTATAAGCATCTGATCGGTTTCAGGTATTTGAGTTCCCAATTAGAAGCACACAGACCACGCGATACTTTGACACACATCTCGTGCTTGAAGTCGGTGGTACTCGAAGTTGATCGGTCAGTTCTTCCTCTTCGGTCAATCACTCGGTTGTAACCCTTTCTCTATGTTGGAAAGATAAGTGAAGAATCTGTGTCTGTCTTTGTACTTAGGTGGAGGTGAAGAGTGAAGATCATCTGTCTGGATCATGTTGCAACAGTTGTCCTTGTCACGCAGATAGGAGACTCTCCCTCATTTGCAGCCTATCCTATCATACCGTCTTTGCACCTTCATCCCCGAGGATGCAGGTCAAACTCTGGACGGTGAATCAAATCCTATCCTATCCCAACCCCAAGCAAACACCGAGCTTCTTCCACCCCTCTACTGTACGTATACGTCGATGTCTTACTCCTTCGAACAACATGACTCAGTATTCTTCATCTGAGTTGTTCTAGAAACGTCTATGGTTACTCTAAATGCAGTTGTAGGATGTTAGTTACTCTAAATGCTGTTCTTTTGTACAAGTTCGTACCAGTAGTTGGTTGAACAAGCATCATCATCGTAGACAGGATGTTTTCATCAATAGGGAGCGGTTTCCGACAGAAGGCAGCCGCGGTCAACCAGGCTGGAAAGGATATGGTCATAGCGGGCTGGCGTTATTTCAAAGCAGCGAGGGAAGCGAGAGCAGCGCGCCTAAAAAAGCAGCAAGAAACGGCAAAGGCGATAGACCATGCATTGAAGAACTTCCACGATTTCTTACAGAAAAAATGTACTTACACGCTCTAGTCTACCAATTACGTAGCTTCTATAACATGATCGAAGTTCTCGATTTTTCGAGCTACTTACAAATAATAGGCTTTCGCCGATTCATTGAATGCGACCACAAGATCCATATTTTTTTCTTCCATGATGTCAGTCTGAAAATATTGTCAGATGATAATGCTGGAGACATGTTGAGCGTTCCCCACCTGGAACTTCCGGGCTTGATCGAGGAGTGGAAGCCGAAGTGTCCTGAACTTTTTCCAGAGGCCATGCAGAAACACATTTGTGAGCGTCTCGGACAGGCGCTCAAGACTCACGCTTCTCAGCCTCCTGATCAGGGTGTTGAAACTCAAGTGTGGCTTTACGCGGATATATTCGGAACTTGGCCCACCATTATGCATGGACAGAAGAAGAACGTAGATTCTAGTTGAAAATTTCGTACCTCCCTAGAGTCCCGTTCGTTGCATAATATATCCGTAGTCTAATTTTGTCGGAATAACCGAATTGGCGGCCGACGAGGTGAAAAAGGGAATTATGGAGCAGATCGAAGAAACGGCTGAGAACGGCAATCAGCAGGAGAGGCAGTATTTCTACCACTTTTTATTTCTTTGCGTCCCTCGCTCACCCCCTCGCGCCTCTGTGTTTTTTCGTCTTTCTTTCTCTTGAATGAACCCTTTCTCTCGTCCCTGTTTTTTCTGGATAGTACTATGATGGGACGCGCTCCGCCTCCGGTTCAGGTTCTTTACCTCTAGGAGGTGTAGTCTTCACTCATTTCAGGCACAGTTCTCTCCGCTTCAAAGCTTACTCACCTCTCTTGTGCCGAAAAGTTTGCGAGAATCAGGAACAGAGTCTACGAAGAGCATTTTTCCCTACATCTAAATATCTTCTATTTCATTTTCTTAGTAGGAGAAAAATTGTTTCCCCGATATCACTGCTGGTTGTCGTAGACTGTGGTCCTGGACGAGACACAGCAGCGACTGTTCTCTCCGCTTCAGAGCTTATATCCTTGCGTGTCTTCCTGCGAGAGACGTTCTAGAAAAAATATCCAAATCAATTCCAGCTCCCATGCTACGGCCGTCAGCGCGCTCGAGATGTATGCGACGACAGAAACCGTTTCAACGTGGTCCCCGTCGGCTCTCTCCACCACGCACTTCGAGACCATGGCCGTTGTGCAGATTTGCACTGCGGGACTGATAGCCGGCTTGGCTTTGGGTTGGTGTCTACGCCGCCATCATCGCCACAACCATCGTCAGCACGCCAACCGTGCTCCGGCTTTGCCAAAGTATGGGGCTACCGCGGATGACTGTGGTATGTTGGAGGAATGCTAGAATGGAACTCGAACCTACAAGGCGGGTTTTGGAAACTTGAAGATTAGAAATAGAAAATGTCTCAGTTGTTGTATTATAGTTGATGTACTAAAAATCATAACTTGATATTTTACCTGACAGTCATAATAATGACTACCCTCTTCACTTACTCACTACGCCTTCTCCAAAATGCTACAGGCATTTTTCAATAATATTTTCCAGCCAAATCTACCAACATAGCCACCAAGGTTGCGTAAGAATCTCGAGTAGGTAACAAGTGGAGCGGATAGCTCCTGCGGAACGATGCCGTAGCACTACTCTTACTTATACATCTGGGGAACATCTCTTAACTACTAGTTAATGTACTACATCTTCGTATAGCAGGAACGCACTAATTCTGATTGTAGCATCTCATTCTGATGTTGTAGTAGTTGCAAAAAATAGAGTCTGGGATTGTCTTCAATATTTGTGGGAAATGCTTTGTTTTATTCTGGTTGGATAAATACTAACGCTAGGAGAGTCTAATGCGTATTTACACGTAGAAAGCAGGAGGACGCAGGTCAACCTCATCGCGAGGCTGACCAAAACAAAACTGAACAAGTCATCTTCGAGGAAGAGTATTAACTTTCTATTTGCATTTGTATTTAGTTCTAATATCGATCTCATTATAGATGCTGAAAAATCTTCTAAGAAGAGGCATTATCGTTTCCAGCGTGCTATGCTGGATCTGGTAAACGGCAACGCGTCCAGTTTCATCTTGTTAGTTAAATATAGAAAGGGGTACTGGAAGATGTCTAACTACTCAATCCATCGTGTTCGTATAGTGAATGTTGTAAAAGAAGTTGGGATGGGGATCTTCATTCGAAAACTCAATGATATGAATATTCTGGTGCAGCTTTCCTTATCAGAATCTACTATTATAAAAGTGTACTTCTTCCGCTTCGATTCTGTACACTTCTTACTGCTATTAAATGAAGGCAATGTTGTACATAGTGTATGCGCAGATTATGGATTATAATTCATTTCGCAACCCCACACCTGCCAACATACCCACACAAATGCTCAAACTATTGGTCTATATCTGCACCTCCAGTATAGTGATTGTCATCGTGCTTGATCACTTGCGTATCTTCAGGCTCTATCCGTCCTGCCTCAGGAGTAGCGACAAAAATTCAAAAAAAAGGATCTACTGAAAGAGGGACATGATATGTTTGTGTGTCTGAAAATGAAAGTCCGTGAATATATGAACCGAGGTCAACACTTTGAAGAAAAATATGGTCTCAATATCTATCTATCTATCTATCTATCTATCTGTCCTCTGCATTCGTTCTCCGCGTCCAAGTCGATCAAATTGAAACTATTTCGATCTCTTCTGCTCTGATGATTTTCGTATTAGTTCTACTTGATCCTTACACTTATGTCTATCATGATCTGTATGGTACGTGCTAACTTTTCCTCTTGACTCAACTGCCCTCTTCTCCGGCACCGCAGGAAGTTCTTCGGTCCCACTTGATGGGCTGCGCGATGAACTCGTGAGAGCATTACCCTTCTAGTTCACTATGTCTATGTATGGTCGTAGACGAGATCGAGAACCAGCAAACAGGATGAAGAACCATGTTCATAGTCTATGATCTTCATGATATGATCTTTAAAAAATGACGGAGCGTTGGCTATGGGATGAGGTGAAGCGGGAGTGTTCTCGCGACGAGCTCTGCGCTGCAGTTGTGGATTGCCAGGTGAATGTAGAAGCCTTGGTTCTCCGCCTCTCCGATATCACAAGACCACAATTGAGGATGTTGGAAATCTTTCCTGACGTTGGTCCGGAGCGGGAAGGTCCCCCGAGTAGTGTACAGACCGCTGGAGGAGACAGGAGCATAGGACTTGCTGGCTCATTTCAACAAGGTGAGCAATCTGCTCAACAAGGTGAGCAATCTCAAACTCCTGAAGATGCACCAGTAGCTGCACCAGCTATGATACACCAGCACAGGAGCAGGGAGTTTTTCACTGTCCAGGACACGTTTATCAAATGGCTGGCTGAGCTGCAGTACAATCTTAACCAGGAGGACCACTCCTCGACCGTGAGGTCACCATCTTCAGGCGCGTCCCCGTCACCAGAGGATTGGAAAACGGTGTATCTGGAGTTACTCAATTTGGGACTAATCGAGCCTTCAGGTCCACTTGTTACGGCGAACCCGAGAGAACTCTCTTCGAATAAAAACGGAGGACGTGGTAGTCATAGTGATAGTTGTACCAATCATGGACATGGGGGGCATGGAGGTCCTCGAGGTCCTGCCTCCAATCCAGCTAAGGTCAGAGCCCGTGTGGGCATGTGTGTGGTTCGCAACGACCGAGACTGGCAGTATGGAAATTTGGACGGGAGACCAGGATTGCCTGGACGGATTGTGGATATTCAAGGACTCTACGCACGGGTCCAGTGGATGGAGGAACAGGTAGTTCACGCTGATGCTAGTGGCGTTGCAGATGAACTACAGGAGGAGGACTATGGTACGGTTACAACAAGTGAACATCAAATGAATAGCGGAAAAAGTTTTGCTGGGGGTGCTGGAAAAGCTGCAAGTAGTGGAAGTAGTGCGACCTCTTCTGCATCCTCTACGAGAAACAATAACAAAAGTAGATCAGCAGGCACAAGTACAACTTTTGCTGCTCTTGAACAAGCAACTTCTTGTATTTTCCGGCTAGGTGCAGAGGGAGGCTGCCACGATTTGAGGGTTTTCGGGAGATATATTGTTCCCCCTCACGTCCAACTCGCGCTCTCTGAGGTGCAAAAACGGCCTTTTTTGCCTCCACATCTTCGAAATTATTGGAAGCGTTCGCCTCTGCTCAGAAGGTCTGAAAGGACCAAAAACCTTCCCCCCGAAGGATTAACAGCACTCAGCAGTAGTTCTACGACGATTACGACCAATTCATCGTTCTCCTCCAAGATGCCTGGCGTTACTGCTCTATCATCGAGTAGAAGTACTATGACTAGTACTAATCCGATAATGGGATCCCTCTTCTCCTCGTCGTCGTCCTCCTCCGCCAGGTCTTGCTCCGTAAAAGCGTCCGAACTCCATGCCCACGCTGCAACTGCCTTTAGCACCGTGTTGGCGGTGTTGTCGCGAGGCGCGTCAGGCACAAATGATGCGAGGGCCTCCGGCACAAATGGCCGTGACAAGCTTGCACCGTGGCTTCTCACCATGTTGGAACGAAGGTTATGACTGATCATGTTCGAATATTCGAATTTTCATGTTCGAATTTCGTGATATTCAATTGGTTGGATCGTGGTCATGGATTTTTATTCGTCTTGCTGGAATAATACGAGTCACTGTTTTATTTAGATTTCTTAAAGTTGTTTCGGTCAAAGTAAGAGAAAGTAGTGAAACAAGACCAAAATATAGCGCAGTAGTTATCCTCTACAGCATACAACTATGTTTATATCTTCACCGCTGGTGCTCTAATTCCCCTGAAATACATCATCTTGCCATCAAACGCGATCGCTGCGGGAAGTTTGACACCAGCTGGCTTTAGTTTTGTCTTCTCAGCGCGCCACAGGCAATTATGGACGCTAGTCCATGCCACAATCGCAGACGTGGTTCATGGATGTGCAACTACAAGAACAGGTAGGAACAACAGAACAGGTAGGAACAACGATGTTGAACAAGGTGGAAGAGGTGTTTTCGATCTTACAGCTGGAGGTGGCGACGCGTCTGCAGGAGGCCGCAAGCAATCCGCGGTACTAGAACACACAGATGGCGCAGCTAAAGAGGCCACGAATGAAGATGCCCTGTCTGCCCCTCAACGTGCTAAGGCAGGCTTGTACTCCCTGCTTTTACAGTTGTCACACATCAAGATTGGCGAGCCCCTTATCCTTGTGCCTCAGGGATCCCCGATTGCTGCGCTAGATCCATCACCCAAGCTGTGGACGGAACATACAGAAATTGATATTGTTTGGATGTTTCAGGCACCTCCTGGTAGCGCTGCAGCTGCTAAACCTAAGTCTTCGGGGTCTAGTTCTGCTGGAGCCGGAGGAGGCAAGACGAATAAGAATGATCATGAAGAAGCAGAAACTGAAAAAACTAGAAAATTCTGGACATCTTCTTGCTCATCGTCGTCATCCGGAGCCTCTGGGGTATCAGTTGTATCGCCTGGTGTCTTCGACGGCTTTTCCTTAGAGCAATCGATCTTTCTTCATCGTCTAGCTGACTTGGGGTTGCTGCTGAAGAAGGTGGTGTACGACACGAGTTCCCCCACGACTCGCGCTGACGCATCATCAGCACCTAGTGCTGGGCCTGGGGTCGTGCATTCTCCGCCTCAAAACACGACATCCTCTGCACCGAGCAAGAGTTCGCTTGATATCTTAGCCCGTACGCAATTGTTGCACACGATGAGAAATAACCCAGGAGACATTCAAACACATTTCTTATCTTCTAAAAATACTGCTGCTACTAATCCCGGGACTTGCACCTCCAGGACTTCTGCGCAACATCATTCAAATTCATCCATGATTTCTTCAAGGTCTAGGTGTGGGTCTGCGACATCAACATCAGGAGGTGTTCGCTGTGTTATCTTTTACCCGACAGCTCTTGCAGCAGCGTTATTCGACGACTTAATCGGGCTTGCCGTCACGCGCGGTGAATTCGGACATGGTGCAGTACTAGAACGCCTCTCACCCAGGTTGTTGCCAGAAGACGCTTTTGCTTTGGAGGGAGAACTAGGACTTGGGGATAGTAGTAGTACAAAAAATACCAGGGCAACCACAACAGCATCTTCTGTAGGCATCACATCGATGTCTTCTTTCACCTCATCTGCAGCATCCAGTAGTAACAAGAAAGAAGTCTTTTTTCGTGGTGTTTTGGTGGAAAGCAATTTCCGCGTAAGAGCTTGCACCAACGACCCAGTGCAAATCGACCTGTTGCGCACGTTCACCGAGATTCAGCGCCAGAGCGGCTACTGGGTTGTCGGCGAGTTGACCCAGGATTCGCTTCTGAGGGCCTTTTCCAGGCAGAAACTCACGGCAAAGCAGATCTTGCATTTCCTTGCCTGTTCCGCGCACGAATCACGCGCAGCCAAGTGTCGGCTCACTGGACAACCTCTAGTCCCGGATAACGTCCGAATCCAAATCGAATTGTGGGAAAGAGACCGACAACGACTGAAGTTAAGGCGATGCTGGAGTCTTTCTCCGTAATAAAGGAGCTCCCTTTATTTTGTTTAGACTCCTTTTATTTTGTTTAGACTCCTTTTTTTGATTAGAGTGAGTAGTAGTCCTAAATTTTGAAAAAAATCCGACTTGTTTTACTCGAAGTACAAGTGCGAGCAAGTCCAAGTAGGTAGTTGTACTAGTCTAAGATGTTTAGACAGAAGAGCAAGTGAGATTTTGAGAGTATCATGACACTCCCAGTCCCACTCCTCGTCTAACAAAACTGACCCCTACGGTGAGGCTCGAGTGGTCCCATGCTGCTGTCAATGCTGGTGGTAGGACGTACATGACACTCGTGAATCAGCTAGCACCAGATGAGATTCTATTAAGGGTTTCCAAACTTTTACATCCTTCAGCTTCACGATCAACATTCTTGGGCCTTTTTCAAGGGGAAAACCCAACTAAGTAGGCCCACAAGGATGCTCTGGAGGATGTAACGCGGCAACCTTTAACTCGAGACCGAGATGATTGGGCAAACTACGATGCATCAACGAAAACCGGCAAGCTTCCCTGTTTGTTCATCAAAGAGGAAGCTTTCGATAGAGTAGAGAAGATACTGCGGAGAAGAGACAAATGACGAGCCTAATCGAAGACTGAAAAGAGGCGAGTAACATATACAATAACCGAGGATCTGAGAAAGTTAGCTAGATTACTCGCTTATTTCAGTTCAGGAGACGTGAAAATCGAGTCGATGATATCCTCCCCAATCCTCTCGCGTCGTGCGCGTGCTTGGCATTCACTCTCCTGCATTATGCGACACCCTCATGGGCTATCGAATCACTGCGCCATATTCACAGTGGGCGATAAGATACCTAGCGCAGCTTTTCAAGGTCCATAAGATAGAATACCGAAAAGAAAAGTTCCGCCTGAGATACATCAGAGTCATCTAATATACTACACATGCATAGTATAGCAAAAGGCCCACTTTCCTCTTCGAAGGTTGTCGTTACAGCGCGACTTCTTTGCGCAGTCTTTCACTTGACGAAGCAACAAGATCCCGCCAAGCAAGAAGTAGCTCGGCGCTTTTCCTCACAACAGATCGCTCGCAAATAAGATATTTTTTTGGAGACCTCCTCAACCATTCGCACGTAATTACTCTGCTTTCAACCTGGAGGAAACAGTTTCCTTTTGCTTATCTGGATGCTACATCCGCTACCTACCTGACAGGGCGACCACTTGGGTGCTTTTTTACTGAGGAACGAACTAGATCGACAAAACGACAAAATCAAAGCGACAAAGACGATGAATTTCCCAAGCGTTTGATAAATTGTAGAGTCAAGAAGTAGGATTTGTTAGGAAGTTGGTCGAGTGAATTTCTTCAAGAACAAACAAGACTAAGATCACTACTTTACAACTAGGCACTAGTCACGTGAAAGATGTTCATGGCCGTAGACTGCTTTCCTTGTTCTTCCTTCCATAAATGACATCCTTTTTCTTCGTCAAGAGACACAAAAAATGGGAGATGTAACGCCACCAGAAGGAAATCAAAGCGTGCTGCCAGCGCGCACGCCGCGAATCGGAGTCGGCCATAGTAGCGTCTTTGACGACTGGCAGCACGAGTTTGGCAACCCTGGCGATCCCCTGAACGCACTCACCCCACCCATGGACTTGGATGATGAAACTCCGCCAATGATAGTAAACGACTTAGGTGGAGAAGAACAAGTCGGAGTCGGAGATGAAGCAGCACTTGTTGTTGCAGGAGCACAGGCACAGGTAGAAGAGGCACCCGCAGGCAAGGTAGCTACGGAACAGGTAGAGAAGAACAAAGCTCGAGGGAGTTCTTCTTCGTCTTCCTCCTCTGGCAAGAAGACCAAGAAGAAGGACAATCTCCAGGATGTCAACAGCAAAACAAGCAGCAAGAAAGCCCACGGAGCTCCCGCAGTTCCAGTAGAGTCTTCCTCTTCCTCCTCCTCTTCGAGTACTACTGCTGCCGCTCTAGCAGGTGGCAAGAATAGCAAACCGAGTACGACTGCCGCTCTAGTAGCGGCAGGTGGCAAAAAACAACCACAAGCACAAGCGCAGCCACCTCTTTCTAAGAAGCGAAGTGCCCCACTTAATATTGCGAAGGAATTAGAGTCGTCTGATGAGGAGTCCACGCAAGATGACTCGGCTAATCACGAGAATTCGGAAGACGATCGCACTTTCTCCAAGACAGCGGGAAAAAGAAGATGCGCCAGACCTATTGTCAAAGATTCCCAGGTCTCCTTTCACGGATTCACCGACTGGATCGTCGTCACAAACATGTACTGCAGTTCTTACCTTGTCGCCCGATGCTGACTGAGACTAATGCTGGCGCTTCTTGTTATTTTGTTTTAGCGTTTGACTTTTTCAAAATCAATCTGTTACACCTATACGCAAGAGTATCCGTCTGCTTGTGCTGCTCTTCACGTTCGCCATCTTTCTTTGATGTTGTAATCTTTCTTCGATGTTGTAAGAAAGCTCCAAAAGGATGCTGAATTTGGACTAGAGGACTGCCCATCTTGTCCTCTTCATTTCAAAAAAAGCACATGCTTCCTCCCCTCGTCCATCAGGTGCGTGAACAAAACTGGCTCTGGCAAGAGCCAGGTGACTGCTCGCTTTTTGGCCAGGCGCGACTTGGAACGGAAGAAAGTGGTGTTTCGTAAAATCGAAAAGGATGCGTCGGGTGATGAGTGCAGGCGTGTAAATCTTCACCACTACAAGAACAGCCTGCGCGACTACGTCAATGCGCCTGGGATCCGTGCCCAAATCGAGGCCTACCTAGACCGCCGCTGCCATCCCTACGAGTGGCGACGACAAGAGGAAACGAGGAAGCACGCAGACGATAAGGCAGTTGAAGAGGAAAATAGACGACTCCAGCAAGCATCTGGCAGCCTGTTGGATGATGCCTCTCTTTCTACAGGTGGAGGCGCAGCGCGAACTGATGGCTATATGGACAGAGACGTGCGAGCAGCGCGCAATGTTTTCGAAAAAATTTGCCGGGGACAGAATCACGTCCGACAAGTTATTTGCATTCCGCGGCCAAGATGTACTACTGCTTCAGCTTCAAGTAGTTGCTCTACTAAAAAGGCCCAAAAATTCGGGGGCGCTGTTGTAGTTCCTGCAGCTTCCGCTTCATCCTCGTCCTCATCTTCTTCCTCTTCAAAAGTAACCTTCCCGCGAGTCGTTCCTGGAGATGAAGGAGGAGCCTGTACTTCTAGCAGCAAAGGAGCCATGCGGAGGCAGGAGTTGATCGCACTAGATGCGCCGGCTGCTGCAATTGAAAAGGACATATTCGAAGACCTTGACGGCTCCCTCCAAAAGGAAGACGTTCGCAAACTATACGAGAAGCGCGCTACAGCTTTGCATGAAGAACATTTAGTGCACAAATCCAAACAAACAACATCTTCTCCTCCCAAAGAGAGAAGGCTATCTTCATCATCCAAGAACGGTATGAACAACGACCAGAACACGCCAAAAGCAGGTGAAGAAGATGAAGATGACGATCTCGAGATCGATATGGAGCTGGACATGGAATTACCAGAATCAGAGAAGCAAGCACCTTCCAACCTCCGTCCTCATATTGAGAGATTTTGGATGCAGTATGGCCGTCACAGACACCTGAGGCCGGACTTCGTCGCGCACACCATTTGGCTGGCCTCAAGCAACTGCCCTTCTTTGAAATTCATACGAGAGCACTTCGACAAGAAATCTGTGCAGCGGATTGTAGAGGAAGTGGCCCTAGCCAATCCGCCTGAGGCAATAGAACGCAAGGAAGCAAATCCGAAGCCGAAACGTCGAAGGAGCAAAGCTAGAGCTTCTCAAGGAGGTCTGAATCATGGCGAAGGAGCTTTCCTCTTCTTGGATGGCGAAGAGGTGGGAGAGGATTTTGAACTCGATGGAGCAAATGCCAAGCGGTGTAAGAAGGACCACAATGATGGCGAGGATTTCGCGTCCTCTGCTAATGTTGACCAAGCTGCCCAAGGCGAGGAGTCTGAAGATAGTGATGACAAGTTGTTGATCGGTTTGGCTTCTCCTTCAAACAAGAAAGGCGAAGGAGATGAGAAGAGGAAAGGGGACCAAGAAGAGGCGGAGGACAGTGATTTGGCTCTCGACCTCAGTCGCGACAATGTTGACTATGATGCGGAGCAGGTCGCCGCTTGGGCATGGGAGGAACGAGAGAAAGCTCTCCAGCTAGCCTTAGGCGATCCGGAAGCGTTCGTAGATAAAATGGATAAGGGAATCAAGCAGCGCTTTGATGAGCAGAAGATGCGCTACAGAACGAAGATGGAAGGTCTGCGGGAAAAGATCAAGGAGAAGCTGCGTGTGGAGGAGGAAAAGATCGTGGAGATAGACAAGAGAGGAGCTGCGAAAATCGAAGAGAGGACGAAGAAACTGAAGGAACATCGCGCGACCTTGAGCGCGGAACTGCGAGAAGCTGAAGCGCAGTTTTTATGTCAACAGCTACCATTGAATTACTTAATCAACTTTTTTGACTATGGTGTTTCTTCCTTTGACTGACTCTATCTGCCCGAGAACTCCTGTTGATGATGTATGGTTGCTATTTCGTTTCAAGATCAAAATTGGCTTGCCAGAGATGCGTGGCCTCAGCACTTCGTCTATCAGTACTCGAAATGAATGGGCGGCCACATGATCTCTCCCCCCTTCATTTTCCCACGCTCGCATGGTGAACACAAAAGCGCTTGTGGTCAGTAAGATCGAGGCCGAATTGTTGGAGTTGAGAGGGGAAAAGCAAAAAGCCGAGGAAAAAAAGTTGAATGAGGAGAAGGCGAAAATCAAAAAGCAGCACCAAGAATACGTCGACTAAGGCCCACCTAATCCATCTTCAGAAGCTGCATCTTGAGACTGTGCGTTCCATAGATAAGGGCGGAATGGCTTCAAGAAGGGCCTCCAGATGAATTAGGGTAAGCTCTAAGTTGAGAAATACGAAAGGAACAGACGACGCCTGAATGAGGTGCAAGAGAAGCACCGCTTCGAGGTGGAGAAGGTCAAGCGCGAACACCTTTCGATCAAAGAGCAGCTGGAGCGTGATAGGGAGGAGAAGAAAGAGATCGAGACGAAGATTAGAGCCATGCACGGCGAGCAGAAGCGCGCTGAAGCTTGGGAAAAGTCTAAGTCTGAACGTGCTGCTGCTGCCGAGAGGCAAGGACGCGAACTCCTCCAAAAAGAACAGCGGGAAAGAGCACTCAAAGAAGCTCTAGAGAATCGGATCCAAAAACTGCAGCAGGATAACAACAAGCTCCAAGAAGATATTTCTACGAAACTAAAGCCGGAGCAGGCGAATCTTCAAGCACAGAAAAGCGCAGTCGTTGCTTATGGCTCTTCGGGTGCAGTAGAAACTAACATGTGGCGCACTAGTCTTATTCAAGTCTTGGATATTGTTTAGTCTCCATAGTAGTATGTACGTGGCTACTCGAGACTTGTGGTTGTGCTATAGTAGCTAGGAGCAGTACTACAGTGACTATAGAAGTAACAGTAGGGAGAGCAGTACTATATTGACCACCTCACTCTCCTGTCCAGGAGGTTCTTCCCAGCCTTCTGTATTACAACCGCCGCAGCACTCGTCTGCGCAGCCTTCTTCTCAACCTTCTGTGCTACAATTCAGGCTATCAAATGCCAGGAGCATGCATTATACTCAAGGCTTGACGTACTAAGAGCAGTGCCATGCGTATTTAGACTTCTAGCAGGAAGCTGTTGTAGTGACTAGAGTGAATGTTTTGGAGCGTCAGGGCCGTGAGATTTAAGAACTTTCAGCACGGTGGTCCAAAGGATCAGAAACTTACCGGAAACCTTCAAGAAACTTGCGATGCTTTCTGGGTCTGGCGCTTCTTTTCTTGGTGCATCAAAATGGTCAGACTACTGCTCGCTCTTTATTATAAGTAGACGCTTCCTCAGTTCTTGTTTAGTGCTTTCATTTTCTTATGCTGTTCTACTCATTTTTTCGTCCTCCACCTTGTTCATGTTTCGGAGCTTCAGAAACGGGAGATGGAGCAAAAAGAGAAGGAGAGGAAGGAGCGCCTTGTGGCAGAGGAGCAGCGTCGCGCACACGAAGGGGCTGAAATGAGAGCGAAGACACGAAACTGCTCCGAACGTGTCAGGCCTGGTGGTCTGAAAGTGATTCATTACAAGTAAGGCAAGAACAAAAGACACTCTTGAACAGAAAGGGGACTCGACTATTTAGTCCTTTTATTTTCTTAGTATTTTTTCCATAAGACGGAGTCCTACTACTTTACCCACATTTATTACTTCTACAAGAGCAGTAGTGAATTCATCCCAATCCATACACCCGGTAAAAGGAGAAACAAACTACAGCTTAGCTGCAGCTTCTTCATCTAATCAAGAGGGATGCGCTATGCCCGGACGCCGTTAGCACGCGAATGGCACTTGCTGGCGAATAGGAGCAATTTTGAGGCCTTAAGGTCTGACGCCCCTTGGAATCCGCGCGAGGGGAAGACGCTAGTGCACCACAGATCTAACGACAACGTGGTAATTGACGAAACACTAAAAGCCGAGCTCGAGCGTGAATACATGGGTGGCTTCGTGAGTCCGGCCGGCAGGGTGGCTGTTGAGACTCTGATCTCTGCGAATACGAGTCAGGGTCTGCTGGAGCCGGTACCTTGTAAGGATTACCAAGCGAGTCAGTTGCTGCCGTACTTCAAAGGAGGCGCGCCGACTGGGTGCGTGCTTGCTGAGAAGGACCAGATGAAGCTCGTCGACTTATGTGGTCGTGTGTGCATCTATTTAGGGTATTTTCTAGCAAGCTGGGAAGATCGTGGGAAAGGCAAGAAGGGCAGAGACACGTACTTTAGTGTTGCTTCTTCTAGTTCTGCTTCCTTTGAATTTTGATCGCAGCTTCTTTCTACTTTTATTGACTTAAAAATAGCATTGCTCTAGCTCTACCTCTAGCCTTGTGCTCTTACTTGTTGCTGATGGTCGTGCATGATAGATACATAGTTCTTACTCTTACACGACAGTACATAGCCATTCCTTGCGCATAGTTCGCCACTTCCAACATCAGGAACAACAACAAATATTGGGCATTGGTCTGCCACATGCACACGGGTGATCCGGCGACATGGGAAGACCTTCTCGCTGATAGACCGGACTTTCCGCGAGTCTTCCTTGGTCCGGCTGTGTATTGTGACGGAGGCCAAACGAATCCACCGCCCAAAGTTGGAACCTCGTATCCAAAATGCGACTTAAGAATGCGAAGCCATAAGGAGGGAAGCAGCGCGATGACCTCTAATAGTAGTAAGAATAGTAGTAGTAAAAATTCAACTACTGGGAACTACGAGATGAGCGACCCACCTGCGGCGCAGGGGTCGAGTGTTGTCCGAAGTCCTGCGGCCCATGCTGCGGCAACATCTTGGAAAGGTGCAAGAAGTAAAGCAGACCAGGGAGGTTCTGCTTCCAGCGGCGGCAATAAAGGTCAAAAATATCATCATGGCGGAAAGGTTGGCGGAGACAAAAATAATAGAGGCTACTACTCAGCAGGCGTCTTCGAAGGTGCTTCGAATCCAACAGCTGCAGGTAAGGGGAAGAAGATTAACGCAACTTCTACTTCTAGTACTAAATTAATCAGCGAAAAAAACAACACATCCATGAGTTTTACAGCTTCTGGCAGTACGACTACAAAAGTTGGAGCTCTCGCCAATGGTGCACTTAGTAGTGCGACGAATAGCGCTTTTCCACGTAGTACAAGAAGCGCAGTGCCTTTTATTCAAGGGGCGCCACCTTTTTGTGTGCCGGCAGATCATGCTGCAACGCCAACGGGCAGCGCGATCGGAATGCAGGGCGATGCGAAAGGCAACAAGCCTGCGACAAGCGCAGACCACGCCATCAAATCAGTTCCACAACTTCTGACCAATACAACTGAGAATAGCAAGAGTGGCGCCAGCATGATCGTCAGCAGTCCTGCTCCGAGTCGAGGCGATTGTCGGTCGCGCAGTACTAAAAGAAGAATCATGGGCATGAGCCCTGGTGAAAGTAAGAGAGGTGGTAGAAGTCGTGGGAGAAGCCTCCGACGCCCTAGTGAGGGCAATCGCAATAGGCAAGAAGGACGCAAGAGCGTCGCGCGTCAACGTCTAGAAGAGGGAAATCACAAAGGAGGACGCCGACACGAATATCGCGACCGGCGTGAGGATCGTGCTCATAGAGGACATTAAGGGTTCCCCTAATCCATCTTCGGAAGCATCTCTGGGACGTTTTCAAGGGAAAAACAGTCGCAGGATGGGCTTCGAGATGGATTAGGGTAAGCTCTAAAGAGGACAGCGGCGGAAAAGTCTCGCACCTCCACGTGGTAGGAGTTCAGGGCGTAAGAGTTTGCCTCCACCTCCGCGTAAGAGCTTCGCTTAGCAAGTAGCCAACAAAAAAATATCCCTGATTGATTAGACTGTTGACACTTGACAGGTGATTCGTGAGTTCTTCCGTAGTTCTTACACCTTTTCAGATGATTATACTTTTCCGGCTTAGCTGTACAACATTGTCAACAACTTATAGGAGCATTTCTACCAGTACTGGCATGTCCTAGACATTGAGACTCACAGTACTTAGTATTTTTTTGGTCCCCAGCACCCACTCATGTGTCTTCTAGTCGTCAAAAACATTAACGTTTTCTCTTTCCCATGTCTTAGACATTGAGACTCACAGTACTTAGTATTTTTTTGGTCCCCAGCACCCACTTATGTGTCTTCTAGTCGTCAAAAACATTAACGTTTTCTCTTTCCCCATCAGCTTAATCTTCCCCATCATCTATACGTATAGCGAGACCAGGCATTTCTGTCGCACTACTCGATCCGGCCAAAGAATGTTATTCTGTCTATCCATTGTTGCCAAGAAAAGCATCTACCGTCAAAATGGATGTTGCTTCGCATGCGTTCTTCCTACAATTGTTTTCAAAGGAGGCGCAGGTGTGATCACGCACGCTCTCCACGTTTTGCTGGTGTACGAGATCTTCCGGTTCTTCAGGTTCACGTAGTTCTGTACTATCATAGGGCTCAAATCTCCAGGCCACTAAGTAGAAGATGAGCAGGCCACTAAGTAGAAGTTCTACATGATGAAGTACGGCGCTCAGTGAAAATGTCGCGATGCGAAACACAAGAAAAGCTCAGATCATGATATGCTATGAAGAAAATCGCGGCGGTTCTAAAAATACTGGCACTACAGGTCATAGGGTCTAGGTCTTGAGATCACGATGATGAAATCAAGTAGCAGGAGAAGGCCTTCAAAAATGTTGTCCTACTAACTTTTTCGATCCAGTTCATTGCTTTTTCAACAACTACTACGTACAGGTGCACAAAATAAGAAAGTTCAGTTTATCACACTGACAATCTTTCCCTACGGTGTGCCAAATCTATATTAATGCTCAGTAGAACAAGAACCATTGCAAACATATTGATCATCACGACCATTAGCTACAACGACTCCCAATATTCCACCAACTACAAACTTGTATAATTCTTGAATCAAGAAGGCATCAACAAAATGTCGTCGACCACCGGCGTTCCCTCCAAACGTGATAACAAATCATGTGCCGAGGACTCAACAGCTGCGCCGCTTGCTAAAAAGCAGAAGAAGAGCACAACCTCTGGATCTGGATCCGCAGAAACTAAAAAAGAAGACGAAACCTTCTCGGAAACGGGGTCTACCTCTTCAACCAGTCATGAAGAAAAATTTGGCGATGTGGACGAAGAAGACGTGCTTGCAGGAGCCTCTCCAAAAGATGCTGGAGACGTCCACCCCGTTGACGCAACTGCTTATCGTACCGAAAAAGCGATCCGCATTTTGTCAAGACTCGAGGATTGTCCTGACCCTATCACGTCCTTTGAAGCATTAGGCAAATGGGGTAGAAGCTCTACTGCGAGCTCAAGCTCATCTTCAAATACAGGTAGTACTAGCAACTACATCATCCCTTCTTCTATGCTCAAAGTTTTCGAGACTGCTGGTTACAAGACCCCCTCTCCGATCCAAGCTCAAGCTTGGCCTGTCGCTCTCCAAGGCCGTGACATGATTGGGAATGCGGAAACTGGAAGCGGCAAGACCATGGCCTTCTTGATCCCAGCAGTGGCACACATCCTGAGTCAAGCCCCGTTGAAGACTGCGACGAGCTTTTCGAGAGATTGGTGGAACGCCGAATCTGGTCCAATCTGCCTCGTCCTCGCGCCAACGCGAGAACTAGCACAGCAAATTGAAGAGGGTGCAGCGAAATTTGGAGCAGTTGGCGGTGCCGGAGGTGCTGGCGGCGCTGGTGCCAAGAAGGTCCTAGGAGCTAGTAGATTAGGACTAAATAACGACGGTAGTGGTTCTACTAGTAACGCTTCATCGGAACAAGTTGTTATCGAAGAGCCCTTCATTTCTTCTCCTCGCCCCGTCCGTTCCACCGTCTTAGTCGGTGGCACGAGCAAGGGTCCCCAGATTCGCGACTTAAACCGGGGATCCGAGATCATCATTGCCACGCCAGGCAGACTTTTGGACCTTTTAGACATGGCAGAGCAGCCGCACGCCAACTTCGTCTTTAACTTGAACCGAGTCAGTTTCCTAGTGTTGGATGAAGCGGATCGCATGCTAGATATGGGCTTCGAGAAGGACTTGCGTCGCATTGTCGCCGCACTGAAGAACCGAAAGATGCCAGTGGTGCAAGACTCTGACGATCACAAGGCGAAATTGGAACGGGTGCTGCAAAACAACCAAAGCAATGGAGGAGCTTCACCATCATCAACATCTTCTTATCAGACCTTGATGTTCTCCGCCACATGGCCCAAGGAAGTGCAGAAACTGGCGCGTGACCTCTGTCGTTCGGACCAACAGCCGGTTCACATCCACGTTGGCGAGGGAACCATTGGGGAACTGAAGGCGAATCCACGAATCACCCAAAACATTGCTCTGGTGGATGCACAAGGCAACAAATGGAATGAAGAGTCCAAGATTGCAAGGATGAAGGAAATTTTGCAGGAAGAAAAGACGAAATGCCAAGAGAAAGAGCCAGGATCAGTGTTGAAAACAGTGGTGTTTACGATGACGAAGAGGGGATGCGACACACTGGCTTGGAGATTGAAATCCATGGGCGCTTTAGCTATTCATGGCGATAAAACCCAGGCCGATCGAGATTGGTGCCTAGCGGAATTCAAGAAAGAAAACGGCGGGTATTTTTATCATCTTTCTCACTCTCTAACAGTTGGATTAGGATTATCAATTCTTGAAATGTACTAGTACTTGATAGCTGTTGGCCCCTTGTTGCGTACTTGATGATCATGAGCTACAACTAAAGTACTAGATGAAACGTGGCACCTCCAATCTTTTCTAGCTTCAGCTCATCAAACGCTGCACTGTTTCTCAAATTTCATTGTTGCGACTTACACTAAAACTAATGGCTGTTCCTCTTTTTGTAGTACTTGTCATCAGCCTAAAAAAAAATGAAAAAAGGTATGACATCCTTGTTGCGACGGACGTGGCTGCTCGCGGCTTAGACGTGAAAAATGTGAAGTGTGTTATCAATGCCGATTTCCCTTTGAACATCGAGGACTACGTCCATCGTATTGGTCGCACCGGTCGTGCTGGCACCTATGGTGCGAGTTACAGCTTCTTCGTCGCCGAACACCTGATGAACGCGCCAAAGTCTGCTTATGACCTATGCGGTATTTTGCGGAAAGCCGAACAGCCGGTACCGGTTGAACTTATGGACCTCGCTGACAAGTGCCGTGGAGGAGGTAAGGGTAAGGGCAAGGGAAAAGGCAAGAAGGGAAAGGGAAAAGGCGGCAAGGGAGGAAAGGGTAAAGGAGGCGGAAAAGGGAAATGGTAAGGAAAATGGTAATCACGACTTAGTATTTTAAGCTCTTCAAGAACTAATGCTAAAGTTTCTTCTTGTTCTTGCTAGAAGAACTAGTGTTGCTGGAAATGAAAACGAATGCTTATGTTCTATTCTAACTGTGGCAGACATGCTTATGCTTAAGAATCGGTCATCCTCGTATTAGAGACCAGATCAAGAAATGTCCTTGAACTGTAATGATACTAACCTCGGAGGTATCACACCTTGTTCTAAAAACGAAAACTTGCACATAATAATTGTTTGACCTTGACCTAAAGAATGATTACAATCACTTACTGCTGTATTGTACAGTCTTTGTCAAAGAGTTCTGATCATGACCAATCCAGCACCATTTGATTTAGACCTTTTTTTAGCATTTTTATACTGAACAACGATGTAATTGGCACGAATTCACTTTCTTGCCATTATAGTACAACCAAAGCACCTGCAAACCAATCATGATGATGCTCGTCTGGCCGAGAAGGTCCGTAGAATTGATTCGACGTATAGCCCATCCAAATTATTTAAATGATGTCGTTTATTAGACGATATCATCTTCCATGCTATACCACGTTGTATAGCCCTTGGATTATGGGCGCATGATCATAGTTGTTCAGCAAGCATATTCGAACATAGCAACAAAGATCTTATGATGGTTCGACAAGAGATCTTCGTCGAAAGTTCATTCAAAAAGAGATCCCTCTATAGGTAAAACTGCGGACGGCGGACACCCTCCTAATCCTAATCCTAATCCTAGTCTGGGAGGATATCCTTGGAATCGCATGTGGGAGGATTATAGGAATCCTACGTCGGTCCCAGCAGTATGGATTAGTAGATGAGATTTTATGAATTTCCAACACATCAAACATCAGCCTTGGATAATTCACTTTCTAACACAAACAAACATCAGCCTTGGGGGAAAACGCATAAGTTTGCCAATTTTTGTAAGACTAGAAACTAAGACGAAGACCGCTACATTAATCTATCATATCTAACGTTGAACTAATTCTGAAGAGCATCCAACAACAAGGTACTTATAACCGTAAGCCTGACCCTAAAGTACTAGAAGAACTACAACTTTTTCTTCTCTTTGGATCATTCGCTTCCCTTACCCTTATTATAAAGTAGAAGGACAACCTCTTCTTCGTTTTGGATCATTCGCTGCCCTTAACCTTATTATAAAGTAGAAGAACAACTTTTTTCTTCGTTTTGGATCATTCATCTCCATCTACAACTACTACTCCTATTAACTTCTACCTAGATGATTGAATTGCAATAAGTCGCGAATTGTTGTCGTTGTAGTCGTCCACCAAACATCTGAAAATCTGAAAATTTGAAACAAGATGGAAGTAGCTTCTAAGAAGAACCTTTTCACCAAGAAAGTTACGGCCGCCACCACGGCTGTGCTGGTGACTCTCGTTCATTTATCCATGGGCAGCATCGGAGTGGAAGCTGTGACAATGAACGCCGCGCGTGGAGGTCGTGGAGATGGTCAAGGTCATGGAGCAGCTGGCCAAGGTCTCATACAACGAGGTCGGCAACAGGCTGGCCAAGGTCGTGGAGATGGTCAAGGTCGTGTCGGACAACAAGGTGGTCCTGGACAACAAGGTGGTCCTAGACTACAACAAGGTGGTCCTAGACAACAAGTGCTACCAGCCCAGCAACAGGCTTCTTCCTCTCCTGCTACGATGTCTCGTGAAGATTATTATCGCAGTCTCTTCGGATTTTCGGAAGCTTCGATTCTTCATGGTGCACCGTCCACGGAGGAGACGAACGCTGCTATTCGTTCCCAATTTGCAGTCTCCAACCTGGTTGCGAGGAATCCGTTTGGGAATTTCCCTCAACGAGAGCTGAAAGTTCTCAGTCCTAGACAAGGTTCTTCTCAAAGAGGACTTATCGCCGGTCGCTTTTCTACTCCAACCGCAGACATGTTGGAGTCTCAAGCTATCGGCAACATGAGCGCCCTGTTGCATATCTGGGTCCAGAGGTGCATTTGGAAATAACCTTAACAAGCTTGGACGAGGAGCCTCTGGGAGGTCGCAAGCCACAACTGGGGAGCACCAATTGTTTCGTGCCAAGGACTTTGTGCTTGACGATGGTGCCAAATTCGAGGTCGGGAAGCTTGCAAGCCGTCACCCCTTGGCCACCTTCCAAGGAGCCAGTCAATTGAATGGCTTAGATTAAGGCTTCACTTACTGTGTGAAATTCATCTTCAGAAGCATCTTGGACGAAGACTTTCGTAACAAGAGAAAATGACGTCGACCAAGATGCTCTACTTCAAGATGTTGATGAATTACTTATATAAGTAGCGTCTAATTAGAGCAAGTGGCGGATTCTCAGGATCCAAGAGGCATCGTGAATTATTTTTTGGATCAAACCCAAGGACCGGCATTGGCTATTACGGGTTTTGCTGGCACGTTGTGGCGGAATCACTTTGCTCGCACTTCTGGATCTTTACTAGGTCAAACCGGAACTGCGCAACTAAACTTTTTTCAGTCTGTCTGGGACAAATTTACGACTAGTGCAGGAGAAGCAAGAACTTCCAATATTACGGCAGTGAAAAATGGCTACCTGCAAGTGAATCAAATTCGCCATATTGTTGAGCAAGGGCTAAAAAACAAGTGGTCCAACAGGGCCGACCTCTTAGAGGAGCTGTTTCGCCTATACATGCGCGTGGGTCTGCAGGAAGATACTGAGTACACAGGACGTCGTGTGAACTCAAGCAGCGCAGAATGGGGAGTGGTCGCGCAAAATGCTCCTCTGTATGATGCCAGTCATTGAGAACCTAAGTTATAGGGGAATGTCGTTCCACCCAAATATGAAGGGGCCAAAGGTGGAGGGGAACGACATTCCCCTATCAACATTCTCAATGAGAGTGAAAGCATTCATCCTCAGGGTGTTGCAACTGGTTCTTCTGGCGGTATTTTCAACGCAGACAGCCACACCTTGCCTGTGATCACGCATATTTACTCGGGGGGTATCCCGTGGCCCAGCGTGGAGGACCTGCAAGAAGATAAGCTTGGACCTTTTTACTATAATTTTTTGTCGTCCCAGTATCGAGCGGCCTTTGCGGCTGCATTAGGCACCGCGATGCGGTGGAACTTTCAGCAGGACAGCAACAAGCTCTTCCTCACTGGCCTCGGACTCGGCGTCTGGGTCACGAGCGGGAGCCCAGAAGAAGCTCTTCTCCGTCAAATGCTCGTGAAAATCGTCGCAGAGCACCTCGTTGCCTACCGCAATTGCGGTCTCGAGGTCGTATTCGTGGGAGGCTTTGATACCTCGGGACGGCCCTTGACTTCCTCTGCGAGTTTTGAGCAAGCGGTGTGGAATCGCTTTCACGAAGTGTTAAAAGAGACTGGCAATACTATCCAAGGCGACAAAGACCACAGTGACCATAGTCGTGGCCATCATAATGTCTGTACTGCTGAGTGGCTACGTCTGCTCTCAGAGTATGGTGCGGTCGGGCCGCGGCAGCAGATTCCTTCCCCACGAAGAAGCGAGCCTATTTCTACAACGGCAAGCATCTTGATGGCAGTGCTGATCCCATTGGGTGTGCTGCTCATCGCAGCAACCGCATGTCTTGCTTTGTACTATTATCACTTTCTTCCTCGCGGACGTGGTCGCGGTGAAGAAAGTGAAGAGTCATAGTCGTAGGAGTTCACTTGAGAGTCCGCCTTCTTTACTAGAATGAGAAGGAACGCACAGTTAGAAGAGGCGAAGAACAAGCTCATGGAGGAGTGGAACTATAGAAGTTGGTTTTGCGAAGTTGGACTGTAGAAAGCCGCGAAGCATTCCTAGTGTAATATATAAGTTGCATTCCTCGAATGAAACGTCGTGTAATGAGTTAGAATGAAAGGCCTTCATCGTGTAATGAGTTAGAATGAAAGGCCTTCGTGTAATGAGTTAGAATGAAAGGCCTTCGTGTAATGAGTTGCATTCTTCATATGAGCAACAAAAAAAAGTCAAAAAAAAGTGAAGAGGAAGAAGAAGAAGAGCAGTCTGACTCTTTTCTTCAAGTGTAATGAATTGCACGATGAAGAATGAGTTGGAAGAGACTTGTACAAAAATGAAGACGAAGAATTCTACGGTTCACGACAGGACTTGAAACAATCAATTTCACGGTTTGACGTCAAAACTTGGACGCTTATGCATTTTCCAAAGCGTGCGCCGTGCTTTTTTCATCTGTGCATACAAGGTGATAAACCATACCAAATCATTCTAATAAAAGATGAAACGAACAACAGATCCTCCACTAGAATGGCGCAAGATCCATCTAAGAAAAGATCGGAGCAGCTGAATCTAGATCTAGTAAAGATACAAGAATGTGAATGACAATGATTAGAGTGATTCTATCAACAACAATGGTTCTCTTGTGCGCGAGGATCCTCTTTGAAGTTCTTGTACATGCATCTTGTACATAAGCGTTGCTCGTAGTCGATCTATGAAAGAGGTATTGGATTATTAATCCCATAGTTTTCATCTCCTAAATCCAAAGTAAAAACGACAGGCTTCTTCCAATTTTTCTAGGTCTACGGTCACTCATTGAGTTCATTATAGCGTATAAAAGGGGTCAATTTTTTGAAGGAGCCTTGCGCTTGCTCAAAAAGAAAATAAGGCAAGGTTATCACCACAACACTTTGATAACAGAGTTGAAATTGAATTCACGTCCTACTAAGTATACACTACCATAATACAAGATATAGTGGCCCTCCTCGTCTGCGAAAATAGCGGACTCAGCAGCTGCAGATTCCTTGCGTGCGGCTGGTGTGCCGAACGCAGGGCTAGGGGAGTGCCGGGACCATTCCGGCGCAGGCACCATTGTGGGCCTAGAAGACGAAGACGAACCGCCGGACGATAATATACGAAGCCCCCGCTCGGGTCGTGTGGAGTCTTCAACTTTAAGGTCAGCTTTTATCCATCTTTTTCAGCATGATATTAACATCAAAGTGCCCTTGTTTTCCCTTGAGTATTTCATGGGATTGGGTGGAAAGGGGTCCTCGAGATGAAGGAATCGAGATGAATAAAAGCTGACTCTAAGAGCTGCTCGGGCGGGGATTTTATTCACATCAGGAGAAGGAGAAGCAACAGGAACAGCATCTTTGTCGCCCTTTGAGTACCACATCAACGCTTCCTTATCTGCTTCCAAGGACCCGGTGAACTGCGACTCTTGCATCTACCCTGACTTTGTACTAGAGGACAGCGACGACGTCCAACAGAACCACGACACCGAACACAACTTAGTCCAAAAAGAGGACGACAGCCTACAGTTACAACGCTTATTTCCGTCCGCAAATTGTTCCTCCTGTTCAGCGGAGCAGAAGAAATATTGCAAAAGCAACTTCCAGTTCCACTACGGAGGAGGTGAGCAGCATCGTGAAAAGAAGAAAAGCAAGAGAGGATATCATCAGGAGCAGCAGCAGCACTATTACGGCCCCTACGGAGGAGGTTCATCTGGTACACAGACAGTCGGAGCAGGAAGTGGAAATAGATGTCGATCATTTTCTGCTACTGGGAATCATTGTCGAGCTTTTGCAGAGTGTGGCGAAGAGTCGGACACTGGTGAAGCGGCGAACTCAGATAGTCGGGGCAAAAAACGACTACCTTCTTCTGCATTTAGAAGTACAACACTGCACCATAGCACTTCTTTGGATTCAACATTGCACAACACTTCCTTGAACAGCACTACTGGTTCGTCGTTGTGTTGCTTTTCTGGTATAGTTGCAACAGGAGCAAATCTTCTGAAAAACTTCCGTAAGAAAAACTTTATTTTTACGTTGTTCAACGGAAAAAGCAGCAACAACTACAACGATCACGGGGCGAACCCTCTGCAAAGTGTTAGTTCACCCGCCTGTTTTATTGCAGGAAACGGAAATACTATTACAGCCAGAAGTGGTGGGCCTGGTTCTGCTAGCTTCAACAACAGCAAGAAGAAATCCGAGCAGCGGAAGAGCTCGCGATCAGATTCACTTGCGTCTTCTACGACGACTGCAAGTTGGCTTCAGTCTTCAAACGGTTCAACGACGACTTCGCTGAAAAAACAAAAGACCTTCAGTAAACGAGGACTAGTACCGCTAATAGGGTACAACTCGAAGCCTCTTGCTTGTGAAGGAAATCATTTTGGATCTGACGCGTATCACTCTAAAGCAGCTAGTAGTCCTCCAGTGAATTATAGTACGAAGACAAACAACAACTACGACGCAAGCAATTTCACGTCATCCTTTGCTTACAACGGAAGCGCATCTATATCCTCCACGTCGTTTGCGTACAGCAGCCGAGCAGCGACTAGTTACGGGAAGATCAATCGGAAATTACTGCCTCGGCAATTCCCTAACGCATCGAATCACTGGGGCTCGGATTGCTACGGAGCAGCACAGCGTAAAGGGAAGCGTGTACAGGAAACACCTGGACGAGTACTAGGAGGGTCCTACAACTCATCTCCGAATATTCATATTGGAGGAACAACTAGTACTACTACTGGTGCTGGAGCAGAAGTTGTAACTCCAACTGGAGCAACTAGTACTACTACTAGTGCTGGAGCAGAAGGGATAACTCCAACTGGAGGTGGAGTTCTTGGCGCCTTTTCAACTACGTCTACAACTACATCTGGTTATCCAGCACCTCTTGGAGGAGAGCAGAAATACAACTCGCTTTCAGCTTCAGGACACAAGGAGAAGCATTCGTGGTCCTCGTCCGGAGGTCAGGGTCACACTATCTATCCCAGTTTGTGCAGTTACAGCTTTCGTCGTTCCGAACGCAAGCTGAGTAGTTGCTCTAGTCTCTGCAGTAGGCACAGTGTGCTTCGCAGTCTCGCTGCGGGAGGTGGAGTCGTCCAGTGTGGTGCGCAGCTATCGTCAAGCTCCTGCTGTACTACGACTTCTACTTCGCTTGGAGTTGGAGGAGGAAGCGGATTTGGTTCTTCTCCAGGAGAACATCTTCTTGGTCTCTCTGAGCGTTGCAACTCGTCTGAGCATTGCAACTCTGGTGGAAAGATTCAGCAGTACATTGGTCACGGGAAAAATAGTACGACCACTTCAGTCTCTACGTGTGCCAGTGGAGGAGGTATCCTTGTTGGAGGTCAGGCTTGTGCTACTTTTGGGACCTCGTTTGGCACTTCATCTAGTATAGACCAAGGCGCTTTGACAAGTTCTCCAAGCTGTAGTTCTGCCACGACAAATACAAGCTCTACTAGGACTTCGAATAATTCTACTTCCACGTCGTCTTCGGGAAGAACCTCGAGACAAGGAGCTGCAGGGATATTTTTACCCGACGAGCGAAGAAATAGCAGTAGTTTGCAGCAGTCGCCTGCGTTGAAGAAAGGACGCGTGACGGCTCAACTTGGTGAAGACGATACAGGATTGCTACTGGTTGTCGAAGACGGTAATTGAAGGTACAGATAGGAGGAGGAGGAGTGCCAAGGAGAAGAAGTACATCAACTGGAAGAAGTCAGAAGCATTATTTTTACGACATAGAAGATTTTTTTACGCGAACGAACGACAAGATGGGAGTGCATAACGGATTTGACAGCGACGAGGAGCCAAGTGCTTCGGAAGAAGTTGGTATTTCAGTTGTTCTCAACGCCTTTGTGTGGTCGTGGGAAGCGTTTACTTCGTAGAGAGCAAGTATTTGTGACTTAGTAGGTGTAATTCTTCTGTGATTCATCGTGGTACTCAACAACATAACTCTTCTTTGTTCTTCTACAGAACAAAATGTTTCTCCATGAAATATTTTTACCTCATCAAACTTGCTTCTAGACTTCTTCGAAACGGCCGAGGAGAGTGCCGCAGAGGCGAAATTGAGGCTAGCTAAGCAGTATCTGAGCAGTTTAGATGGCGACAGTGTAGACGCGAAGAGGAAGAGACTTCGCGAGGATTTGGAGCAACAGAATCCTCAGAGGGTCAGCAATTTAGGAACAACACTGCGTTTGGTGCCAAAGAAAGCGAAAGCGGCGCATGGCAAACAGATGTGTAAGAATTACAACTTGTGGTCGCGACTTGCTGTGTATGTGAACTCATTCGTTATACAACTAGTAGGAAGTCACGTTCAGAGAAACTGCAACGTGTTGTAGGTCAATGCATACGCGTAGGAGCGGGTAAGTAAATTCATTCATTCACTCACTCAATGCATACACACAACCAAGAGGCTACCCTCACCAACAATTTTTGCCATTTCATTCATAAAATTGCATCACTTTCTCAGGCACTAGCGTGTGCATTCGTAAAGACGAGAGGAAAATCTATTCGGGTGGAAACGATTGCTCTGTCGTGGAGCACGATGTGGCAACAGGAAAACAAGTGCGATTTGCGGGAGGCTACAAAAAGTAATTACTTGCTGATAGAATGCAGTTGCACGACAAGTCTACAGTCAACCTTGTCGAGTCTTGTACTTGGTCATCCACTTCTACCCTTTGAATTTCGATGGTCTTCTTCTTTACTAGCTAGAACACTCCTTCCTAATATATCATTCATTAAAACAGGTTCGACTGCGGTGGGCACTATGGCTCGGTGCTTTCTCTCGCTTTTTGCGAGCCGTTGAATTTGCTGTGCTCTGTTGGGGAAGACGCGCTCTTGCGTCTGTGGGATCCAAGACAGCCCAATAAGTGCGTCGCAGCACTGCATGGGCATAAGGGACCCATAACGAAAGTAGTTGCGGACCCAGGGACGGCACAGGTATGGAGATCTATTACATGATTGGTATGGAAGTTATCAGGAGTAGCAAAGGGAGATTGACCGTGACCATGTTGGTCTTGCATATTGTCCTTGTTGTCTATAAATTATACACAGAAGTTGTAGTACTAGTACTAGTACAGTAGTGCATTGGAGGTGTTGTTCTAGGGCAAGTACTAGTAGTAGCACACTTATCAATATCAGGGTTTCACTTGCATGGCGTGCGACAACATGTCGATGTCTCGAGTGTCAGCTCCTGTTCTTGACAAAGCTTTTGATCCTTTTGACAGGTTTTCACTGCAGGCTCAGACAAGATGATTAAGCTGTGGGACTTGCAGCATCGTTCAGTACTGGATAGCTACTTAGGGCATACCGAGAAGATTACAAACATGGACATTCTGCAACGAGGAAAGCCAATCACCGGGAGTCTTGACAAGAGTGCAAGATTCTGGAGGGTACTGCTAAACTACACTGACTATGACTTATACTTAGGTTATACAACTAGAGCTCTACTCTACACCAATTTGTATAGGTTTACATGGTGTTGATTTGGAGCTACGATGTGTAGTCCTATGGCAATATGGAGTGTTACGATGTTTAGTTCTACTACAGTATCCTCTACGAAAGTCAACCTACTAGTATCTTCTAGGAAAGTCATGCACATGCTCGTTTGAAAATTTGAGTTTTGAAATCTTATTCTGTAGGACCCTAAATGAACATTCTGAAACTTCTGAAACTTGTTCTTGGATATCCAAGAATTTTCAGTTATATGTCATCTTTTTGAAATTCATTTCCTGATGAATAGCAAAGCATTTGCTTTGAAAACATCCACAAGGTTCATTTTGAAAGTCAAACTTGTTGAATATCCAAGAGTTTTCAATTATATGCCATCTTTATGCAATTCATTTCCTGAGGAGCAGCAAAGCAGCTTCGTTGAAATGACAGAAGTTTTCAACAGAATCTTGATCTGGATCACTCACTTCACCACCGTGCTATCGTCCTCTTTCCTGCCTACTGAGTACTTGGTAACTAATACCGCTTGAGTATCCACTTATACGACCATGTAAATCTTCACTAATACCATATGAATCTCCACTAATACCATAGGAAGCTCCATTGATACCATATGAATCTCCACTAATACCGCTTGAGTATCCACTTATACCATATGAATCTCCAGCACGAAAGTCACCTTATCCTTATCTCTCACTACTCGTCCATTTATTACAACGTACTCCACTTACATCCACAGACTGCCCAAGATTCGCATTTACTCTTTGCGAAGCATGATAGCAGTGTCGACGCGGTGGCTGCGCTACAGGCGAACTTGTTCGTGTCCGGCGGGCAAGATGGCAGTCTCCATGCCTGGTCCACGGAGAGCAGCAGGCCTGTGGCCTCAGTGGCACACGCGCATGGTGACGGCAACTGGATCACCGCTCTTGGGTGCGGACGTGGCAGCGACTTAGTCTTGTCAGCATCGACAGACTGCGTCCTCAGATGTTGGAGGCTGACAAACAATGAACACCAAGATGAAAGTACAACAACTGATGACGCGGACACTCTGCTCAAGAAGTACACCCTCAAGAAGCAGAAAACTTCGTCTGGTGGTACCTCCACTAATTCTCCTGGTACTAGTAAGAAAAACAAGTCGCACAACAAGTATCGCTTTGAGAAGTTGCAGGAGATACCAGTGGCAGGCATAGTGGCAGATATTTGTGAAAGTGAGAACTTCTTCGTTTGCGCACACGGGAAACAGCAGAGACTGGGCCGCTGGAATGTCCTGCAGAAAACCCCAGTCGGCACAGAAGTCGTCAACGGAATCACGGTACTGAAAAAACGCGACCTCCTAAGCACTAGTAACAACAAGTTAGATGAAGAAGGAGAGGAAGACGAGGAGGACGATGGACCTTCTGCGAGCGAGGAGGAGGAGGAGCGGTCAACATCAGCGGCTGAAGCATTCTCAGAAGACGAGGAAGAAGAATCGGCTGAAGAGGAAGAAGTCGAATAGCAGGCTTTTGATTCCTTTCTGCAAGAATACTAGTTGGCACGATTTTTAGAGAGAAAGGTTGTGCAATGGGTTGCATTCTTCGAATGAAGAATAGCAAAAAGCGTAAAAAGAGATGGAGTAATGAATTCTTGCACCATGATGTTGAAGAGTGAGTTGGAAGAGGCTTATAACAAAATGAAGATGAAGAACAAGTTTTAGTCTAGGTCTAGTACCTGTGAGATGTGGTCGCTTCTTGAAAAATTGACTAATGAGTTGCCGTTTGACTAATGGGGTGCACAAAGCGGTTGGTACTTTCTTTTTAACTAGTAGAAGGGTGCTGCGTGAGGAGCGCAACATGTATTACAGAAGAAGGTACTGGTGTTCATCAACCAACAGGTGAACAGGAACAGATGAACGAGTAGTTGCGCAAAATTATACAGTGGAGTAGACGTGTGTACTAAGTTATAATGAAACACTGCGTGTCGGTGTCCCACAGTGGTTGTAGAAGGGCCGACGAAGACCATCATCGTCCACCTCTACTATACCCTATGATTGGGTACCCTACTCCTACTACTACACAACAGGATCCTGCTCATCCTCTACAAAAATGTCACTGAAAAGCAGAAGAAAAAAGACTGAGCCTCTTGCCGACGATCGAAAGCAAAAGGATCCGCCAACTACAACAACATCAAGTTCCAGAGTATTGTTCAATTGGCTGCGCACCAGATCTTTGCGCGAGATTCATCATGGTATTGCATCTATTGACAGTTGTAGCGTAAACTGAGCGACACTACCACCTAGACAGGAGAAAAGTCCCGAAATAAAAATGATTACACGACTTCTAGCAGTCCTCTTTACTGCAGTTCCGCTCTATCTAGAAAATTAGACTCTGAAAAGTTCTAGGTATGCCTCATGATCACCCTAGACATACAATCCCGAAAAAATGATTCAGAATCTTTGTGCCACCTTTTGAGTAAATAGATTTGTTTTCCAATTGTTCCTCTGCGACGTAACTTTACCTGTTGTAGCTCGTTGTTCTTGCGCTAGAAACTTCGAACAAACATCACTTATCATAGTCCACCCTTCGACTGCATCTTCTTCTTCTGTGCTTGTAGAAGATACGCATATTTTTATTTCCACCTTCTCCGTCCATCATCCTCGAGTTCAACAAGAATTTGTTGTATCGATTTAGTTTTTGAAACAAAATGGAGCCGTTATCGGAAAACAATGACGCGCCCACAAGCTCGAGTCCCCACAGTCACGGTGGGACTACATCGTCTAACAAGGAGTTTCATCGACAAATGTCCTTACCTTCTAAGGAAACTCTGGAGGTTTTAGAGATGCTAGCCAAAAGCTACCAGGAATTGGTCGATCGTGCTAACGGGATTGAAGCAGATTTTCGCACTGGAACTTCTTCGGGAGGAAAGGCCACGACGGCCCTGTCTCAAGTCGAGGCGGACGCCAATCGGTTGCAAGAAAAGGGTGTGGACTCCGTACAAATCGCAGAGTTGCACAGCGGAAAAGAAACGGCTAGAGCCTTGAGAAGAAGTTTAAACCAAGGACTGGAGGACTTTTTTGAACGTTTGGGGTTTCTGTTTAAAGAGTTTAGAAAAGGCAGTGTTGCTAGTGATGGTAAAAATGATGGTGGTGATGTGAATGGTGCAGGAGCTACAGTGAATGATCAACATGCGAAAAATACTGGTGCAACTACAAGACCAATACAACAACCTACTACAACATCTTCAGCACAACATCAAGCGTCACCTGCGGCACAGCATCAAGCCGCGTCATCTGCGCACATGTGCGGCCCAACAGTAAGAGGAGGTGCTCAGGTAGACCCACAGGTAGTTCCACCTGGGTCTGTACACTATCCCAGTCTAAGCCCACCTGGTGATGTAAGAGGGGAACGCACACCGAGGCGGGACCTTGATCAGCTTCCGCACCTTAGGCAGCAAGAACAGACCCGACAAGACCTATTCCGCCAACAGCATGCGGAGCAAATGCGCCAACAACAACTCCAGCAGGAGCAGATGCGCCACCAGCAAGCTCAGGCTCAACAAGAGCAAATGCGCCAACAGCAAGTAGAGCAGATGCGACAGCAAGAGTATGACCGACAGCGACGCGCATATCTAGAGGAGCAAAGAAGGGCTCAACAAAGAGACCCCTTCGGAATCTTCGGGCCGTGGGGAGGCTTAGACCCTTATCGTGGTCGACGCAGAGGCTTCTTTGACATGTAAGCTTGCTACTAGTGAAGAAAGAGAGACCACGAGAGACCACGTGCTTTCTGTATAAGTGGAATACTACACTCGATGATCATGAAGGTGAAGGCTACTGGTAGATACAGGTATGTGCTTCATACAAACGATGATGAAGGCAGGGCTCTCGAGTCATGCCCACACCGCCTTCATGCTCGTTGTATTCCTTCTCTTAATATCATAACCCTGATATTAACTTTTTCATAACTACTAGATCGAAGACAGAATACGAACCCCAGAATATCAACATTGTTGACTTCCTCCGTGACCTTTCACCTGATTTTTGACTGCTCATTTCCATTGGCACGACATCACTTCTCATTTGATCACGACCTGCAACACCTTGATGTCATTTGAGGAGATGAATATGTTGTGCCACAAAGACCGAAGCCTATGGACCATGTAAAGAACAATATGTTGACATCGCAAGTAAAAAGAACAAGAAGTTGTGATTTTGGAGCGATACAACGACGTCGTAGTTGTAAAAAACTTCTGCAGCTTGTTCTCCATCCACCGAGGACTCATCATCTTGTCCTTCAACTTCCACTTCATCAAAGTCGGTCTTCATCGAAGAGTAGAATCGTCAGTCTCCGTCAAGAGAAATGTAACAGAGGAAGCCTGTGGTTAGTTTCAACAACGCACCAGGAGAGATGTCGAAGTTGTCCTCCTATGACCTAAATCGGGAAAATAATGTCGATTCGGTTTCTTCGGTTTTCATCATGTCGTGTCCGTGTCCGGTCTTCATCAACATATCGGGTTGATCGTCGGTTCACTCGCCCACTTAATTACACGCTCCTCGATTATGATTTCGTGTTAGTCTTAGTTGTTGAGGACCCAAGCCCAAGTACTTAATCTAAAACAGTAATGTTCTAGTTCTTAGTACTCTTAGCACTAGACCAAGTATGATCCTGTAGTTCTTGTTCCCACAGTTGTTTTTTAAAACACGACATTGATCACGCTGTTCATCTACTAATCTCTATCATCTTCACCACGTCAAAATGAGTTTTGGCAGAGCTTCTCGGGACGTCTATCATATGACCGGCTCAGACAATCCCGGAGCAGCCGATTACATCAAACCGACGATGGCTTGGTCCAAATCGTTGAAGACAAGGTAATTCTTTGTGATGTGTAAACTGTGATGATGAAGACCATCTTCGTCATGTTCTTGATATTTATAATTTGTTTTGACGATAGTGTAGTCATCTTTTACACCCCTGAAGTGGGTACATTCATTCATTCATTCATTCATTCATTCATTCCCTCATTCAAAGTAATCAAGTAATCAAGTATTACAACATCTAGATCTACATTGAGATCATCAGATCTTCAAAGGAACAACAACAGCAACAACGCCAACATGTCTCACCTCTCCACCTTCACACTCAGATCTAGTGGAAGTCGAAAGTCCTTGCCTTTGCCGAAAGCCCCTCTAAAACAAGATCCTAGACACCATAGGAAATCAGAGCTCACTGCAGCAGCTTTAGCAAAATATGGATTTTTCGATGTTTTTTGTTTCTTTTTTCATCTTTCTACATACTTTAACGATCGATGCATGCGATCGTCCTGGTTCATAGTTACTCCCATAGATGTTTAAATAATGGGTCATCCTGGCACTCACTGTCCCACGAAGAAGTCACTTCTTTTTGGTGGAACAATTTCTCTAAATTGAAAGCGGGATTGATTATCATAAAGTGCCAGGATGGTCTCCTGTCTCTAGAATATTGGAAGAAAAAAAGAAATAACTCGACCTTTCTTCATAGAATACACGTGAAGGCATTGGGCTTACCTCCTGCGAGTATCACAGAACACGTAATACCAGGGCTAGTACCAGACGAGCAGAAGAAGACGATCTATCAAATACTCACGGAAGACAACGAATCTTTCAAAGGTAATAAACTAGGCTATGCATGATATGTTGAAGAATTTTGCTGTATTTTTATCTTCTGGTGGTCGTGGGTTGCATGCAGCACCTCCAGGAACCCTGAGGAACTTTACATTTACCTTCTCTAGCTTGAAGAGCCACTTTCAATCAATCTCTACAACCATTTTACTTTTTTATCACCAAACAACTTTTACTAGACCACCTGCTACTTCTACAACTAAAACTACATCCAGAGCTCCCGCTTCTGCCGATGGACGTGATAAATAAACCCTTGAGGGCGGAAGAGGAGTTGCCGTCCAAGCCAACAGCGTTCTACGATCAGAGAAAATTTCAACACGAGAGTAACTATGCTGCATCCATTCGAGCGGAGCAGAAGCGAGCTGCAGACGGGGGCAATCTTAATTACCTATTTGGTAAGTAGGACGGATACTTAATTTCCTACTAGAAGCGGACTTCTCGGAGGTTGGTCGTAAGTAGAAAAGGACTTATCGGAGATTGGTAATGATGTAGTAAAAGAAGAAGATCTAGATGGTGGACGTAGTTCTACAACTAGCACTGCGTAGTTGTCATCGAATTGTAATTTTTGGCAGACTTCTCGACATCTACTTCTAACTTGTTGTACTACTTCTCTTGAGGACTATTGAACAGAGTTTTTTGTAATGATTTCATCGCATGAAGAACTTGCTATTTATTTGCTGTTTCTCACTTATACTTACATTTACATTCTTCAAGAATGAATGTTGTTATAATACTTGACGTCATACTGCCCGGACGATTTGCCCCAACTCTATTGCTGAGAAACAACCACTTCTAGCAAGGACTTTTGAGTCTTGATGATACTTCTGTAGTTCTTGTATTGCTGAACTAGTTTTTCTAGATGATCCTGCCAAACCAAAAACGAACAACAAGACCCATTCAAGTGCTTTGCTGCGTTCGAATTTTGCTGTACCCTTTTTCTGATTCTTCGTTCTCGTAGAGCGATATCGGCGCATATGATGCAACAGCATGCCAAAAAGTAAAAGAAGAAGTAAAGGCATCATCATCCTTTTTACACTACTTGCAGATGGTTGTACAGTCGTTAAATCGGTCTTGTTTCTCTGTCTCTGTTCAGATGGTACAACTGCTCGTCACCAGTATGATTCATTCGTCATCGTACTGACACTCATCGTGGTCCTCTCATCGGTGGTGCAATGATCGTGATTCGAAGTTGGATTCTTCATGGAATTCGCAAAGAGAAGATACAATGCAGATACAGTCGTACTATTTGAAGAATCTGCACCATAAGGGAGTAGAGCAAATAAGAGAAACCATCGCTAAACCTTCACCTAGTCGTAGTATTGTTATCTGCCCAAACGGCATAGGCATGCACCCATTATGACCCCAAATAGTCGAAACGACGACAAAACCGCCCCAGTTTAGCTCCTGCTTTCTAGCAGGTTCTTAACTTATCGTCAAGATATCGTTGAAACGTTCAGAAATATGCTTTTTGGAAGTCTTGTGGTGATTCTAAATCTATTTTAGTGTGTTTCTTTGACATTTGAGAGTCATGAAACTTACTACATTGATTAAAACTGATACAATTGTTGAATTATTCGTTGAATTTGAATTCAAATTGTCAATTTGAAGGGAATATCCAAGAATTTTCAGTTATATTCCATTTTAATTGAATTCATTTCCTGAGGAAGAGCTTTCATCCACAATCAAAACTGACTCAGATCTTCAAATTATGCTTTGGATCAAGACTAAGTGTCTTCCATTAGCACAAATAGGCACTAGTGTAGGTGAATAGAAGCTAAAACTTCATAGTTTTCGCTAAGAATAGTCTTAATCTTAGGAATTTCAACTTATGACACCATTTTTGATGCTATCTATACCACATGAAGTTAAAAAAGTGATGAGAATGATAACGAAAACCCCACGAGAATAGCCAGTTTTCCTTGCAAAAACTTGCTAAGTGTGTTCCTAATTGATGCAAATCTAACTAAGCCTACCTCTCTCGACTACTTACGTTGCATTCAGTAGTAGATTTCGTCGTAATACTAGATTACGAGATACTCATACTCTTCTCGACGACAACGGGTGCAAAGGAATAGTAGTAGCAGACAGTGGCACTCATCGACCGTTGGTATTTACAAGCAGTACTCCTACTCCAGTGCCAGCAGTAGACCAGGATTAGACCACTTAGTACTAGATTTAGAAGCACCACTCCTACTCCAGTACTACCAGTAGCAGTACTATTAGATACGACTACGTACTGCCCAACCTCCATCAAAAAGAAACAAGATCAGGAAGGATGTTGGGGTCCATGAGCAAGTCGATGAAGAGCTCTTCGAAAAAGAAGAAGGACAAGGGGAAAGAGGAGGAGAATAAGGTATCCCCGGAGACGTTGGAGAAGGAGAAACTTATGGCCAGGCTGTTCTCTTCGCATAGCACTGATTGCATATTTATTGTTCAGGACTGCCAATTTTTTTATCAGATACTATCTAATCTTATCCTAGTACAATGTATGTTGCTGTTTTCCTCGACTGCTGGGAAACAAGGAAAGAAGATCTTGTTGTTTTTCATGCCGTAAGAAGGCGTGAGGGAAATCTTAGGCAGATTGCCGAATAGATTCACATCATCACGCGCATCCTCTAAGAACCAGGCTGAACGCGATGCGCGGCATCGTAAGAAGGTGGAAGCGATGAAAGACCAAGTCCCGGAGGAGGTGACTAAGTTAAGGCTCCCCCTAATGATCCATCTCCGCAGGGAAGCGTCGATCCTACCTCGGAGGGAGGCTTTGCGAAGGGGAAAAGGCACCCTCCAGGATGCATCTTCACGATTTTCGAGAGGAAAAAGCCACCCTCCAGGATGCACTAGTATCTCAAGATGGAAGATTACGGCTAGCTCTAAGTAAGAGGGGACCGGAAGCCGTCAGAGTGCACGACATCATGCAAGAATTTGCCGCAGAATGGGAAATAACACAAATCGCCAAGCGAGCAGAAGCGATGAAAATTTATGATCTGTGTTAAGATGGGTGAGGAACAATCTGTGTTAAGCATTTGATTTTTATGTGGAGAAGGCTTAGGTGTAAGAGAGTGGCTAGTATTTCTTTTACCCATATTAAGTAATATCTTCCTATTAATCTTAAAAACAACTATGACTATCAACTAAGGGACAGGGACCACTGAAACGTACACACTCTTTTTTATCCAAGGTGAAAAATTCTAAACCATAGTGGAGCCAGATACGACGGTAGGGCTAGCCGCTTTGAGTGCAACACACGCTGCGGCGCATGGGCTCACCATCATGAGTCCGAAAAAAAGTACTGTATCTAGCGTCTTGGTACGATATGTTTTTAACCCAAGAATAGATACGAATCGATCCATAGTCGAAAACATTCTATCCTACGACAAGTGAAAGCCTCTTCCCCACATTCGAAAACTTAGGTAAAGAGGAGATGGAGAGTGTCGCGATGGCAGCTGTTAGACGGGTGACAGAAGTGCCACACCTAAAGAAGGCACTGGTGTTGCAGCAGAGTCAGAATTTAAGGCTTTATTTTTCCTTATCAAAATTTATTCGGAAAATATCGATTGATACACGGAGAATGAAAGAATAAAGTAGGGCTTGCGGCTCCTCTATATTCGACATGTCGTGTTGTATCTCAAAATCATAGAGATAGTACTTCAATCATAGTTACTCTACCCCCTACTCAGTTTTGACGAGCCATGTATCTCACCATGATGTCCATATTAACTTATCAAACCATAATGCTCTATGTATACCTCATCATTGCGCCTCCCCTCCTCGCCGTGTGTTCTTTTTCTACCTCTCGCCTTATGCATACGCCTCCTCTTCATCCTCTCCTGGCCTCTACTTCTAAAAGACACTGCTGCGTACAAGATTTTTATGCGGATGTACCTTGCCATTTTTTTTTGGTTTCTCACCTCTACCATCTGGCTCATTTACTCCGGCCAGCACTACTTTACCTCGACGTTGCCAAGTCTTCGGGACATTTATTTCGTGAACGGTGGCGCCGCTCGAATCGAGGCTGCGTTTGATGGGTACGTGCAGAACCAACTGATCGTCCCCATCCAGTCGCTCGCGAATGCGATTGCCCTTGGAGCATTTGATGAAGGCTACGATTTGTTATGGCTTAGGCTTCTTCTATTTTTCCATCTTCATCATCCACCGAGACATCATCTTATCATCTACTTCGAGAGATTTCATTCTCAAGTAAGGGGGGGGGCGGGAGTGAGGGGCTCCATTCTCAAGGCGCATGATCCTGGAGTGAGAGGCTCTATTCCCAAGGGAGGGCATGATTGATCCTGGAGTGAGAGGCTTTTTAAGGGAAGAGAACGATAAGAAAGAGCGTAGAAGGATGCAGCATCTGAAGACGATGGAGTAGGACGAGCTCTAAATTTCTTCCCCATGCAACTCGTGGTGCTGTCCGCTCTGAATCAGCTGACGCAGGTTTCCTCGATCGAGTTGGCTTTTCAGAACGAAGAGGAAGCTCCAGTGGGCCTTGCATCTAGTTCCACAACATCAAATCTGCCTAGTAGCTCTGGTGGAGGAGGTGGAACCAATGTGGATGACCTGTCTTCAACATTAAGGCTAGAAGTACTTTATGCTATTATAAATTTTTTGTTTATGATTGATCAGATTGATCAGCTTAGCAAGCCAGTAATATCAGCATCTTGCTTAGGCCCTTGTTTTCTTAACCTTTATAGTAGAGGAAAACGGTCACCAAGATGAGAAGCTGCTAGTTCCTTACGAAAAATTAAAATTTCAATTTCTTTTAGCTCTAATAGCAGCATCAATCATAGCTCAAGCATTGGCTTCGATGGCTGCATCACAGGCGTCTTCTTCCTCATCTAGTACGTTTGGTAGCACATCATCTGGCACAATAGGAAGTGGAGGCAGCTCGTCAGGCACGTCTTCTTCCGCACCAGTTGGCGTTTTCATTCCTGGTCTGCCTTTGACAGAAGCAGGAAGTGCTTATGAAGAGGAAAAGTAGAGTCAACTTGTTCTATTTCATTATCATGGCCCTCGTCAGGATTTACATTTGGAGGAGGTGCAGGCTAGTTTTGTTTCTTTTAGTTGTTGTCATCTTCGCGTCATTTGGACTCGTCACGCCGACCATTGAGTGTGGATATTTTTGGCCAAAATGATCTACTTCTAGGCATTTTGATTGTTCTCCTTTCATAGTTCTAGCGGAGGTACTACAGCGACTTCTGGCGCGAATGAACATCAAGCATTTTGGACACCTCTTACTAGTGGAGGCATACGGTTTCGGAGAATAGGCGAAAACAGGAATCTGCAACTAGAGTTAAGAGAACTTTCGACACCGACGTAAGCAAAAGTATGAGTCTCTCAACGAGAGAGCATTTATTAGGTCTTAGCCAGGTGTATCTTCTACTTTTGAAAACAGTGAAAAGCGCTATCGTGCTGAAGCGACATCAAGAAGAAAAACTCAATGTTGTACTTACGTAAAAAAGAATGAGTGCTAGTTCAGTTCTAGAACAAGTCGTCCCTTCGATTGTCCGTACAAGATCATGATACTTAATTCTTCTAATCACAAGCGACCTGTATCCTCCGTGTATTGCTGAACCTTTCGCCTGCAGTCGGAATTTGTCAGTTATAGGAGCACCCTGGCACACGCGTTTGGGCGACGTCTACATTCCACAACAGGCGCGACTGTGGCCACTTGCTCAGAGTACATCAGGAGTAACTCAGGACAGTGTCTTCACAACAGCAAACGCAAATAGTAACGTGGATGGAGCTCGTGCAGTTAAGATGTAGATTAAGAAGTGCTCCCGTGTTGTCTTTGAGATTTGTTAAGACAATTTATTACTCAAGAACATGGATTCTGCCAAAGTGTACGACTCTTTGTTTTTCAACGGAAAAAAGAAGAGATGTCCAAGGAAGGTGGAGGCTATGGGTTTCGAGGTGGAAGATGCGACGCAATAAATTTTTAGCTCTCTAATGTAGGAGCAGGATCTAGTAGTGGTAGTATGGGAGAGGAAGATGCCATGGTAATGGTTGACCCACATACCGTAATTCCCACCGATCCCCTGACTGTTCTGCGAGCAGCGCAAGACGAAGCCGGACTAGGCATATTGTTCAACATGTACACTGAGCAGGAAAAGCTGGGCTACACCCCGCCGGCATTGGCCTTCCTTGGCCAGGAGACCGAACGAAGGCTCAAAATCCCGTTCGAGCTGTTCTCAGGAATCATTAAGGCAATAGTATGTGAGTCACAATTATCCCGCTATCTCTACGAGGTTCGTTGTATAGGGGATTTGCTTGATCATGTGGAGGAAGAGACGAATTTTTCCAGGGAAATAGAAAAACATCGTCAACAGAAGATCTCTCGTCAACCACTGATCAGCATCTTGATTACGCCGTACTATGATCCACCGCTAATGTAACTACTGGCGAATCTGCGGCGACCCCGTACCTGTGTCCTGTAGGGCAGACTCCGGACCTACGGCAATATCTCGAACTCTACGGTTTCGTCTTTGAGGATGGTATGGACAAGGACTCTGATGACCACGCTTGTGAATGAATTTGCATTACATTTTGTCATTCGGTATAATGCCTTGACTTCGAGTTCACTTGATGAAGAAGAAGATGGCTATTTTTTACTTACAATTTACCCCGTATTTCCACGAGAGCCACGAGAGCGAGATGACCTTTTTCATCTTCGGGACGAATATTGCTAGCATGAACGGGACAGTGTATCCGCAGTCGTTGGCTGACTATCGTTAAGGCTCCACAAAACCCAACCCCGCGCACAGCCTGCGAAAGTACTGCGCTGGTGGTGCCTCGTGGATTCTCGGGCTGTACTGAGGCAAGTACTGGGGCGGTACTTTTTCGGGATCTATTCACGGGATGGGTTAGGGGTGCCTCTAATATCGAGCCGAGTACATGGCGATGCGAGACGATGTGACGAAGCTGAGCTGTGACTGTGAGACCCCAGGCTTTACTCTAGACCCTCAGGCAGGCCTAGTGTGTCCTTTGACAGGCAATTTCACAAGCAATGCGACAGTAACATCCTCTTCAACCGCAGAGAGTGGAGCTGATGGAGGCGCAGGCACTTCTGTTAAGGCTTCTTTTGAAGATGAACGGTCAGTGTATGTCTGTGTAGACAGAAAGACGAGCGATTCTTTCATGAATTATCAATCTTTTTATTGTCGCTAGGGCTACGCCTATTAGGCCAAAATGTTACAGTAAGACTATTTGAAACATGAAGATGAACTTGTTCTGGTTATGCTCTAACAGCTACAGTACGACTGCTGGCTCGGATCAAGAGAGTACTAGTGGTAGTGGAGGAGCCTCCTCTTCCACGGATGAAGGAAGCGCCGCAGCAGGCTCTTCTGGTGGGGTCGTGTTTCCATCAACGCCGACAACGACAACAACAATTAAGGCTACCTCTGTAGTGCATCTTCACACGCATCCTTACATAGTATGCATACTATAGTTTGTTGGATGGTTCCTTTATTATCTCACAGGTTCCTGAGACTGCTCTCGAGGCCTTCATGCAGGAAGTGGCTGAATTGTTGGCACCCCAGTGAAAGCACTTCATACAGGATATGGATAGGCTCTACCCATCTCCCACTTTCTAACAAATCCAATTATGGTGTGGAGTGTCTACGATCTGGCAGCAGCACTGGCGCTCTATCCTCGGCAAGTGCAGGCCACCGCTCGGCTCCAGTGCAGTTGAGTGAGCAGTACGAGGGAGGGATATACACCGAATGGGAGACGTCGTTGCCCCAGCGGGTTAGCCCGGGTGACACCCAGGTTGCTCTCGACTCCACTCAGGTTGATACAGTTAAGACAAGACTAAGGGGAAGCTGTTGCACAAGTAAAAGCAGGTAGAGAGTCGAATACTCGTCAGAAACTAGCGGGGCCTTTTGAGATAGTTCAAAGTCAAACTATTTCCTTGAAGACATGCTAGAGTGGTGGAAAGAGTTACTCATCTTCTAGACGAAATCTAAGTAGATAAATAGACTTGCGGATAAAATTCTGATGATTAGTTGGATCTAATACACTGCAGACGATTTCGCTGCTATTCAAATTGCCCATGGTGAGGCAGGCAGGTTCCTTGTGGTCTGACATGGAAGACTTATGACTGGGTAAATGCTTATATATACATCCTGGAAGTGAGATTCTGCTCTTGAATGCGCATTGAGTCTTCATCTACACAAAGAATCCTCGTGAAGAATCTTTGATGCTGAGTCTTCATCGATCAGTAGAATATCTTGAGAGAAAATTCATCAAATAGGCTCCGGAAGTCAGAACTTGTTGCTTCTAATCATAGTACAAGACGCAGGAATTGTGACGGCGCCGCCTTTGCGACGTCTACCTGTCGAGGAGCCGAGGACATCTTCAGAGCAGACCACTAAAGCAACTTCACCTTCTTCAGCCTCTTCTTCACAAACTTCATCTTCTTCAGAAACTACATCAAGTCCTTCTAGCAGGACAACATCATCGTCAAAGAGGACCAAGAGTAGAAGAAGGAGACTGCCGATTCCTGGTGCCGTCACGAAGCAGTCAGCGGGGACGATCTTTGGGCCAAAGACAGTTTGGCCAGAAGATGAAGCCTCAGTCAGGAAGATGACACAGACGCTAAAGCTGTTTTTGCAGAATAGTGGTGAGCAAGTCGTGGAAGGAGATCGTCAAGTTTTGGACCGCGGAGATCGTCAGCTCTTGGAAGGAGATCGTGGTCAAGTTTTAGACGAGGGAGGTCGTCGAGAAGTCTTAGCAAATGGAGACCCTGAACAACTCGTAGAAAAAGATCGCGTTCATCTTTCAGGAGCTGGTGGTCTAGAACTAGATGTTGTCGCAGGTCAGCGCCAGACCCCTGCAACTGATCAGCGCAAATTAGCTCACACCTCGACCGAAATCGTTGGATTTGCCGGCGAACAGCTCAGAATCCCGGATTATATGTTGATATGGAGCGTCGAAGTGCAGTACTAATATAATTGTCCACTGGGAGAAAACTACATCAGGAGAAGTAATGTGTTTCTTGTGAGTTATAGAGTGAGAGACTGAAGATTCAAAGTCCTCATGTCATAGTATTCATATCATGCGCGGGGATGATCTCTACAGACAGTGAGTATATTCTATTCTTTCTCTACTACTAGAATTGCAATGAGTATATTCTATTCTTTCTCTAGTTAGTGCTCCTCCTCTCCTCAAGCTTAGATTGTATCCTGCAAGAGAAGTCAAGTCTGCTCTAATTTTTGGGAAAATTAACCTTAACGTGGAGTTGATCAAGGAGGCTATTGCTGATCCGCATTACGTGGAAGAAGGGAGCTACATGGCCTTCATTATCGCTGACGATGGCACGATAATTGTTATGGAGGCTACAATCATGTCTATACCGGTGATCATGATGTAGATGGTGCAACATTATCATTTCGGCACGTAAAAATACTAAGGTTCTTGTTGTGATCTTTCTTTTCTAGTAAGGCGAGTTGTCGGCGTCCTTGATTATCTACTTCTAGGCCTCGGTGGCCTAAGCGTATAAGCACGACTCAAGACGCCCATCATGTGGTTAAAAATACTTCTGCACAAAAGCACAGCAAGAGCTGATGCTGGAGAACTCAAAACTATGTTCTTGGAAGGGCTACTTAGATCGCTAGAGGTAAAAACTATCTGGTTGTTTTAATTAGTGCTTTGAGCGCCGCTGGACCTAAGCCGCAAACTTATAGAAAGGGAGAAGCCAGTCTAGATTTGCAGCACGCAGCAAAATCCTGCTACATCGCGATCCTGGCCTCCGCGGTCCATCGCTTCTACATCTAATGTCCTAGATTTGCGGTTGAAGAATAATGGCGGGAATTCGATTGTGCTGCAAAAGATATGGGAAGTTCCTGAATTTGGGGACGTCCTACCAGGCCACTTATTGGGAGGTGCCACCAACACGACGTCCAGCTCTATTAAGGCGTTATAGATACTGTAGCAGAAATATTACGTACTATAATTTTATTAAAGAAAAAATAGACCCAGGTGCGAGCAGTGACACGGTCACGTCCGCTAGACTCGGACCACCGCGCATCGCCACTTGATTGATTGATAGGTGCCGGGGGGCTTCGATGTCCAGGATTCACAACCTAACCTAACCTGACCCAGGTGATACCTCAGGTAGGTCTTAATAGACCTATTTCTATTTTTAGTCGATTACTAGTGGATCCAGGCGAAATTACAGGTCTAGGTGATAGAGATGAGAAGACAGTGCACACTGTGAAACCAGACAGTGGTGAACGTGGAGTAGAAGTTCTTGTTTTTTGGATGGTTAGAATACTACACGAAGGTCTTTTTTTTCATGATCCGTGAGAACGAAAGTGTGGTTCTGGGAGACGTGGTTTTGCGCAGGCTACGTGGCCATCGATTGCAGTCTCGCTTTTTCGTGGCTTTCTATGCTGCTTCTGGAGGATTGAGCCTCGCTGACGTCGTGGTAACAGCTGTTGGAGGCATCGTCATGGGGACTATACTTATGAATGAAATAGTCAATGCCTGAATCAGTTCAGTGCCTCTTGAAGCGATTCCAATTACAAGCCCATGTCCGATGATGCCCCTGCTAGTACATAGAAAAATTCTACTCAATGGCATAACCGGTTAGTTTTCCCTTTAATCTTAGGTCTATCCCTACATGCAATAGATAAATCTACTACGACATCAGTCAATCATTTACATCTGGGTTACAACTCAGCAATACATAGATAAATCTACTACTTGTATTAACTTGACCCTCCTTCTTCATACTTGCGTACCTCGTAGTGGTCGTAATTGCCGGATATTTGGCGCACAAAGAGCGCAAGAAGATCCAAGCAGCAAAGCAAAAAGACGCAGCAGTCATCGAAGCAGCCACGACGCTAAACGCTGTGAACGCAGCGACGCATGGGCAGACCAATATCTCAGACTCCCTAATGCAACGTGGGCAGAGGAAGAAAATAAAGCCTTCTACAAGTGGAGGCAGCATGGAGAATACAGGTATCAATACAGCCCAGGCAGTACTTTTTAACTGCATGATCTAATTCTAATATTCATGCTGATCTTTCTTGTTGACGAGCATATTAGATTCTTCTAGTTCTTGTTTTTGAACGACAAGCTGATCTTCATTCTCAAGATCTGAAACTAAAAGCAAAGTTCTTTTTAGCACTAAACTAAAACGAGGTGTACTCGTACTACTTCTCTTAGAAATTTCAGCAATAGATAGGAAGTCAATGTGCATCTCGATTCTCAAATCAGGAGACCTACAGGCGATTGGAGACGCGAGTCCTCGCGGTGGAAGTGGATAATTCAAAACATTTTTATGAACTAGAACTTGAGATGATCACTTCCTTCTACTTGTTGCAGAGAAGAGATGATGAGCGCAAAGGTGGCATTGGTCGTACTTCTAGCAGTAACCTTTTCCAAGAAGCAGAAGGTGGGAGTACTATCAATATCATGCTCAGCAGCATTGTGTAGTTGTTGTGTGGTGTGAAAGTCACCCATGAGGGTAGTACGTGAGCACGACGGCCATGGAGGTGGCAGTGTTCACGACGACAGCGAAGATGCTCCTGTTGTTACCTCTCATGTTGCGTCAGATGAAGACGCTGACTCGTCAGGAATTGAGACGGAGAGAGGTGATATTTAAGTGGGGAAGAAGAGCTGGCCTTAAGAGGCATGGAGCGACGGAGAAATATGATCTTGAATTCTACTAGTTGCAATACTAGTACTATGTCGTGAGTATCTTGTACTGACTAGTGCTACTCCAGACGTCGAAGAACGATTCCTAAGTAATAAAAGCTTGAAGCTTTGAGATCGAACTGTGTCGTCAAATTGGATTTGAGACATCTCAAATTTGAGCTTTTCTTCTTGTTCAGAGCCACTTTTCTCGAAAAATTTCAGTTTTATGGAAATTAATTCAAATTCATTTCCTGATGATCAGCTTTCATCTTCATTCTGGATGGACTTTCATAGAAAGTTAGTGCTAAGTCTTATGATACATCTTTGCCAAATCTGGTGTTCCTGTGGTACTAAGAGGTGTTTACATACTTGGCATACACAGGATATCGATATATAGTAGATCATCCTGATATTATCATAGGCATCATAAACATTCTAGAGAACAAGATGTTTTCATGAGTTTCTAGCATGTGGACTCTTTGTTTTGTGCCTAAAAAGCATGACATTATGGTAGTTACCTCCTACGTAACAGTAGATGCCAACAAGCAAAATGTTGGTTTGTAGTCGCGGGACAAGACGGCACACAACTACAGTCTTCTAACTTCTTAGAGCGAGCAGAAGGACGACAAGGGACAACGAACCACTGACCGGTCCATCTTATGTGGTCGGCGTCTTGTTGGACTAAGCAGCCTGAGCAGCAATGAATGAGTCATCTCATGTGGGCTCACTGAAAGAGCTACCTCGAGAGGGCAGTGTTGTAGACCATCCGCACGACGTCGTCACTCGTATGGTACGTCATTTGCAGATGCCGGAGCTGAAGACTCGTGCCCCATTGCTTATTCCAGAAAAAGCTTTTGCATAGCAAAACGAAAAGCAATAGACGGCGCATCCACGTCTATTTCCGAAGATATAGGCACGTGTTCTATATGGAAAAGCAGCACGACGAGGAAACGAAGCAGTACGAACAGCACTAAGTGAAGCAGGAGGTAAAAAAAGACACGAAGTGAAGCAGGAGGAGTGTAGCTGACGCTCAATCTTGACGCATTTCTCAACTTCATCAGATACAGACTCACACTACTTATCGAACTGTCATGAGTAAACTTCCCATACCTGGAGCTCATCATCTACATAGATGCTTCTCCAGCGGTCTTTTAAGACAAAAATAGGACCTGCAAAGCTGACGTCTTGACCGTTCCCCACTCCAACAACAACAGACATGGATAAAAGATCCTCTGAAATAGAGATTAGCAACTCCAGTCAGAGCCATCTGACACTGTTGACGTTGAGGGTCCCTGCTGATGGTTGCTCAGCAAGCTCAGTGTGACTGCAAACGGTGGTATAGATGAGAAGCTTGGCAAAAAGTGATACGAGAGAAGCAAACTTGAACGAGTCAGGCAATATCGCTTGACCATGCTTGAGAGCTCCCGGAAGTACGTGGTATTGGAAGTAGGAATAAGAGAAAACCGATGTGATCTCTGCAAAGGTGCAAAGGGCGCAAAGTCGTTACTTTTGACTAGAGTTCGGAAACGAAAAGGCGATAGCGAAATTGACATCATCAGAATATTATGAGCACAAAGACAAAAGTCTTGCTCTTGACACCTCTTCAGTAGACAATTACAACCTGCCTCTGTTGAGAAAGAGCACTGAGTACATCTATAGTTATCCCCAAAAAAAGAAGATGCCGTCTCCTTCGGTTGTGATTGTGTGCACGTCGGCCGACAAGTTTGGTAGCGACGGACATGCTACTGGTGTATGGTTGGACGAACTAGCGCACCCCTATTACATCTAAGGGCAGGCCTCAATTTTTAGCAAGCAGTACTTCCTATAATCTTTGTATTACATTTTTCCTCTATCATTGGTTTTAGATTTTTCCTACTTGGGAAGGCTGGCTCCAACAATAATATAATCTGCCTAATTACTCTCTGACTATGGTACAAATGATCTCCACTAGTGTGAGTATGTTGAACGATGTACTTTCTAAAAAGAGTCTATTTCATCATGGCTTTAAAAATTAAACACGACATCGCACTGAGACTGACTAGATGGGGGGTGCCTTCCTCACAAAAACCTACGCTCCAACGTAGGAGTTCTTTTGTTGACCTAATTTGTGCTTGCAGATCACAGAAAACTACGTCCTCCTCATTCCAACGCAAGTAGATATTAGCTTTCGTCTTCATCTAATGTAAGCTTGCAGCTGCAGGCATGGAGGTTACGGTAGCCAGCTTGCAGGGAGGAGAGATTCCAGTGGACGCGGGCTCTCGAGGAGCAGCCGTTCCGGACTTTTACACCGATGTCGCAAAGAAGTTTGACGCCGATGAAAAAGCAACGGAAAGGTTGAAAAATTCAAAGAAACTCACTGAGTTGGTACTACTAGTACTGTTTGTTGTTTTTTTAGAGTACATCTGAGTAGAAACTCAATGACTTCTTGGTATTAGTGCTTGTCTTAGACAGTGACAGCTGTAAGTAGGGCACTACTTCTTGTCTTAGAAGACATTTGCTATATCTAAGTAGCTCTCGTAGTTTTAGATTTAGTTGACATAAGTAGTTGCTTTAGATGATTTAAGTAGTTGTTTTAGACGTCCAAGTAGCTAGTTGTTCTTCTTCTGTTCGAGAATGACGTAAGTAGTTGTTGTTGTTCTGTTGAAGAAGGGGTCTTGGTACTGTTTGTTCTACATGGTGCTTGGGTTTTGAGTTGTAGAAACTGATACTGGTATGAGCTGAAGAGGCAGAAGAAAAAAAAGAGAACTGAGTAGAGTAAGCACCTGTGCCTGAACCTGCAGCGCCTCAGTCACAAGTACAGTATCATCGGGGTGCAGAATCAGTTCAGTTACACCATAGTATCATCGAGCTGTAGAGTCAGCTCAGTTACAACAGAGTATCATTGGGGTGCAGTAGCTCAGTTGCATCAGTGCCATCTTTTCAAGGATGAAGAAGCTGAGGATACTTAGAGCCTCAGTCACAAGTACAGTATCATCGGGGTGCAGAATCAGTTCAGTTACACCATAGTATCATCGAGCTGTAGAGTCAGCTCAGTTACAACAGAGTATCATCGGGGTGCAGTAGCTCAGTTGCATCAGTGCCATCTTTTCAAGGATGAAGAAGCTGAGGATACTTAATATCTTTTCGATCTCACACTCAAAGAATAGAGAGGTATCTAGATTCTAGAAGCAACTATGTAGCATCATCACCCAAAAGGGAGACGAAAACTCTAGAAAACTCGTGATTTCTCAACTTTTGAAGCTCATATCCAAGAAATTTCGAATATATCTCATCTTTTTCAAATTCATTTCCTGACGAACGCTTTGCATTTCAATTGAGTTTCACCTAATATCCAAGAAATTTCGAATATATCTCATCTTTTTCAAATTCAATTCCTGACAAGCTCTTTGCAAAGCAATTGGAAGCCCTTTCGCTTTGCTTTTGAATCACCTATGGAGTATCTTCGTTCCTGTTGGTGCTCATCTGTGGCCTAGTCCTATTATCGATATCTTCAGCCTACAGCATTCAATCCTTAACCGTTTCTGGCCATCTGGGTTCTGCATTTTGAGTACTAGAATGACCTGTCAGCTTGAGCTTCTACCTTCATCCGCAGCAGCACACAATTGGTAAGAGTAAAAATACAAAGAAGTTGTATGAAGAAAAATCCAGTACCTTCTATCGTCTTTTTTTTCTATAATTTACTACACCTGACTCCATGTACTACTTGATACTACTTCTAGCTCTACTACATTTCTTAATAATCCTTTGTGCCTCAATAAGGCTGATAATTCCCTTTGTATAATTTGTTTCCATTTTACTCCAGTCTCCAGACGCATTCGATGCTATCTACATTCCTGGTGGGCATGGCTGCTGCGCTGATATGTCGGATGATGCTGCTCTGAATTATGGCTCTTTTATGCTCAAGTGACCCGGCTCTTAAGTGAAAAAAGTGACCCTAAAGTGATCCTGATACATGGATTCCATCACTACTACACAAGTGCTGACCCTCATGGATTCAGAAGTGACCCTCATGGATTCATTCACTAGTAGTACTTAATAGTTTTTGGTCTGTTATTGTATGTTTCATTCCATATCCTTCCAGGTAGTTGTAGACAACTGTTTTGCATCGATCTCTGCTTTCTTTGGGGACTATAATTGATTTTTCCTGAAGCATATAAGAAGTGCAGTCAGAAAAACTCGTCAAGTACAAGTAGGAAAAATGATATACCTCACGGTAGATACATATGGGAGGACAGGGATAGGGATTCTGGATGAGCCGTTATTTTGAGTGGTACTCGTACAACTAGTACAAAGGGAAAATGAGCCACATTCTGCTAATGAACGACGTTCATCGAGAAGATGTATGCGGATGGCAAGCCGGTTGCGGCGTGTTGTCATGGGCCTGTCGCTCTACCACAGTGCTGCAAACCCGATGGTACTTTTTAATGAAGTTGTAGTTGTTGTTCCTGTGTGTGGACGACGTAGAAAAGTAGTCTTCTAGAAGTGGTAGTGGACTGTGATAAGATTGCAGTAGTGAGTCACCATCGAACAACATGTTCTTAGGCACTGCTCTGGTTTCGGGTCTCAAGATTGCCGTCTTTAAGGACGCTGAAGAGGCTGACGTAGGACACAAGGATCGAGTAACATTAAGGCTTGCAGTTATTGAGCATCATAATACTTATCATGATCACTATAGCCTCTTCTATTACAGACATACTTTTCTTATTCGAGGGAGTGAGATTATCAAGATTTTGGTCTTCTTCGGTCTGAATCCTTACCATGATCACCCCCCTCTTCCTCACCCTCCTCATCCCAATCATCCCCCTCATGCTCCTCCCTACATCTGTCTAATTTTTCCATGGCTACTGGAAGCGAAGTGCCGTGAGCTTGGAGCCGACTTGCAGCAGGTGGACAACTGGAATTCCAAGGCAGTGCGCGATGGTAACCTCTTCACAGGACAGAATCCACAATCGAGCGTCGCACTCGTAGAATTATTGCTGGATGCAATGAAGCAAACTGCGTAGAAGTGTGGAAGGTGTGTAGTTCTAGGTGTAGGTGTGAAACTGAACAAAGCAGGTGAGACATTTCTGTCTGATCAAGTCAGAGGCGAGACGGACTCATTTCAGGAAAGCAATGACGAAGCAGCCGGAGATGGAGATGGATCTGGCACTAGATCTTCATACCAAATCAAAATACTCTGTTGCTCTTACTGAGAATCAGCGTCAACACGAGATTGATACTTCCGGTCAGTAGAACAAAGATAAGTACTAAAAATACATGATCTGATAACATATTTATATCTTTAGGTTGCTTTAGTGTCGTAGATCTATCGTCACCTCAAGTTGCGCATGTTATATTTCTAATTTTTTAGCTTGAGCAATCTCAATCAAGTGAAGATGGCATGTGATCTCAAGCAAGTGAAGATGGCATGTGATGTAGTGGTGATATCGGACGTTCTGATGTGGCTTCCTGCTGGTGTCATGTTGTTAGCGATGTCTTACACCAGAAGGCAACTGATGATCATGTAGTTTAGACCCGTGAAAAGATCCAGATGTTTATCCTGTTGTGGGTCCTCTCGGTTCGCACGACCACAGGATGAAATATAGAGAGGAGCGCGAGACGAGGACGTCTGTTGTGTTTTTTTGATGTTGTCTCATGTATGACCAATCTTAGAGTTCATAGAGTCTGCAGTTCTTGGCTAATGATCAGGAAGATCTGTTGCGTTTTCTTGTCTAATGATGACCAGTTCCAGTTCCAGAGATGCTAGTAACTTTTTCCGTGTGTGCGAATCTGTATTCGGATCATCTTTATGGTTTTTGCTTTGATACAACTCTGTCCGCACATCTTTAGGCAAATACCTGTTGCCTTCATCTGTGAGTTTCCTTCTTTCTTTTGTTTCCTCTATCTTCTCTACGTACCGTTCTGACACTGGTGGTGGTGCTGACTCAGACACCGACGGTGAGTTCAGTTAATTTCTTTTTTTTTGCTCCTCTTCTTCTTGCGAATGAAAGAAAGATAGAATGAATAGGTAGAGCGGCTAGGCTAATGTTAGATACGGTCCGCAGTCTCTACTAGATCCGGATGAATGAGGAAAGTCGATTCTAGATGTGTACTGTTTGAACGTTGATTCCTATTTTTTCTGGATAGTACTAACTATGATGGGACGCGGCGCTCCGGTTCACGTTCTTTGCCTCTAGGTGTAGTCTTCACTCATTTCAAGCACTGTTTATCCCCCTTTGTATCCTATTTCAAGTTTGACTAGTGCGCCTTGTACTTCCATGGATTTCCTCTTCATTCGCAGGATTTCTTGGGTGTGATGGGTCTCCATCACTAGCCAATGCCTCTCTGCTCTTCACCTTAAAACGTAATTATTTTGAGACGCACCAATTTGATTGCGGATTCGTCAATTAATTCCTTGGTTTTTAGTAGTCAATTGTTGGTGATTCGTGTTATTTCATTTTGCTGATGATATCCAAATGAAGTAGGGCACGAACTACAGCAGCAGATCTTAACACTTTGTCCCTTCTGAAAGGCCAAGTACTTTGGAATATCGAAGAACAAGTTATACGTCGGATTTCCTTGTAATTACTTACGACCTCTAAGTTGTAGAAGAAGATCAAACAAATCTTCACATTACAACAACGAAGTCAAAAGAACAAACAATTATATTGGCGAACAGCTGGTAGAACAACTCGTCCTCGGAAAGATTGACAGATTAGAAGGACTCTTCTCGTCTTGTCGTAAGAAGTAAAATCATGTTGCCATTGTCGAGCAGTAGTTTGGGGAGCTATGCTAACCCGATGCTCCTGCAGGATGACCACCTCGATATGAGTAGCAAGAAAGGCCCGCCTCTGTACGCAAACAAAACCCAAAACTCTCAAATGTTGCTTAACGGAGGAGGAGGAGGAGGAAGCAGCATGAATTTATGTCATGTGTATCATTCTAGGCCGCTAAAAACTGAAGGCTGGAGAGGTTGTCACTTCTGAGCAGCATACTCATGAGCTACTTTTTTTTTACATCAACCACGACTACTAGTTGCGCAGTTCTTCTTTAGAAGCAAGTTCAAGGTAAGGGCAGGCTCCTATAATGGGGGCGGGTAACTATGCATATCAATAAGGCTCATCCTCAGCAAGAATTATAGGCAAGTTAGAGCTATCATGCTTAGTCGCGGTCGTCTTAGAAGACGACGAAAGCTGAGTTTGTCTTCTTCTTCTTCTGTCCTCTTATGTGGCCTTCTTCTTTTTCTTTTCTCTAATGTACCCAACTGCAAGCATGCAAAACAAGTACAAGAATACAGCAGCTTTTCGCAATTCAGTGGAAAACACAATGGATCTACAGTTACCGAAGCTCAAGCTTCCTACTATGACCAAAGTCGGTTTTTTTTCCGATCAAGGATGTCCTCCCACTTTGGTACTCTTCAATTGACTATATGCAAAATTATTGGATTACTAGTAGTGCTGCTTCTTCTATATGCAACCTGTAGTCACGGTATTCCTACTACCTCGTGCTAGGAGGTACTACTTAAATGAATGAATTAATATCCTAAAAAAAACAGCTGTCTTCTGCTCGTGGGCGGTCGCGGGAGAAGGTGCCCTCTGAGGTGAACCCTGGTGGGCCTAGTCGTCCTTGGTCTGCACGCCGTCAATACCACAGCGCTCGCGATCGGATGCACGATGCGTATGCTAGTGTGGATCTTTTTCAGGATGAACCAGTACAAGATTATCACAACAAGAAGGGCACCAGAATGGTGCATCCTCAGAAATACCATCCGCACGACTACCAGAATCATCAAGGCGAAACAGCTGCACAGGGCAAGGTCTTCTTCGGGCCGCATCTCCCAGAATACTTGGATCGCCAAAAAATGATGTCCACTGACAGCCAAATGAGGAGCAACAACAACTGGATTACGGCTCTTATTCAGTGTCGTGAGGCTTTCAAGAGAGAGCCGTGATTGAAAAATTCATTTTTTTTTTAGTTCCTCTAGTAAGGCTTTCTACTACAAAATCTTATCGTGATCCTCGGAACCATGATAGATCATTCTCGAGCGACGAGCTAACACCCACTGTTAATTATAATGCCCTTCGTTCCCTCTACTAGTGCTAGTCGTTTCCTAGACGATTCTGCTTGTCCCTCTAACGCGAATCGCAACAACTTCCACGCGATGAACAACCACGACGACATGATCGACAACATGATGATGAATGACCACGACAACATGATGATGAACAACCACGACAACATGATGATGAATGACCACGACAACATGATCATGAACAACCACGACGACATGATGAACAATAGAAGCATGATGTACAACAAGAATCTTTGTAATGGCAATCTTCGCAATGACTTTCCCGCTAATCACGAGCAGCGCAACAACATCTTCACGAATCTGGATGCTGAGCATATGGTGAACATGAGCCATGCCAATCAGCACAACATCAACACGGCTGTGCCGAATAAGAGCAACAACAACAGCCATCCTCTATGGGATGCAACGACGCCCGATGCGGTTGCCCGTCTTCGATTTGTGACACGTGGCTCGCGTATCGCGAATGACACTGTATCCATCTGCAACTTCACGAACGATCCTCGGGACTGGCGTCGTGTCTCTTCGGGCACGTGGGGCATGCACATGCACGATCAGGAGATGTGTAGGCCGAATAATGGCATGATCATGCCAATGGCATCGAGTAATGGCATGATGATGATGCACAACTACAGTAACAACAATATGATGATGCAGAGCGGTAACAACAGTATGATGATGCCATCTTCAAGTACGAATGGAATGATAATGATGATGCCGCAGCAGCACAATACGATGAATTATGGAGGTCGTGGAGCGGATCGTGGAGGCAGCTTCATGCCGAGCAATCACATGTTAAGGCTAGAGAAGAAGATGGTTCGAGGCAATTTTGCATCTTTCAATGCTGCAACAAGCTTCCTTGTAGCATCAATCATCTTCATTAGAGACGCTACAGCTGTTGACCTTCTATCTTCTTTATTATAGAGAGATCATCAATTGTAGAGTCTTACATCCTTGGATCTTCATTAGAGAGAGAGCTTGCTAAAAAAGCTGAGAATAGTTGCCAGCTGCTCTAAAAATGATGATGCGCATGCATGAAATGGGAACCGACTACGACATGGGAAACTACAACAAGCGAGGCAACGACGCCGAGCTGTGTATATCGAGGATGCAAGCTGTTCTTTCTGCTCTAGCTATCAGCACGATGCAGGCCTTTCAGCGTGGAAGCTATCCCTTAGAGGACGGGCGCATGGTTACTTGTCAACACTTGCAGTCCCCTGTGCCTTTGCACTATTCCTACGCGAACTCGATGTCCTCCTCGAGCCAAGGAAACGATCGGCTCTATGACAGCAACAGCAGAAATTATGGTGTGTAGGCGGATCATACAACAGTAGTAGAGTCATCTTCATCACTATCATAGAATCCCGTTTGTCTTTGTTTATTTCAAGGAAAGACGAGTATCTATTTGAACTAAAAGATCTTTTTTCTTGTCAGTTTTCTTTGGTAAGTATAAATATGTTCCTGATGAAGATGTTTGTTTTAAATATGACGACGAGTGGTCTTGTTTCACAAGATTCACTTATAGACGTTGAAGTTCTATTAAAGTCGTTACTCTGACTGAATCACTTGACTGACAGAAGTTACTGACTTGACTGAATCACTTGACCGACGTTCTAAAGTGCTACGAAGGGTTACTCATCTGGTACGAACAAGATGGGAAGTCGTACTATCCTAAATCGCAGTCAGAAGCTGCATTTTTCGGACGTCTCTCTCGATTTCAATGGTCCCTTCGACATGAGCAATGCGAAATTGTATCATGTCAAGCACGAGAAGCAACTTAAGGCTTTCATCACTAATGGTCCATCTTCACTGAGTCAGAGAAGTCTGCCATCCTAGGAAGGAGAGAGGCTTTTCTTCAAGGGGAAATGGGCCCTGCTGGGATGAATCTCATCAAGATGGATAAGCGCGAGCTCTAAGCAATGCATGTCGGAAGAAGAGGACTTCTTGAGCATGCACTTTGACTTTGCTCAACATGATCATAATGGTCGTTGCTCTACATTATGGAGGGAGATGAACTAAAGACTTATAAACCATTCACACTGCATCCTTGTGCAATAATCTACTACTCCTTCTACTAATCAACAACAACTAATCTCTTATAAGTAAGTCAATCTTGAGTCGTCCCAGTCCCTAGTACTGTTGAAGTAGTCCTCCTCCTCCTGACATCATTAGTTGTATGTCAGATACGACCTACTTACTTATGTAGTAATATGAAATGTACACTACCACTACTACTACCTTCTGACATCAGTATTATGTAAGATACAAATACAAGAAATCGAGTACTTAATATGATGTTCATATTCTGCTTGCTATCCGGGTGCCCATCACTTGTGGTCGCTTCCGGTGATGAGGAGGGTCTTGAAGAAAATGTGCCGACGTAGCGGGACCAGTGGCAACAAGATGGAGGAGGATCACGCTTTTCTTCAGTTAAGGCTCATTCCTAAGCACGGTGGAGGCTTGCTCTTTTTATTTAGGTAAGTTTGTTAAGGACTTTCCGCTCTTTTTTGGCCATCTTCACGGGTGGCCTTTCCCGGCCATCTGGAGCGCCGAATTTGGATGTTGAGCGAAAGGGCCGGATAATCCTCAGGAGAATTTTGCTCTTTTTCGGCCATCCGGAGAGCCAAGTTTTCGATGCCCGAAAAAGCCAGAAAATCCTTAGCACGGAAATTTCCGGTCTTTTTCGGGCATCCGGAAAGCCAAGTCGTGGATGCCCGAAAAAGCCAGAAAGTCTTTAGTTCCTAGAAATTCATCTCTTTTTGTTGTAGTTTCTTTCCTTCTACTTGGGCATGGTAAGAGACGTCGACTTCTATCATGAGCTGCTCCTCTTCTAATTCAGATGATGTTGAATAGCATGCCAGAGGGTGGCGAAATGCGGAAGTTTGTGGAGCACATGAGCATGTGGAAGAAGAGTGAAGATGTGCTCTCTTCCTCCCCGCGACCTACCTACAACGACGCGTACGGGACTTTTTATGATTACAAAGGAGCTTCAACTCCTGGAAATCCATCTTCTTCAACTTCTGGGAATCCAGCCTCTTTCAAGGAAAAGCTGGAGTTGCTGGGTTAACATTAAGCACTTTCCTTGAAGATGGATTTTCTGGATGAAGTAGGAGACGGATCTAATTCAACAACTCTACCTACAACAACTCTACTTCTTACAACATCAGCAACTCTGTCAACTTCAACAATCTTGATAGTATCGCGCAGGTCGTTGAGAGACAGGTGGACCACGTGGTACGGGAAAATCGAAGGGAGATTGAGGAATACGCGAGCAATTTGCTACAAGAGCATGTGGAAGATATCGTGCAGCAGCAAGCAGGCCTGCTTCTATCTCCACGCGGGATGTTGCTTAAGGCTACAAAAAATCTCCCATTTTCAGAAGCATCTCGGTCCCGTTTATAAAGGGCAACGAGGGCCCAAGATGCTGCTGAGGATGGATCTCTCGTAGGTCTAAGCTGAAGAAGGAACACGTTGATACTAGCATGGGCATGCGAACACCGAATCTTCCGGAAAAAAACACAACTATGGCAATTATGGCAATTCTATACATACTAGTTGTAAATCGCAAAAGTACAAGGAAAAGGAACAATGCTTTGCAAGAATACAACAACAAGGAAAAGGAATACTTCTATAGAAGGGTCTGCAGGGTCTGCACTAGAGTGGTAGGGGAGTATAGTATTCCTTGTGTTTTTCAATCATTACAATCACAATGGCAATGGCTACTTGTTCCTTGTCCTTGCTTCCTCAAACATGTTGAACAACTACAGCACTTCTGCTAGAGTGATGCACTCTTCCCCTGTTGCACCGCCGACGCAACCGAACAATCAGCGTGGACCGAATAGGAGGGGACGCCATAACTACAGCAACAACGATAATAATTAAGGCTTGGGAGTTGACATCTCTATGCGCGTCTCTATGGCTATCAATCTCAAGTAGGAAAGCCATGATAGAAATGCGAGCTAGAGATGCCAACTTTCAACCTCTAAAATAAGGTGGAGCAGGAGAGGAGGAGGAGGACACAGGAGAATTTAAGGGACGGCTCAATTCCTCCATCTCCGGCAGACCTTTTCCAAGACGTGCTTGCGCGCACAAATGCCAACCTAATGGCAGCTTCGAACCAACAACAACAACAACAACAACAACAACAACAAAATATCTTCTGTCCTGAGTGCGATGACGACTATATCAACCACGATAATCATGATAACAAGAGGCTGCACCACAGCAATTTGCTTATGGCCGCAACAACATTATAGATACTCACGCACTTCACCATCTTGGGGTTTCACAGTATTGTTTGAGTCTTTGATTCATTGTAGTTGGTTCCCTGTAGGTGGCACAGAGTTGATGTTGTAAGATACCGTATGAGACGACACAGAAGGTACAGTTGTAACAGTATTTGCAGTGAGGATTTAACTTGAATTTACTTTTCGCTTCACGACAATTCTAATATTGGAAGCTCCTCTTTTCGACGCACCTGGCAGCATGGTCCAGACGACTTTCATCGATTGTACCATTACCGCCAACGTGGCACTCGCATGGAGGTTCCTTCCTTTGATTTCGACGCCCTCCAGTCCGCACGCATGAATATGATGATGCAGCACGATGCCCTCCAGTCTGCCGCACGCATGAACATGCACAAGCATGCAGAGCATGAGCAGTATATTGATAACGCAGTCACAGACCAGCACAAAAACTACAGTTTTGTTGATATGAGAAGGAAATCATTACTCATGTGGATGTGATAAGATAGCTGTATTGATTTAGATGCTACTACATCTATTATACGGCATGATAGTAGATGAAGTAGTACTCTCGGGCTTTCGTCTAGGACCTAGCAGGCTGGAAGTTTCCAGTAGTAGTACCTCCTCACTCAAATTGTGGTTCTGACTCGTATGTTATACTGACTATAATTGTTCTGACCGCGGCAAGGTCTCTTAGTGTCTGAGTCAGTGATACTCTGAGCGAGGATATCACATGTGAGTAATGATTTTTTTTTCATATTTGACGCACACGCATCTTCAAGGTTCTACGACAACCCCTACGACAACTACGTTCAAGACCCGACGGAGCACATCAAGTTCAAGTACAACACCTACAAGTACAACTCGACGATGAACAGGGACTTCGGATCATGGATGGAAAAAAACATGATGAGAAACAACGTCAACTCAAGTTTGTTTTATGGTGCTCCGGATTTGATGGCTAGTCCGGCGTTACGGGCACTGTACGAGCGAAACTCCAACAAGAGAAGCGTCTTTATGAAGAAAACGAGACCATGAAGATCTGAAATCTGAAGATTTAAGCTTCTTCTTATACCTGCAAGCTTCTTATAGAATATAGATAGAAGCTCACGTCGCTGTTACCTCAAGTACAGTGCATCAGTGATACTAATACTTGTGTTACTCACATAATTGAAATTGAAGTGATAAGAACGAAAGATAGCCTACAAGCATTGGATTGACTCCTGCTCCGATAATAAGTGGCCCCAAAAGATAACTCTTTCCTGAGTACAACATCAAGATGTTTTTAAGTAACAAGCTTCTTCTTGTTCTTTCCCCGCATCTGTTCTTCACCCTTTCTTCATACTATTGAAGCTTGCTTGTAAGAGCGCCTGCGACGTCCTAATGGAGCAACATTACGCTCGGGAAGTAGATTCTGCCTATTTTTCCGGTCAATACCAGCATCTCGCTCGTTGTTCTGCCGGTTCGCGTGGATTCCATCGAAGTGAGCAACAACAAGATCATCGCGACCAAATCTTGTCCAATGTTCCTTAAGGCTCAAGCTTCAAGGTGGTCACTTCTGAAGAAAGAAGAAGGTGGTCACTCACATTAAAGGTTCCCTCATCTTCCTAGGTTAGTCCCTTCAAGCAACAAGCATGGAGGAGAGAACTCCGTGAGAGAGCCAACAGGGCAATAAACTAAGGGGAATAAGATCATGGGGGGCTGTTTAGTTTCGGGTCTCTCTCGTCGTTGTCCTCCTTCAGCATGGAATGATCAGTGACCAATCAATGACCAGCTCGACCTTTAAGTTCTTTTTCAAGTCCGTAAGGAGATCCTTCGTGACGAGGGGGAAGCCATGGATGTGCGCAAGCTCTGTGCTGGAAAACCGAAGCGCACGGTAATCGTTCGTATTCATGCCTTTGCAGACTTCTCCAAAATGCCTCCAGGAGAAAACACGAATCACTCTCAGCAGCAGGGACACAACTTTGACAACCACATGAGGATGAAAAACAGCACGAACATGAAAAGTGTCAATATTAGCAAGAACAACGATAACAGCTGCATGGGGATGAATAACAATCATGATTTTCACAGCTTGGAGCGCGAATTGTATCACAGCTGGGATATGGACTACCACAGGTACGAGACCGAAAATTTTCGGTCTGGACGTTTTTTCAATGCTACGACGTTGTTGCACAACGTTTTTGGCGAGCAAGCTTTGCTACATGTCTATCGTCGCGAAGTGGAGGCCATGTCTATGCGCATCAAGAAGATGCACCATACTATGGTGATGATGAACAGCAACAACATGAATATGGAGGTCCTGTATAACAAGGGGGATCGAGGATTAGCACATGCTCAACATTCTGCTCCGCAACACATGGGTCATGGTCAACAACAAAAAATGGGTCATGACTCCTTCAACATGATGAACAACAGCATGATGATGAACAACAGCATGATGATGAACAACAGCATGATGACGAACAACAGCATGATGATGAACAACAAGATGCGAGAGATGGCTCAACAGATTTCCGAAAAATTAGATCTAGTCATGTCCATGTCTGCGACGGAAGACGAAAAAATGAACAAATTCTACAGCGACAGTGGCAATAACTACAATCTATGGGGGGCCTGGCACTGATTGAGGACGAAGGCAAGAAGGGAAAGTTGTCCCAAAGGAGGAACCACATCAGGGAACCACGACATTCCCTTCTAAGTAAGCACTCTCAATCAGTGACAGTGGGGTGATTCATACAACGATTTTCACTGCCTACGGGAGTACCTGCAGACCCAGAATTTTCGAATGTGGGATAACTTCAATGCCTACTTCGAACACATTTCTTCTCCCAGTTACAATAAGGGCAATGTTACTAGTGTTGAACCGAACCACGCTTATTGGAATCCGTTGAGTTCGCAGCATGGTCGCCACGACAGTGGACGTGCAAAACTTTTCTCGGCTCGCACAGACAGCTTGGCACTGCGCACGTCGTTCATGCTGGCAAAGCTTATGAACTCTCAGGATGGATTACTCATCTTCTGAGCAGCGTAGAGGCAGTAACCTTATTCTCCCTCCACTCAATATATGAACCACCCTAGCTCTAGCACAGTAGATTCACTCTCGTACTTCTCGGCTCTTCTCGCACGCTTGCCAGTCACTATACTCACAGCAGCGTAGTCGCCTTATTCTCCCTTCATCGTAGTGACCTTATTTTCCCTTCATCATCTTTACAGCAGCTTCAGCTTCTGATGTGGCCCATTGGTTGTAGAAGTTTCCTTCTTGCATATCAATTCTGTTGAGCACAATCAATTCCACTATCAAGAAGGTAGTCCTCATCTTCGAAGCAATACCATTATCAAGAAGGTAGTCCTCACTCTTCGAAGCAATATCATCAAGAAGGTACTAGTCGAAGATGGAAAGATACTGTAAAATATCATCAAGAAGGAGGTGCTTAGGCGAAAACGGGAAGGTATGGTAATATCATCAAGAAGGTACTGGTCGAAGATGGGAAGATAGTGTAAAATATCATCAAGAAGGTACTGGTCGAAGATGGAAAGATATTGTAAAATAGCATCAAGAAGAAGAAGGTACTTACACTTAGTCGAAGGTTGGAAGATATTGTAACCTCCTGCTCTAAAAAGCAGCGTGCCGACTTTCGCGGCTTGACCGATCGCCTGGCTGAAAACCCGCTGGACCTGATCTGCATGCGCGATGTAGCACTGATTCGTGGTCCTCTCGCATTCGGAGCCCCCTTTCTGCCAGCTGCAATCCCGTTCGATTTGGTCAATTGCCACGTCATGCGACGACCACAGGTACTTCTTCACAGTATAATTTAGAGACTGGCTTATTTTAACCACAAAACGACCCCAGGTATGTCAGTACTATAATATAGACTCCTACTTATTTGATGCCTCATCTTTGATATTGATACATACAGACTGCGGCATTCAAGTCTGAGACTGGGTTGAAATGGGTGTTTGATGATCATATCGTGGGGTAAGAAAGGATATTGTTGTATTAAGTGAACCAATTTGAGAAGATTTTCTGGTGCTTTTGGGTAGCTGCAACGATGGCCAATAGCATCAGGAGTAGGTGTTAGTGTCGTGCTGCACGATAGTCTAGTGGGGTTTAAGTCACGATATCACAATAGTCTCGTGTGGGTTAAGGCAATGTCACCATAGTCTAGTGCGGGTTAAGGCAATATCAGGATAGAGTAGTGTGGTGTCATCAAGTCGAAGTACCATAAGACTATTCTGTCGTGTAACCAATCGCCATAAGGGTGTAGTGCTGCTACAGCAGTGAGATTGCGATAGTACGTTAGATCGCACAAACAACTACGAACAAGCTTCAGGAGAAATCCCTCTTTGATGATATCGATGAAACTTGATGTAGATTCTTGGGCTTAGAATGCAACTTTTTCTACAAATTTCGATAGTTTAAAGCTTTACGATTGATTTGATAGTAGTTTAGACATGAAAGTTGGACTTTCTGAAGTTCCATGAAGCTTGAATCTCAAAATTTTCAGTTTTGTTCACTTTTTTCTAGAAAAACTTGAGAATTTGAAGCTTTGTGACTGTTTTGATAGTAGTTTAGACCGAAAAAGTGGACTTTCTGAAGCTTCAATCTCTAAATTTTCAGTTATATCTACTTTTTTTCAATTTCATTTCCTGACGAAGAGAAAACTTCACAAGTAGGAATCCAAATTTGAGCTACGAATCCCTAAATTTTCAGTTATATGTACTTTTTGTCAAATTCATTTCCTGAGGAACAGGAAATCTCAGCAAGAATCAAGTAACAAGCTCAGACACATCGACTCCATCTCCACACCAAGAGCTCTATCCTAGTACAAGGGTTTCACGCCCAATAGTCCCTGAAACGTACTGGTATTCTCATCTGCCCAATAACAAGATTGTAGTCGTTCTAGTGCATGTAGTCGTTCTAGTGCATGTAGTCGTTCTAGTGCATGTAGTCGTTCAAAAAGTACAAGACTGACCCCGCCTCCACGATGGAGATACCTACATCAACCTGCTTGATGTAAGCCGAGCAACTGAACACTCCCAACGATTGCTCACCCCGCACCAATGGCTCACCCCACAATTATGATGGCTCACCCCACAACTACAGGTGTGCGAAGATGAGTCGAATGGTACGACTCGTTTTAACTCCAAGCGTGACCGTGAGCATTTTCGTCGCCTATTTGAGCACATCTTCGACGTCTGCTGCAATGAACATCAGTTAAGGAAGATAGCGTCCATAGAAGGGAGTTGTACTGCTTAAGCATAATACAGTTTAATTGTATACCCTTGATATCATCCTGATCATTCGTATATAATAGTGCACGGCCCCCCCCCCTGTGGATGGCCCTGCGGTGGCGCCTGCGCGCACTTTTCCGCGCTGCTTTTCGCGGATTTTTGGGGTGGAAGGCGTCAAAACGGGGAGCGGGCGGCCCCTTGCGTCTCTCTGCAGGTCTCCGGCCCCTCCCGACTCCCGCAGGCCGGAGGCCTCCGGGGGAGAAGGCGGCCACGGTCTCGAGGCCTGGCTCCTTTTGCTGGCAAGAGCCAGCGGGCCGATGACCACGGGCCCGGAGGGTACAGGCCACACGGCTCAGAGGGTCTAGCCTTGCGCCTTTTGCCGCATTCGGAGGCATTCCGCACCCGGCACCCTGCTGCTGCCGCGAGGGGCCAGCACATAGGACGCCTCCAAAAGCGGCCCGGGGATCCACGCCCCCCCCGCGCCGGGAATTCGATTTTCTTCGTCGATCATTCGATTTTCTTCTGTCGTGATAATTGATGGGAATTCGATTTTCTTCGTCGTTCACAATGTCCCAAGGGTCGAGTTGGTTTCCTTTACTTTCCTCGTCGCGCTCGTGGTCTACTTCTTCGCTAAAATTACTTAACCGTAATAAGGATCTTTTTCATCTCTTGTAAGATAAGACTTTTGACTCTCTAAGGTTAACAAGATTGTATGCTGTTTAAGGACAGCGGAAGGAATAGTTGTAAAAAACCAACAGACAGGTGCTGTTCTTGGATGATGAAATATGTTTCTATTCTTAGGTGAAGCTTAATATGGTACAGTTGAAGCTTTCTTGAAATATTTACTTACATATACTTTTATCTCGATCTTCTGTTCAACAACTTCTAAAAAACGCTGAACGCATTATTGTGGAGCGCGCTCCGGGATGCGGCATGTGGCCTATGGATGACGTGATCGAGATGCTGGGCGAATTCAACCTAGACCGTTCGATTGAACTCACGATGATTAAGGTAACAACTTATATATATTATAGATTGCTACTCTTTGTATCATCTAGAGTTCCTTCTGGGAGCTCTTTGCTCTGGGAGTAGAGGTGAGGGATTTTTTCTAAAGACCCTAAAGACCTATCTGTAGTTTCTTGCATATCTATGACTTTTTCAATAGGTGGAAAAGTCACATCGATATGCGAGCTCTCTAGTACTAGCACTTCAATCTATGACTTTTTCAAGGCCTCATCTTCACATGAGAAGAAGGGAAAAAGCCATAGAAGATGTGTGAGCTAGATAAGTCAATTATGATGTGACCCCCCTAAGATGGCATCGGAATGCTGGAATGAATTCGAGGGTCAAAGAATCACCCACTGGGTCGAACAGGCAAGACGATGATAGACGGCTAGTGTGGGTTCTGAGGAAAGAAGTTTGGACATATTGGCTTCGGACACCGTTTCGGCTATCGTTTTGAAGGATGGCCATGCATCAAGTTTCATTGGCGTTTCTCTCACCTAGTCTAGGATTCTTATTTTTTTGAACTAGAAGTGGTAAGAACTGTAACAAGTAATACACGTACAGAGACAAGACCACGAGCACGAGCACGAGAAGGTCCAATAAGTATATCAGAAGCACGGAGGTAGTCATAGTCTCGAAGCTGCTTTGCCTTGGGATGTGCGTAAAATAGCTGGTTTGGTGAGACCCTTTGTTCTTACCGAAGTAACCGCTATGGCACTGGACCAGCATAGCGATAGTTTTTATGGACATGATATTGAGTCAGTGACAGACTCATTTTCAAGACTTGCTACGTAGACATTCTACTTGACAGATGGCAGCAAGATAAATTTCCTGCATAAATTCATTTCCAGCAGGAGATATAGAAGTAGATGTGAGACCATGTTGACCAAGTAATGACGACTTTTCAGATGCGCCGTCGGATTTGAAGTTCATTTTCCTTTTCGTTTCATTTGTAACAATCTTGAAAATGCACGTTTTTCATCTTGTGTGAAGCAGTTAGATGATGAACAGAAGATGTAGATGTCCCTATCTTCGCAGCGGCCGCGTCGCATTATAGTGGACCTGCAATAATTTGATCAAAGTAACTAGAGGATTTGGATTCATAAGACTAAAACACTTAATGCACCGCCACTTGCACAGGGTTGACGTTGAACAAGTGATGCACAGAGAGAGTCTTACGTGATCGATTTCAATAGATCGAAACAGGAAATCGCAATCGTGTGGTAAACATAAGCTGCAGTATAATCCAGCCCGTCTTCTATATAGCATAAGTTTTATTTTCATAGTTGTAATAGAGAAGTAGAAGTACCCATGGTTCGGAGATCATTATTAGTCTCAACATAGTTGTAATAAAGAAGTAAACTCGTTTTTTGTCTAGGGTCTACCTGATTATTTTCATAGTTGTATCGCGAGAAAAAGCGTTATCATTATCGTTTTTTTGAATTTTTCAGAAAAGCATAACATGGAGCACTGCGATCCTGGGGCTTTCCACCTTGCGATGGGCAAGCCGGCCCTCCCTCCACGAGGTGCCGCAGCAGACGCTGCGCTCCTCCTCCCATTGGCGCGGCCCTTCACTCATGGCGGGGCATCATGGTACCGCTAAGCTCAAAGGCCGCGGCCTCCGCTTACGCACGCCCATGGGGCAGTGGCGTGGCCTGGCCCTGCAAACTTATCCGCAAAAGTAGCACACCGCGGGAACCAAGCGCGGCGCACTCGGAAGGCAGCCCCGCTGGCAATCGTTGGGGCGATTCCTGGGGGCAAGCAATATGAAACGCCAAGCCGATCGAATGGAAGCCGCGACGCCACTTCGCTCAAGCTCCAAGGAGGCGAGGAGACGACCGAGAGCCGCAGACGCGCGAGCGGCTGAAGGGGTTAGTTGGAGGGGGTGTTTGAGGGGGGTCCTTGTTTTCAGGGACCCCATTTGATAAGACTTCTGGCGCCCGACAGATAGGCGATAAGGCTTCTGGCGCCCGACAGTCTTCGCCGAAGCCCAGAAAAACACTCTAAATTTTCGGAACCTCGAGGGGCAAGCGGGTGACAGACAGGTGGGCGCCTTTTCTGCTTGCTCGTTATCGCGTTTTTGGCGAGTGTTTGGAGGGGTCGGTGGAGGGGGGCGGCGGACCACCTCCGGCCCGGCTAGAGGACCAGAGCGGCCACAGCAGGAAGGAGGCGCCGAGCCGCTAGAGGTCGGAGGAGGTGGGGCGCCAGAGGTGGCGGAGCGGCCGCAAGCAGCAGGGCTGCAGGCCATCCCCTGACACTCGGGCCCCAGATTCGCGAGGGGACGAGGAAACAAGCTACACGCACGCGCGTCTGCCATTGCTGGAAGCGCCTCCCGGAGAGCGCAGCACCACCCAGCAGCCAGAGCAGGACAGCAGCGCGCGCGGCGCCGCTGTTTTGTTGTCTGAGTCATGGGAAGCGCAGCCCACCCACAGACGCGCCAAGAGGAAGCGGCGAACGCTGGCGCCCCTCCATTCTTATGCCCACGCGCACAGCGTCCCACCAATGCCTGGGATTTGTTATCCCAATCCGAAAAAATCAAAAAAACGATAATGATAACACTTTTTCCTGCGATAAGTTGTAATTGTGTCTTAGTAAAGAGAATCTTCGCGGTCGTGTAAGTAGATTAGCGCAACACGCGAGCAACATCGGGGAAATAGGAATTACAGTCATTTTATTGGCATTTTTGAGTCCATTGAAATATTGTAATAAGCAACATGACAGTTTTAGTTTTTACATACATACTAGCTAACTAGTCTTAGTCACACAAACGCACATAATTACATGCACATTGCCATAAATTGGGAGAAACAACAACTACATATGGAAGAACCACATCCATAAGAAATAAGAAATTCAGATTTTTTTCGATTCATCTTCTAGTTATAAGAATCAAGAATCATGATTCTTGGAGGATCGCAATGAATTGATAAGGAAATGAGAGAAAAAAACCACACGACATGATCATCTCATTCGACGCTTTCTATTAGCAAATGGGAAAATAGCAGTCGGGAAGATAAAGCCTTCAAGGCCAAACGTTGTTTTTAGGTTCTTTTGCACCTGGCCGCAAGGTTTGAGTCTGCACTTGTTACTGTCAACGAACTACTATCAGTATCTTCTATGATAAGAATGTGGTGGTCGTCGCGTGATGTCAGCCAGCAGTTGGTGTCAGAAAAAGGAAGATCCCAAAGAAGATCTCAAATGATTCCTCGATCATTCACTGATCCTCCACTCGAAAATCAAAGAATTGCCAATGAAGAAGATCTTTGCAAAGACTGACATAGGTACCCCCTTGATCTTTCAACAGTTAGTGCGTACATCAACAGGTCGTGTGTATGTGGAACAGATATAGAAGCAAAAGACCGGGCTTAAGGACGGCAAACGTTTACAACTGGTAGAAGATAGTCAAACGAATATATTATCATAGAGACTTCTTACAACAAAACAACAACATGGAGGCTCCTGCAGTCGTGGAGGCTCATCATGCTCCGGAGTTTTTTCCAAGTACTTCTTGGTTAGGTCAGCACGGTCTGGTTAGTGGAGGTGACCAAGGACCGCTGTTCTTAATGCAGCAACAGCAGCAATGCAGCTTCGTTTACGATGCAAGTTCTGTTGCTGGAGGTGGAATAGTTGTGGCCTCTGGAGACACCGGAGCAGGAGTCTTTGATAGTCCTGTTCTTCCTGTTGGATTTGATGTTCTTGCAGGAAATGGCGCTCACGTTCTTGATGTAACATCTTCAGGGCATTATAGCCTACACCCTCCAGCAGGAGGAGAGCAGCATCAACAAGACCAGCACGACGAAGATGCTGCTTCACATCCTTTCCCGGTTACCCGAGAGAGGACAGCGTCTTCTAGTAATTTCTGGAAGAATAACTTCTCGTCCATCAGACCCAAGAAGAATCCTAAGGGCGAACATCTCTTAGAATCCGCTTGGAGTTTCTGGTTTAGCAAGAGGCCGAACAAGCCACATATTCGGCCAGTGCTTCCGACAACTACTGAAGTAGAAGATCATCATGTTCACGATCACACTGCGGAAGAAGATGTCGTTCACAATCACACTGCCACTGGGGGAGTAGAAAGTGATAATTTTGCTACGACACAACTAGAAGAAGCTAAAAATGGGAAGCCAAAAGACGGAGAGCCAGAAGATGAAGCTGCAAAAGTGTTGTCAGACAACGATGGATCTGGATCTTCTTCAATCATCCCTGAGGCAAGGCCCAGTCCCTCTTCAGATCATAAAGGCAATGATGAGGAGCAGTTGCAGCCGAAGGCTAGTACGTCGAGCCAGCAAGATGAAGTAGAATGCTCTTGTTCCACTGCTTCGAGTTCTACGGCACTAGCATCATCGAATGGCAATTATGGAGAAGCTTCTCGCTGTAGCGAAAGCAAAACAACGAGTGGAACATCAACATCAAGTCCAATGATCCTTGGGACGCCAACGACAACGGCGAGCTCACCAGGAGAGAAAGCAGCGGAAGACGACTCAAGAATTGACCCTTCTGATCATGTCGTGGTGAAAACATCAATAATTGACCCTTCTAGCCCAAGAGGTGGCGAGGAGCTTGTTCAAGGAAACCATGTCGAGATCAGCGTAGGACAGCAAGAAAAGGAGGTTGTTGCAAACAAGAGCAGTACTTCTAGCCCTAGTAGTAGTGGAAGTCGTATTAAAACAACAACTAGGGAGACGGACCACAGTGAGGAGGAGACTAAAGACGCGATAGCAAAACCAGGTATGGCAGCCTTTGTGAATGCTCCGGTGTTTGAGCCTCCATCTGGAGGTTCCTTTAGCCAAGATCACGAGGACCACCGTAAAGACAGTCTCTACCGTAAAGACAGTCTCTACCGTGAGAGTAGAGCATCCTCTAGTTGTCAACAACAGCAGGTGGCTTTTGATGCTCAACATGATCAGCAGTGGAGCTCAGTCGTAGAGCAATATGTTGAACAGCAACAATTGGAGCAGTTGGACTTTCAACAGCAAGGAATTCCTAGCATGTTGTATAACACAACAGCTTCAACGACAGCAGCGGTAGGACCTCCAGGAGCAGCAGCGGGATTAGAAGGACAAGAAGCGTCCACCAACACCACGTCATGGAGCAATTACATGTTGAATAGCAAGACTCCTTCGCAGCTGCGGGAGCAGAATTATCACAAACAGACAGTGGAATTGGGAACTTTCGACACGGTGGAGGAGTTTTTTCGCTACTACTGCTACCTCCGCTCGCCAACCGACATTGCACGAGACCGCAACCTAGCCTGCTTCCGGAAGGGGACGTCTCCAGCTTGGGAGAATTTCCCTCAGGGAGGATGCTGGCTTGTACGCATCATGCGAAGCGGAGGACAAGTGCAGGTATTATCGGCATTAGAGCACTTTCTTCATTATATTAAATACTAATCATCATGGATCTTCACGAGCACTTTCTTCATGTTCATATATACCTAAGATTTCGTTTTGTTTTCATTTCCTCTTTACTTGGTACTACCTTATACATTCATAGTTTATAATTATGATGAATCTTCTAGTGCGAAATCTATTTAATTGTTCATTGCAATTCAGGACCGCACCATCGTCAATTTGTTCACACCCAATGAACTACTCCCCATCTCATTCTCCACCTGAATGACATCATTCAATGATCCACTTTTACAACAACACAGAAACTAAACCGTATGTGGGAAGCCTTGTTAGTGGCTCTGATCGGTGAGCGGTTTGAGACCCCTGACGTGGTAGGCGTGGTGCTCTCGATTCGAAAGTGCGACGTGTTACAGGTGTGGTGCCGAGACAGCAACAGCAAGCTGCAAGTGGGAGAAAGGCTCAAGGAAGTGTTGGACCTCGACGAGCACGCTCTGATCGAATACAAGGAGCACGCGGAGAGCATGCTAGACAAAAGCACCTTCACGAACGCGAAAAACTACATGTTCGTGTCAGAGCCTTAGGGTAACAATGAAAATCAACAACATTCGATTATATATTTTGGCAATTTTCCTTCTCTTCACTGTGTCCTGTAGGCATCCTGTTTGGTCGCAGGTTTTCAAACCAGTTCCTTCCTCTCAAGAAAAAGTTACGTGTGCCCATAGTTGGGATCACAGGTGGGATGTCCCTTTAGGCTTAGGGTGTGTAGTCAACGCCCTATCAACACGGAAGGTATGATTATGGGCATCGTTATCCCTCCATTTCATGTCGTTGCTTCGATTTGATGTCCTCGTCGCTCTGATTAGCAGTTGAAGAAGCTGGGTTAAACTTACCTCCATGTATCTTTTCCTTGTAGTGATACATGTCAACATCCTCACGGACACATCGTCCACCCTTTCATCCTCGTGTAAGAGTATGTCGCACCCTGCCCCACTCGCACTCTCATCAAAGCATGTTTTTATCATAATGTTTTTCTACTCAACAACTTTTATAAACTTTAAGATGAATTTAGAGAACGAATATGGTGGTCCTCGTTTTCGTCGTCGTCGTCGTCGTAGACACGTAGAAGCAGATGGTGACAGAAATACTTGTATTTTCGAAAATCACAAGGATTGGATGCTGCAGCACGTCGACGTGAAAGAAGGTCGTATGTCTGTCGTGCGCGTGTTCGCTTCGTTCTTTGCATTGGCTTTATATTTGCGACAATTTAGGTCAATTCTACCCCGCGATTGGGTACGCTACTACTACTACGATATGGTCTCTTTGGAAAGATGTAGTTGTTCTTGTTCATGGAAATGGAATCATCTTCTTGATATATGTTGGAGGTACGTAGTTCTTAAACAAGTGCCGGTGGAAGATTCTGTGCTCATATTACTATTTTCCCAGGATGAAGAAGAACTTGAGAGAAATGCTCCTGATAATCTTTCCCCCAGACATGCTATAGAGCAGGAAATTCATCAGAGAGAAAATGATGTCGATGCCCTCGTCTATGCCATATTATGACAGCGCCGAAGTGGGAGACATTTTAGGTGGATCGTGGTCCTGGAAGAGGCTATCATCCTGGCAGCCGACGTTCTGGCTGAATTGCAGTGATCATGTGGCGAACAAGAAGAGCAGCTATTTTAAGGCATTGGTTCATCTTTTGGCATCATCATTCAGTGCGTTGTTGAAGAACTACGCATTCTGGTGATTAACTAGTGGTGATCACTTTCATTTCAAGCACTTAAGTAAAGGTCACGGGGATGCTTTGGTTGTAGGGCAAGTAGTCATTGGGTCAAGCCAGTAGGATGATGAGACGCAAATACCACTAACTTTGCGGGCGGCACGAAGAGTCGTACTAGTTTCTTTTCGTCGCACGATCAAGGCCACTGGGATCATGTCGACCTCAGAGGCTGGTGGGCATCAAAGCCAAGTAATTTTTTTCAGCATGATGAGCATGTCTATTCGTGGCAGAGACAGAAGAAGAGACGCCTTACCTTTGATGGTCAAGTCATGCATGGGAAAGGAGACGAACACGCCGCTGGTGCATGTGCATCATCTTTCGTAGAAGATCATGAAGGACAAGTAGTTCAAGAAAAGGCTCTCGGGTCAGATGGAGATTCTTATCCTGTTACTGACTTGGAGAAGTATGGACCTGGTTTTTTTGGCAAGTCTGGAAGTAGTGGACAACACAAGATTATGGTCAGCCTTTGTTCATGTTCATCATCTTATTTCCCAGCATCTCTTCGATGCTACACCTTTGCTCGTCCTGTAGAAGAAAACACCCAAGGAGGAGATAAGGCTTCCTCACTTTCTGAGCCTATTCCTTGGTCGTACTTTTTTCCCACGAGCACGAAATAGAAGGGAAACAAATAGACTCCAGACGTAAATCGATTGGTTGTAGGATAGAGATCGAAATGAATCCAACAGGTACACTTCTAATAAGGGATCCCAAGATCTTCGTTTCGAGAATGGATACGTAGAACATAGAGTCCATGCCTACGATCCTCGAGCCTCTGCGCTAGACGAACTACGAAGAAAGGCGGCCGAAATGAAAAAAGCAGCTGTTGCCGGATCCTCGACAAGCAGTGCGGCATCTGGAACAAATTAAGGCAGTTCAACAAGAAGATCGCTTCGTGGCTACAACTTTCCATTTCGTTATTTATCCAGTGATGTAGATAAAAAGCCAGGCTATTTCTAGTTCTGATGATCATTTCCGAGGTGAAAGAAGATCAAGCGGCTTCATCATTATCATGATCATTATCATTATCATCATCATTATCATTATCATATTTGGTATACCTGACCTTTTTAATTTTTGTTTGCTAGTTAGGAGTGCTCCACCGATATCATTATCTGCAGAATTTTAGAGCGTAACGCGATAGGAATAAACATCCGTCACCGTTTTAGTTGTGTTTATTCCTATCCTGACACCGAGCGTCCCCGACGATAGAGAGAAACGCGACGGGAGGAATCAACGACGCCCCGAATTGTGAAAATCGTGCGCAGTTTTGCCTGTTCTGTGTGTTTATTCCTATCCCGAGAAAAGTTTCCTAGATCGTGTTTTCGTCTATCGTTCTGCAGTCGGTTTAGAGCGAAACTTGTGAAATGGTTCGAAATCGCAAAAGATGCGAAGGTCGTTGGCACAATTTACGTCGTAGACGGTCGGTTGAGGGTGTTCTGTCGTGCGAGTTGCGCCCATGGCGTGGTCTGTGTGTTGAGGGTATTTGTGGCCTTTTAGTCTGCTGAGAGGATAACTTTTTGAGAGAGTTAAGAGGATAGCCCGCTGAGGGTATTGCCGTAGTGTTTCAGCTGTGTTCGGAGGTCGTTGGCACAATTTGCGTCATAGGTACTCTGCTCGAAATGAAATCTGTCGAGAGTATTGGGCGGTGAGTCTGTTGAGGGTATTGCGCTGACTCTGCTCGGAATGAAATCCGTCGAGAGTATTGGACGGCGACTCTGGTGAGGGTATTGCGCAGCATGTGAAAGAAGTGCACACGACGCCGATGGGAGAGAAGTCCACACGACCCAGCGCCAATCTGTTGGGGCTGTTTTATTGCGATCTGTTAGAGGTTCGCCGCGCTTGTCAAAGAGAAGAGACCGGGAGCTGTCTAGTCGAGTGCGGAGCCATGCTGCAGCTGCTGCATTGAGGGACGAACCTGCGCGGCTCTATTCTGTTTGAGATTTTTGCTGGTTATCGGTTGAGGCTTTAAGCCAGCCTCGCAAATTTTGAGAGTTTCGAATTAGGTAGGCGCCCAGAGGGGTCCACCGTGCGCCCATCTGTTTGAGCTACTTAGTGGACAGCTGTGGGGGGTTGAGCTGAGCAAAAGTCTGGGCTTTAAAGTTGTTTGCGTTTCGTTAAGTAATTGAGCGACTAAGACGCGCCGAACGTGACTCGCAGCGCACTGACGTGGCGACATACTTACTTAGTCCATCGCTTCTCTTTCCTTCGTTAAGTAATTGAGCGACTAAGACGCGCCGGACGTGTCTCGCAGCGCACTGGCGTGGCGACGTACTTAGTCCATCGCTTCTCTTTCAAGTCCATCCATGGCGTTGCTGCCCCCCTCCCTCCCCCCCTGTTGCGCAAGCGCGTCGAAGCATATGATTGTATGACTCGCCCGCGAGTACTAACAATGCTCATGAGGTACGCGCCGCAGTCAAATAAAAGCACACACTTTCGCAGCTGTGAAAATCTGCAACATGCAACGCATTGCCATCTTGTTCGCCGCCACTGCTCCACACTGCGTTCGCTAGTTCTGTCGTTTCTCATTGATTTGGAGCGCAGTTTGTCGCGTGAATCTGTCGCCGTTCCCTTGATTGTTCGCTTAATTATCCTCAAATGATGTCCGTTCGGCCTTATTTGATTGTGTTAGAATTGTATGATTGCGACGCATATATTTGCGTCCTTCGCTACTGGTTAACGCTCCGATTTATGTTTGGTTCACCTGTTAATTCCTATCGTTCCGTTTCCACCTAAAGTTCTGCATATCATCATCATCATCATCATCATCATCATCATCATGCCTTCGCCTACGTCTAATACGATCCATGACAGCCGACTGAATGACATTGACATCAACGCACAACATACAAAAGCTTTCCATCTAAGATTGTGGAAAGGATTTGCTAGGTGACGTAGACGCCACGGAGACGCAGCGTGCAGCACAGAGGGATCGAGAGTTGACAGAAAAACAAAGTGCTGCGATGCTACGGCAAGGAGGCTGGCTTGGAGGAGGAATCAGCCTTACAGGCGAAGACTGTCATCTCATGTGGTATTTCTCTCTTACGCTCATAACTGGCATGCTTTCTTTTCTTCTATTTAGGTTTTGTCATGACAACGCTGGCACAGTGTACGACTGTAGATTTTCGATTAAGTTGGGTTCATGTGTACATCGCAACAGCAGTGCACTAGTGCAGATCCTCGTCTCGGCGTTAGGCTCTAGTCACTATTACCAGCGAGGATCTCCATGCTGGTACGAGCGCTAGCAGCACATTGCAATGCTGCCACTTAGTGGAGCCACCGTTTTAGAGCCGCAGAGTATTTAGACAGCGTATAAGGGGGGGGGGGTGGCAAGCAGCAGCGCACTACCATGTCGAGGGACTGAAAACCAGAATAGAATATAGTGAGCAAGTGGATGCAGTAGAGGGGTAAGGTGAAGCTGTTATCGAGTCTTAGCGTCGTTGTTGTAAAACTAGAGGCGCCCGCGAAGCTTATACATAGTGCGTTGATCTAAGAAGTAAGGTTTGGCACTGGGTAGGATCTGGGTGGTGAGTTTGGGTTGAGGTGGATCCAAGAGATCTAACTTTGATATGATAGCAGTAGTTCCAAAGGATAGCCATGACAACGCACATACTTCAGAAGTATTCGGTTTGAGCTAGAAACTTTGGAGATTTGGCCAAACTTTGAACAGCCAAGATTGAGCTTGAAAGTAGAATCTCTAAATTTTCAGTTTTATGCCATCTTTTCCAAATTCAGTTCCTGATGACTGCTCTTCGTTCCTTTAGTTTGGTATTAGTCTTGTTCTATTCTAGACTTCATGTGAATTTGAACGTTTGTCCTAGAATTTCACAAAATTTTCAGTTATATCCCAACTTTATCGAATTCATTTCCTGACGTTCGCAACGAATCAGCCAGCACTTTTTCAATTCTCTGCCTCTTTTGGGTACCAGCAAGTGCATGGACATTTTTCTTCCTTTCAGGCCGAGGCTCCCCACCTTTGACAAGGAGGTGTATATCTGTATTTCTACCCACTGTATACCCACTGCATTCTCCTCACAATGACGAACGTTTAGTCTCCTTCTTTGCCTGTAAGTTAGCTGTAAAGTAGTGCGGAATCTGACATATCTCCACGCAACGTGACGTTGGTCATTCAACTGAATCAGGAGGAGGTGGATCTTCTTTAGTTGCTTCTACTCCAACGATATCGTTGGAATAGAAGCATATCATGTCTTCACATCACAACAGCAAATTTCATCATCTTCACATCGCGACGAACATCCACAAGGTACTCCTACCAATGTGGCTGGCGATCGGGAGACCCTAGTGCAATAGATACGAATGTGAGGCCTCTCGAGGAGTCGGCTTCGAATTACCTCTCATCGTTGCAGCATAATGGCCAAGATGGGTCGTCTACCTCGGGAGCAGAAGGAGACGCCTCGAATGCGAGTACTGATGTTAAGGCTTCTATGCATAGTAAGCTTTTGAGGGGCTACTTACAGTGCCTGGCACAGTATGGATGATGTTTTTTCCATCTTTCAGAGCATCGAGGCTCCCCTTAAGCCTATACGTTTTTAAATGCAAAGGGATAGCCGTGATGGTCTGCCTAGATGGAATAGGCACCGTCCAGACCCACACTCTACCCTGTGCGTCGTCATAGTTCGTTGCAGTAGTTGCTTGATGTACATGGAGTACCTCGTAGCCAGTGTTAATAGAGCCGCCAGTGGATGTGCAATGAATCGGTCCCCTTTGTTGCCCTTCGATGTAGGTTCCTTGGGGATTGCATTGGCACAGCCAGTATCGAATTAATCTCTCATGTACAAAGAGACTGTCCGAACTTTGCAGTACTACAGTCGTAAAGCTACCTTCTAATAGTATAGAGCGTTGTTCCCCTTGATGTATGAGTATTGACTACTAATGACGAAAAAGCCATCCCATCCGCTGCTGCTTTGGCGTCAAGTCAACTGTGGCGCTACCTTCTAATAAACATTAACATTCCATGTCCAGCTAACTAAGATAGAGCTAATCTCCTATGAACTAATCTCCTATGTGGTACTAAGTAGGCTAAGCAGATTAAGGTAGTTTATTCGATGCTGCAAGTACAACTAGAAGTATAGTCGTTCTCCTTGTTGCAACTTCATGATCGTCTAATTTTTGCAGTGCTGCATCATCAAAAAAAGGGCGTCTGGATATTGCGGGAGAGTTCTTGAAGGCTCTCCAAGAGCGGCCGCGCGCACCCCTTCAACTGCCAAAGATTAAGTCTATACAGATATCTCTAAGTAATCCAGCATGCATCTCTTCGTTCTAATTTATTCATCCCTTCTAATGTAAGGATTTAGAAGACTCTCAAGCGTCCTAGGTATACCTCATTACTCGTCTCTGTTTATTTTTTCCCTCGTAGTTCCCTTTTCTTCATGATCTATAGGGGAGGAAGATTCCTCAAGGTCAAGTAAGTAGTATCTTCAGATGTAGGAAGCTCCACTTAGATGTGACTGAAGAGATTACAGAAGTGCAAGTAGTGATGAGCTATCATGTAAGATTCAGTCTTTGAGTTCGAGGATCTTTCTTCACCGAACGGAAAACGAATTGGGGTAGGGTGCTCTAAGACGAAGACTCCGGAGAGTGGCGCAGATAAAGTGCCACAGACGGACGACGCGATGGGAAGCGTGTTGACAACGCAAATAGGCAAGGACAAAGCAAAGGATGATCTAGCGCGTGAGATGCGAGCTAAATATAAGGGAGAAGCAATGCCTCCAGGGGGGAAGATGTCAAAAAGAACGAAGCAGCTTTCGTTGCAAGTGCTCTAATTAGAGCTTCAAGGATTTGATTTTTTCTTGGGGACTTCAGCTTTTTTTTGAAATGTATGCCTATGATGACGAACGTGCTCCGATTTCGCCACGGCGTGACTATTTAGTGATAGACTTATGCTCTCTCAGCATCGACTCAACTGTAATGAAGACGGCTCATTCTGACAAGCAGGAGCCTTCGATTGTCTTATTCCCAATTAATTATGTACGTCTAGCCGACGAGTATGCAAACAGTAACAGGGTATACTGGTGGAGGAGCCAGCAGCAGCGACGTACTATTATGTCGAGGGAGTAAAAACCAGAGGAGAATACGGCGAACTAGTGGAGGTAGTAGAGATGTAAGGTGTAGGGTAAGGCTGTTATCGAGTCTTAGCGTCGCTGCTATGAAAGTAGAGGCACACAGGAGGCTGATAAATGGGGCGTTGATCTAAGAAGTAAGGCTTGGCAATGAGTAGGATCTGGTGTAGGAGTTTGGATTGCCGTTGATCTACGAAGTCTTGTTTTGATGTGATAGCGTTAGCCTCAAATGCTACCCATAGCCACACATATACCGCAGAAGTGTTTGACTTGGGCTAGAATCTTTGAGGATTTGACTGAACTTTGGACATTTGGCCAAACTTTGGGCATTCAAGTCTAAAGCTGCAAGTAGAATCTCGAAATTATCAGTTTTATGTCATCTTTTTCGAATTCATATCTTGCCGTGAGCTTTTCGTTTCTTCTGTTTGGAGTTAAACTGTTCTAGCCTAGATTTCGTTTGAGTTGGAGCTTTTCGTCTAAAGTTTCACACTTGAAAACCTAAAATTTCACAAAATTTTCAGTTATATCTCATCTTTATCAAATTCAATTTCTGCCGTTCGCAAAGAATCAACTAAAACTTCTTCGATTCTTTGCTTCTTTTGGGTGCCGGTAGATGCACGACTATGCTTCATACTTTCAGGCCGATGCTGCCCATTGTGGCAAGGTTTATATCTGTACTGTTACCCACTGTATCCCCACTGTATTCTCCTCAAAACGATAGACGTTTACTCTCCTTTCTTGCGTGTAAAGTAACTGTAAAGTAGTGCTTAATGTGAAAAGAGCTTTGCTGGAGCAGCATTGGATATGTATTAACAGCGTCTATCTATCGTGAGGTACTTCGAAAATCGCGTGGTGTGGTGGTGTTCTACCCGGTGATGTCGATCCCGTACGATGTAGAAGATCTCACATACTCTCTGTTGATCACGATCATCGTGGCTTGCTCTTCATGTGATGGGCGATGGATCATTTCACGTCCTTGATCGGAGGAAACGAAGATGGCATCACGAAGAAACTCGGCGTTATTAGGTTGTCTAGTATGAACAACAAGATCATTTGCTCGCCTGCTTCTATGTATTTGTTGCCACGTCATTCTCATTGTATAACTAAACGAGTAATTGTTCATCTTGCTTGGTGAATCTAGAGAATTGCCCACATTCACGCTCACACTCGCTTTCCTCGCGTTGACCTCTGTTCACACTCACAATACATCCGCATCTTGAAGTAGACTAAAACAAGATGTCGATCCGTATAGGCTCGGAAACGAGCACATCAGATTTTGGGGCAGAGGTGGATGAGCTCCAAAATTTGTCCTCTTTTATGGAGTTTGACTCCTCTCCCTCTCCTCCACGTCGATGCAGCACCGACAAGCGGCGTCGATGTGCTTAGGGGTTGAAACATTTCATTTTTACATACCAGCCTTCTTATTTACTTGAGAATGAGACTGCTACTAGTTGAAAAAATGAAAGGCTTCAACCTTTAATCTACGTTGAGTACAACTATGGCAGAGAGCAAGACTGAAATGTTCAAGAGCAGGCAACAACGGGAAGGTGAAGGAGGTCCTGCCATGATTCAGAGAGTAAGAGGACATATAAGGCTTACCCTGTAGTCTATCGTCTGAAGCATCCTTCCTGGCGAGGAGCCTTTTCTTCCAATGGGAGAAGGGGAGCAAGATGCTTCTCAAGATGGATCAGGGTGAGGTCTAAGACATCACAGTTCTTGTAGTACGTCAAACTACAATTTGGCGGGCCGACGAACTACAGCGACGTCGCTGCTGGGTACTGATGAGGACCTTCGCGGGAATGGCCTTTCCGGAAATAGAGGTGGTAGAGAGTCCGCAACTTTCCCGGATACGGAAAATCCTTAAGGCCAGGATGATACAACTACAGAAAATCAACAAGAGGCTACAGAAATTCAACAAGTAGAAGGCTGGAATTCGTCCCATCAAAGGTGCAAGTAGAAGGCTAGGAGGATAGTGCCGGTCTTCTAAAAATGACAAGGCGAGAGACGCAGCACGACGGTTAGTCAGGCCTGGAGCGATGTTTTTAGTCGCATCATTAGCAAGAAAAACGTTGTGCTTGATGACGATGCTGAGGAAGAGGATTGGGTGCCTGCATTACCTGGGAGAGGAAAGCGAAAACATGAGATGCTTCCTGGTATGGAGCTTTCGAGCTTCGTCGATCTGGAAGCCAAGAATGAGGAGCATGAAGACCAAGACTTCTTAGGTAAAAATACAACTGCAATTCTTGGCTCATCTTCAAGGAAAGTTGTTGACAACAGAGACGCATGCGTGCATCTTGGTTCATCAAGTAGTGACGAGGATGGAGGAGGGGAGCATCGTCTGCCCCATCAGGTGAGGACAAGAGCAGGCGGAGATGAAGATGGCCATGCTGAGGATGTGATCTCCGAGAAGCGGGCGCTGAAAAAATCATCCAAAACAAGGTCTTCTTTTCTTAGTCGTGGAGGTACAAGGGCGTCTTTGTTGGAAATGGAGGCTCGGGGGTCCCGTGGACGATCGTCGTATTCCGCTTATTCGGGAAGTAAAAATAGAAAAGAGGATGCCAGGACCTACAAGCAGATGGGCCTGGACAGTATTCCAAGATGGGCTATCGATTCAGCGTTACATCTACGACGACATTGGCGAGAATTGTTGTTCTTGTTCCTCGTGCAGATCTCGCTCTTTCTACTCGTCTACGTAGTCGCGTCGTGTCTTCTCACGTCAGCATCTCTTTCTTCTGGTGCAAAGAGCAGTACGTCTGACGGCGACGACTTACAGCTATTCAAAGCAGCAGGGGAAGATGAAGCTCTACAACTAGTAAAAACAGCATCTACAACAACTTCAAAAAGCGTCAAGATGCAAGTTCCTTCAGCATCTTCTTCTAGCTCTTCTTCGAGGATCACTCTCAGTAGTTTCAAGATTCCCCTACCAGCTACTTCGGCATCTTCTGGCTCGTGGATCATGAATAGCGGGAGCAAGAATGCGGCGACGAACGCTCGTTCTATATTTATGTAAGCAGGGTCCTACTGTCAAGGTCGTCGACCCATCCCCCGTTTCTACTTGTTGTGAAAAGTCGTGCTGAAAGATGTTCCAAATGTCAAAGGGTGCAGGGGGGCATCGCATAGTCTAGGATCTGGCGTGGTAGCTGGTGTTAGATTTCATGGAATGGAAAAAAAGGAGGGGCTGTCTGCACTGTACTCTGTGCCAGATTTATAGCATTGTGTTGCATTGTCCTTGTCGTTGCGTCTAATATACTGCTGAACACGATAGCGCAATTTGCGAGTGCCTTCGCCACTCTCGTGGATGGAAACCGAGATATGCGGGACACTGCGCCCCAATACAGCTTTATGTGTACATTACATTCGGTGACACTGGTAGTTTACGTAGTGTACTAGTGGAAGTAAAATCTGTGGAGATAGATTGTCATCATTATGCTTACATTACATTGATTCTAGTTTGTCGGCTCATGCTCGCCTTGCTTGAGTACTTAACTAGGAGTAGCTACTATTATCGTAATAGTATTACGAAGCCTTACTCACACTCATCCTCACAATAATACTTCACTCCATTACCATTATAACAGGATCAACTTCACCAGTCGAATAAATTCGAATCATCAATAGTCCGCTCCTCCAAGAAGAAGGTCTAGTACTTGTTCTAAGAAGGTCTGGACGGATAATTTCAAAACGTTGAAGATGCATCTAAGGTCTCGCGTAGTAGAGGAGCGGCTGAAGAGGGAGCGGCCCTAGAGGAGATGCCTTTCCTAGATTCGCTTCAGAGTGGCAATCGAGTGCAGTCTGGGAAACTGCATTCAAACGCGAAGTACACTTGTGGAGTTGAGTACCAGTGGACGGCTCCCCTTAGAGAGCTGCAGATCTGTCATTTACGGCAGTAGAAGAGAAGTAGGCTCAACGGCAATGATCATCTTCTCCCTTACTCTATTTGGAGGCTGAGATCCTCGAGTAGAATATGAAGTCAATTGATCGCATTTAGTTCACGTGGTTTATTCATCTCAATACTCTAAAAAAGTCTGGCTTACTTACGTCTTCGGGCAGGGAGGAGGAGAAGCATGGACTCAAATGAGCTTGATGCTGATTTACTAAATTTTGATTAGTAGAAGTGAAATTAGTGCGGTCATCAAAGAGGAGGCGGGATGTCACAGTCACTAGTTCTAGCAAGTTAGTGATAGATTTAGATAGTATAGTTTCTCGCTCTTTCCTCCTCCGATATGTGATCAAGTTCTCTTTTCTTGCTCTAAGTCCTCGATGCGTGGGAAACCGTGATCATAGGCAGAGAGCGTTGCTGGATATCACATTGAAGCGCTTTGAGGAAGAGGAAAGTGGAAGAAGCACAATCGTGGTCGAAAACTGGACCTCAGCGACTGACTACGACCCTAACTACATGAAGAAGCTGCCTTCAACTAGAAACGGACAGCTGCTCTTCGTGCGTCGTGACCAAGATCACCGTCCTTATGATTTTTCTGGGTGAAGAAGCTGCAGCTGCCTAGGCAGCCTAGTACGTAGGTAACACAAGACTCAAAGCCTCACTTTTTACCTCCTCACAACTTACATAATCGACAACAGCTACTGAATAACAAAGAGCCAAAGACCGCAAGGAAAAATTTACAAGTTAGTCTACTTGGTAGAGGAAGAAAAAAGTTGCTACTAAACGAGGAGAATTAGGCTGCTTGCAAGACAGCGACTCTTTATTACATCGAGAGAAAGACGATCTGAGTCGGCTCTGGATTCTTGTGCTAATACCCCTGAGCTTGTGAGTCAGTGTTTTACTTCAGGGAATGCCGATACTAGTGCTATTGCCCCTCAGTTAGTGAGTCAGTGTTTTTCAGTGGATGCAGATACTAGCGCTATTGTCTCTGAAATAGTGAGTCAGCATGTTACAGAGGATACAGATGGATGCCAGTGCTGTTACCTCTGAGATAATGAGTCAGTATATTGCAGAAGATACAGATACTGGCGCTACTAAGTCTAAGCTTAGCTTCAACTGATTCAGTTTGTCAGTAGCTCACTGTTGGTTTGCAAATCAAAAGTGCTATGATATCAATGCTCATTGTGCCTTCAAGAGATGGTTGGCGTTTGGTGATATTATACATAGGGCACAGTACTCAGTGTAGTCCTTCAAATTGGTAGGAATTTGAGAAAAGTGACAGACTTGAGAGAAAACAGACGAAGATTAGCTTTGATTGTCAAGCTCAATATCAGGAATTAAATTCAATTAAAACAGCATAAAACTGAAAATTCTTGGATATACCTTAGAACTTGGAGACTAATTTGAAACGCAAATTCGAAATTTGAAGACTTTGATAATTCTTTATGTTTAGTGAAGATAGCCTCAAGTCTCAAATTTTAGATGTTAGCTCTCCATTAAGGTTGAACTTTATCACTTTAGATAGCTTTTTGTTGACTTGACTTTGAGGGTAGTTTTAACTGCATCTCTTATAACTTTAGGATCTCAATTTGTTCAACTTCGATCTTTAGGATCTCTTAGCTCTGTGGAGTGATCTCATATCCCTTTTGTTGCAGTCAGTTCGTTCTGGTCTACATCTCGCTCTTGTGATCATGGCGGTCAGCATTCTCGTACTTGATAGCCATTATTTGTGCCCTGGTAGTTAGCTGCATTGTACTGTTGTTACCCTGTAACACAATCCTGATAGTTAGCTGGATTGTCTTCTTTTTCGTCCTGGTAGTCTTAATCTCCTTCCTCATCGGGATAGTCAAGTCCTCGTCACCATACTCATTATCATTACCTTCTTCATCAACGTCATCGTGTTGATCACGATACCTGTTAACATACTCATCATCATTACCATCACCACCATCATCGTGAGTCACCTCCCCCTTCTCTTCAACCCTTTCCTCCTCAGCCCTTTCCTCCTCAACCATTTCCTCCTCAACCATTTCCTCCTCAACCATTTCCTCCTCAACCATTTCCTCCTCAACCATTTCCTCCTCACCGCTTTCCTCCTCAACCCTTTCCTCCTCAACCCTTTCCTCCTCACCGCTTTCCCTCTCATCCTCCTCCTAATTATAGTGGATGCAGGTTCCATTCCTCCGGAAATGGTGCTTATTCTAACAATTTGACAACGAGGTATTGTCAGACAGCATGCCTTTCTGTTTTCCGCAAAGTGGCGTCGCAGATGCAGCAACGGCGCCTTCCGTATGAAAAACTGTTTTGTGATCTCATAAATGAAGTGGTGGAAAAGCCGTTTCTTAGATAGGCGCCGCGACATAAGTGCCGTTTCCTAGATGGGTGCCGCTTTCTAGATAGATGGAAGTGGAAACATGGTAGCCGGCAGGGGTCTGTCCGGTGCGTAGAAGACGAGGCGCCTTCAACACACCAGTACCCATCAATATTTCTACTTCACGAGTCAATTCAATTTTTCTCTGGGGTGAGGCCACTGGCTCTGGGACGACTGACCAGCAGTCTACAAATAGTGAACTGAAACTGAATGCTTACAATTTATGACGGATTTTTACGCATCCGCAGTGGGGGCTCCGCATCAATGCAGATTATACAACAAATCAGAAGAATTTTCCAAGATGAACGCAGAAATATGACTTCATCAACACACACGCACTCATTTGAGTAAAGTAGAAAACGAAGCAAAAACTACAATCACTCTTCCTGCACTTTTTGCAATCACGGGCTACGAACAGCGTCTGGGGTGAGAGGAAAAAGTAGAGAAGAGGCTCGTATACATCGAGACAGAGAAAGGAGGTCTGAAGACACTAGTGAGCTGGGCGCACTTTAGGAGATGAAAAGTGCTCTTGTATGTTGTAGATACTGTTGTTCGACGAGTCAATACAAGGAACTGTCTAATAAATAAAGTAAGTACACGCAACTACTCGTACACTGGTCGTAGAAGAGTGCTCTTGTAAAAAGTATTGATTGTTCGAAGATTCCACCTAGCAATCTTCTATGAAACAAAAATGCCCGTTCTTCGTCAGCTCTCTCCTCCTAGGAGGCTAAGTGGGGATGGAAATCCCTTCCTCAACAACAGCAAGGACATGGTAGGCATGGGCAAGAAGATAGAGGAGCAGAAGTTCTCGCAGACTGGCACTGTGGAGGATAACGAGCTCGAACAAAAAAATATGGTGAAAAAAGCACACTCACTCTCAAGCTCTTCAACAGCATAACTTAGTAGCCCTCTTCTGCCGATTTTCTATCTACTTGAACAGTTTTGTTTTTCTGCGGACCACGATGGATTGCTATTCTGAATGTGAGACTGTTGAGTGTATTTTTGCTTCATTATGGAGCAGGTGGAAATAAAAACTGTAAGTGGTCGTGGTGGTGCGACGTTCGCGTCGTCCGAGGAGACAGATTCGAGGAGTCGTGTCTTTTTGGAAGCAAAAAAGGTCGGTCGCCGTGTTGGAATCACGCCAGTGCACGACTTTAATAACATCACTCGCTACGAATTGGAATCGCCAATAAATTATGCTTAAGGACGTTATAGACTCTATAGATGTATTGCGCATATGGTCGTGATACTATAGAGCAGTTTTTTCCTTGCGTGATCTTCTATTTCGGAGCATGTGCATGCATGACCAAACATCTTACTACTTGAATAGTCAAGTAGAAAATTAAACTTAAGCTTATCAACTCGATGTTGTTGATGAAGTTGATGCTCGTAAGAAGAAGACGAAGAAGAAGAAGAAGAGCAGTTATAGGACTCCGACACTTAGCAGATCCAGACTTAGTTCGATGGAAAGACGAAGTGAAAACTGTCTCTCTCTCAATATCGACGCCTCATCAGTGAACGAAGTGCAAGGAGTAGAATTTTCCTCAGCTGGGACGATTTTTGTGCCAGATGCATCCTCATCCGAGCGGCCACGTCCGTCGTGGGAAGATGGTAGAAGAGGAGACACGGCTAAGGCAATTACCAAGTAGAGAGCATGGGCGTCCCCCCTAGAGTATGACCCTTGAAAAAATGTCCTCTTTTTCAGGTAGGAAAAGAAATGTCCAAGGATATCATGACTCTAGACTGAAGGAAGATGCGAGCGCGGTAGTTCTTCTAAAGACAACATTCTTGAGGGCGCGCGGTTGTTCCATGAAGGAGCGGATCATGACCAGACTACAACTAGATCCACACCGTTCAGGAGTAGGAGTCCGAAGAAAAGCGGATGGCGGCTTTTCTCTGTCACTTCTAGTAGTACTTCTGGACGAGCAGGAATAGGAAATGATCACGCTGTAAGTGTGGGTGCTTCTACTTCTCAATTTAATAGAAGTTCGTCTGTCGTTTGTGGAGGACGAGGTGGAAGTAATATCAAGCCAGCACCCACTGAGCAGCCGTACAGTCCTGGGAGTAGCGCCGTCGCTTCTGAAAAGAAGAAGAGAGTGAGCAAGTCAGTCATTTCGAGCATGAGCAGAGCATACTTACGTCTGATAAATCTATAATTTTTTTAACATATAGATTAGAAAGCAAGTCCTCATTGATTTAGGACGAAAAAATATGTTCGTTGTTGAACAAGTATGACCATCTTCAGCGTTGGTTCGTCGATGACCTTTTGCTTTTACTCTTTTTTCCAACATTCTTCTAAGTTGTGCAGAGCACACGCGAACCTCGGATCATGGGTTGCTAGAGCTGTCGGATACATGGGATGACGAGAAATTGCGGCCAACGACCCTAAACTTCCACGATAGCGAGTCGAAAAAAGCCGAAGATCGCACCGTCTTGAGCATTGTTCGAATTAGTGAAGAACTCGATGCTTTTCTTAAGGCTGTCGCCTCTTATTTCGTAGTGCTAAGCCTTCTAGAAGAGGGGGTGGATCATCATCCTTCAAGACCATGGAAGATCAGTTATTGAGTGAGACGTTTTCTAGTACAAGCATCGCTCGAGTAGACGCGACAGAAGGTTCAACTTCTAACTGTGCCGCCAGCACGACTTTTGACGCACAGACAAACAAGATACAACAGCAGACTGTATTTGGTAGCTCATCCTCTCAGGAGGACGAGATTAATTCGTCGTGCTGCGTCGTGCATGATGGAGGGCGACTTACACATGACCTTGGTGAAGCAAGTGCGAAGGCTTTGTTACTCAGTGGTAGGACGCAAGATTCTCGCAAAGAGCAGTTTGAAACACTGGGAGCTAGCGGGGGACCGCAGGACTTAAGGCTTTATCCATCAAGTAATCGCATTTATTTTCTGAGCAAGAATGAAGGAGTGTGTAAAGGGAAGGTTGACGATGTAGCTCTTTCTACTAAGTGAGCTTCTCCTGACATCTACTTTTGAGCAGCTCGTCGACCTCACCGAGGGACGACGAAGAGAGAATAATATGCTATAAGTAAAGTTAAGTCTGTTCTAGCTCGACGACTAAGTGGTCCTCGAAGCGTGGGAAATATGTGTGACCGAAGACGGAAGGCGCTTAAGCGGGTTCAGGGAGAGGACAGTGGAGGGACATTCGAAAACTGGACTTCCACGACCGACTACGACCCCAATTACATGAAGAACTCTGCTAGAAGCGGACAGCCCTTCGTGCGTCGTGAACGAGACGAAGCTGCTTATGATTTTTGTGGGTGAAGCTGTGCCTGTGTAGCGTAACTTTTCTAGTTTCGAGACACTTACTACATTTTTCCACAACAACTAGTACGGAGTAAGTGCCTAGTAGTTTTGTAGGTAATTGCTTAGTCAAAGTCAAAGATGATGCCTCTTCGTTACATTGACAGAAAGAGGAATTGATCTGGATACTAGTCGTATTACCTCTGTGACAGTGTCAGACTGAGTGAGCGTGTCAGCGTCTTGCATGGGATACAACAGATGCTAGTCCTATTACCTCGGAGTCAGTATATTGCAAAGGATGTTGCAACATATGCCAGCCTTATTACCTCTGAGCATAGGATACAGATGCCAGCATTGCCTCCGAGATACTGACTCAGTAGATAGCAGAAGATACAGATACGAGTGCTCTTAACTCTGAGCTTCAGCTGTCTGATTCAGTTTGTCAGTGGCTCACTTTTGGTTTTCGTATCAAAAGCACTGTGATATCAATGCGCGCTGTATCTTCTATAGATGGCATTTGGTGACATTATAGAGCATAGTACTCAGTATAGTCCTTCACATTGCTGGGAATTTGAGAAAAGTGACCGACTTGAGAGAAAACAAGCGAAGATTGGCTTTGTCGGTCAAGCTTAACCTCAGGAGTTAAATTCGATTAAAACAGAATAAAACTGAAAATTCTTGGATATACCTTAGAGCTTGGAGATTAAGCCTAGCCTCAACTTCGAGAGTGTCTTTATGTTTAGTGATATCCTCAAGTCTCAATGTTTCAATGTTATAGCTGTCAACTCAGACTGGGGCTCATCACTTTAGACATCTCGTTCGTGTTTTGAGCTTAGATGTTTAGAATCTCTTAGATGTTTAGAATCTCTTAGATGTTTAGAATCTCTTAGATGTTCAGAATCTCTTAGATGTTTCGAACCTCTTAGACGTTTAGAGTCTCTTAGATGTTTAGAACCTCTTAGATTGTCGCTTTCGTGGTCTCTTAGGCCTTTAGTATGGGCATCTCTTGTTGCTTAGATATTTTATCTTGCTTCATAGTCTGATCATGCTATCTTCTCTTAGTAGTTACTTTGTTTGTCAAACTCACTATCAGGAATTAAATTCAATCAAAACAGAATAAAACTGAAAATTCTTGGATATGCCTTGAAGCTTGGAGATTAATTCTGAATTCAAATTCGAAACTTGACGACTCTGAGAGGTTCTTTATGTTAAGTGATATCAGCCTTATGTCTCAAGTTTTAGCTAGTGCAGCTCTCCATTAAGGTTGAGTTCGAATCTCATCAGGAAATAGCTTTCTGCTGATTTGAGGTTAGATAGTTTGAGTGATTCTTACTGGAGCTGTAGGACCTCTTTGGACTTTAGTATCTCTACGGAGACCTCTCACTATCCAGACTTAGACCTCTCCTGCTATATGCGCCAGCGTTTCGTTCTTCGCGTTCTTGTCTTAGTAACTAGTTCCATTGTCCTCGTCGTCGTCCTGATAGCCATCAGTACAATCCTGATGATTAGCTGGATTTCCATAGGCATAGAGGTCATCCGGACTGGACTCTTAGTCACGTTTCTCGGCATGATAATCAACGACGTCCTCGTCTTGTTTTTTACGATACGCGTTATCCTATCCTAACCATCTAGACTCCAGCGCCCTCTTGTTCCTCATTACGATTCTTGCTAACTAAGTACTTGATCAGCGTCATACATGTATGATCCCCTTTATTGACTTCATAAGCGGCAAGGCGAGCCAGAAGATCGTGTTGTGGTGCTAGACCAAGGAGGCCCAGTCCCTGTACTAGATGGTGAAGGACAGGAGTCGTCTTGTCAGCATGACGAGCGAGTACAGGAGTCGCCCCTTGGTGAAATTGGAAATCATGGCGAAGAAAAAGAAGAAGAAGACTTGGCAAAGCTACATGTAGATGAAGACGTAGCACAGCATGTAGATGAAGACGTAGCGCAACAAGATGTAGTAGATGCTGAAGTACCTAGTAGTACATCAGCATCAGACTCGCATGAGCATAAAGCAGAGCTCCTCTGTGGAGCAGAGGGACCCTACCGGGCTACAGCGCGGCACATGCTGCACATTCCTCAGAGATTCGTTTTTGGTAGAAGTAGAGGCTTGGAGACGTTAGGCGCCGCTGGAGGGCAGGCGAGTGGAGCAAGTGCAAGTCCAGCTCCATCAGGACGAACAGTGTTTCTGGGCCAGGACAACATCAACGACCATTTTTCTATCTCCTCTTATGGCGAGATGAAGAAGAGTTAGAATGTGTACGCAAGTGAAAGTGCTGCAGGTCGATGAGACGAAGAAGTGCAGCATCATGGACGAGATCCCTGCGATCTTGATTCTTGTGTTAGAAGTATGCATATGTGTCGTTCAACTGCAAACGCTTGGTGTTGGTGCCAGCAACTTTTACAGGTTGTTGAGCAGTACTAGCTAGAGTAAGCTGCAGGTGCAGATCATCAACACGACGAAGCATGGAGCAAAGCGTGAACTTCGATGACAATGAATTGGCTTTCTTGTCTGTCAGTAGTAGGACAAGTATCAGCTTCAGTTCTTCGCTCAGGTCTTCTTCATTTTTCTCGTCTGTCAGTCCTAGCGTCACTATCTGATAGTAGATCTAGCTGGATTCCTGTTCTACCGTACAACTATAAAGTAGAACTCTTGACGTTCTTCGTCGATCTATCTTCTAATTGGCGACTTCTGCGCCCGTGTCGACATTGATGGACAAGCAACAACGCGAACTCAGTGAGCACAGAGCTAGTACTACGACGCTAGTACGGAGACCCAATCTCTTAAGGCGACTTTGTCTCCTCGTTGGAAGAACAGATACATAAGTAGTCGGTGCTGCTACTGACTCACAGAATCGACAGTCAAATAGCTGGTAATGGTATCGCTATGCGTCTTAGTTCGAGTTGCTTGCTGTACTCACACAGGATATCGTTCTCATCGATCTCAGTTGGTACTGACTTAGTTTGTAGTCCTCCGTAACCCATTGCGAAGTCAGTGTTTGTCTTCATCGATCTCACCTGGGACTTCGTTTGCCAGTAACTCCAACTTATTGAAGTGAGCCATAAGATTTAGACTCAGTTTGTCACTATCTCATCGAAGTGAACCATACAGCGCCACGTAGGACGAGGATGTCGTAGGGTCGTCCTATGGTATGCAGGGATGCCTTGAGGTAATCACACTGCATCTCAGTACTATGATTTTTCTTCACTTTTGAAACTTCTAGTTTTAGGCACAGTCATCCTTATCAGGGTGCTTAAATATCAAAAGTACTCACTAGGTAAAGACTCTTCATTACATTGAATCGCACACAGTCTGAATCTGATCTGGATTCTAGTGCTATTAACACCTATGAGCTAGTGACCAAGTGGCTTGCAGAGGATACAGATACTAGTGGTAGTGCTATTACCTCCGTAAAGGTAGTGAGTCAGTATATTGCAGAAGATACGGATATCCCTGGCGCTAACACTGCGTTAGAATTGCCTGACTCAGTTTGTCACCAGCTCACAATTGGTCTTCATGTCAAAAGTACTATGATGATATCAATGGTCGCTGTATGATCTTCTATATTAGTTGGCATTTGGAGGTGACATTACAGAGCATAATGCCCACTGTAGTTCTTCGTATTGATATGAATTTGAGAAAAGTGATTGATTTGATAGGAAGGGGTTGAAGATTAGCTTTGTCTGTCAAGCTCACCCTCAGAAATTGAATTCGATTAAAACAAAACAAAACTGAAAATTCTTGGATAGACATTAGAGCTTGGAGATTAAGTCTAAAGGCAACTTCAAAACTTCGAGATTCATCTTTATGTTTAGTGATATCCTCAATTCTCAATGTTTCGATGTTATTGCTGTCAACTCAGATTGAAGTTCATCACTTTACTTAGACATCTCGTTCGTGTTTTGAGCTTATAGTTTTAGAATCTCTTAGATGTTTAGAATCTCTTAGATGTTTAGAATCTCTTAGATGTTTAGAGTCTCTTAGATGTTTAGAGTCTCTTAGATGTTTAGAGTCTCTTAGATGTTTAATTGAGTCTCTTAGACGTTTAGAATCTCTCATACGTTTAGAGTCTCTTAGATTGTCGTTTTCATGGTCTCTTAAGCCTTTAGTATGGGTATCTCTTGTTGCTTAGATATTTAGTCTTGCTTCATAGTATGATCATACTATCTTCTTTTAGTTACTGAAGAGTAACTCTACTTAGAAGACCTTTTTTGGTCGTAGTTCTAAACCTCGGGCATCAAACGCTGTTCCCACTAGATGACGTTCTGCCTAATGGGAGACACGCAGGCGACGTTTCACACGCTCCAGCTCAAGATGAAGAATCCCCAAGCATCCCCGCGACGGCGTTTCCGAATAGAGGAGGTTATGGCGATGTTTCTCCGATGAGGTCAAGGGGAGGTAAGGAGTATCATGTTCAACAAATATATGTTGAATACCCTCCTCGTCGAGGTCAAGTAGCAGGAGCAGAAGCAATTGCAGGTGGAGGAGATGCTCAACAAGAATACTCTCGTCAAGTAGAAGCAGTTGGAGGTATTGGAGCTGGAGCTGCGTACCATCAGGATGTTCTTGAATCATCTGCAGTTCGTTTCGACGTTTTTCCCAGTAGGCCCTTTCTTGACGAGCATGGGGGTGAGGACAAGTACTTCACAAGTCCTCCGTTCAGGAGAAGAGAAAAAGAGAGGACGGCCACTAGTTCGACAACGTCAGCAGCATGTTGCCTGACACGAAGCAGAATCCCTCAAGTAAATGAGTTTTCAAGACATACACCAGGGAAACGAGGAATGCAAATGCAAAGAGGACACGCACAAGAACATGCTGATTTCCTATTGCAGCACAATCAACGAGATCAACACACTTCTATTCAACAGAGGACTCGTCCTCGTGTACTAGTAGAATGTATTATTCTGGTATTTGGTAACCTGATTTTGACCACAGGGGAAAACAAGAAGAGAATCCTTGTGATCAAATTCAGGCTACCAAATACCGGCGCCATTCATAGAAGCGCCTGCGGATGCTGTAGCGTCTACTTCTACAACTCCTTCCGCGAGCGAACTCCTGCGATCAGCCCGAGCACTCTTGCGTTTAGGGAAGGTGACTCCGTCTCGCGTAGGAGATGTTGCGCCTTCGGTATCAGTTGTTGATGAACATGGAGATGAAAAAGTAGGTCGAAGACGTCGTGCGGTGTCTTCAATTAGAAGCGCCATAAGTAGTCGTGTACTCGAAGAAGAAGAAGAAGTACTTCGAGGAGGAAGTGTTACTGCGTCAAGGGCCATTCATACAACATCAAGCAAGAAATTATGCAAAGAAAAGGATCATACTCGAGATCCTCAAGTTGAAGAGGATCAAAACGAGGCTCCTCATGATGATGGAGGACAGGGAGACGAACACCCGCCAACCTTTTGGTCGGTTGCGCGTGTCACACGGTGGGCTGAGGATAGGGTACCCGCGGAAGTTACACGAATTCTGCGCCAGCAAGAAGTGGATGGTGGCGTTTTGATGTTATGGATTCAATTCAAGGAATTGTGTACCTCACAAGAAATTAGATTTTTTTTTATCTGGAAGGTTCCTCGTCTATCTGACTATACATGAATGAGTGTGAATATATGAAGTTCGGAGATCCAAAAGCAAAAGCCAAGTTCTTGTTGAAATGTTTCGCTGTCTTTCTCGTCTTAGACTTGAGGCTCTTACGCAACTCTGTTCGTTCTTTATAGAAGCACTGGAATTTTTTTGACTATCTCAGGTTCGTTGCTTATAGAAGCACTGGCTAATGATAGATGCAGTGAAGTCCTCAAAGATGGAGATGCTCTTCTAAAGATATCGCTGAACGAATCGGATATGGAGACTCTGGGAATTGCCAAATTTGGCCATCGTCGAACTTTGCTGTTGAAAATACGGCAAATGCGGGACGAAATGAAGCGAATTTTTTCCATTTACAACAGAAGAAGGATAGCAGGGGACTCCTTTCAAGTAGAGGATGACACGGCTTTGCTCTCTCAGAGCTGCACATCTCCAAGAGTTCGTGGATCAGTTGCATCTTCGAGCGCTGATGTTCATGTTGAGTCGAAGCCTAGGTCTAGCACATCTTCTTCGACATTCGATTACTCTTTCAAAGCCAGGAGTATTCCAGCATCAATTGGATGGCGACCAACACGACAGTCGCAGTTGACAAATTACTTTTACAACTCTGGTGGACGCGAAGGTGGTGGTGGAGCTGGAGGTGGTAATGGAGTTGGAGGTGAAAGTAGAAGAGGCGGCGGTGAAGTTAGAAAAGATGCTGGTGGTGGTGGTGGACGAGGTCGCGCCCCAACATCTTCTTCCGATCCTCCGTCCCTTCTGACAAAGACATCTTCTCCGAGAAATGTGGCCAAATTTGAGGCTGTTTCTAGAGGAGTTGGGGTCTATCCACTTGAGGGAGGTGGGATCAATCCACCCGCTGGAGGAGCACCAGGAAGAATGTCCCTTTCCTCATCATCTTCTTCGCCCTCTTCTACAAATGGTCTTGTTGAAACTTGCCGTGCTGGTGGAGGTACTAGTGGTAGCAATGGTAGTCCCCGCGTCGGGCACAGGAAAGTCGAGGCGGATGAAAAAGGGAATCCTCTGTTCTTGGGAAGAAGAAGCTCTTGTACTACGAGTGGCCTTTCTTGTGACACTAAGAATGCGTTACTTTTTAGCAGTTCGTGTACGAATCTCAATCTCAACAGCATGGAAAGTTGTTGCGCCAGTACTCTGGTGAGTAGCTTTAGCAGGAGTTGTGGTACTATTTGTTACAATAGTTCTTCTTCTTCTTCTTGTAGAAGTACTAGTATTAAAGGACAGGCAGGTGGTGCAGGAGTAGAGCCAAACTGCTACCGCATTGCCTACGATCAAGTGACGCGCAGTCACAAAATTCGAGTGGCAGTCCAGCAAGCTCAGATAAGCAAAGACGTTATGGCCGTGTTTCTCCGAGGTGAAAAGTAGAGTGGTCTTAATATTGCGTTTGAAGTCCTCGTTATGTGAGTATGTGGGGAAACATTGATCATGTAATTACACTTCTGTAGTTATTCTACTCTTTGTAAGTAGAAAATGATGCGGACTCTTTGTAAGTGGAAGATAATTAGTGTGGTATGTGTATTTTTTCAGTGATGTATGATCCATCGACGTCACGATCAGGAATATAAATGACTAGCGAGTGCGAGTGCAGGAAGGGACGAACACGTCAAGCACCATGTTCATTCTTGACCTCTCTCGGATCTTTTAATATTCTTTCGGTGCGGGAAATCTACTGAGTTCGAGCAGAAAAGCCACAGATTCCTAGAAGTGTCGCTTTGATTTTCGTCTAAAACAAGACCTACACCAGTCAGGAGGACATCCACATTAGCTGTTGCGAACGATCGTGGTAGAAGCTGGCTGAATTACCGTAACAAGGCGCCATTATTCGAGGCGTCCCCGTCGACGTCAGTTACATCTGCAGGGGCGCACGTCAGTTACATCTGCAGGGTCCCCGTCGACGTCAGTTCCATCAATTAGTGCGCCCGTGAATTTAGGAGGCTGATGCACTCGACTTGCCGCCCGTTTGCGAACTGGATAAAACTGCGGCCACTCTCCTAGCGGCCCCACGATACAAAAAAAAAGTAGCGGCCTGGCTTGTCAGTGTGAAAGTGAATCTTAGATAAGTACACATTATCCACGTCAGTGAAGGTGAACGCCGAGTCTGAATGGCGATTCGTCGCCAAATCTACTAGCGTCGACGCGTCCTTGCTTCTGTTCTTGATGAGCCGATCTTTAAAAACGAGAGACGAGTGCTGTTGTTTCGAACCAGATGCTTTTCATCGTAACTATACAAGAGGAGTCTGTGCAACTAGACTGGAAATTTTATCTCTGGTATCGACGAGAGGCCTCCTGCGTCAGTTTCTGTCTAAGAAGAGTTATTCGGTTATTCGTGACTGAGAGACCAAGTGTTTGAAATTGAAAGAAATTATCGTCGCTCGGTGATAAACTTCCTCGCTGCTTCTTGTCGTTTTGGAATGCAAAGCCCTTGTTTTTAGACCTGAAAAACAAAGGTCGTGTATCCCGACACCCATTTTTAGTACTCATTTCTAGTTTCAGTACTCATTTTCATCATCGTGGCATCATGTTCCTCATGTTCTTCTTCTTCGTGATAACAAATTATACAGCAATATGATCCTCTTCTATAACCATGATCCCCGATTCTTCTCCATTCATCGTTGAGATTTTTTTGCAGCATCTCCTCCATTTTTCGACTTCACGAACACGACCGGAGATAATTCTGACACCTCATAACTACATAAGCAGTCTGCCAATACATGAGCCAACCATTTCCGTGAACCAACCCACACTAGTCACGAATTCCAGGAGAAGAGCAGAGCTCGTGATAATCTCGCACTCAACCACTTCCTCGCTGATACTATCTAACCCCTGTGGTCTAGTTTAGTACTCAAAAAAAGATCAAAAATTTATAACATTCTCTTTCAATTTCTCAGTTATTCAAAACATTGACATTCATTATAAGAAAAAAAGGCTTACATACTGAAAAACTCAAATGCATCAACAAGCAGTCTAGAGGTACTCCCACAACAGTTGTGCGCATCATTATCATCACAAGGAAGCTCAAGTTGTTTTTCATATAATAAATTGACTGTATCGTAACCCTCAACGTAGAAGAAGAAAGAAGCCGTACGTACTAGTAATATTTCGTATTCAGTCATCGATGCATATCCATCGATATCGCATATTAATTTTCATCGGAATTGTTCGCTACTTTTGAGTATTAGGATTATACGATACATAGATAAAGAAGTTGTTTATATTTGTATATTTAAGAAAAAGAATTTTTTCATGAGCACAACCACCACACGAGAACCGAAGGACTAGAGAAAATAGATCGCTTATTTTGCTACAGAGGTATTTTCACGACAAGGAAGTAGTATATTTACAGAACAAGAGCATCGATGGATCAAAAATCATCATCGCGTCGCACGTAGTACGAAGTCTCTTCTCGAAGCTATTACAACGAGAATCCAAGCATCGAAAGCAAGCACATCAAGAAGAAGTCGGAGTCACGTCGGAAATAAAAAAAAGCCAGACCACGACGGCAAAGCTGTAACCAGGTACAGTTTCACTCTTTATTTCCTTCGACGTGCTGGTTAATAAAAATCATTTCTACAAAATGTAAAATGAATATCAACAAGAATGAGTCCTCTATTATGATGGTCCATTTCTGACAGGAGAAGCTTTCAGTTGGAGATGAAAATTCCTGCAGAAAGAGTAGACTAGATTCACGGACCTCGAGGATTCCTCTCCAGCACTGTAGATCTCATCTACCCTGTCCTTGGATTCCTCTGCAGCATTGTAGATTCCATCTCTCCTATCCTGGCATTTCGATTTAGTTTCTTTTTTGATGGTTCTCTTCCCTCCCTTTTTATTCACATAGTGTGACTGATCATGGTTGAACCGCGCCGGCGCATCAGTTAGTCAGTGGGAGCTTCGGCTTTTTGGCCAAGAGCTATTCCCCTGATGCTCATGCTCCCCGCCTCCTGAAGAAAGTAGTACTATATATAGGGGACAGAAGTGGTGAGCAGGTAGCCCTTGACTCCTGATTCGCGCGGGACCCCATGAACCGCCTGAAAAACTTGAACCGCTTTGACGGCATAGCCCGTTGCGTCCTGCGTCTGAAGACCCAGAATCTTTAATGTGGCCCGGCCGTCGTTAGGCTTCGTTTTTCCACTTGTTGTTGTGCTATTAGATACTAGGCCCAACTACAGGGGGAGGACGGAGTGACCGCGCGTGTGTCATGGGTGGGTGTAGTTTAGGGCCGACTTCTTTTTGTATGCTGAGAAAGGGCGATAGATACTGCTTGCTAAAAATATTGGTCGTCAGTCAACAATCGCAGGGTTGGGTGATTGTTGCTAACTGATTTATCAGTCGCCGTGGGTAGTGTTTCTGTGTCGTATTGTTAACCCCTTTAATGGGGTCGATGGTTGACTGAGACCACAAGTAGCGCATTTTGGTTTCTTTGCTAGTTTTGTGCGCTTGTGGGTGTGTGTTTTGCAGAGCTAAGCAAGCTGCGTTCTGGTATTCTATTGCGGGGCCACAGCGAGCTCGGTTGCGATTGCGTTGTTGTGTGTTTCTCATCATAGTTACAATAGGGACCAAGAGTTCTGCCTTTATTATAATATATATGTACCAGGGAGGGAGGCCCCCCCCCCTGTGGATGGATCGGGGGTGGACCACGCCCGAGGGGTCCAGCCTGGCCACCTTTGCGCGGTCTGTATGGTTGGCCACATGCAGCACGCCAAGGGGGTGGGTCCCGCCTTGCCTCCTTTGCCAGCTCTGCTGGGTACCGCAACACGCCAGAGGGCGCCGGCCTTGCCATCTTTGCCAGGTCTGTAGGGTACAGGCAACAAGGCAGCGGGGTCCCGCCCTGCCTCCTCTGCCAGCTCTGTCGGGTACCGCAATACGCCAGAGGGCGCCAGCCTTGCCACCTTTGCCAGGTCTGTAGGGTACAGGCAACAAGGCAGCGGGGCCCTGCCTTTGCCACCTTTGCCAGGTCTGTAGGGTACACGCAACAAGGCAGCGGGGCCCTGCCTTTGTCCCCTTTGCCAGGTCTGTAGGGTACATGCAACAAGGCAGCGGGGCCCTGCCTTTGCCACCTTTGCCAGGTCTGTCGGGTACATGCAACAAGCCAGCGGGGCCCGGCCTTTGCCCCCTTTGCCAGGTCTGCAGGGTATACGCAACAAGGCGGGAAGGGGTCAGAAGTGGGCGCTTTGAGGCCTTCTTGCCCGGCAGCCCCTCGAAAAGAGGGGCCGGGGCTGGCAGGCCCCCGCCCTCAAAAAGTGAGATCGGGGGGGGGCCTCCAGCCCTGAGCCCTGGAACATATATTTATTGTTGACCAGACCGAGACCTTGCGGAGTTGCGTATTAGTACTTAGAAACTCAAACTTATTTCTATTTTCTTTGATTCTCTCTTTGTTTCTACCTGATGAACAGGCTTGCATTTGTGTCCTCATTCTCCCCACGACTGATATGTGCACCCAACATCGATTCCGCACGACCCCTTCAGAACGACAGACAGAGGAAACTGACCCAAAAGGTGAGCATCTATCGTCCATCATTTGACAAAGATGGAGGCCTGGAATCGAGAAGTGGAGGAAAACGCCGAGTATGACTGGGAGGAAGTCATGATGCAGCGGCTGCAGGAGGAGGGGAACTCCGATCGCAAGGCGCACCGCCGAGGGGGAGGCTGGGGATGGCAAACCTATGCCTATTTCTCGTTGGTTTTTTTCATCTTCTTCTGGGTGGCGGACCTCTCCACCGGTGGCGTTGTCTTTATGGTTTCACTCGGATAAGAGTTACAAGAATAAAAGTGAAAACTCTCTTTTATTGGAATAACGGTTTCATTACAATAAAAGTTTCATTGGGATAAGAGTGAAAATTCATCTTTTATGGCTCTTCAATGGCCTCGAACGCTCACCCCTTCATAGTTGAGCTGACTCCTATCCTATCCTAAAAGTAGTAAGAGGATATATGAGCAGGAGTACTGCCGAAAAATTATAAATCTCTGGATCATGAAAGTAGAAAGGAGCATCTTCTACTGTGCAGGGAGTACTTAGCTAAGGACTTTCAATGTACAAATTAGAATTACATCATAGCTAGGCTGTATGATGCTCCTCTCGCGACACCTGCATCTACTATGCGCCGGATGGATGACTAAGAGTGCAAACTCAGTTTTGTTCATCTCATGTGCCTGCAGCTGCACCCTGTGGATAACGATTTTTGCCTGATGATATACTTGTTGCTTGAGCTTAACGAGTTCTTATATTTCTTTGTTTTTACAATTTGTAGTTTTTCTGTTTCAACAAATGCCTGCTACATGTGTGTGTGTGTGTGTGTGTGTGTGTGTGTGTGTGTGTGTGTGTGTGTGTGTGTGTGTGTCGTTCTTGTTTCATCCCCTCCGGAGGCTGGAGCAGCTGTGCTTTTGCGTGCTACCTAATATAAGGGCATGGGCGAGCATCTTGTTTTTGAAACGAGGTTCGCTGCTCTTGCTGTGAGGCTGTGATAGGGCTTAGGGTTCGAGTGCTGTGAAGGCATGGCGTTGCTTTCTACTTGGTGCTGGCAGTCTGTCATTCGTGGGCTGCCAGCAGCGTGGTTGCGGTCAGGAATGCACGGTCTTGCCCTTTTGTGGATTATAGTGTTCGTGTGGTTTATAGTGTTTTTCAGGGAACAACAACAACAACAACTAGGAGCAGATCTTACTTGTTGTTTACAAGTATTTTTCTTAGTCCTGTCTCAGAATAAGGTAGAATAGAATAGAATAGAATAGTCCTCATGTCTCAGGCGGGACGCGTGGGGAAGATATTTTGAATTTTACTGGTTCCTAAACGCAGACTTTTTCCATTTCATCCCGGTCCGTCGCTGTCTGACTTACTGGCTGATCGTTTTTTCTTCGGGGCTTACTGGCTGATCGTCATATCTACAACATATCTGAGGGTGGAGTAAAGTTGAAGGGATCCATTTTAGTATAATTTTCTCACCTTTACGTCTACGTCCTCTTCCATTTTTTCAGATTTTCTTTCTCAGTAAGGTCTCTTCCGTGACAATTTCCTCACTTTTCTAGTACGCACAACACGAAGTAGCTTGCTTTTCTTGAATCTGATTTTTTTCGGGTTTCATGATTGCTTTCTTAGTTAGGGCTCTACAGCAATTTATTTTTTCCGAGTGATGATATAATAGGCTCGTGAGGGGCATGGGACACTCTGGATTCAGCTTTTTTATATCTCGATGGCACTCTGCGGCTAGCTGAAAAATAACAACTTGTTAAATTGTAATAATCTTTCTTAATCTCTTCGTGAGCCTGCCATGTCCTCTGCTAGGTGGAAATCTAGTAGGCCAAAGGTACCGAGCCTAGCCTCTATTCGATATGTATCTTGATCTGGAGGAGTTCGATTCTATCTTTTTCTGTCTAGAGGATTTGCTCTTTAGAGGCAAAAGTCCTCTTTGTTCCTTCTGAGAAAAATAGATAGAGCACGGTGGAGCAAACATAGAGTTGTCGTCTGCTGTGGTGCTTATGATATACTAAGTAATTCATTCTGAACAAATATTAACTCGCTCGTCTTGAAGATGTCGATGTGTTACAAGAGCTTCTAGTTGTACAAGTGTCCTCTACGACCTCTAACCTCCTCACGGCGGTGAGCAACCTCGTGTCTACTCCGGAGCAAGCGCCGAGTCATGACTCTTCAAGCAAAGGCGGCGCCAAAACGAAGCAGGCAATGGCGAACCCCTCGCTTCGTGGCTCTCTTACAATTCTGCACCAGGAGCAGGAGCAGGCGAGCGCGTCTTCCAAGGTTTTCTTGCCAAAGGATGGAGAGGAGAAGTCGTCTTTTCTTGCGACAGCAGCTGGAGCGGGTATGGGTTGCACCGGCGCGTTCGGTTGTGGGCCTCAAGCGTCAACGAGTGGTGGTAGCAGTTCTCTTTCTTCACAAGACGCAGCAGCAGCGGACCCTCCTTCGCCTGTAGTCGTCTGGGACAAGGCACAGGTAAATTTTCTATCTTGTCTCTCAGGGGTCATCATGATAGAAATGGGGAGCGCAAATGGAAAAATTAGCTTCTGTTGTTGCGAGTCGATTTCTTTAATTCTATGAAGTGCCATACGCATGATCCGTGTGTCAATCGTCATCGCGGAATACTACTCCGGGCAACTAAAGCAGAAGCCTGCGCGTTCCTTTTTTTGGTAGTTGAGGTAAGGTCGCGGGCTCTTTCAATAATTTTGCACTTTCGCAGCAGGTAGATGCAGCACAGTAATGCTTTATCCTTGCCATATCAATTCTAGGACTTCATAGGACTTAAGGTCTCGGGCCCTCTTTCAGTTTCCACTGCAGCCTCCTGGGCACGACATAGAAGATAGGTTGCATCACTGCCCTTTTGCATGTTTATTTTTCGATGCTTCCGTCCTGCCCTCTTTATCCTCTGATAGTAGCTTGATTGGATACGCAGATAACCTTGCTTCTGGAACTGGATTTAGTATAGTAGTGCGATTTTTTTCACTGTTCTCTCCGCTTCAAAGCTTATTTTTCTATGCTTTATCTGCATTGTCTTTGCTTCTTGTTTGTTGGTGTACGCTCCGGGCAACGCGTATGGACCCGCCGGACAGCCATTCGCCACTGCTGTTACTGAGTAAAGGCCTGGGCATCTCTCTCCTTGACATATTAAATATTTTGCAAGTGGCAGGCCTGAATGATGTGCGGCACAATCATCTCAATCAGCGGGCTTAATACTTTCCCATCGTTAATATTTCTTCAGCGCGTCCTCGCTTGTGGTTGTCAAATAAACTAACCTTATCAACATAGGTTGCATTCATGTTCAAAATTTCTTACCGCATTTGCCCATCTTGTGCCTGGTCGCATCGGTCTCGTCACATGTTTTTTGCTTCCTCTAAATCGTCACGGTGGTTTTGCTCTACGTACCTGACACGGTCTTTGCTGGACCACACCGTCCTTACATGGTGACACCCGGCCGCGTTGTCATTCTTGCTCATGCTCTTGTTGACTAGGGGCTTACTGGGCCAGGGCTTCGTAGTTATGTTGCGCCACCCTTCTGACGACGTTGCAGGCCCAGCGCATGCTTGTCCTCGCAGTTGCCATGTATACCCATTCCCATTCCTAAATCTTGCCCGCCTCCTCTGAAGTTCCTTTTCGGTGGTCGTCGATGACAGGACGGTGGTAGGCTTGGATCTGTTTCTTCTGCGGTTCATCTTGCTTTTCTCAAATTAAGCCACTTTTTAAAGACATTGATGCCCGCTGCTTCCCGCTCCGTTTTTTGTCGTGGTAGGTTTCAAGCAGGGGCGCTCCTTCGGTATGGTGTCGGTTTTTTCGTGAGGTTCCATTTTGTCGTAGTATTTGGATGTTGCTGCGGAGGACACAACGCCCACGACCAAAGGTTCCTATATATGTTCCAGGGCGCGGGGCGACGGCCCCCCCCCTCTCCCCCTTTTTGAGGCCTCTGCCGGGGGGGAAGGCCTCAAAAGGCCCCCCTAACCCCCCCTGTCCCCTTCCATGTGCTTGGGGTCCCCTACAGGCCTCGGACGTAGGTGGAAGGCCTCAAGAGGGGCGGCCCCCGCTTCCTCCAAGCTGCTTGGCTGTCACGCTGAGGCCTCCGACGTAGGTGGAAGGCCTCAGGGGCGGCCAAGGGGCTCGCCGCCTCCTCCTCGTTTGCATGTACCTTACAGACTGGAGGGGTTAGATGGCAGCAGTGCACCGGAAGGCCTCCGAAGACGGCAAAAGGCGAAGGGCTGGACCCCCTGGGCCGTGCCGCTTGAACCCTCCGGGCCCTTGGTCATCGGCTTCCCTGCGACCGTGGCCCATCGGAACACGCGGAGAGGCCCAAGGGGAGGAAGGCGCCAAGTTTTGACGCCTCCCAACACTAGAATCCGCGAAAAATCCGCGCGGAAAAGCGCGCGGGCGCGCCACCACAGACCAGACCACCGGATGGGGGGAGGAGGGGGGCCGTGCGGCCCTGGATTATATATAAATATATGCATAAAAATCGTTTTTCTCTGGTGGTGTGGTCACTCTGTAGTTGCTGACCCACTGCACTTACCTTCTTAGAATGAATCAAAAACGAACAGGATATTGCGAAGAAGTTCCGCGAGAGACAGTTGGCGGGCCGTGCAATCATCTGCTTGTTGGGTGGAATTGGAAATGCAAGCGCAAATGAATCTCAGAAAACGCGGATCACGGAAACCGCGAAAAAGTTGGAGGAAAGTACAGCCGCGGATTCGGATCGGGTGGCCTTCGTGACAGGTGGGACTGAAGGGTATCCGCGGGACGAGTTCAGGAAGGGATTTACAGTTAAGGCGCGTGTGTGGAGTCTGGCTCGTGGAGAGCCGCTTGCCCATCCGGGGACCACGGCTCTGAGTCTACCTGCCAGCGATGCTACAGCTACCGAGGAGAGTAACAGAGTCGACAAAAACGAGCAGAGCGACGTTTTGGGGTACCTGTGTGACATAGCTCTGGTCGCAGGTGGCGGAGAGGGTGTAGAAAGGTCCATCAGCTTGATGAAAACGAGAGATGCGCCAGTCATTCCAATTTCTAAGAGCGCAACAGACCTCGAGGGGGTTCCAGAAGAGCAGAAGTCCGTCAGCAATAGAGAGATATACAAGACGGCTCCAAAATGGGCTCCCGCGGCTATGTGGAACAATCGCGATCAACCTGATGGCATTGCAAAACTGGTGATGAGCACGCCAAAGGTAGAAACTTTTCCATTTTCGACATTTCTTGACTGTGGTCCTAGAGGAGATGTTTTCCTCAGTTCTCTTTTTGCACGCTTAGTACGATTACTAGACTAGCCTCCACAAGCTTCGCCCGGCTTCAAGTTAGTTTAGCACTTTCCTGCGGCGTCCCACGGGCTACAGCCGCTAGAGTAGAGACAGCCCGCGGGTGAGCTGTTGCACCTTACGAATTGACTACGACAAGAGCCGAGTGCCGGCGGTGGCCGACTCAGATGCGTCGACTCATGTGCATGGCATTGCGCTGCCTTCGGTTTTTTTTGAGATTGCCGGGGGGGTCATGCAAATTCTTAAGAATTTGCAAGACCCCCACGGCAGTCCAACAAAAAAACCAGAAGAGAGCCACCAGACACGCACAAGAATCCGCAAGCCCCAACGCACGCAAGCGCCTCGCGGTGGCGCCAGGCAAGAACGAGGGGCGACCTTTATGGGCCAAACAAGACAAAGCAACGCAGGGCCGCGCTGCTTGGGTCTCTCTACGCGCTTACACCTGGCGGGGCTTCTTTGTTTCGTCAGATGTCTTTCGTCAGAAACACACGGGCGCACTTCGCGGGGTCGTGCGGCGTCGCGCTTCGGGCTGTGGCTGAAGCCTCTCGGCTGGCTGACGTCTTTCACCAAGCTGGAGACTAAGGCCCTCCATCAGGCTGGTGCCGTTCGTCAGGCCAACGCTCTGCGCCAGGCTGGCGGCGTTCGTCGGGCAGGCCGGCGCCCCTCGGCAGGCGTCTTGGGTCAGGCTGAGGCTTTTCGTCAGGGTCGGGCGACGTCTCTCGCCAGGCTGAAGCGCTTCGCCTGGCTGACATTCCTCGCCGGGCCGAGACTCACGCCTTTGGTCAGGTTGATGGCCTGCTTCAGCTCGGCGCCGTTCGTCAGGCTGATGCACTCGCCAGCCAGGTGAGGCCTCTCGCCAGACCGGCGCAATGCTTCGCCAGGCGTCTGCCTTGCGTCGGAACAGGCTGAGCGGGGCCTTTCTTCGGGCTGCGGATGTCTTTCCTTCGTAAGATTGATTCTGTTCGTTCGTCGGACTGACGTGCTTCGCCAGACTGACCGCGTTCGCCGGACTGACGTCCTTCGTGAAAGGTCTTCGCCATCTTCAAGGGTCTCGCGCCACAGGGAGGCCTCGCGTCAGTTTTTCTGGCGGAGGTCGTTCGTCAGATGTCGCAGGTCTCACTCTTGTCTTGTCGGAGGTCTTGGGCCCAAAGGTCGTCCTTGGTCCAGAGGTCGCCGGTGGTTCACGGGTCGCCTGTGGCCCAAAGGTCGTCTTCAGTCCAAAGGTCGGCTTTGGTCCAAAGGTCGTCTGTGGTCCAGAGGGCGTTTTTGGTCCAGCGGTCGTCTTTGGTCCAAAGGTCGCCTTACTTTGGTCCAAAGGTCGCCCTACTTTGGTCCAGAGGTCGAAGGGTCGCCTTACTTTGGTCCAAAAGTCGTCCTACTTTGGTCCAGAGGTCGTCGCACTTTGGTCCAAAGGTCGGCTTACTTTGGTCCAAAGGTCGGCTTACTTTGGTCCAAAGGTCGGCTTACTTTGGTCCAAAGGTCGGCTTACTTTGGTCCAAAGGTCGCCTTACTTTGGTCCAAAGGTCGCCTTACTTTGGTCCAAAGGTCGCCTTACTTTGGTCCAAAGGTCGCCTTACTTTGGTCCGGAGGTCGTCGCACTTTGGTCCAGAGGTGGCATGTCGTCCCGCGGTCGTCTTTGGTCCCACGGTCGTCTTTGGTTTCAAGGTAGGTCGTCTTTGGTCCCACTGTCGTCTTAGGTCCCAGGGTCTCCTGTGGTCCAGAGGTCGCCGGTGGTCCAAAGGTCGCCCCTGGGTCAAAGATCGTCTTTGTTTGGGCCAAAGATCGCCTGTGGTCCAAAGGTCGTCTTTGGTCCAAAGGTCGCCTTTAGTCCGAAGATCGCCCTTGGTCCAAAGATCGTCTTTGGTCCAAAGATCGGCTTTGGTCCATGTGTCTCTGGTCCAAGGTCTTTGCCCTTTCGGTGGGCGGTCTTTCGTTGGCTGTCTCTCTTTGGACTCTTCTCTCCAGCTTGCGCCCCCACCCCCGTCGGCCATTTTTCTGCCTTCTTTTCTGGTGGTCTGCCACGGGGCCGCAACGTAAATCCCAACAAGAAAACGGCCGGAGCCTATCGGGCTTGAGACTGAGGGGAAAGAGCAGGAGGCTATGGGCAATCGCTTCGCGAAGGAAGCTGACTAATCTCCGAATAATATAGATTAATAATATAGATTTTTTTTTGTTATTTTTTTCATCTATCAACTTATGAGAATTGATCTAACTACAACAGCATCTACTTAGACTTACAAGTAGTTGGGTTCATTATAGTTCTGTTGCAGAAGTATTCCAGTTCCCTTCTTCCATCTTGGCGGGGACACGCGCCCGCTACCAGTGGCTGGTGTTGGACAGTGAAGGATGCTCACTAAGTGCGTAAGTATGATTTATGAGTTCAGCCAAGTAGTGGCAGGCTCGCTTGTCGTGGAGTCGCGAGTACTTGCGCATGTATTTCCGCCTTGACTTCTCGCAGTGGCCTGACGACACGGTCGCACTCGTATACTCGTTGTCCCGCGTGAGGTAGTCCTCCTGTCGTCCCCTTGTCCGCGGTCTTTTTTGTTGAGATTACTTAGAATTATAGGGCTGCCTCTCCCTCACCCTCGTGGTGCCAGGGGAGGCACCCTGCTTCGAGAGTAATGGGCCTGTCGGGCCTGGTGATGTTGGTCTAGAGTTCGGGTTGCTTTTCATGGGCTTTAAAGGAAATAATTCGTTGACGGCTAGCTACTTGTAGTCGATCCGTTGGCGAGGGTCGTGGTGTGGTATTGAGTACTAAGCAACGGCGCGGCCCCAGCACGCTTTCTCCTGATTTTCTGTGGTCAAAGAGGACCGCTCCCTTCTTCACATCATGGGCGACAGATATGCCCGCGACGGCGCTAGGCTCACTTGTGTGCCCTGGCGCTGGCCGGCCATTTAAGGCTGAGAAAGCTGGAGTCGACTAGCCGGCAGTGCTGCGGCCGTGTGGCCTACTTAGCTACCAGCCGTGCCATCTTTCTCGAGATGCTCAATTTGCTAGTTGGTGTCAGCCCCATGCCCATCCGCTCTTGAGGGGCCTCCCCGTCCCTGATAATATGGCAGTGAATGTGTGTAGGCAGAAAAGCTGGGGGAGAAGCCCTAAGCCCTAGGCGGAGGAGGTGTGGCTTGTTGGAGACAAAAAGTGTATCCCCGTTTCGTGTGATTCTACCGGGTGCGAACAAGGGCTAGGGCTACCCACTGGGGGAATTTCAAACCTTAGTGGTAGAAGGCTTAGGGCGATGGCGATGCGGCGTAGGAGTCAGTGCGCCTTTCGCTTTTTTGGCTTTGTTTTTTTCCTGCCACTATGAGGCATGTGTGACGCAGGTCTATATGGCCGGCCCAGCCTCACGGGGCCAAGAATAGAACCACTTACTTTACAGTGAGTCGTGGCGAGATGCTTCCTTTGTTTGTTGTTGCAGTTCTTGTCTCTTTTTTTGTGATGTTGCGCACTTTCTGGTTTGTACTATTGAGCATTGTCCGACCAATCGATCGGGCGCCAGGATTGTCAACTATCATATGGAGGGCCCGTGCCCAAATTGGAAGTAAAAATGGAAATGACGTTTTTAACCAGTTCTTGTCTTTGATTTTAGATCTCATACAGACACCGACTAAGGCAAGGAGCATACAAGCAAAAGCTATTTTTAATATTATGACTTTGATCTTCTTCCCTTACCCTGATTTTGTCTTCATCACACACTCATCAATCCTCCTCCAGATGATGGCGCAAGAATTGCGTGGCCAGCTTCGTTTACCTGGTGGTGCAACAGCCATTTGCTTCGTGGGGGGTTTAGAGAATAACGCCGGACTTTCAGAAGCGCAGAAGGCCTCGATGGAAAGCTTTTCAACGTCGCTTTTAGATAAGACTGCAAAATACGGACGAAAAGTGGTTTTCGTCACAGGGTGGAAGGTAAACGGACTCTTCGAGCATTTTAATAGCATCCAGAAGTTGGGGCGGTCGGGTCGTTTGTGGAGTGTTGCAGCACCTGATGCGGGCGAAGCGCCACCTGGAGGCGCGAAGTTGCTCAATCTCGGCATGGGTTTCGGAGGCTTGGAGACTGATAAAGCTGCAGGCGATACTACCTCGAGAAGAAACAGAATTATAAGTGAAATCTTGGGCGGCGATGGCCTCTGTGATATTCTGGTCCCTATGGGTGGCGGCGGCGGCACGATGGCTACCATTGAAGCAGCGGGGCGCAGGGGTACTCCGATCATTCCAATAAAAGGGTTTGGAGGGGCAGGTGACAAATATTTGCAAGCTACTCAGGACGCACCGGATTGGGCTGCGAAGGAAATGTGGGATAATCATGCACGTGGAGACGAAGCAAACGCCGATGCCGCTCTCAAGCTTGTGCTGAACACGCCACAGGTACATCAAAAAAGTTCCCGACTTGCTGGATGATTCGCTTTCGCTGTATATGTCTAAATCTGAAATAGATGAAACAGTTTTATGCGAGTTGCATCTCATGCAGCTCCTCTGTGAGCAGCTTGTAAGTTTAAACTTCATACCTTGTTCGTCGATCTAAAAGCCTCGTTGACAGAAGCAATGAAGACTGTTGACACTTGCGTAATTCTGAAGAACCCCTTATAGGAGACGGCGCTGAATTTTCCTCTTTTTTGACCACTAGATGCTGGCGCGACATTTTCGGGAGACGCAGATTCCAATGGGTGCTACGACCATTTGCGTGCTGGGATCTAAAGAGAAAGCAACGCCGGACGACAATACGATGCTGAAGGGCGTGGTGAAGAAGGTGGTGCAAGAAATCGACTCTACAGGAAGCAAAGTGGCGTTCGTCACTGGTGGAATGCCAGGCTATCCTCAGGGAACCGCTGCTGAAGTGTTGGGTAACACCGGACGCCTATACAATCTGGCAATGGTGGGGTCGACGCTTCCGTTTCATAGCGAAGAAGCTACAAAGCTAGAAGTTCCAGCCATACTTCGAGAAAGGGAAAAAAACGTAAAGAGCACGATTTTGGGTGAGCTCTGCGATGTGGCACTAATCGCGGGTGGGGGTGAAGGGACTGCGATTTCGCTGAATGCCATGGCGCGAAGGAAGGGCACCTACGTTATTCCGGTTCCGGGTACCTATGCCGCAGGCGCCGTAAGTGAGGCGATCATCAGCGAAAACTTAAAGCCGCAATGGGCTCCCGCGCAATTGTGGGCAAATCTCGGTCGCGCGCAGGCTTCTGTTGAAGCCGTGGCGAACCTCGTGGTTGCAGTCCCTAAGGTATCACCGTATGATCCATTTTTTAGAAGTGTTGTGCCGCTGTGAGTTCCACAGAAATAGTACAGCTTGTTCTTGTTTTATGATTTTTTGCATCTAGTAATAGTGTCTGATTAGGGTAGAAGGTATCAAAGGAAGTGTATGAGTTTTTTGTTTGTGTTTTATTGAATATTTTATTCGAGAATCCACGACTTCATCTCGTCACGAACGAACTACAAGCACTAAATAAGTAGTGGTGCTTACTTTTGTTTTCTCGAGCTCGACCTTGACTACTTAGAGTAAATATGTATGAAGCCTCCAGCGACTCCTTTAGCCGAGGCAACCCATCCGATCCTACCCCATCTCATTGTTCGTAACATGTACATGCTTACTGTTATTGTTAAAATACACAACCACTGAGATTGCTGCTCGAGATGTGCGCAAGCAAATGCACTTCTCTGTGAAAACAACGGTTTGCCTGGTTGGTGGCGCTGCCAGCGAGGCTGCGGGGAAATTCGCGACGAAGCTTGTCGACAACTTTCCTGCTGATGGAGCAATCGCATTTGTGTCGGGTGGGATCTCTGGAGACGCAGCGGAAGAGGCTTTCCACAAAGCTTTCTTGACCGCAAATCCTGCAGGTCGGACGTACTATCTGCAAACACAGGGCAAGGCCCCGGCCTCGGATGATAAGTCACTGGATCTGACAAGCAAGCTTGGTCCCGCTTTTGGAGCACTGGAGGAAGACAAAGTGTCACGAGAGGAGAAAGACATCAAAAGTGCAATCCTCGGAGAGCTTTGCGATGTGATGTTGGTTGCAGGTGGTGGGCCAGGCGCGATCATGTCGGTCAAAGCAGCTGAACGAAGAAGCGCTCCAGTCATTCCGCTGCCTGGAACAGCAGGGAACGGTGGCTACAGTGACCAACTCATCGCGAAGGGAGAGAAGCCGCAGTGGGCCCCTGCAGCGTTGTGGGAAAATGGCAAACAAAGCGTCGAAGGCGCAGTTGCTCTTGTGATGAACACCCCACAGGTAGAGGGCTTTGATTTCGTGATTCTTTGATAAGAGTACTATAGGCGCGCACGAGGATGAGACCAGCCTAGATCTGGAGTATGGCTCCTTGGGTCCTCTCTGCTGCTTGCATGAGATCTTTAGGAAACGTCGCTTTTGAGTAATTTTCAATTGATGGACTGCGACTGACTCTTGATGGTCAATGCCGTTGTGGGGATGATGTGCTTAGGCTGTCGCAGTCGCTCCCTGTGTTTCTTACAACCAGTATAGAACTGTCCTCAAGCGCCTGGGCGAATCGATCCCCTCTATGTGGGCCTCTCTCAAGGGGGCCCGGGGCTTTCTGAAGTACGCCTGGTGGCATCCTTATATAGGTGTGGGGGCTTCCCTGAGAAGCAACTTGACGGCTCTGCTTATAAAGATAATGCCACGCACAAAGCGTCCCGACTTTTGGATCAATGCTCGAGCCTGTCTCGAACTTTTGGCACTATAAGTAAGGGTCAACGATTGTAGGGGCCTCAGGGTCGACTCCGCTAGCTTCCTCTGCCACAGTAGCCACGCCAGGCAGCCACACCAGCCAGCCTCGCCTGCCACGGCGAGGTGCCACGGCCTTAGCCTGGCAGGGTGAGCTACTGTAGTCTGCCACAGCCAGCTGGCCCAGCCGCATTTCGCTAGCTTTGCCCCAGCTGAAAAACTCCCAGGAATTTTGTACCGGGTAACGGCTATCCAGCCACATTAATTTGTGGGAGGGTTCGTCTAGTATCTGGTCAGCGTGTGTCGCGCGATTTCTAGGCCGCCGGCGCCCTCTGCGCAGGCTCTCGGATCTGGTATCCAGATAGCACTAGAGACGCCGTGTGCACGTGTACTTACTTTCTACTGTCTCCTCCTTCAAAAAGAAGTAGCCCAGACACATTCTAGTAGCTGTCCTGTCGTCCAAATATTCAGATGTTGGCTCACACATTGCGTGGAAATGGGCAACCTTTCGAGGGGAAAACAGTTCTCTGTATGCTGGGAGCCTCAAAGGAAAGTCCAGAAGGGGAAGAATCTTCTATTTTGACCAAAATGGGAGCTGCGGCTAAAACTGTAGCCTCCACTACTCAAGGTATGGTCATGATTGTAACAGGGGGCCTTGCGGACGATGGGGTGACACTGGCTGTTGGAAAGGCATTCCCGAACGACGATGCCAACTACAAAGGCCTTGTGTCGCTGAAGTCTATCGAAGAGAAACTCGGGATCACAGACGCGGAAAAAGGTAAACAGGACGAAAAAGACATCAAAAGCGCATTTCTCGGACAGGTCTGTGATGTGGCTCTTGTTTACAAGGGTGGTCAGGGTGTTTGGATCACACTCGAAGCATTTGGTCGCCGGGGGGGTGTCCCAGTTATTCCGATGGTGGGGTCCGGTGGCGCTGCTAATGTTTTGGCAGAGAGACCGCATCCGGATTGGGCTCCAGAGGAGCTGTGGAAAACAGAGAAGAATGAGGAGAAGCTTCTCAATGGAGCGCCGCCGGTACCAAGCAAAAATATTACTCAACTATGATAGCCATAGCCTTGTGTTTCTTCTAGTTCGAGCACCAGTTGTAAGCCTTTTTGTTGCAGTGAAGTAAGTAGAAGATGCAGATATTTAACGTTACTTAGCCTTATGAAGCTGGGTAATTCCACCCGCTCCACGTGGGCTGGGTATCTCTTCATCATCAAGAATGGGAGCCGAAGCCGCTTACTACCATGGCTTTCTCCTACGAGGATGGTTCCGCATGTATCATATCCACACTTCTCAAACAAAGATGAGGCGCTGTGGGCCTTCTTGGAACAAGAACAAGTTTAGCACTCAACATTCTACTGTTCCGTAGATGGAGATCTTGTTAAGTGGGCGGACTGTTACATTCTGCCTAGAAGACCTGAATCCCTCGACTTCTGGTCTGTCGTGGCGTCCTTTGTCTATGGCAAGGGAAACCGCGACAGAGCAAGATGGAGCGACGGATCTGGTATGTTTTTCGTAGGTAATCGAAAACTCAAAATAACCGAGTTGCTGACTGAAATAAGGAGGGGAGCTTCACATCAAGGCTCCTCTTCCTTCTCGTCAGTATCTCGGATATTCTGATCAGCTATCGAATAGATCGGTCGGCCCTGGGGATGTGCGTGTTTGCTTTGGGGTGGAGGTTCTAAATGTTGATATTCGTCGTGATCGTGACGGGGATGAGACGCACTTCCAAAGTGCGATCTTGCGTTTTTAGGGAAGGCTCAACTCTACATCCGTCCGTCCGCAGCTTCTCCTTCATCTCGTGATAGCTACTTGCCTTGCTCGGTTGCGACACGCTGCTAAAGTGCCGCGTGCTCCTTTCTTCTCTTGTACTTAATGATTTTACGTTTTTAGTATTATTCGTTCCATGAAGATGAGCCTGACAAGGTTGGCAGCACTGGAGGGCACGGACGGTAAGAAAGGTTTTTGTGTTTCTTGTGCCATGAGTTGTCTGTGACGTATTTGTTGTATGAGTCACCCTAGCTGATGGTTGATCTGTACTGGTAAGTCTACTACCGCATTGGCATTTTCGATTACGTTTTCGTGACGTTGTTTCGTGTGTGGAGGGGTTGTAGCTATGATGTGCATTGTCTTTGTCGTCCTTGTCAAGGACTCCTTGATAATAAAGTCATGTTGGCCCTCGACTCGTCGAGCGGGACTGTCTGAGAAGATGGCATCATTGTGCTAGATGTTGTTTGAGTTCTCACGCCCTATTTTTACTATGTCTAGCTAGATTAGATTAGATGAAAAAGAATAAGAATATAGAATCTCATGTCGATACAACTACCACATCCTCGTGATCGTGTCGCAGCTGCGACAAATGTTCCTTGGAAGTCGTTCTTTGATCTTGGGACCTACGTTCGATTCCTTCTTTTCTAGCTATTCTTCCTCATCTATACTTGGTTCTAGAAGACAACGCCTCCTAGTATAATTTTTGATCATGTTTTCGATTTTCACCTGCTCAGATCTACGCGCACACCATACGAAGCAAGATGGGCGCTACAGATAAGACGATCGTTTGCATGGCAGGATCAGAAACCGGTTTCCCCGTGGTCGAAACGCGGGAGAGCGTTTTGGCGTCTTTCGTGCAAGGTCTTAGAAGTACAGAAGGTCATGATCAAAAATGTGCCTATCTGACTGGTGGAATGAGCGGATTTCCTTCAGAGCCGTTCGCGAAGGCTTTGCCAGGTTCTTTTGCTTTGGCGCCGCAGACGGCGAATCTTCAAGCTGCGCCGAGCGAGCAGGCTGTAAATGCGATCACCCTCCCCGAGGGCTTCAAACCGGAAGGGACGGGAAACGCCAAGGAGCTTCAACAGGAGAAAGATATCAAGAGCGCGTATCTTGGAGCAGTGTGTGATGTGGTGGTGGCCGCTGGTGGCGGAAAGGGTACCGTGATAACCAAGGAGGCAATGGAAATGCGGGGGAAGGCAGTGATCGAACTCACGCCGGGAATGACAGAAGATAAGGCCAGACAGCTAGGAGGTGGACTTGCTGAGCCAACACAGCCAGCAGAAACCTAAACCCCTCGATCGGGGAATATGAGGGGGTGGCCTTCCTCGTCGGGGAAAGCAAGGGGTGGAGGACAACTTGGGGTGGTTATGGTTTGTGTGGTTTTTTATGGGTGTTGGTTCTTTTTAGATGGCAGTAAATTGGGTGGGACAAAATCATGATGGAAAGTAGGCTAATTCCGTTTCAATATCTTGAGGTTCGTAAGATTGGGACTCCGACTGTGCATATTTCTACCGAAATCTTGCAAGAAGGAGGAGTCCGCTACGACTACTTCTTCATGAAGATCATGTTTAAGGGGTCAACTAGGTAGTCCTCTACGTGGTCATGATCATGTTTCAGGAGTCTGCTGCGACTACTTCTTCATGATCATCATATTAAAGGGGTCAACTACGTAGTCTACGTGGTCATGATCATGTTTAAGGAGTCTGCTACGACTAGTTCTTCATGATCATCATGTCATCTAGATCTACGTAGTCTACGTGGTCCTCATCATGTCGGTTTCTTAAGATTGTGATAAAAAGACTGTTTTTCTATGTGTGGGGGAGGTTGCTTCGTCGATGTCTTCAGCGAGTCGTCGAGGATGGTGGCTTCTAGTGCTTGTGCAGAAAGTATCTATTTTCTTGTACCCTGTTGTTCTAGAAGGTCCGCCTACTTGACGATTTTCTTGTACTCACTGAATACGAGAAGAAGTGCCGAGTACACAAAGTTCTTGAGTACTCATTGAACAAGACCCAATATTCATATTGAGTACTCAACATCGAAGACGACAATCACTGACTTGTGGTAATCAAAGACATGATCAAGTCACTGATGATGATGTAAAAGCTGGTGCTACGGATGAAGGCGCAGGCACCTCCTCGACACCTGCATGATCTCGAATTCATCTATTACTAAGTAACTTTCTTAAATTCTAAGGCCGCTTACCCTTACGAGACTAAAACTATTAAGTGTATGGCGAGAGGACTAAGACTATTCAGTATGTGCATGTTCTCTGTAGTTTTTGTCTATGATGGTCTCCCTGGTGGTCGTGCTTGTTATGTAGTCTTTCTAGGAGGTAGGAAAGGAAACCATGTTGGAAGCGCGTGGCAACTCACTTCTTCCATGTGCCATCATGTTTTGAGTGATCAAAAATGTCTGTAGTGATCAAAGTCTGGACCTTCTATCGCTTTCCTCTTATTTATCCTAGGTCTAAAAAGTTCGCTTTCCTCTTATTTATCCTAGGTTAGTCGGGCTCCAATCAAAGAACTACGCTACTACGCAATAAAAGTACTACGATCGATTTTCGTCGGACCACGAATGGATTGCCACTCCTCTACTCAGGAGGTGGGAAGCTACTTACAACTAGGGACTCTACGGACTCAGACTGGCTGGTTTTCTTCATTCTTAGCAATTCACTTACACGACTTAGTTGTATTCAATATCAATATTAATATCAGACTGTCTATTATATCGCCGGTGGCTAAAGCTATTGTTCAATATTATCAAACTGTCTTATTCTTCAGTACTATATCGCCGGTACTAGACGAGAAGAACCTACCACGCGGGATGTTAATCGATCAGTCTGATAATATTGAATATAGCAGACAGATTTAGGCTTTGTCTGTTGAGAAGAATAGAATGTACTTTGCTGGTTTGCCCAGGTCCATCTCATTAATGTTGGAAAAAGCTTCCTAATAAAAGGTGAAAGTATAGTACAACTACAAGACGAGGTCCTCTTGGGTCTTCTAAAGAGCACTAGTTGTTGTTGTAGTGTTTTCATGAAAAAGTTTTTTCCAGGTTGTTAGAGTACTAGTTAGAGTAGAGCAGGAGGCGGGATCCATCATGCTCTAGGTAGCAGTAATTTAGAGTTAGAGTTGAGTTAGACGGGAGTAGAGGACGTCCAGCATGGTCGTGAAGGCCGTACTTCGTTCTCGCGAGAAGTGAGGAGGTTATAGACTCCCTTTTCCTTCTCTTTCTCTTGCTCATAATGTATGATCGTAGCTGCAGGATGAGATATTAGAAGTGGAGGGATTCTACTCGATAGTAAGAGGAGTAGGATCGATACTAAGAGTTGAGGATATTAAGAGTAGCCTAGGATATTAAGAGTGGAGGTATTGTTCTTGTTGAGATAGGACAGGATATAATAGAGTGATCGTTCTTGTACTCAATAATTAATGACTTCGAAAAAGTTGCATCTGAAGTTAGGTCGCCTGCTCCACGACATCAATCTCAGAAGTAGTTGTCGTGTGTCGTGCTGGTGCACTTGATGATGTTTTTCTTTCCTTTGATCGATGTATTCCTATTCGGTACTACGACCAAGTAACGTTAAAAAGTCTAGTCATTCTTGAAAGTATGTGATCTTGCACCAATGAGTGGTCATTGAATGTGACTGCGCACTAGGAGTGAATGAATGGTCATTGAAGGTGACTGCGCACCAGGAGTGAATGGCCATTGAAGATGACTGCGCACCAATGAATGTGATTGCTTTGTTCTCATATTTTCGATCGATTTTTCTCATATCTTAAACTACTTAAACAGATCTTCATCATGTCGTCGCACTCGTCCCTAGGAGCAGGTATTACGTCACTGGGTGGCCGTGGCCTGAAGATATGTAGACGGAAATAGCTACACAAGAGGTGCCATGACATGACACGGACGCCCATTGCATGCGGCATCGCACCAATGAGCTTTCTGAGCAATCTACTCAGGTCACAAGGCTGCAGTAGATGGCACATGAATGGTATGCGAACGCGTCTACTAAGTTCACCAGGTCGCACATGGCGTGGTGTGCGAATGCAGGATGGAAGATAGAAGAGTTATAAGTAGATAGAGTGATGTTGACGTCTTGGTTCTATGAAATCAATAATGAATTCAAAAAAGAGTAAGTCGTGAAGAAGGAACTGAATCTGAAATAAAGCATGATGAGTTACTTATGTTGTTGAGCATGTTTTTGCGCCCAGCTGACGAGATTATATAAGACCGAGTAACATCAAGAGGATGCAGCTCTTAGTCCCTCTTCACAATATTACTCAAGAAAATTATGGACTATATATGACTGGCTTCTGTAGTTGTACTAGTCAACATAATTGTTCACCTCGACCCAGAAGTGGAGAAGTGTCTCGTCTGTGAATTATTTAACGGGAGGGCAACGGGCAGCTGCAGCGTGGACCCGCTGGCACTGGCAACTCTTACAGCCATAGTTGTAAGCAACTCTTACAGCCATATTAGTTGTTAGCAAATCTTACAACATCTACAACAATCCTTGTGGCTAGTGCAGCGTCTAATGCTATATGGCTTGTGCCGCTCCAGCATCTGCCAAAGCATCATCCTTCTTGAGTGTTTTTTAAGTAAGTAGATGAAAAAAGGCAGCGCAGGAGATGCTATCAATACGACCTAGCCTTTAAAAATATGACTGGATATCGAGATGATCAGATAGACTGCAGCCAGAGGGATAGAAGCTCTAGTCGTGCTCCTAAAAAATAAGTATAGACGATTTGACTTTTTTGTATTCTCGTCAGCTCAGGCAGCGTCAGGAGAGACATTTGACATTTATCGACAACACAAAGGTTTCTCTCCCTTCATGCAGTTCGTTGAAGTTTCTTCGTGTCAATATTTATAGATCAATCATGTTGATAGAAAAAAAGATTTAGTGGATATAATTTTTATTTCGCGGAGTCGAGCTGCAGGTGCTGGTGTAGTTCGATGTGCAGGATCCTCCCGAAGAACCGAGCCTAAAAACCATTTAATCATAATGGCAATACTCAGCAAGTTGCGCGGATGAAGTATAACATCAGCAATCGTGTGGCGGGACTATTACTATCGCAACTAGTTAGAATTTTTTTGCTCACCAGTTGCACTGAAATTTTTAGTTGTAGTACAACTACACGACTACGTCTGTTACAGCTATTTCTACTAGAGTACATATTTTTCTAGCAAAGGCTCAATGTTAGCCCAAAGGCTCAATACTGCCCAACGGCTCAATGTTGGCCCACAGGCTCAATGTTGGCCCACAGGCTCAATGTTGGCCCAAAGGCTGACTCTAGCAGAAGAGGGCACTTGAACCATCAAAAAAGATGGATGTCAACAGTCTGTTGCAACTATTTCGCTTACAGATGAAATTTTAGAACTACTTGGGTTGAAGCTTATTATTTAGGGAGATGAATCTACCCAGGATGAATCTTCTATTTAGGTTGAAGCTTTTTTAGTGAGACGAATCTATTTAGTTCTGTTAAAAAGGCGAATCCACTTCGGAAGGTGAATGTGCTTAGGATGAGTCTACGGTTTAGTAGTAAAGTTAGACCTGACTGGTGAAAAGTCTCACTTGCTTGTTCCAAGAGAAAGACGTCGTGGCGATGGTACTATACTAGAAGATACTAGAAGAGGACTCTCAAAGCAGGGGCGAATGGGTCAGATGCCATCACGCACTGACAACACACGACTTACAGATGATCAAGACGCTTCTGTTGTGAACAGTTGGACTAAGCTGATACTGCCTTTTTTTACTGGTTCCCTAAGACTTTTCATCTTTGAGATTGCACTATATTTCTTAATATTCCAAGGTCTACATCATTTGCTTACTAGGAGCAGCCAGATGAAGATGAGAAGTGCTCAGGATCCTACTAAGCAGGCTGATGCTGGTGCACCTAGTGTAGTTTTAAACAATACGATCCGCGATGGGATGAATCTGCTTCGGAGGAATCTTCGAAGATCTTCTTAGTGCTGAGATATGACAGCTCACAGGAATCATCATCCATCTCAAAACTCCGCAACGCTTCTGCTTGTTCTTCTTGTAGCAACAGTCGCTCCTATTGTACTCAACTACATCTTCAAGGAGTTCCTCCTTACGAGACTGGTGTTCGAACAAGTGGGAAAAATGCTGTACTAGGAGAAAGAAACGACCCAAACCATTTCTAGCACTAGTGTGTAGTACTAATAGAGAGGAGCACGACTAGAAGTACTGGTACTAGTCGTTCTCCTCTCTACTAGTGGTCAGTTCCAGTACTATACAGAGCTGGATCATACAGAGCTAGAAAGGAGATCTACGAGAATCAAAAACGAGCAAGAATGTTTTTAGAACGATCATGAGAAAAACAATAAATCGAGTCTCTAAAAAGAGATCCTTTATGTATTGTAGAAGCTGTTGCTGTGTTCTTCGAGTCGCTCCAAAAGGAGACGAGTAGACGAGAGTGAGGGCTGATGAAGCTTGTCGCATCTTTTTTAGAGACATTGTCGTGCCACTTTTGAGAGTTAGTCGTGTGGCGAAGCATTGATGTAGTTCGTTGAGAAAACTTCCAAGGTCGTTTCTGTTTCAATCTTCGGTGCAAGTCTCTCCTCTGTTTTCCTTCGGTTTTATCGAGTTATTAACTGGTGCCTGCTGAAGAGGTGAGTGTTGACTATATTAACATCAGAAAGTAGGACTACGTCGATGAAACTTACCATCATCTACTTCATCTTGTGTAGAAGAATGCTTAAGACTGTGATTTTTAGCCATCTTCGCCATCTTCAATCATGTGTAGACAGAGCCAGAGGTAGAGGTGGATGAACAATTATAATCACACAGACAATTCGAACTCGCCAAGACTGAACAAAATTACCGCTTCCCCAACATCTTAGTCACGATTTCCAGGAGAAGAGCGGAGCCCGTGACTTCCTCGCTTTTATCGCACACTATTCGTTTTCAACTTCAACTTGTTTGAAAAGTAAAAAAAAACTGCTTCATCTACTGAGGAGACTACAAGAATTTGCTGTTCTTCTACGTCTAGTACTTTCGCGAAGATCTAGATCATACAGTTGGTATGAAGAACTTGTTTCTAAAACAAGCACTACTAGGATTATCACTCACAAGTAGAACGAGAGTTCTTTCTAGGTCAGCACTTCTTGAATACTAGTAGTACTAGTATCTCGCCACGCACTATACGTATACTGAAAGAGAACCATCTGCATACTTGAGAAGATATTCACAACTACAACGAATCTGGACCAATCAAGATCAAGAAATTGTGCTCTTCTTCGCTACTTTTTGGACGACAACATTCCAACTTGTTTTACTTTGCATCAACATCGCTGCTGGGACGCAGGCAGTTGACGGACAGAGCACAGAAGCGCAAGCAGAGCTTAGGCAATAGAAGTAAAAAAGACTCGACGAACAAAGTTCTGATCGGTTTACGCAGGTACTATTCGGGTACTATTCTTTTTTTCCTCAACGAGCATGCATGAGAATCATTCTACCAACTGACTAGTTATTTTAGTTATATCTTCCTCATTCACAACATCTGGGTTACAACTTCTTATAATTATGATATGATGTTGCTTGAATACATCAAATTCTACTCCGTTCCAGTTGTATTTGACAAAGTAGTTGTATTTGATAAAAGAAACTCCTCTCTAGCTTCTATCACAAGCTTCTCAACTTCAGGGACAAGTTCGTTCAAGTCAAAGCTTTACATTCTTTGGATAAAAGTGACATTTTGAGTTCACTCGGTGGACAGTTTGTAGGGCCTTCCTCCGGGTCTGAGCGAGGCCCCGACTTTGAATGTGAAAAAGAAGACTCTTGTAGCCCGCTTCGTCTTTCCGTACTATTAGTCGGGGGAGCTTATTGTAGTATGGATCCAAAAGTCCAGTGCGTTGTAGTATTGTGTGTCGTGACGTAGTATCTAACAGAAGACGCACACGCACATAGTATTTAACAGTAACAGACAGAAACAGAATTGGAGGTATATAGTATATGATCATTGCTGCGCGTTAGCGTTTCCCAGGAGCTGGCTAAGAAGCCAGTACTGGAGGTTCTATGTGATGTCGCTAGACACAGTCACAGCAGGAGCTGCACTACATTAGCGTGGCGTGCTTCTCAGCACTAAGATTTGCAGATTTTTGCTGGTCCAACTGTGCCTTGCTTGTGCGTCGTGTTTCGTTGGGTCATCTCGACGCCGGGTTCTATGCTTGTGTTTGGTGTGGTTCTGTGCGTAAATGATTGCGGTTTTTTGTGCTGTGTCTCGTAGGGGTGGGAGACGAGAATTTAGACCTTCCAGATAACAAAAAGGTGGAAAATCCTAAGCCTTCTAAACAAGGCTAAACACAACTCCCATGAGTGAACGTGAAGGAAGCGAGGGCTCCTTCCCTAGCTAGATGAAGCGATTGAAGGTGCCTAGCGAGAAGAAGGTCTAGTGAAGTATAGTTGTCATTTTTGATATTTTCATAGTCGTGACAGTGAGTGCTAAAGCTAATGACCTCTCCGCAGGCGAGCCCGCTTCCATCCTATTTCATCTCTAAGAGAATTTCATCTCTAAGAGCAGGACGAGGGTATCTAGTTGTATGTGCTAGATGAGAAATAGTACTACCAGTTGCCTCCCCCTCATCTACTTTTGGATGCCTCCGCGGTCTCTCGTATGGGGATACTGCTTCTGCTAACTACGCAACACCCACAGCTCGCAGCGTGACATGATGTTGTGAGCAGTGAGCGTTGCAGCGTGGGTCTAACTTTTGAGGTCTACAATCTCAGACCAGTAAGTTAATTAAGCGCTTTACCGAAGGCGAAGGGTGTGTGCTTTGTTTCGCTTTTGTAACATCTTTATCCGACTTCTAAGTTTTTAGTTCGTTTTGTAGGCTTTGGACCTGCATGACTATGCACCTACGTTCACCCGCCATGTTTTGTTTATATAATGTTATTTAAACATGCAGGCGCCTCAGCCTGGGGGGCATCATACCAAACACTTACCAAGAATTAGTTTGTAAAAAGTTCATGAAAAGTGAGGAGCACAATTTCTTCTTGGCCCACCCCCTCATACGTAGTTGACACGAAACTGACGCGCACACAATCAGGCATTCGCATTCTGGGTCAGCAAGCGCAAGGCACTTTCGAGACTCTTCTTCAACAAGAATAGCAGCCATCTACGGTAGACCCCGTAAAAAAGAAAAAAGATGGAGGGCCAGCGTTGGGATACGGCACAAGACGTAGACGATTACGTCTTGGAGAAAACCATGATGAAGATTCTGCAGGAGGAGAACGATTAAGGCTTTCTTGATGGGGGTCATTCTGGATGAAAGGGTCGCGATCAAGGAATATCTTGATGAGCGACCGGACGAATATTTCTGGATGAGAGGGTCGCGATCAAGGAGTATCTTGATGAGCGACCGGACCCCTTCCAGGACTCCCCAGAAGTATGCTCTAAAACAATGACAAAGGGGCGCTTCCGTCTCAGTCGTCGAATACCAAGGCGCCGCCACGAGGTGGAGGCTGGGCATGGCAAGTCTACGCTTACATTGCGCTGATGTTCTTCACCTTCTTCTGGGTGGTGGACCTGTCCGCGGGTGGTTTTGTTTTTATGGGGATTGTTCAATAAGTTAATCATCGATCTGCAGATGAGATGACTTAATTTGTTCAATGAAGAAAGACATTAGAATTACCAGGGTGCATGTGCTTCGATAGGCATAATCCTAAAAGCATTTTGTTGCCGAGGTCTCTAGATGTTGAAAGGCAGACACTTCGACTTCCACTCTTTCGAAATGTGCCCAACGAGCATCCGTCCCTATGATCCTCATTGGCCCACGCCAATTGACCCACGCCAATTGACCCACGCCAATTGACCCACGCCAATTGACCCACGCCAATTGGCCCACGCCAATTGGCCCAAGTCAACTGACCCACGCCCGTTGACCCATGTCAACTGACCCAAGTCAATTGACCCACGCCAATTGACCCATGTCAATTGACCCACGTCAATATCTTGAGTTCTGTTCTTTTTCCTAGGTAGTACGAAGGTGCCACATGACCCATGATCCAGGTCTTCGATCATTTGCAGTCTCAATTTCGTGTGTCTCCTGCATCCTGGTCTCCCTCTCTTCTTCTCTATTGTTCTTGGGCTTGTCGCTTATAGGGGCCTGGACCATTCAAAGTCTATACCTTTTTTATGGCACGATGGCACTCTGTGGCTAGGTGAAAGGTGGCTTGTTGCTGTTTTTACTTTTTATTTCGTTTTTGTGACTACTCTTTCTGACCCCGCCCTCTCTTCCTGGTCTTGATAGTGAATGATACGGCTATGGCGAACGGTAAGTTTTACATACTGATAGGTGTACACTTTAGAATAGATTCAAGCACTGAGTTCTCTGCTTCTTCAAAGCTTCTTTCGTTTTTGTTTCTGCACCCTCTTCGCCTCCTCATACATAGTCTGTCGGCCTGCTTCGCTGATCTGGGTGGAAGCAGCGTGTGTCTGTGTGCGGGCCTCTTTTTTCTTTCTTTAATGATAATCACAATGACGATGGCGGTGGGGCAACAGATTCGTTAGCATTAGTTCATTTAAGTCTCCTTTTAGATGATCTACTAGTACCATGATCTGGATCTCTAATGCGCCACCCTGTTCCACCGTCACTGCCTTTCTTTCACCTTAATCGGCTCACTTTCCCTGTTCTTAGGTTACCCTTCCCGGCCGCATGATAATTCTTAGAAAAGTAGAGAGAAGGCGTTGTCTTTGATGGTTCAAGGAATATTATTAATAAAGTAGATACATTTACATAAAGGGAGTAGAAGTCATCCCCTGTCCTCATCATGATAATGACCCCTGTTCTCGATACAGGAATACCTAGCCCAACTTCTAGTGACCTTGTCTAACCTCCTCACGGCAGTCAGCAGTCTCGTGTCTACTCCGAATCAAGCGCCGGCTCATGACTCTTCGGGCAGACAAGGCGGCGTTAAGACGGGGCAGGAGCCGTCGCTTCGCGGCTTTGGTGCTAAGCTCTACCAGCAGGCGAGCACGTCTTCCAAGTTTATCCTGCCAAAGGAGGGAAAGGGGCAGTCGTCTTTTCTTGCGACATCAAATGCTCCGGGCTGCAAAGGGGTGCTCGGTTGTGGTGCTGAAAGTCCGCCGAAGTCGAGTGATGCAGCTAGTAGTTCTTTCTTCGCTCTTGCCGTAGGGACAGATCCCTGGGAGCACGCGGCGGTAAATTTCCTATCTTGTCAGCCTCTCAGGGTCATCGGTATATTGACTAGAGCAAAAGGCAGCGCCGATAGAGGTTGTCTCCTTTGTTTGATATCATAAAAAATGAGTTGGGCGAGGTAGTTTCTGGGCGTCTCCAATGGTATTACTAGACCCTCCGAATGTTGACGAGGCCAGGGCTTTTCTCGTCGTGCGGCCTAGCTCTTTGCTTGGTTTTGGCTAGTTTAAGGAGGCGGAGACATCTCGGGACCGATGCGTGGCGCCATTCTGCTAGCTTTGCAGTGGACCAGCGGAGCGGGGCGACCCTCCCGTGGATGGCAAAGTCTGGACTCTACATGCGTCTCCAAAGGGGCCGCCCCCTCCTGGAGGCTCTGGTCGGGGGTGCTTTGGAGGGGTGTCAAAAAGGGAGACAAAAAGGGCCCAACTTGACACCCCAAGCAAGGCGGGCCATCTATTTTCGACCATTTTGGGCTCAAAAGTGTCGCCCTAAAGGGCATCCCCTAGGCCTCACCAGGTTGGGCCCGCCTTCGGTCTTCGTGAAACGTGTCGCCAATTTTTTTTCGAAAAATGGGGTGCAAAAGGCAACCCAAATGTCGTGGGCCATTTTTATTAAAAAAGTAACGGCCTCGGGCACCTTTTGCGCAGCTCCGGTCCCCTCTGCGGATGTCGACGGCCAGCGCGGCGCGCCTTTGTTTGGTGACTGTGTTGCCGCTCCAAGGCACCTCCCAGTTCTCTTTAGGTGGGCTCGCTGCGCTCATTGTGTCGGTGTCTCTTTTCTTTTCCCAAAATGGCGCAAAACGCCACCGGTGTCATTTGCTGATAGTTTCGTACTTGTTTGGCAGAGAAGCGCGCTCCTGTGTGTCTGAAGCGCGTCAGGCCACTCAGAGCTTCTAGAGAGAACGAAGCGGAGGACTTCCGTAGACTAGAAGCGTTCGACCGTAGGAGGCTCGCGCCGTGTTGATTGCCGGCGGGCAGAGGTAGGGGCCTCGTTCTTTCCATCTTCGGGCCCACTGCCTGGCCACCGGGATGGCAGGCCAAGTCATGAGGGGCTAGACCCTTCTTCCTCGGGTAGCCATCCAAAACGGGCACGACAAAGGTAGAACCTGTGAAAAAGAATCGCGCAACGAGGAGCAGGGGCTTAGGCTAATGTTGGCCCCTCGCCTTTCTGGTAGGTTTCTCCCTTTTTGGTTTCGTCTCTTGTCGTTGTTGCTGTCTCTTCTTTGTTGCTTTGGGACCACTTGCCGCCCCTTTTTCCCCTTCGTGTCCTCCCTCGGCGCGCTGTCCTCGTCTCTCGCCTGCCCTCTTGGCGCCTTCTCCTCTTTCTTTCCACTCCGGGGACCTGGAGCGGCCCCCCGCCGGTCTTTTTTCTTCTCCTTTCTCCATTTTGGGGGCTGTCTTCGCTTCCTCTCTTTCCCTGGGTTCTTCGGGCTGTTTCGCTGGGCTTTACGCTGGGCTCCTTTGCGCTCCTTGTCTGTCGTCTTGCTCTTCTTCTCTTTGTCTTTTCCCTCGGGCTTTGCCTTTCCCCTTCTGCTCCTTTTCTTCGTTCTCTCCCGCGTTTTCTTTCTTCTTCTCTTCTACTTCCTTGCAGCGGGTGGCCCATCCATCTTTTTGCATTCTTCACACCACGCGGCCGGGCTTTCTGCCTGTCAGCTGCGTGCCCTCTCCTTGTAGGGGCAAGCGTTTACCTTCGTCGTCGGGTCTTCATAGCACACCCGCTTGCTTCGTCTTGTGGTATGCCTCCCATCTTTTCTCGTCTTTTCTGACCCTTTTGGCGCGCTCGGCCAGTCCCATGCTTCACCTGGCAGGCACAACGAGGAGCAAGGAGAAGCAGGAGCGACGCTCGGGCCAATGTTGGCCCCTCGCCCTCCCGGTGGGTCTTTCTCCCCCCGGAGACAGGCAGACAGGCTCCACCAGAGAACCTTCCCTCTTAGAGAGTCTCTGATACATTTTCGGACCCTCTGCCCCTCTGTCTTCCAGCTTCTCTCTCTGCCTCCTGAACATTGTGTATGCCCCGGGGCGGCTTTTCTGGCTCTGTGGTCTTCGAGACTGGCTAGTAGCCCCGAGCCAGATGCTTGCATTAGTGGCGGTGAATCTTGTCTATAGCGTGGCCACTAGATGGCAGAATAGTCTGTAACTTTCCAACTACTTTGCATTCTTGTTGCTTTTTGGTTCTTCCTTGGTTAGATCGGTGCCATGACATTTTAGCGATCGCACGCGGGCTCCCGCTCCGTTTGTCGGGGTTTCACGCATGCGCCCGCCGCTGCTCTGGTGTCCGTTTTTTGATTTGCTTCCGCTTTGTCATAGAAGCAAGTGCGCGCTGCCACAGTTTTCAGTGGGTGCCCGCGGAGGACACAAGGCTGGTGAGGACTAAATTTGTAAAAGAATCGTTTTCCCTTGGTGATGCGGTCACTGTGTATGCCCATGTTGCTATCTTATTTTCCTGCTTAGATTAGGGCGGACTTATAATTTGATACGAACAGCCTTCCGCGAAGAAATTCCGGGAGGGACCGTTGGCGGGCCGTGCAGTCATCTGCTTGCTGGGTGGAATTGGAAAAAAAAAACCGAAAGACCATCAGCAGAAACTGATCAGGGCCATCGCAAAAGAATTGGAGGCAAGAACAGCCGCGGATGGGGATCGGGTGGCCTTCGTGACAGGTGGGATGCCAGTATATCCGCAGTCGGATTTTACGAATGGTTTTGGAGTTAAGGCGCGTGTGTGGAGTCTGGTTCGTGAAAACGAACAAGTGGATGAGCGTGCGGGGACCAGGCGTCTGCCTATACCTCCTCTCGACGAAGTTCGTTCAGAGCTACCTATTGACAGGGATACACGGGAGAAAACCCAGCGGAGCGACGTCTTGGGGCACCTATGTGACATAGCTCTGGTCGCAGGTGGCGGACCGGGTGTAGAAAGGTCCATCAACTTGATGCAGCCGAGAGATGCGCCAGTCATTCCCATCCGGAATAGCGCAACAGACGACATCAAGAAAGGCGAACATGTTTCCGTCAGCAATAACCCGATATACGACACGCCGCCAAAGTGGGCTCCCACGGCTATGTGGGAAAAGCGCGATAAAGCTGAGGGCATTGCAAAACTGGTGATGGGCACACCAAAGGTAGAAGCTATCCCATGTTCGACATTTCTTGAAGATTGTGGTCCTAGAGGAGATATTTTCCTCAGTTCTCTTTTTGTACTCTTAGTCCGATTACTAGATGGATTTAACTACAAATAACAGCATCTACCTAGACTTACAAGTAGTTCTGTTGCAGAAGTATCCCAATTCCATTCCTCCATCTTGATGGGGACCACACGCGCCCGCCAGCTGTGGCTGGTGTTGGACAATGGAGGATGCGCACGAAGTGCGGAAGCATGTTTATTTATGAGTTCAGCCAAGTATTAGCAGGCTGCTCGCTTGTCGTAGAGTCGCTAGTACTTGCGCATGTATTTCCCCCTTGGGCCTGACAACATGGTCGCACCCGTATACCCGTTGTCCCGCGTGAGGTAGTCCTCCGGTCTTCCTCTTGTCCGCGTTCTTTTTTGTTGTGAGATTACTTAGGATAATAGGACTGCTTCTGCTTCTGCCTCACCCTCGTGGTGCCATGGGAGGCACTCTTCTTCCTGAGCAATGTTCCTGGCGATGTTGGTCTAGAGTTCGTGTTGCGTTTCATGGGCTCACTTGTTGACGGCTTGTCGATCCGTTGGCGAGGGTCGTGGTTCGGTATTGAGTACTAAGCAACGGCTCGGCCCCACGCTTTTTCCTTATTTTCCGTGGTCAAAGAGGCAGGCGCCCTTTTTCACATCATGGGCTACAGATATGCCCGCGACGGCGCTAGACTTGTTGTGTGCCCTGGCGCTGGCCGGCCATTCAAGGCTGAGAAAGCTGGAGTCGACCAGCCGGCAGTGCTTGAAAGTAGCTGATGCATTTCCTTTCATACTGAAAATAGCTCCAGTCACCTCTTTCTACAGACGCTAATCTTTATGCTATGGTATTCGGTGGAGCCCCATCACCTGTTGGGGCTTCCCCTTATAGTGTGATATTCATTTTGATAGTTCATATAGGCCCGCAGAAAAAGTGGGAGGGAGTGGAGGTATGATGTGGAGATAAAATTCGGCTCCTCGTCGTTTCTTTCGTGTAGTCCTACCAGGGGCGATCAGAGGCCACGGCTACCCGCTCGAGCAGTCAAGCTAGCCGCGACTATACTGTCACCCGACTGCCTAGGTCGTGTCGCTCTAGGTGCTCCTCTTGTATGATTGATTGTTGCAGCTGAGTGGCTTTTGCTCTATTTTTTCATCTCGAGCAGGCACGCTCTGTAGATTTTTCAAATATTGACTTCTTCCGTTTATGTGGTCTGGCTATGCTTCTGGAAATTCTAAGGCTTGCATACATATTGATTATTCTGAGGACCCTTGTTTCACATTGGAAGGAAAAGAACTAGCAAGTTTGTTGACCTATTGCTGTCTTTTACTTTGTTGGAAGCAAGCTGGAGAAGGAGAATGCGAATTTTATCAATCCTGGGCCTGCCCTAGCGCGATTACCTAGGTGCCCCTCCCTAGCTTCAATCAAGGCCATCCGCAAAGGCCTCGCATATTTTAGATGACCACGACAGCGACAGACTAACTTTATGACATGAATAAACTAGTGGGAGAGAGACACTCTTGATCTTGTTTCTAATGCCTTGCCTTGTCTTCATTATTCTTCCTCCAGATGATGGCGCAAGAATTGCGTGACCAGCTTCGTTTACCTGGTGGTGGAACGACCATTTGCTTCGTGGGAGGTTTAGATGTTAACGTCAAACCTGACGAAAGTCAAAAAAGTTTGATGGGAAACTTTGCAAAGGAGCTTTTAAAAGTGACTGCAAAATACGGACGAAAAGTCGTTTTCATCACAGGGTGGAAGGCGAACGTGCTTTTGGATGCATTTAATGAAATCGATGAGCTGAAGACGTCGGGTCGTTTGTGGAGTGTTGCAGAACGAAATTCTGCGGAGGGCGCGCAGCTGCTCAAGCTCGGCGAGGGTTTCGTCGATTTGAGTACAGGAGAAGAAAAGTCTAGAAGAAACGGAATTATAAGTGAAATGCTGGGCGGCGATGGCCTCTGTGATATTCTGGTCTCTATGGGTGGGGGCCCCAACACGGCGGCTACCATTGAAGCAGCGGACCGCAGGGGCACTCCGATCATCCCAATTCCCGGGTTTGGAGGGCCATGTGAGGAAGCGATTATGAGTCGACAAAGCCAGTCACAACCGGCTTGGGCTCCGACGGAAATATGGAAGAACGAACATCAACAGAACAGCCCCGGGATGCGCGCCATGAAACTTGTGCTGAACACGCCGCGGGTACATCAAGAAGTTCCGCTAATTGACACTTATTTGCTGGACAATTCGCTTTCGGTGTAGTATATGTGTGAGTCTGAAACTGAGTGATATTTTGAAGGAAGATAAGGTGAACGTGTATTGAGAGTACTTACTTTGTTCCTTGTAGTTGTTTTCCTTCACAATCGCACATTTTGTGTTTGTTCATATTGTTTTGCGCGAAGACGAGTTGCGCGACCATCTTCTCTCTGCATCTCCTGCAGCTTCTCCGTAAACAGTTTGTAAGATTTCTGTAAATCTGTTGACACTTGCGTAATTCATAAGAACCCCTGGAAGAAGACTGTACTCTACTCTCCTTAAGAAGGAAGCAATTCATAAGAACCCCTGGAAGAAGACTGTACTCTACTCTCCTTAAGAAGGAATCAATTCATAATAACCCCTGGAAGAAGACTGTACTCTACTCTCCTTAAGAAGGAATCAATTCATAATAACCCCTGGAAGAAGACTGTACTCTACTCTCCTCTTTTTCGACCACTAGATGCTGGCGCTATATTTTCGGGAGATGCAGATTCCATTCGGTGCTACGACCATTTGCGTGCTGGGATCTAAAGAGAAAGCAACGCCGGACGACAATACGATGCTGAAGGGCGTGGTGAAGAAGGTGGTGCAAGAAATCGACTCTACAGGAAGCAAAGTGGCGTTCGTCACTGGTGGAATGTCAGAATTTCCTCAGGAAATCGCTGCTGAAAAGTTGGGTAACACCGGACGCCTATACAATCTGGGAATGGTGTCGCAGCCGGGCGGTCCGTATGGTGAGGGAAACGGTGTGACGTTGCAAGTTCCAGGCATGGGAGATATACAAACAGAGAGAAAGGTTAAGAGCGCGATTTTGGGTGAGCTCTGCGATGTTGCACTAATTGCGGGTGGGGGTGGAGGGACTAGGATTTCGCTTAGCGGTATGGCGCGAAGGAAGGACACCTACGTTATTCCGGTTCCGAGTAGTACGGATGCCAAAGACGCCGTAAGCCAGGCGATCATCGGCGAAAACTCAAAGCCGCAATGGGCTCCCGCGCAATTGTGGGCAAATCTCGGTCGCGCGCAGGCTTCTGTTGAAGCCGTGGCGAACCTCGTGGTTGCAGTCCCTAAGGTATCACCGTATGATCCATTTTTTAGAAGTGTTATGCAGCTGTGAGCTCCACAGACATAGTACAGCTTGTTCTTGTTTCATGATTTTTTGCATCTAGTAGTGTCTGACTAGGGTAGAAGGTATCAAAGGAAGTGTATGAGTTTTTTGTTTGTGTTTTATTGAATATTTTATTCGAGAATCCACGACTTCATCTCGTCACGAACGAACTACAAGCACTAAATAAGTAGTGCTTACTTTTGTTTTCTCGAGCTCGACCTTGACTACTTAAAGTAAATATGTATGAAGCCTCCAGCGACTCCTATAGCCGAGGCAGCCCATCCGATCCTACCCCATCCCATTCGTACCATGTACATGGCTACTGTTATTGTGAAAATACACAACCACTGAGATTGCTGCTCGATATGTGCGCAAGCAAATGGAGTTCTCTGTGAAAACAACGGTTTGCCTGGTTTCTGGAAACGCCAAGAAAGACCAAGTAGGAGAGTTTGCAACCGAACTTGCTGCTCATGACGCGTTTTCTACTGTTGCTGGAGCAATCGCATTTGTCTCGGGTGGGGTCCATGGAGCAGAAGAGACGGAAACGGCCCTGCACAAGACTCTGGGGAGCGGTGCACATCGATACCATCTGGCAGGGGCGCTCGGCTCGGCGGTCCCGACTGGTAGTACTGCACTGAGTCTGAATCTTGGGCAAAATTTTGGAACAAAGGAGACACTGAGGGATGGGACGGAGGTAGCGTCACGAGAGGAGAAAGACATCAAAAGTGCAATCCTCGGAGAGCTTTGCGATGTGATGTTGGTTGCAGGTGGTGGACCAGGCGCCATCATGTCGGTCAAAGCAGCTGAACGAAGAAACGCTCCAGTCATTCCGCTGCCTGGAACAGCAGGGAACGGTGGCTACAGTGAGCAACTCATCGCGAAGGGAGAAAAGCCGCAGTGGGCTCCTACAGCGTTGTGGAACGAAGGGAAAAATAGCGTCGAAAGCGCAGTTGCTCTTCTGATGAGTACCCCACAGGTAGAGGCTTTCGATTTTGTGACTTGTTTTTAATAATAGTACTATAGGCGCGAACGAGGATGAGGCCGACTACTTAGATCTTCGCTTCATGATCTGGGGCAAGGCCCCACGGTGGACCCCTTCCGTCACTTCTGGCACAAGATGATATTTGGGAAATCTGAGAGCCACTTCCAAGAAGTACTCACGTCGGCCTTGTCTCAGAGCTTTCGTTTTTAGCTGATTGACTGACTGATGATGGTAGTGTCCAGTGATTAGGGCAACTATCCCCTTCGCGCGCTCGGGACGGGTCTGCCTTTCCAAAAGCAAACATCGCTGACAGCTACAGAAATCAAACGGCCCCGAAAATAAGCGCCTGTCGAAGAGCGAACGCACCCCAGAGCATGGCAAAGGCGTCGGCGGCCGCAGCTTGCCACACAACACACGAAGCGCCGCGAGAGGCCTTTCTGGGGTGTTTTGCTGGTTTTTTTTTGTGTCGGGTCGCAGCCTGGCCGCAAGTGGGCCTGGGCCTTGGGTGATGCTTGCTCACCGTTTTCCCCTGGTGTAGCATACGTGGCTCGACCACTTGCTTTCGGCATAGCTTGTCTGCCTGACCTTGCCGTGGGGAATTGCACTCCCTGCCTTCATCCCTAGCCTGTTGCGTGGTCGCAGGGCTCTCGTTGTTGGTCTGTCCCCTCCGTTTCGCCGCGCGGCGTCTTTTTGGCCAAATTTTCTCACGCTGTGTGATGTTTGCTTTGCGCCCGGTTCGTTTGTGGTCGGGCGGGGTGTGGCTGTTGCTCACCGCTGAAGCCGTGGCAGTTTCCTCTCGGTCGTTCTTGCGCCTTGTTCTTCCTCCTCGTGCGTCTGCGCTGCGCCTGGTTGGTCTATTACCGGGCCCGCCCCGAGCTGTTCTCTGCCGCGCCGTGCCTGCTCTGCGCTCTTGGTTGGTTGCGCGGCATCCCTTGGCCTGACTTTCTCCTCTCGCTTTGGTAGGCTCATCTCTGTGCTGTGTCTGTGTCGGTGTTTGTTGACTGAAAGGTGGCTGCTCATCTTTGTATGGTGCTGGCCTTTCCTCGTGGTGGGTTCTTTCAGTGTTTTGCCTCTCTGTGGGCTTTTGGAGTGGCTCGGCGTGGTTTTGCGTGCCCGCGGTCATGCTTCGCGCTTGTCCCCTGTTTTCGGTTCCAGACCAGTGAGCGACCGGCGCCAGGCTGTCCACCTGGGCGGTATGCCTCCTTTTCTGCTGGTCTTCGTACGTAGCTCAATCTAAACAAGCTGGGCGCCCAGCCAAGGAGGGAGTGCGCGGGGCAAGACTTGCGCGTGTCCCCGTTTGTTGGGTTAGTCAATGCCGCCATGGGTCTCGCTCGTGTGCTCATCGTTCTCGGAGTGGACGCCGGGCCTTAGCCTCCGTCCGGAGGGTGCGTGCTTTTGCAGCGTCTGTCAATACCATCGCAGGTCGCGGTGAATGGTAAGGCGCGCCCCTTATTATTAATTTATTTTACTATGAATGTATCCCTTCTTACCGCACGGCACCGTCGGAAAAAAATAGTAAAGAAATATGATCTCCGATCGAGAATCCAGCAGCGGTCCTTCATCCCAAACAGAGATACTCATACTCTCGTCCTTACTTTGTCATATTATTAAGCAAGGCCAAAAATCGGGCGCAAAGCCACGTCGTCGACGCTCTGATCCTACTAGTCGCTGTGTGGTCGAAGGTGTTTTACTCGTACGTAGTTACACACATTTCTGAATATACGAGCGAAAGGTAAAGCTCCTACTGATACTGCTGAAGAGAGATGGGTCTCGTCTTCGATCACCTTGTCCTCCAATAAATATTATGCAGCTATCGGCGCACACATTACGCAATAAGAAGACGTTGCTTGGGAAGACGCCGCTGTGCGTGCTGGGGTTCAAGCAAACGAAAGAGCAAGAGGCTGCGGACCAGTCCATTGCCGATATGGTGCAAATGGCCGAAAATGCTGCACGTGATTCATCATCTGGCGTCATGATTGTAACGGCTGGGCTAAAGAAAGACCAAATATTCACTGCCTTGACGAGAACAGAAGCATGGTCCGATAATATCGTGTTTGTCGTGCCTGGTGAATTTCCGGCGGATGGAACCGGAGACTCAACGCAAGAGGAGAAAAATGTAAAGAGTGCAATTATGGGGGAGCTTTGCGATGTGGCTCTCGTTTACCAAGGTGGCCTGGGGGTTCATATCTCAGCCGAGACATTTGCTCGTAGGGGTGTTCCAACTATTCCGATGGTGGGTTCCGGTGGCGCTGCTGATGTTTTGGCAACGAGACCGCATCCAGATTGGGCTCCAGCGAAGCTGTGGGGACAGCAGGGCATGGAGCCGGCTCTTCTTCAGGGGGCGCCGCCGGTACAACCAAACAATATTTTTACAAACGTTTTACCTTAAGACCTTTCTAGTTCTGCTCCGAGTGCCAGTTGTATTAGTCCTTTCTGTTGCAGTGAAGTAAGCAGAAGATGATGCAGATATCTAATTTTGTAAATTTGGGTGATAAATATCTTTAAACAATGGAAGCCGAATGTCCCTACTACCATACTTTTTTCGTGCGATAGCTCCACGTCCACACGTATCAGATCCACACTTATCAAAGATGAGACACTGCGCGCTTTTCTGGAGTAGTGTAGCATTCTCCCTTCACACTTATCGATTTGGAATGGGCCAAAATGGTTCTGTTCCGTTTCGTTTGGTCCTGGAGATTCTGTTTACGTTCAGGGCGTGTGACGGTGTTGCTTGTGCTCCGCCCTCTAGCTCAAGTTTATGGCTTTGTTGTCTTCCGGATGGAAGTATTGGTCGATAGCCGGGCTGACAGGTCGGTCCTGGGGACATGCGGGCTGCCTTTTGGGTGGAGGTCGTAAATGTTGATGTTCGCCGTGACTGACGTTCTAGGCCTTTGCTGATCTGCACTTCTCAGACCTTCGAGGCCTTCGCAATATACTGCTACATGAGTTCGTCTGGTGTGCCTGTGCGGTCGTGCTCGTGCTTCCTTGTCCATTCCTTTCCTTTCCATCTACCTCTAGGAAGTGCTTGTCGACCAGATTATAAGCGTGAGCTAGGTCGCGACGCACTTCGAAGGGAAGACTCAATTCTACTACTCGCGTTCGCAGTTTCTCCTTCATCATGTCGTGATAGCTACTAAGTAGTGGTTGCGACGTTGAGACGCACTTCTAACGCAAGTGCGCGCTTTCTTCTTTTGTGCTTAGTGTTACATTTTTGATGCGCTTTGCTCCGCGCTTTTTTATTTTTTTGTAGCCTCCACCCAGGACGCAGGGCTTTTGTTATCTGCACTAAGGAGGGTCTTTGTGTTTCTTGCGCCGTGAGTTGTCTATGATGTAGTAGTTGTGGTGTCTTTGACTCTAGATGATGGCTGACGTGTACTTCTAGTATTGAGTCTTCCGCACCATTTCCTATTTCGTGACGATTTGCTAGATGTTGATTTGTTGCTCAGTCTTATTCTTAACATTATACTTTGTCGTCGATATCATTTTAGTATTAGATGAAAAAGAAAGTAGAATCTCAATCTCATCGATACTACATCCTTGTGATCATGTCGAAGCGTCAAGGTTTCCCGTCCCTCTGAGTCGTTCTTTGATCTTGGCACCTACTTATACTTTCGATTCCTTCTACTTTTCTAGCCCTTTTTGTTCTCTCTCATCTATAATTAGTGCTAGAAGGTGACGGGGCTTTCTAGTATAGATTTCTTGATTGATGTCCTCGATATTCACCTGCTCAGATCTACGCGCACACCATACGAAGCCGGATGGAGGCAACAGATAAGACGATCGTTTGCATGGCAGGATCGGCAGCCGGCTTCCCTGAGAAAAAGCAGACCTCTGCGACTATCGAGTCTGCAGTATCACTAATTCAAGGAGAAAGGGTCGTCTATCTCTCGGGTGGAATGGCAGGATTTCCTTCAGTTGATTTCGCGAGAGCTGTTCTGAAAAGTTTTGCTTTGGCGCCGCAGGACGACTTTATTTCGGCTTTGCAGGAGAACGAGAAAAATGCAAATTTCAGCTTCGAGCGGATCAACTTTCCCGCCGTCTTCGAAGGAGTCCAGGACCAGGAGGAGAAAGATATCAAGAGCGCGTATCTTGGAGCAGCGTGTGACGTGGTGGTGGTTGCAGGTGGCGGCAAGGGTACCGTGATAACCAAGGAGGCAATGGCGATGCGGGGGAAGGAAGTGATTGAGCTCAAATAAGAGTTTCTTTCATCTCAGTAACTAAGAGACCCATGTGTCACCTATTCAAGCGGAGGAAGGTGATGTAGGAGGAACATAATGAGGTGGGGTAGGAGGGAAAATGAGGGAAGGATAGAAATTGAGGTGGAGGAGGAACACAGAGAAGGGGGAGAAAAATGGGGTGGAGGATGGGGGAGGCGGCTTTACTCGGCGAGAAAAGCAGGAGGTGGAGGGCAAATTTGGGTGGAGGTCTTATATATGTAGTTTTGCTAGTTTTTATGAAGATGAATTTCCTCACGATCTATCATGATCTAGATCTTCTGGTAAGATTAGAGACGTTGAAGACCTTCATGCTAGAACTACACGAAGTGAAGGACGGGATGTTTTTACAAGAACGGTCCAACTGGTTGTAGATGCTGCGAAGGCTTGAAATAGATACAAATGTTGTATTGCACTGGAGGTATCTGGAAGTACTAGAGATAGTAGAGTCACTGCTGGAGATGATCAGGTTTTAGAGGAGATGAACAAGTTCTTCTAGAGGAGGAGATGAACAAGTTCAGGAGGACGAGATGGACAGGCCCTACCAGAAGTAGAGATAAATTCGTAGGCCCAATCCGAATCGACTAACATCATCATTCGAAAATCAATAGGAGAAGAACTAGTGTCATAGCCACCCATTTAGACGCAGGAATTAGTCTAAACCTACTACAGATGAACTAGTGTCATGTTAGCTACCTACAGACTATAGAGGTTGCGTGAGCTCACGTTCGTGTCTGGCACGTGGGCGTGTGGTAAATGGGACACCATGATGATTAAGATGGCGTGCCTCCTAGTTGGGTGTGCATGACACTACTCTTCAACGTAGAGATTTGGATTTGATGGATAATGCAAGAAGATGAAGTTGAAAACTATCAGTACACGGAAGAAACGCTCTCTCTATGAATGCATGGTGATGGTCGTTATACTTATTCAATTTAATAATGCAGCCGATGCGCTTGAAGAAGACGATTGAAGATTGTTTATGATGATTGACCAACACTAGCATTGATTTGGATGTTCTTGATGATAGATTTGATAGTTGACCAACACTCGCATTTTGATGTAGGTCGTGCTGAGCATGGATATACATACATTTCATCATAAAAAAAAGTGGTTCCTTTTTCTGCTTCTGGTATTTGGTGACCCGAGTTGGATCACAAGCGAAAGCAAGAAGAGAACCCCTGCGACCGAAATCAGGTCACCGATTACCCTTTGAAGATGTAGAGCAGGACTCACTTAAGAGTTATAATTTTTTACTTATTGTTAATATGATCGTTATTGATATTAATTAAAATTCATCGATCTCACTGATGACTGAGTAGAAGAGTCGTTTGAGATTGGGCCGTCTAGGACATTGGTAGTGCCGAAAGCATGGGCGACGGTGACTTAAGGAGATTAGCATAATTAGACAGAAGTATAATTAGCGTCGGAAAGGAAAGATGGGTGCCCAAGACCTTGCTAGTTGAATGTTGCAAGTAACTTGGCAGTAGATAGAATATATAGATAGCAGCGCCCCAGCTCCTTTTGTCACTGCCACCCGCGCTTTGGCTCGTGGACCGGTGTTTTGGACGTAAAAGCCTGCGTGCCAGCACGAATGCCCACACGCTCCGGTGATGCCTCACGTCGGACCTTTCTCGAAAGAATAAGAGATCGGGGGCTGTTGGTGTCAAACTCGGTTCCACATGGCAGATTCGTCTGCCTGGTGTGCCGTTTTTTGTGGCTCTCGTCGACTACGCCCAGGAATGGGGAGATGGAGTAGGTGTGTAATTACTCCTGCCTTTACTCCTAGGGTTCAGCATTTTAAAATCGTAGGGGCAGTAGCGTAGTTGTTAAGGAGATTAAGAACTCCCCCCTACGCCGGTATCCACGCGGAAAATACGCAGGTAGGTTTTGACTCGTCGGAACTCGTTCGCAAAATACGCGGGTAGGTTTTGACTTATCGGAACTCGCTCGCACTACAAAAAAAAAAAAAAATGAATTGAATTGAATTGAATTGAGATGCAGCACTGCTGATGATGATAAGACTTGTTGATAGACGCTTGTTTATTCGATGGCTTAGTACTAGTACGTAGAGAAGTGAGAAAAGTTTTTACAAGAAGATAAATATTCCTACAAAAGGAAGATCTTTACTTTATTTTCCATATTTAGAGGAAGGCTCCTCCACATGCTTGCTGGAGGACCATCCTCTCAAATAAGGAAGGTGCATGGAACTAGCTAAGCGCACAAAGCTCCTGCTAGCCATGTACATAGAAGTTCCCGTATTATGAGGTGCATGCACATACTATCTAAGTTCCTACTTCTGCTTATAATTTACTTACAACAATTTGATAACCACCAGCATGGGGAGACTACACCTACAGCTACCCACGCGGTGTAGACAACAAGCCTGAGCCCTCATGTCGCTCCTGGCAGTCGCAATTTCCGAAATAAGTCGCTTCCCTAAGTCAGTTGCTGGGAGGTGTGTGCCTGGTTGATCCACTGAGCAAGGTGATTCGCTTGGACATCCCGGAGGTGAAACCCAGCCTTCTCGGACTTGAAAGGCGAAGGGGACCGACATGAAGCAGGAGTTGAAGATGTTCAGTTCGCTGATCTTGGTGCAGGTTTATGCACTTGTGGTTGCGACGTTCTTGTGAGTCCTAATATATAAGTAGAAGTGAACCTGCTAGCTGGTACGTAGGGTGCAACAAGTGCTCGAGCTTCTAGAAGTTCTTATAGAAAATACTTAGTAGATGATGTTCACCTTGATCTTGAGTCCTCTGACAATAACTAGATCAGCATATTGTTCATTGTTTGAGGAGCTGCTACCCAAATAGTTATAACATAACAGCATGAAGAGGAGGAGCAGGCGGAGGAGGTGCTGCCCAAATACTAGTTATAACATTACAGCATCAGGCAGCAGGAGCTTCTACCCAGAAAATAGAGTCGATGGTTTAGAACTGCTTCTAGACTGCTTCTAGATGCCTGTAGAATGCTTCTAAGAAGAAGTCTGAACCTCTTAGACTCTGGACGTAGCCTCTGGATCTAGAGGACTCTCTCTAAGTCATCTTCTGGGAACTGGTTCTAGCTAGTTCAGCTGTAGGAGCGGCAAAATTTTCAGCTGTCTCCGGCTTGATCTTGGAGCAGCACTAGGTTTATCTTAGTGTAAAGCTACTGCTGCCTCAAGTTGAGCATGCGGCTGCTGCTATTTTTGAATCTTTTTAAACGAAAAAGTACTGGTAAAGGCCGTGGCGATGAGTCAACTGCTTGGGATACATAGAAATTTTGGGATAAAGAAAAATGACGTCGCCATTAATATGTTTTATAAAAACAGAAAAATCAACCATGACCACGACATGATCACAGCAAGTATCATTCGTTGAATGGATGCAGACGATACATGGATATTATAAGTTGTAGTACTACTTCTAGAAGATAAAAGTGCAGCTAGTTGTTCTTGTAATATTAAGAGACGAGAGGTTCATCATGACACATTTTGATCCTTTTGTGGCTTGTTTTAGCAATTACGATTAGCATCGACAAACATGTTGTATCTTCTGAATGATATATGAGGTTTTTGTGGACAACGACTAACAGATTCTGGGGTTCTGGGAACGAAAGAGAGCGAACGAAACTGATTAAGGAGGAAGGGCCTATGTCGTTCCACCGACGCAGTAAGAAGGGCTTACCACATTAGGAGGAGCGACCACATTGCCCTGCTATATGCTATAGTCCTCGACATGATTCCCCCAGCCTCGACAGAGGCATCGTTCACCAACTAAGCAATTTCAACAGAGATTTGTTCTAGAAGGAGCTTGCTGCTGCTTTATCCAGGACAAGCGAAGACATTCTTGTTAAACATAACTACTTCCATAGTTTATGATAAATGTTGATATCTTCGCTATTCTTCTGAAGGTACGCCAAGGATGTTGAAAGGCCTTAGCCTTGGTATAAATATGGAGCGCACAAAATATGACACGACATGGAGTAGAAGTTGGCAGGAATTTTTGCAATCTTGTTCAGCAGGAGTACAAGCAAAGTGCGCACCTGTTGAGGAATAATATAGCAGACACCGTTGATTAGTCGTAGAAGCAGAATTAGAGGGTGGTTATGTCCCAAGAAATATCATATATTGTTGGGCGTTCCAACTCATCAACATCAACATGGACGAGTTCTCTACTTATCATTTGAAGAGCTTGAAGTTTGTTTGAAGAAGGTGCGCATGATGATCAAACTCAAAGGAGATAGAAAAGAACTCAAAGGAGACTCGAAGGTAGTTTAGGAGGAGAACTACTTCAGACGCGGCCATGATGATGCGAAGAAGAAGATCATGATTATACTGATGATGATCTTTCAGCTTGTAGATGCACTAGATGAGACGCTAGAAGTATTTTTCGAAAACTCAAAATAAGCAGTAGTTAAAGGCTTATTTCAGTTTATCGAGTAACAGTAACTACATCTAATATCATGCGACAATCGTTCTTGAAGAAAACAGCCATGACGTCTGCTACATGACTGTCTGCTGGGAGACTCTTGTTGTTCGCATCCTCTTGCTGTTCGCATCTGGTCTTTACAGATAGGGAAGAAAGAAGGTGGATATGAATGAGTGAAGACCTAGTACTATTTGTGTTTCCTTTTCTTGTAGAAGTCAATGAATCACGCTGATGTCATATAAATAGTACATGCGGCTGCTAGTCAAAATATAGCACCATAGGCAACATCAAAGAAAAGGAACGTTGATGAGGATCTGAAGCCTCAATATAACCCAAGGAAAGAGCTGGTGGTCGAGCTCGAGGTGGTTTATTGAGGATTGAGATTCATGCGCATCTGTATGCTGGTTGTCGGACTTGAGAGCCATTCAAATCCTGTCTTGCTTCGGTGTTTCTTTTCCCATTGTCTGTTGAGGATGAGAGAGGGGTTGTTTGCTTAATAGGACAGAGGAGGGTGATCTACTACCACCGGCTCGATGGGGGAACTGCTGACTCAGGTGACAGGCTCGGAGGTCATAGTCCAGCACGGGAGTGATCCACCTGAGGTCGATGTCACTCACGGGGCATGTGTAGCAGGACTGTGCCGCACAGCAGTAGACCCAGAGGAGGACACGGTGGTGATGATGAGGACAATGGCGCCCGTTGTTATTCATGCTGTCATGCCGCAGGCAGAGATAGTGCGCTGGCCCTTTGGCCGAAGACTTTGAAAAAAAATGGAGTTGTTTATGCTGCAAGAGCCTCTGAGTCGAGTGTATTAAAAATTATTCAAAGAAAGAGCAGTTCCATCAAAAACTTACAACTTCTCTGATGAGTAGAGCATGTCATAAAAAATTTCAGCACCACTTGAAAATATACTTCATGAAAATTTCATGACTAGTACACCAATGAATTATCAAGATTAGAAAAAAGTATGTTGTCAAGAAGTCTATATGTTCCAGGGGCCAGGGGCCAAGGCTCCCCCCGATTTGACTTTTTGAGGGGGGCCGGGCGTGAAGGCCTCCAAAAGCCCACTTCCGACCCCTTCCCGCTTCTTGCCTGGACCCTACAGCGCCCCCATCCCTGTGGCCGTTGAAGCACCGAAGGCCGGGGGTGCAAGGCTTCCGAAGGTGGCAAAGGTGGCAAGGCTGGGCCCCCTTTGGCTTGTTGCGGCTTGTTGCGTGTACCCTACAGACCTCCAGGGTGCGGGTTCCTCACTGGGGGAGCCTCTTGGGAGGTGAAAGGCCTCCGCGGGAAGCAGGTGGCAAGGCTTGACCCCTTTCGCCGTGCTGCATGTATCCGACAGAACCTAGGCGGGCACGTCTTGGCCTCACTCCTCCTTGTCTTTGGTCCTCAACCCCCCGGGCGTTTGGTGGTGGCGTACGAAGGCCAAAGGGGCCAGGCCTCGCGACCGTCGCCGCCTTCGGCGGCCTTCTTCTCCGTGAGGCCGTGCCGCTGCTAGACTAGGTCCAAGAGCCGGCACACGCGGAGAGCCGCCAGGAGCCTCCGGCCCCGCCTTTCTTTTGAGGCCTTGGCCCCTGGAGGTCCTTGCATGTCACCACCGTGGAAAAAAGGGCGCGCGGACGCCACCGCCGCCCCATCCACAGAGGGGGAGCCTCCACCCCTGGCGCATATATTTGAACTTGCTAGTCACTAAGTGCAGGGCTAGTTCTTTGTCTTTGATTAGTCACCGTCTGACCCTTCACTCTATACTTGAACTGGTCCTCGTGGGTGTTCTTCCTAATCTCTTGGTGCAACGGCTGTGTTGTGATCCAGCAGCTGAGAGGCTGTTGCTGTCGGTGGAAGATATTGCAGCCGTCGTGGTGGTGGAGGTCCTTACAATATAGAATTGATGGGCGTTCGAGCCTAGTAATTGATTTGGTATCTTCTTCAGGCATCTCATCTTCATCATAAAGATTATTCTGAAGAACTACTACCTCCAGTACTTCTGAGTGTCCTCTGAATGATTTACATTTACTAGTTTATCTGGACGATCAAACACAATGAAGTTGTTTTACTGGACATGTAAGAACCCTTGCTTATGCGTACAAGGAAGCCGCATCAAACACACGACAAGCTGAAGTTGTAGAAGCGCCAGTTACAGTTCGTTAGGTCACACGCTGGGCGCCTCGATGGTCTTTGGTATCTCCATGGACGATAAGACATCAAAGAGGCTAAAAACGTCTATGGAACACATACGAAGTTATAGCAACAACATCGTCACTGGCGCAAGTGTTGTTAGGACTCTCCTGCATTTGCCTCGCGCGTCGCTGTGCTTCAGCTTCCGCCTCCTGGCCGTCTGTAGGTCTGTGGCTAACCGTCTGCCCTTCTCCTAATAGTGCGAGCCTTGTTCTGGCGCAACAGCTACAAGCTACACCGTAACAGTTTACATCAACATCATGCTGGAAGAGCTGCAGGACCACGCGGCGAGTCCGAGTGATCCCATTGGGACACAAGTCGAGATGAGTGCTGGTGCTAGTACTAGTGTTGCACAAGAGAAAGAGGAGGAGCATGACGAGGCATTCTTGCGTCTTGAGGCGCTTGTCGCAAGAAGCTATGCCGGCTATCTTTCAGGAGCAGGACGTCACGACTTTTAAGCAAGGGGGGCATCACTTGTAAAGCTATTTCTGCATCCACATGACCTTTTTTTAACCAGATTAGATCCAAAAGTAGAATATGATGGAGGTGTCGGCAAGTAGAGCTGTTCTTGATGTCGCTCTACTTGTCGACACCTCGTCTACTATGACCTTTTTTTAACCATATTTGATTTTCTACTACTTGTCGCGGGCGTGGTCAACATCTAAAATAGTGCTAAGAAAAGATGTCGATGTAAGTAGAAGATGTAGCCATTGTTCCAAAAGTCGAATATGATGGACTGGCTGTTCTTGATGTGGCTCTATTTGTCGACACCTCGTCTACTAATCAGAGTCGGAAAGACCGGTTGCAGCACCTGATGGTCTCACCGCGGCAGCACCTGGTTGCCTCACCGCTGCACCTGGTGGCCTCACTGCGGTAGCACCTGGTGTCCCTCCACTTATGTTGGTCAGCCTTAGCATCTCCAACTCGATGCCCTTTGTTTCCTCCTCGTGAAGTAATATCACAGCACATAATTTTCACAAAGACAGCACGACAGGGAGTTGTATTTCGCAAACATCTTCACACATAAAGTACTTACAGTTAATACAAGGGAAAACCAAAGGGGCCGAAATGAGGGGACCAAGATGAGTAAACGCAAACGCTTCGGGGTCTAAATATAGTCTAGGTTGACGATTTCTACAAAGGAAACAGCGAATTTTTAAATGTTTTTCGTCGTATTAAACGCATTCCTAAGTTAAAGTTGGTTAGATGAAAGCTAAGTAGAAGGAGCGAAATTTCCGTTCCCTCATAACTTCTGTATAATTTGTTAGGAAGCTACTTCTAGGTACTTCTAGAGGTTTTTCCATCTATTTTCCAAGGATGTGAACGTCGATACATCTATTCTTCAAGACTTGGCGCTACTCGTCCTCCACCTCCAATATCATTGAAGAACGCATTTCTATGAGCGTTTACAGCAATGTGCGCAAAATTTTGGAGCGCTTGGTTTTATGACACTGGCATGATGAAGCGCGTTCCTCTGTAGTGGTAGTCCTCTATGATGTTCGATTGATTTCTTCGCGAGGTTTCTGTTGCAGCTGGTCTTGTTTATCATGTGAGGATTCCTCGTGCGCTGGTTGTACAGTTCTCTGTTTAACTTCGTGATTCGTAAACACTCATACTTTAGCTCTACATTCATTGAGAATTCTTCCTATTCATTTTGAAAAAAACGACTTTGAACTTTTTCCAACGATAAATTTCTACTAACTCAAACTCGTCCAATTCATAAATTAGATTGAGAGGACTTATTTGCTGAGTCGCGTACGCGTTGAGCTGCGGGAAATACAACAAAACTCCGATTCGACAATTATTTCTTCAATGTTCCAACACATTCATATTGTTCAAGCGAGGATCATTAAGAATTCTTCATGCCTTTCATGTTAGATTTCACAAGGATCATTGTGTCTAACGCACTTCATGACTTTGATAATGGGCACAAACTATCTTCGATCCAGTTTCCAATGACAATTTACTGTGATGAATGATCTAGTACTTTACAACTTGCTTCTACTGTTGGAATTTTCGGATTTTCAACAATGATCTTTAGAGGAGCCATTGTTGAGGGTTCTTCATTAATTGGCGATCCAAGTAACGGGAAGCTCCATCGGATGAGGCGAGATGTGATGATACGGGTGTGCGGCAATAGTGAAACTATCCTCCGAACCATCGTCGAACCGCTGTTAAGGCTAGAGTCACTCAAGAATGTTGATCACAATCAGATCTATTCGATATACGCGAGTAACTGAAGAGTCCCAGATACTCAGCTATTTCGGTTAGCACTCGCTTAATTTCGGATTCGGTTTCCGAGTACTTTCTCTTTTCGTTTATTTTTCCTGCTTAGTTGTTAGGGCTCCACCAATAAACATATCAGATAGTGGTCTGTCATCACTCGTTTCTTTTTTCTAGTTACGGCTCCAACGGAACTATCTGGAGGGCAGTAGAGTCAACAATGTCAATCACTATCAGATAGTCAGAGGATAGTGTCTTGGTGTGGATGTTGCTCGACAATTTACGATCTCCTGACTCCATCAATCACTTTTTGATAGCAGTTATAAGGCAGAGCCAACATAAGCCACAAATCGTGAGATAGAACAAGCCAACAACATTGTTTCAACAGATTGACTACCTTTAACTCATTTCACGTATTGTGGGTTCCTCGTGCACGACGACCGCTTTGAACTGGACTCGGCATTGCTTGTTGATGAAGCCGTCTTCCTGCAGTTAAGACTGGTGACTACGTCCATGTTGTAACAGACAACATCTTTCTTGTGAAAAAATGTTCACACTAGTACTACATCTTAGCATGATGTGAGAGTTCGCACTACATCTTAATAACATGTGAGAGAACATGTACTAGTGAAAGGGACTGCTCGGATATTGTTGTAGTTAGGATGTGAAATAACTGAAAGTTCTAATAGCACAGCAGTTCAGTATGCCAGATTCGCTGAATGGTTGCCTTATTTCCTGCGGACGAGACAGCAAGGTCGCTCCTACACAAGATGTGATCGAAGATGCCACGGACGTCAAGGAGGAGAATAGTACAACAGGTGGCACCACAACTTCCTCTACAGGTGGCACCACAACTTCCTCTACAGGTGGCACCACTACTTCTTCTGGTTTCATCGTCCTTGCGTCCGCTCCGAAAGTCCAGAAAGTGATTCGCCTGATGAAAACAGCAGAACTTGCGTGCAAAGGACCGGAGTCGCTCAGTCTCATGGAAGTAATGGAAGCTGTTATTATGATGAAATAGTGGTTACAGTTTTAGTTACTTAGACCCCTTGGAAGTGATGGAAGCAATAAATGGTTCCGGTATTTGGTAACCTGAATTCGATCACAAGGATTCTCTTCTTGTTTTCCCATAGCATCAAAATCAGGCTACCGAATACCAGAACCATTCAAGCAAGGCTGTTACTGAATCTCTGCAGGTAATCGGCGTTGTTCTTTCGCTACTTTGAGGTAGTCACTTACAGAAACCTTCCCAGTACTAGTTCATCGAGTTTGAGGCTGTAGGAACTAGTAAGTTACTAGTAGTCCAAGATCCACCACCTGGAAGCGCATAGTTGATGCATGATACTCAAACAGTTTCTTGTTCGCTGTTCACACTAAAAAAAGAGAAGGTGTGAAGATTCCGGGAATCATTAAGCCAACGGAGGATGAGGAAGACACGACTGAAGACCACACCAACAGAGAAACGCCATCGCAGTTGGTGGAGATCGATGAACGACCTCGAAAGCCGTGGGAAAAATAGAAGTTGAAGTTCTTTATTCATTAGAGTCATTACTAAGTTGAAGTTGAAGTAGAAGTTGTAGTGGCTTGAAGAGTCAAAAGTAGTCAATACTCACACATCAAGGGGAACAACTTTTAACTACTAAGCTCAAGCTGAAGTTCTTTACTCATTAGTCATTACTTCTAAAAATACTAGGTGTTTGTTGACAATCATAGTGATACTAGAGATACTAGTTGTCTGATGTTCAAAACTTCCACGAGCTGGCGACTATAAACTACCATTGTAGTTTTTTTCATGAATGTGTTTGAGCTTCTACTTGAGGACAACATCCATATGACAACTGTTGAAGACGGCAAAAACTCCCAAAATCCATACGGAGGTTAGACGCTACATCGATGATGTAGCGTTTGTGTTGTGTATTGGTCGTCTTCCTTTTTCTGCTGTTCGACGATGACCCTTTGGACTGTACTTGACGAGCGTACCTACGTTGTCATGATCGATTCCAAAGGAATTGAAACTCCTCAAGATGATTTCGTCGAGAGTGAAACAACTATCAACATAGGTCTTGTGTTATTTAGGTAGTGCGACTATGAAATGCAAATGATGAAGATTCGTCTTCTAGGTCCACTTCGTCCATGTAGCGGTCTGCTGTCGTTACAGCTGTATTCATCTTGAAAGCAGGCTACCCTGCTGCGAACACCCTGGATGAAGGTGGTGGTGGTGGCGTTCGACGTTCCTTTTTGCTTCCTCCGTTCATTTCATCAGGAGAACAAGCAAATATTGAATATGTTGAAGTTCTTGCATCATTAACATGCTGCAACTTGGTCTCCCTAACCATGAACGCTGCAAAAAGACGAGCTACAACTAGTAGATTCGTGGAGGTGCGAGTTTTCGTGCTCGTCCTCCTGGTTATATACAACTAGCCCTCCTCCGCTGGTGGTTGCTAACAAGAAGAAAAATGGATCTCCAAATTCGTGGATTCGAGGGGAAGCTAGCGGAGCTTAATGGCCGCTGGTGGATCGAAGGAGAAGTCAATGGCCGAAATGTCTGGACTAAAGGACCGGGCTTCAAACTATACTACTGGACCACTGACAAATCATGGTGGATTGGTCAAACCGTGGGCGGGTCAGAGGTTTGGGCACGTGCGCCGGCTCCGATGAGTACTGCGGGAGTTCATCCTCTGTCCTCTGAAAATCAAAACCTCAACATCAACACTTCGCGTCGAACTTATGACCTGTACAACTAGGAATATGATATGCTGGCTCCTGTAGAACTTGTACACGAATCATCACATGATAATGTTCATTTTCTTACACGACATACTTACATCAGTTGCACTAAAACTATGCAATATTGTCTCTTAGATGTTCTTGGTTACTATGTTGAACTCTGATGTTGACAGGGACACACAGATTGCATCTTGTCGTCTTCTAATAAGTTTTTGTTCCAATCGGAGGTAACATCAAGAGCACGGTGGAGACGGATGTTCTCGATGTTCCAGTCCTCGATGCGACGAACTTGGTGATACCAAATCTCCTATTGGGGGATCCTGTGCAGGCACTCGTGGTAGGCCCAGAGGGTACACTACTCTTAAGGCCGTCAACGTACATTTAATCTTTAGCCGAAGGACCGACAAGGAGCCACGAACAAGACCATGGATGTGATTAACAAAAGTCCTAATTTGATTGCAGGTGATATTGCCTCTACTAGCTGCACTGGCGTATCACAAATTCAAGAGTAGGAACGGAAAAAAATACGGAACAATAGCCAGAGCTAAAGAGTAGATATTTCTCGTCTACATCAGGTGGAAGTAATTACGAACTTCATCTACTTCTAGCAAGTGTAGTAATTATGGTGAACGCTAATAATGCCTCCCGTCTACCAGGAAGGCATCGAGCCAGCACCACTATTGGTCTACGAAGAAGAACAGGAGGACGAGGACAACATACCTCTAGACGAAGATGTGGAAGAAAATGTAGAGCCAGAGGGACGGGTCGACGTGAGGGACGACAGTGCTGCAGGTGTGGCTGTAGAGCCAGATGTAATCCTAGTCAAAGAAGGCAGTGTAGTTGATGTGGACACCAGAAAAGTACTGGAGGTCGCAGCGGGTGAAGAAGCGTTAGAGGGCCTTGAAGAGCGCCAACAAACGCGACAGGTAGAGGTCGCAGCGGGTGAAGAAGCGTTAGAGGGCCTTGAAGAACGCGATGCTGTTGAAGAGGTCGCTGAACAGGCTGAAACGTCAGAGGGCCTTGAAGAACGCGATGCTGTTGAAGAGGTCGCTGAACAGGCTGAAACGTCAAAGGGCCTTGAAGAACGCGATGCTGCTGGCGGAGACGTGTATGAGGGAGAGGATGCAGTAGAAGGAGGTGTTGTAGTAGAGGCAGATGTCGAAGAGGAAGGTCCAAATAGTGCATCACCAGAGGAAGAACGCTCATCACCAGAAGAAGAACGCTCATCACCAGAACGCTCATCACCAGAAGAACAAGAAGACTCCTCTGCACAACTACCAGACAGCTTGGACGGAGAAGGTGTAGATGCACACACGACTGTCGCTGTCGTCGAAGTAGATGGAGATGAGCGCACTGGGGTGCTGCCGACGACAACTGGAGAAGATGCATGTCTTCTAGGTATAATTGAGCAGAGAGAACCCGCCGAAATTCTAGTTGATGAAATAGAAATAGATGTTGAAAAAGAACAAGACCCCCAAGGAGGAGACGATGAAAGTCCAAACTCTCCCCTTCATCTGGACGATGATGAAGGCGAGGAACCCCTTGTTATAGATGATGAAAGCGAACCCGAGGTCATGCCTAGTACAAAAGTGTGGAGACAGCCGCGTCTTAGTACCGTGTATGATGCGTCGACTCTCCTGCAAGCCGTAGCAGAAGATGAAGCACCAGGCAGCACTCGTTGTGGTGAACATGAAGGGGGACCACGAGACGAGGGCACTTTTGCGGAAGGTCGTGAAGAGGGAGAGGATCATGGTGCAGTTCCCTGCATGGATGATGATCAACAACATGATGTGCATGACGGGGAAGAAGACGAGACTCCTGAGAAAGATGTGCGTCAGCAAATTAAGGCTCGGGCCTACATATCTGCATCTATCTCATACATGATATCTGCGAGCAAGTTATACTTATAATCTTCGATGATTTTTTCCTGGTCCGTAACATCAATGATGTTGAAGTAACAAAACGTTGATCATGATGTTGAAGTAACAAAAAAATGTTCTTTGTCTGAGATTGTCTTCGCGACGCGCAGGGCTGTTATTGTCAAAATCATATTTTTTTGGAGGATGAGATGAACTCTAAGCAAAATCGTCGAGCGCTGAGACTGCAGCAGCTCGCTAAGACGCAGTTACAGAGGGTTCAAGAGGAAGTCGAGAAGGGAGAAGCCTCCAAAATTGACACGTCTAAAATAGAATTTTACAACCTAGTGCTCCCAGAAGTATCGAACCATCCCTTTGTGCGACGTACTTACATCTTCCAGAAAGCGGAAGAGGAACAAGAACAAGTACGAGGAGAGCACCAGGTGGAAGAACTTCCTCCAAAACCGAATGACGTTGACGCCATGGTCCTCTCAGTAATATCAGTAAATGCAGCACAACTAGCAGAACAAGAACAACCAGAAGAACAGACGAAACGACTCGTGGATGAACAGGACCACACTGCTGATAAAGTCACTACGACTTGTGACGAAGAACAGACACGACCAGAAGCATGTGCTGTTGAGGTCTTTCTTGAGGATTCGTCTAATAAGGTGCAGCTACGGGGAGTGACAGAAGTAGTTGAAGAACACAGTACAGGAACTGGTGAGAAAAAAATTGGTGAGGTGGACGTATCAGCGACCAGAAGTGGCGATCCATTGGGGACTATTGGTAATGTACCAGTACCGGACGAAGGAGGTATTGATCCCAGTGCTACATCAGAACAAGGGAATTATAGGGATGCTGCACTTCCACCTGCTAATTCTTGCACCATGATAGTTGCAAAAAATTGTTCAGCTTCTGAAGTAGATGATATTAATTCGACCCCTCAAGCAGGTGAACAACAAGAACAAAAAGACCAAGTAGACCCTTTAGAAGTGGAGCGACCAGATAAAAATGTGTCCGCGGAAAAGGAAATTACGGATGTTGAAGAAAGCAGCGACATCGATGATCTAGCAGATGATTACAATACTACGTTTTTGGTTCCTCCTTCCACTGGTTGGTTGGTTCCCTGGAATAGCTCGATGCCTCGCGAAACCGTGCGAGTAAAAGCATTATGATCTTTGTTCAGAGTGACAGTAGCAGTGCTTCCAATTTTTAATCTAGCATACATGACTCAGGGCCGAACGGCCCCCCCCCCTGTCTGTATGGACATAGACTCCCCTTGAAAGATAGAGATATTTTTACAACTCCTAAATACGCCATCCATGTCCATTTTCCTCGTTCAAAATTGGTGACTACGAAACGTCCGGCGCCGGATTCCATACGCGCTCTCTCGACAGCCGAACGTCGTCGGGTAGAGCGGGAGGTGCGCGAGGAGAAGCGGAGAGCCGTGAAAGGAAAAGCTAACTCCACACGTATGCTCCTCCGTAGAGAAAAACAACGGACTGCTGGTCATCATAAAAGGAGCCATGATAGGATGAAGAGGATTAAGGACAAGAACAAGAGAGAACAACAACTTCTAGGGGCTCCGCAAGGAGACTGTCAGGAGAGAGAACAACAACTTCCAGCTGGAGGTCTACAAGAAGTTCCACGAGGAGCAGGCTTTCAAGTAGGGGAAATGGAGGTCAACGAAAATCCTGAGCTGCAGGATGGAGAAGTTCTTGAGCTGCAGGATAGAGAAGTTCCTGAGGTGGAGGGTACTAGAAGAGACATATCTAATGAAGTTCTTACTGAAGAAACAGCACTAGTAGATCTAGAGGCACGCGGTCTGGGCTTGCCGTTGGATCACGACTGTCAGGAAGATTATGATCATAGCTTGTAGTTATAGTTAAGGTTGACAACAGCGAAGTATTTTTAAAGTTATTAACAACAGAGTCCTACTTCTAGTCCTTAATATTTTCGCTCTCGTCCGATGCTTTTAGAAGTACAATGACTCGACGTAGTCAAAAAATTTTCATGATCACAAATATGTTTTAGAGTAGTTTATAGAACGGATGCAGGATGGACTTGGATGGATCGGATGGATCGGATGGACCCCCCTGATTCTTCCGATCCTACTTGAAATGGTGGGAAGTCCATCCGTTCCATCCGATCCATCCGATCCATCCCATCCCGGATCTGGCACCCCTATAAACTGCGCTAGCCTATAAGAATCCTCTAAGCAATATTACTAGAAGACATGGCTGTCGATGTGGAGAAATTGCGAGAGCAGAATGAGGAGAGCAAGAGCGAGGAGCCTGTATCTTCTACTAGACTCTCCACTGACGAGGGCGAGCAACATGAACGAATGGAGATGCCCCGCTCATCCTTCAAGGTGTCTCCTGTAGATGAGACAGCTTTAAACACAGCACTGGACTTATTTCCTGGTTGTGCTTCTAATGATCCCTGGTGTGATGACCTGCGTGGAACGTCGACGGCGGCATCCGGTAAAGATGTTCATGTGGTTCATCAAAGTAGTACATTAGATTCTCTTCCTGATGCGACGATAACTAGAACTACGTCCGGTGTCGATCATGGGAAACCGAAGGAAGATGATCAATGTGGCAACAACAAGGCCTCTGAGGAAGATGCTCAGCGTGCTCAGTGTCTGGTGCATAGTAGAGAAGGGGGTGAACAAAATCGAGAACAGGTGGAAGGGGAGCAACATTGTGGTAATCATAGTGGTGCGATCATAGACAGTGAAGATGCCGATGTTGAGCAGCGGAAAAGAGCACGGTCAGCTTCGGAGGACCACCAGATTTTGCCAACCAAAAAACTGAAACAAAGTGCTGCTTTAGCGGACGAGACGATAGAAGAACATGCAGTAAACGAGCCTACAGCTCTTAGATCATCTCCACCATCTACGCCTGAATTTTTATCCTTGGGACGAGAAACAAATGCAAATGGTTTTGAACAACTTGGAGTCGGAGTTGTTGTTGGAGGTGAAGCGGATGAACCTCCTCTTTATCACGAAGAAATAGCTGTTCCAGACGAGGAAGGTCCGACGATCACGATGATGAAAAACGTAGACCTACTAGAAGAAAGAGTTGAAGAAGCTGTTAAGCGCAAGGCACCACCTCCAAGAATATCTCATGATATGGATCCTGGAACTGATCAAGATCAAGATCAAGAGGCTATCAAAACAGACGAACAAGAACAAGTAGAAGCACAAGCTCCACAGATCGAGGTGGAGGATGAAGAACACACAGCGTCGAAACCCAAGATTCTTGACTCTCCTTGTACTTCTTGCAACACATTCGAACGACCGGAGAAGCACGAGGACAATTATCCTATAGCGAACGACGATCAGCAGCGCCAAGACCTCTCTACTCACGAGATGAAGCATGCTCCTGCACAAGCTGGAGATGAAGTTGATCAGGGTGAAGATCAGGTAGTGCACAACAAGGCCACTTCTAGTAGAGTTGGAGAGCAAGGTGATCCGATTATCGTTGTACAAGAAGTACAACAGAAGCAGACCACTTCTAAAGTTGAAAGTTGTGATCAAATTCTTCTAGTACAAAACAAGACCACCACTAAATCTAAAGCTCAAAGTGATCAGATAGTACAGCAGAACGACGTCGACAAGACTGCAACCACGTCTAGTAGAGAACATGAAGATCAAGGGACGGCTTCGGATCTGTGGCAGAGCGGACTGGCACTGCAGGCAGTGAATCCGTATGGAGAAAAGGCAGAGGATAGCGTCTTACAAGCACGTCAGTTGGACTACTATTAAGGGTAGGCGAAAGGTGTTCCTGTTTCCGTTTCTTTTGCCTCTCTCCCTTAGGATGAGAAAGACAGAACAAACGGGAAACAGAAACACCAAGACCCTACCTCTAATACTACGTCAGCCGTGTGGCCGCCACAGTTGTGAGTCATGCGAAGAATAGTAGTACTGGTGACTTGTTGTATCCTGGACAACACCAGAGCGACTATGATTGCGTAGAGGACTACTGCGAGGAGGAGTATGCTGATCATGCTGGCTGCGGAACGACCTATACCGATGAAACATGGAGCTATGGAGATTCCACATACAACCTTCAATCAGGAGGAGAGCAGCAGGGATACATTGATTATGGCAGCTGGACGTCATCGACAGCTTAAGGTCTCATCTTATATCACAAGCAACGACCACAAGAGCATGATCATCTTGTTCCTCTTTTGTTAAATCTTGTACCTCTTTTGTTACCAAAAGTTGTGACCCCAGCAACTGTCAATGTGATCCACCAGCAACGCAAGAGGGGAGTAGCATATGCTGTAGCTCGTTGCTTAAATCTTGAACCATTCATCAACACCAAACAGCAAACAAAACGGAAAAACGGTCTTCTAGCCCATCAAATCGGAAGAAACCACGAAAAAGATCTTTACCTGGTCACTCTTCCGACGATGATCAGAATGCTGGAGGGCATAAGAGCAGCAGCTCCTCTAGTAAGGGAGAGTCGATGAAGGGAATAGAAAAAGCGAGCACTACTCCTGTAGTTACTTCGCTTTCATCTGATGCCAAGAGCAATAGTCTGCATCATAATGCTGATTCCTCTTCTCTTTTTACAACTTCTAGAAATCTGAATAGCGCCGGTCCTTGTAGTTCTACTACAAGGAACACTACCTGCTCCATGACACAACGAACAAGCAGCGACGAGGGAAAGAACACGTTCACGGTCTACCAGTCCCCCACCCCCGAACAAGAACCAGGATCACAAAGAACACAAAAAAAGTGGTATCGAGGTGAAAAGGGTGAAGTTATTCGGTTGAATGACGGTTTCGGCGTTACTAGGGATATCCTACGAATGAAAAAAACTGAACGTCAGCGCGACCATGCTCTCGATGCCATATTCGATGAGAAACGACGGCTTCTAGAAGAAGATGAGGAAATAGTACTAGTAGAAGATGATCATGGAGGATCACACAAGCGAGCAGGAGACCTAGAGCATCTTGGTACAACTCCTAAAAAAAGAACAGGTCGTGGGAATAAAGATGAAATACAGCTAGTGCTAGAAGATGCTGACAGTCATGAAGGGCACGAAGAAGCAGTAGCACACAGAGATCATCATACACATACAGGACGGGATCACCACGCTCAAAATTTGAAAATCGCAACGGGGCCCGCCGCTGCAAGCTTTTGTACTACACCTCGGTCGTGGGAGCAAGGGGTGTGGCAAAATGAAGATGAGAAAGAGATGAAAAATCGTCGCACTAAGTTAAGGGTATAACGTCAACCCAGCATCTCTCAAGCCATCTTTTAGCCACTTGCTACTTGAAAAGGGCTCAGACATATTCGAAAAGATGGGCTCGTGTTGGTACACTTCTTCTAACTAAAGCAGAAAATGCTGCCAGGGCGAGGGCAGGCGGGTCGACATCAGCTGTCTTGCCTCCTCCACCAGCATCACAGAAAGAAGATCCTACAGCGCAGCATGCTAACGATAACGAGCAGTACTATTGCGCAACTTCTTCGCAATCGCAAGCCACGTCAGTCGCAGAAGAAATTATTCATACTACGGCTACCCTATCCCTACTTGTTTTCATCTGTTTAAAAAAGAGAGCTGGCACTCTGCACAATTCGAGGATCATGCTTTCAGAATGAGAATAAGTATCCTCAGTCCTATCTCTAGGTGGATGCTCGTCTCTTCTAGTTTCTTAACGGGATCATACTTCTTAGATTTTGATACTGAAACTAAAAAATGTACAGTTTGTTAGCCTTAATATCTTGTTATACATATTTATAAAAAAATGATCTTCTTGGACTACGACTACTTGAACAAGTTGTAGTTCCAGTACTAGTTCGTTCTCGTTCTTCTAATTCCAGAAGTTGTATGATCGCACGGGAACAGATTGAGTCCCTACAGCGCCACTTCCTGTTTCGTACGCTTCAAAGATGCTTTTTCTACACATTGCGGGCAGATGTTCTACCCGCTACACTCGAGGCCGCGGGCTCTTACCTGGAGGAAGTGCGGAGAAAAACGCTACCCAGCTGGGCTCGGAGAGTTATTTCTGAGTATGAAGCTTTCTACAAGCAAAACCTCGACTCGACGCTGCGTGATTCGAAAAGGAGTCGGCTTGATGAAGATGGAGGTGGAAGATCTTCCTCAGATCAAGGACGACAAGAATTTGCGCTCACGAATGCAGTACTAGTTCCCTCTTGGTCCTCCTCTATTTAAGGCACAGAAAAACCCAACCCTTTACACAGCCCATTCTTCTCATTCCCCTTCTACACAAGGGGAATCCATACTGGGTTGCTGGCGTAAGGTTGGGCTTTTCTCTTCGCTAATCTATTCAGCAGCATGATAGTGGTCCATCGTTTTATTCTTCTTCGTCCTCTTCCTCAACAAGTGGCTCGAGGACCAGGAGAAGGCCATCTTCACCTCCAAGGGTCGTTACCTCTGCAACATTGTGTGTCGATCGGGACGCACGTGAGAGCGCAAATTGGAGTGGAGGAACTGTGTCGACTACAGCCTCATCTTTTGAGGATTTTGGTACTGAAGATCCTAGATCATCATCTTCTGCTAGAAGTGGTACTGCTGGTAGTGCTTCTAGTGCTAGTAGTAGAGAAACGAGCAGGCCCACCACGACTACACGATCAGGATCACCGCCAGGAGCACCAGAGGGCGAGGGCGAAGAACGGCTTTGTTCGTCTTCTTCTTCTACTGTCGACGAGGAACAACAATCGTATACCTCCTGGGATTCCCAAGCATTGCCGGACTTAGCACGCTTATTCCTTGACTCATCGCACGAATTGGCGAAACAGCTACTTTTAAGGCGCCTCGTTGTATTTACTTATAGTACATCTACTCCATAGAAATACTGACTTTGAAAAGTCCTAGGTAAATCGCATTAGTATGTGCTACTAACTAGTCTTGCGCCAACAGTGGCAAGTTTTTATTTAGTAGATCGCTCGAAATTGATTGTTTTAGAGGAAGGGCTTTGCCTCCAGCACATTCTGCGCCGCTTCCGAAACCCTAAACCCTAACCCTAAACCCAAACCGTATCTTCTTCTAATCTCTGATATTCACACAAGTGAGACGCAACGTGAAGCCGCTTTTCAGGATGAAGATCAGGTGATAGCTTCTGACGATGGGAAAGGCTTCGACTTTTTATTACCTCGAGTGGAAGAAGTAGATGTAGAGCAAGAAGAAGGACGAGAAGGAGCAGGAGATGGACATCTTCTTCTACAGCAGCAGCAATATGGGCAAGAAGAGACATCTACTTTTTTAGATGAAGAAGAAAATGATCTTCCGCCACCAGAACGTCGACGACCACCGCCACCACCACATAGCAACGGCGACAACGAAGATACTGCAGCAAGCAAACATCAGGACGAGCCAGAAGACAAGGCTTGTTGTCCTTCTGAATGGCCTAGTGGTCGTGAGGATGAGGCTTGTTGTTCCTCTGGCCAAGATCAAGAACTAGAACAAGAAGGTGTACAACATGTAAAAACTCAAAATCCTTTGAATATGTTGCAGTCTTCTTATACTAGCAGAACTGCCATGAAGGTAGCGGTCAGTAAGGCGAGCGTGTACAAAATTACTGGAGATGTTGATACTCCTTCTTCGAGGACGGACCAGAAAACGTCTGCGGCCGCTCCGGATCAAGGCGAAACACCGATAATTGAAGATACAGCAAATAATGAACAGCACGATGATGATGATGATGATGATGATGATGATCAGCAGGAAGATGACATTGACATGAACAAAGACGAGGAACAAACGAGCAGTGCTATAGAGCGCCAGCCATTCACGTTGCTGAACATCCAAGAAGTAGAACAGTCAAAGATGAACAAACAGGCGTCTACGACCAGTTGTAGTGCTGCATCAACATCCCGCGACGTCGGTTGCACAATTACTACCTCTACCAGGAGTCTAGGAGTTGTCAACACCAGCGATCCAAATCCATCAGAGCAGCAACTAACATTGGCGCAACTCCGCTTGGCGTCATGGCTGTTGCAACGATACGGGACGGCTGAGTTGGCGAGCGAGGCTGGTTTTATGTCTCTCTCTTTTCTTCTGAACGAAATCGGTGACGGCATAATCCCGCATCTAAAAGAGTTGGTGCACAGTCTTGCAAAGATAAGGCCAGGCTGTCTCGCGCCCGAGGAAACGATGCTCCTCTTTCTTTTCCGAACATCATTTACAAGTAGGGATTCTGATTCTAGTAAGCCGTTTTCTTTTGCTAGCGAAGACCAAGAGGATCCGCATGCTGATGATCAACATCACAAAAGCTGGCACGACTATAGAAATTCGCAACCAACACCTTCATCTTCAAGTACTGCTTCCAATTGGAGGCGTCTTGGGGTGAAACAGCAGCAAACAGGCAACATGGGAGACAACAAACTTGAGCAATCATCAACCAAAGAATATGATCTTATGGTCAACAGCATTTTTCCATCATTCTCGGCATCTTGGTCTCCTTTTCCCTTGTATTCTCGTGAAATACAAGGTAAAAAGGGTCCAGATGAGGGGACCGAGATGCACTCTAGCGCACGCTAATGATCATCCTGTTTTGCTCATGCGAAGCCCTCTGATGCGTTGCGCATCTTCTTCTACTTCTGTTGTTGGTGGTAGTGAAGGACACCATTCTACGTCCACCACCAGTGAAGACTCCACGTCCACGGCCAGCACCACTATTGCGTCCACAGTTGCTGCAATTCTTCATTCTGGAAGCGCGTTCGATCCAGGGTCTAGCTACTCCGTTGATTTTGTACTCGAAGCCGATGCCCTACTGGAGCAAGATCATGAAGACGTGACGAGTCGAAAGCTTCAAGTTCTCGAAGTGTCAGACACTGGCGTCGTCCAGTGCAATGTGCGACCTATTGAGGGGAGACTCTACCGCACTTTGCGGCCTTGTATGTATGGCATCCACGATAATGAATGAGTCTTCAACTTCCTCAGGTGGAAGTAGAGTACTCTAATCTAAGTAGGTGCACCGACTCTCTCAACAAACGTCTACCTGTTTCGCGTAATTGGAATTCGCCCTTTATGTACGGAACATTGAATGCTAGTTGCTAGCTCTAGAACGCTATCAAAGCAACATTAGATGAACTATCACTTAGATACTATCTCTCGCAGGAGTAAAAAGCTCTATTTGAATTAATTGAGTAAGCTTTATTGCCATTCTTCATATGCTGCTCAGTCCAGCTTTGAGGTTAACAACTACTGAAGGACGATGGACGCGACTCGAGCAAGGTGTGGTTTTGCGTGCTCTTTCGGGCGAAGTAGATATCTCAAAGGAGACGCAAAGAGGAGCAGGGGACTCTTGCCAGGAGGTAGTCATGAAGCCGTAAAGCTAAGCTCTTACTTGGGAACAAGACATGAATGTTGTAATTCGTCTTTACCAAGGATCTTCAGTAGATGGATCATCTGGTTTCAAACCCTTTTCGTCTTCGTGTCGTGGAGGAAATGGAGTAGATGAAATACAAACTCTAAGAACTCTATTTCAAGAGTGAACACCTCGGTTACTCTACACAACTCAGCGTCTGTCACGTGTCCGGGTGCAGACCGGTAACGGAAATGTTGGATATGTCACTGTGCGTGAGTTGTACAGCAACACAGTTGGAAAATCCGCGTCCGGTGAGGATGTGAGACATAATCTCGCAGTCTTGAATGAGATGGAGAAATCATTGCAAAAGCGCTACGATGAAAAGCGTGCAGCCTTGAAAAAATTACGAGAAGGTTCGATGAGTAAACACAGTGCAGAAAAAACCGCGGAACCTCTGCGAGCCTGGCTAGCGCATCAACCCCGTCCTATCGAGGCATCAAGTACTTACTTGTTGCTTGGTTTTGAAATGATACATGCTAGGATTTTTTTTGGGATTGTCTATCAAGTACAGAGTTCTAACCCTTGCAAGCTCTCCATGCTCCTCAAGGCCAAAGATCAAACTATCAAAGACAACCTGGGCATCTTCATTTACATCCTACTACGGATTGTTGATCAAGTGAGTGCCTTCGACTTGCAGTTGCACTCGTAAAAAAGAAAATGTTCATCTTCATGCTGTTGCTCAGGAGATAACTCATCATCTACCACTACCACTACCGCTACCTCTGACAAATAACGAATAACTGATACTGCTCTCACTGGTTTGATGTTCTCACTCACTTACTCACACTTTCTCTCTCATACCAGTTGAGGAGACAGCTGGCAATTACCTTTTGTGGCGAGGTCTCTATGGCGACGCCATCTGGAAAGAAGACGAATCCAGCTGGAGAGAAGAGCACCACCAGGCTAGTGCAGTGGTCGGTGAGCTTGTTTGGTTAGACGAAGGAGATCCGGCGTGCGTTCTTAGCTTAGATGGACATGAAGAAGCTTTTATGAGAATTCACATTTACATACAGTAGTAGTTGTAGTCGTAAGAGTTGAAAGGAAAATGAAAATTCCTCCACGACAAGCACAAGTACAAGAACGTGAGCATTCCTGCTCTAATTTCACCGCTGATGGAGAAGCAGGACCTGTTGCGGAAGTCGTCCTCCTAGCAAAGAGAAGCGAAGAAAGGATAGTGAACTGGGATGGCGACTGCGGTAGTACAACTACAATAGATGAATCTGTTGCCCTGAACACGACGGGGGACAACTACGTGGAAGAGGCTGCGTCTTCTACCGCCAATACCGCTTGTATGGGAACCATCACTACAGGTACTTCCACTTTGACCGCGACCTCAGCGTCACCGTCAACAACATCGAGCGGCAAGAACGTGGTGATGAAAGTCCCGCTTTATCGTCTGCTTTCAAACAACGCTCCTACTTTGGCTAGTAGAAAACGAGGTGGTGGTAGAGGCGAAACAAGATACCAAACATATCGTGGGTATGGAGGAACAACCAGTGAGGACTATACTAGGGAACAACAGCATGGTCAAGTGGTCATATCGAGCAGAGTTGGTATCCCGTGGAACGAACCAAGCGTAGGCACACTCTCAACCCTGCTGAGTGCTCAGTTACGCACAGCCTACTCCGACGTCGCAAATCTCGTAAATGTAGTGCTGGATATGTACGACCCACTACCGCTCAAAGCGATGCTTGAGGAGCTCAAGCGATATCGAAGACATGCACTCCTGGCTCAAAAACAACAACAGGAAGCGGCTAGCTGGAGGGGTTCTAGCAGAGCGAGGCAACAAGAAGATGATACTGAGCCTTTCTGGGAAGAAATCATCGAATCAATAACGAATGATTGTCTTCAGAGTGCACTGCTAGATGAAACGGCCGCTGTTCCTGAGCAAAACACCATAGGAGATGACAAAGACGACAAAAGAAGGAAACTTTCGTCACAGGACGATCAAGATTTCGTCTTCCCATCTTCAAGCAGAACACCAAAGCATGTTGTGCCAGGACAAGCATCGTCCTCGAGGAGCCCAAGTTCATCTAGTACTAGTTCAACATCTTCTAGTTCTAGAAAAAGAAGAAAAAGGAATCATGTGGTGGAAGAATCCACATCCTCTTCTGAGTTGTCTCCACATCAACTTCATAGTGGTGTTGACTCAGAGCCTCCACATAAACTTGGTACTGACTCGCTTCTCTGCCGCGTGATAGTAAAAGCCAGGCGAGTCCAGACTTTGCAAGACAGGTTTAGACGTGTAGGACTGAAGCTTGACAACTTTTCTGAGTTAGTGGCTCGCAGAAGTGCGAACATACAACATCTGCGAAGTCTCGCGCCACTTGTCGCGGAAGCCACTAAGGCGGGTGCGATAGAACAGACTACATCTACAGAACAGGATTCGTGTCGTTGGACAGTGGAAGAGGCAGAAGCCGAGGCCGTAGTTCCATTGACACGTGTCGTCACGGACACAATCCAGAACCTAGTTTATGGTAGTTGTGAGACTGTTTGATGATGTTGTCTCCGTGTACTTAGTTTGTTTCTTGACGAAGATGACAAAAATAAGTGCAAGTTGTAATCTCGAAGGAGACTCGTCCTCTATCTGCATCTAGTAAGAGACAATGAACTTCTACTACAATACTTGGATTGATTCTCCACCTTTCACTTTTTTGTTTAATAACCTTCACACAAGATGATGATGAGGATGACACCCGTCCTGATGGTCACTAAGAAGTTCTCTGTTTTTCTATTGCGGTTCACGATGTTACCTCAAGTAGTGCATACTGTCCTTACTCTACGTCTACTCCCCTTACTCTACTCCTAATTCGTACCACAGTTTAGTCACCTTGTGGCTCGCTACAATGCGGCTCGTGCTGATCTTTTCCACTACTCAGTTCTTTTTCACGCCTTGGCCGATCGAGAATGGCTTTCTGGAGTCTGTAGAGGCGAACGCCTTGAGGCTAAACGAGTCGCTGCTCTTGAGATGCGGACTGCTTTTCTTCTGCCCTTTCAAAGATGGCTGAGGCATTCTGAAAGTGAACATGAACAACATGATGAATTAGTCAAAGACTCTTCCTCAGCATCATCTCCATCAAGGACAAGAAAAACTTCTACCACAGGAGAAAAAGAGGCTCAACTGCGACAACAATTTGAAGCAGATGACGCGACTTCATCCGGCGTTGAAGCGTTTATCAAGAGGTACCATAGCGATCATAGAACTGAGTTTGTATTTGAAGCCATTCTTAGACGGCAGCAGCAGAAGCTTGAGGACTTTGGTCTCTTCTGCAAGCGGTGCTATCCTCGTGCGCAGGCGGCTGCGATGGAATTGTATCAGCATGAACTTTTTCTTGGTAAAAATAAGGATATTTATTTTGCAGGAACAGGGCTTTCTTCTTCTTCTCCTACTAGTAGCAATACCACTAGACAGAATAGAAGAGAACGATCAAGAACTCGTGGAGGTCCTTCAGAAGATGTTGAGGAAGTGACCTCAACTACGTGCACACGAACTGCTTGCAGAACGGCGCCAGGAGATCACAGAATGACACCAAAGGGAGACCCAGAGGAGCATGACCACTATGAGACAAGGTTGCGCGATACTACGCGCACAGTGATTGTTTCTACTAGAGGAGACGCGAAGCTTCGCAGGCAAATGCTGGCCTTACCCTTATGGTCAGCTTTTATTCATTTGCTTTCTTAGCATCTTTCTGGTCGTATCCTTTTCTTGAAGAGAATACAAAAAAAAAGGACGTCCAAGAGAAGAAAATACAAAGATGACTTCCCATAGAAGAACAATATTACAAGGGAAAAGCAAAAGGAGCTTTACCGAGTCCGAGATGAATCCGAGATGCCCCCGAGGCTCTAATACCCGCTTGGATTGCTGCTATTGAGGCTTTGCGTAGCAACCTTTTCCAGACGAACGGGCCTGTCCAACAGAGATTCGAAAGAGAGCGAAGAAGAAGCGAAGTAGCCCTATTTTTCCAGATGCAGAAGTCCTACCGCCATCGGGTGGAAGAGACCCTGTCAACAAGAAAACCTGACCAAGAAAGCAGGCGTGAGGAATGGATTGCGAAAATATCATGTTGTGGAATGATTTCTCGACAGGGTTTTGAAGAATTCGAGTTTTCACCTGCCTTCATCCTTGCGGTATTTAAAATTCTGTGGACGACACCAGAGAATTTAGAGTCAAAACAGATCTTGAAAGGGCTGCTTGCTCCACCTGAGCACTCTTCTGCACATGAAGAGAGACGGATAGGCCCTGCTGCTGATGCAGGAGATATGAAGAGACGAGAGGATGACCCACTACTGAACGAGCAGCATGAGGAAAAAGACGCGCCTTCTACTGTCGAAGAGGGTGAAGAACGAAGCAAGGTTCCTATAGTTGTACCTTCTCCTTCTCTCGAAACAGAAATGGCAAAAATCAGCTGTAGTGCTTTGGAAATCCTAGGAAGAAGTTTGGCATTTACGACAAAGCCAGTTACATGCGAAGTTAGCAGTGCGACAGTACTCCCTGGGTCTATTGTAGAAATACGGGATGGCACTTCCATTGAAGGTGATGTATCAGATACCATAGTTTTGACAGAGTACAAAGCGAATTCTTCTACGTCGGCGACACAACTACAAGGTGGGAAAAGCGCCACTACCTCTGGTAGTAGCCTAGAAGTAGGAGTTAGTGGGTCCACTTCCACGACGGACACGACTAAGCATGATGTGGTGGAGTATGTGGTGAGGCGAAATTATCTTGAAGACGTGTCCAAATCATCAAGAATACCACCGGATTCGGACTCGGTGCAGCAGCTAACAACAAGAAATAGTGCTGAATCAGAAGAAGATGGCAAAACTTCTGCGCTTGTTCACGTTTTGCCGAGTTACTACCTCACAATAGATACGACTTTGAGTCTGAAAAAAGCGGATAGTGCCAATAACGCAATTGGCCTTCATTGTGGCGATCGAGTGGAACTGTGCGCACCACCTGTGTCGATGAAAATTATGGTTTAGAAGTACTAGATCTTCATCTAGTTCTAAAAAACTCTTTACTAGATGCACGTACTAGCTCCCGCGCTAGGTCCGTGTACTAAGAATATCGATATCCTACCTGGCTGTATTCCATTGTAGTTTCGGTGTAAAAACAAACAGGAGACGAGCACTGTAGACGTTTCCGGTTCGAGATATATTCAATTCTTCACCTCGTGGTCTTGGCTATGTTCATACTACTGGCAAGGTTATGCTTTGCCCTTAATCAGTCAAAAATCTAGTAGTCCCTTCACATTTATTCCTCTACAGCCACCTCGCCTAGCTCTACTACCTTCTAGCCTGTAGTCCAAGATATCTCCGTAATTATCCTTCTACAAGTAATTTTCCTTCTACAACCACCTCTACTTCTACTACTACAACCACCTCTTCTAACCCGTGCTCCAATGGGGGCCCCAAGACTTGCTACGTTGTGCGCGCACGCGTGAGGCTGTGTACGCCAGGGCGAAACCAAGGAGTCACTGGCTGGATAACGCTCTTTAAAGATGGACGATTGTTCGTTAGATGATGACAGAAGCGTCGTCAGGGTCATCTTCTCTGAGAATGAGGACAGAGCTTACTTTCAAATTCATCATACAACTAAGAACACCTACTAAGAACATCCCTCCTTGTACAAAAAAAATGCGTTTATTTTGCTATCTGCTACCATTCTTTATTCGAATTACACAAGCATGAGCCTCATTTATTTTTCTGAGGTGCTCCTGCTCTTACTTCTGATTAACCCTTTTCATCGATCTAATGAAGTTTAGCGTTTATCCTTTTCGAAGAAAGAAAAATCCAATCAAACAACAGCAGTAGAAAACATCAGCGCGCAAATTAATTATCTCTAGTTTCTGGTACCATTGAAAGAAAACAAGAATGCCACACGAATGAAAAAGGTTTAGTTAGATTTTTTCAATATCGACGCTATCGCATCCAAGATCGTGCTGGTGCTGTCAGTACCACATGAAAACAGGTTAAAGTGGTGGCATGCTATCAACATGACTCAAAAATTGATGTTGGAGGTTTCGCACGATTATAAGAGCGCCGTAGTACAAAAATTGGAGAACAACAACCTTACACGGTTCTGATTTCTTCTACTCGATTGGCTTACTACTTTGATGTACTGTAAATGAAGTATTGCCATATTTATCCGCCAGGGTCGGTCGCCTTGTCGGAGTAGTAGTTTCAGCTGTGCCCCACCCCACATAGAGAGACTGCTTCAGTACTCGATTGGCTTACTCCTCCGATGTGTGTAGTGAAGGCGACCACGATGCAGTTGTATCCTTTTTTCAGGGTCTTCAATCGTGAAGAAGTTGTGGAAAATGAAAGAGAACGCCGGATTGAAAACTCCTCGTTCTTCACTGTTGTGGTTGTGGACGAACGTCGTGATTCTGTAGTCTTGTTTCACATTCTTTCACCGTGACCACATGGAAGTAGGATCATAAAGACTCCTGGTGCTTTTATGATGTGCATGTGGTGGCGGATACGCGTCAGCGTCAGAAGGCTACTTGCTCACCTACTGCTCGTAGATGAAGCTTCAATTCAACCTGGCAAGCTCTGTGCTGGATCATGTTGATATAACCCTAGAAGTGGTCACATGTTGGTCAAGAACACCAGGAGGTCTTGCATGCAAAGGGGTACGTATCTATGTGTGCACTCATCACTCGGTTAAGAAACAGTACGATCATATTACGGGGTTCGTCTCTCTTCTCATCAGTCACAAAAGACTTCTCAATCGACGCCTCGTCCAAGTGAGTACTAATATTCAGGAAGTAGAAGCTCTTGGGACAACATCATCGGTCATTTTCATCACTGTTGCTTTTGAAGACCGGCGTCGGCACTCAGTCTCGGAAGAACATCCCTGTTGCTTTTGAAGAAACACCCCATGAACCATTCTGCCGACCTCTTTTTCTCACCCACAACCCTACTCCGAGGAAAACTTTTTTGTGCAATTTTTTTCTTTGCTGATTTGTTTCAATTGTTAATTCATCTTAAAATTGTAGAAGATGGAAGAATTCGTTGTATGATGTGATTGTACTTGTAGTTGATGTAGTAGAAGTGTTGGTTTCATGAATAATGTCGATACAAATATGTGTCTACATCAGTCGTTGTTCTTGCTACTATGGCCTCATTGTCCGCGAGCCGTAATCACAATCAGTCGCCGCGATGAAGGTTCTCGATCATTTTTACATTATAGGTAATAATTGAATGAGTATGATCATGTCCGATTTGATACCATTCTTTGCGTATAGGAAAAAGCCCTAAGAATAGAAGAAGTTGAGATCACGACTTTTGTCTAGAAAAGATAGCAAATGACATGGCCTCGCAGAATTTAGCTGTCAACCAGATCAGTGCTGGTGTTGCATTATCATCTTCTGTATCTTCACAACAAGTTTTCTTAAGGGTAGCAGGGTTCGCGTGTTCTTGTTCTTGCCGTTTGTTATGGCTCTCCCCCTAAGGGAGACAGGCATAACAAACGGGACGCAGAAACACCAAGGCCCTGCTAGTACCTCTAATTATACCAGGCACGGCAGGCACTTCTGCAACACGTAGCAGACATCTGCTCTCCTTTTTGCGATTGGTGACGCGTCTATCAAGTTACTTGCGAATACCTGCTATTGTCATAATCTTCGCCATGATCGTGCACAAGGTGTTGGATACGGCGTGCCCGCAACGGGCGACGGAACTCAAAAATGCTGTGCTGCGACAAGGACCGATGACGTTTCTATGTACTTACTTCTTCCTATGGTGATTCATTTGTTGTATGAAGTTGTCAAGTGCATGGATCATCGTCATATCTCCTTCTTGAATATGGCACTGCTAATTCTTCATCGTTTTTTGCCCTTGCCAATTGTTCATTGTTTTTTTTTCTTTAACACACTGACACTCTTGTCATTTGAAAACTACAGTCTCGCTTATCGAGTCGATTTGCGGTCTCGGATCCAAGAAGGCAGATGGTGAGGCGTCGACAGGTACTAGTAATACGAATACCATGAGAAATTCTTGATCTTGCTGTCGATTTGATGTAGATTTATCATGATACAAGAGCAAGGTTATGGTTCTTGAGTAACGTCAATCATCATGAGCATCACCCTCATTCTCATCTTTCGCAAAACCATTACCTTATCCTTATCTGAATCATAACAGCAGAAGGGGCCCAAAAAAAGTCTCCAGAGGAAAACGAGGGAACGCCCTTGCGCCGCCGAAAGAGCGTGGATGTCGCCTACGCACTTGCTGACAGATTGACTCCGCCTATCGTCAAGCAGACGATTTCGATCCTAGAGTCCGTTTCACCCTCAAAGCTGAGTCGTTTATGATTCGATAGACGAGAGGTAGAAGGTTGAGATTTGGAAATCATTCGACATGAGTACTCGTGAGTAGTTGCTACAACAACTTCTTATTCGACATGAGTACTCGTGAGGAGTTGCTACAACTTCTTCTATGCAAATCTGCTCTAACTCCCTCTCCTGAAAAGAGCAAGCAGAACCAAAGTCGATATGACAATCCTGATGCCTACACTGCGACCTCTAGCGGTGTGCGCGCACCGCGAAGTAGTATGACGTTGGGCAGTGGGGAACAGCTGATGAACATGGGACATGTTGAGATTACGGATCATACCTTCAACTCCCCTAAGCCATCTCCACCTCCAGTATCTTATGGCCGTTTTCTACTTGAAAACAGCCGACACCAGATGTTGTTCGAACAAGAGATGGGCTGTCGATACCTCTTCTAATGAGAGCGTCTATCCCGCGGAAGCGCAACAAGGTCGTACTAGTATCACGAGTGTTGAGGACGCGGCTGTCTACACCTTCAACGAAGATTCTTGCGTGTCCTTGGCAGCAACAGTTAAGGCTAGTTCACCACTATCCAATCTGATTGGTCACCACTATCCAATGGGAATCCAATGGGAGGGAGGGAGCTGATTCATTGGAGTCCCCCTTGATTTGATGGGGAAACCAGGGCGAAAAAGGGCAACTCACTCACCAAACACGGATAGTGAAAAGCTAGCGCTAAAACAGTACAGTCAGTGGAGGACTCGTCTTCGGTGGAGGATCTGGATCGCGAAGCTTCTGTTTCATCTCTGGATCAGGATCAGGAATCCATTTTGGAACAGCAAGATGAAGACGAAATCGATATCATTGATGCATTGAATTATGAAATGGCATATGCTTGTAGCTGGTGGACGTGGAGTAGACAATCAAAATCTTTTTCAGATAGTACTACCCTATAATTCGCAGCGAATTTTTCGGTGGAGGATAACATCACCTTCTTCTCCGTAGTTATATGATATTAATCGTTATATTACTAGACAACAAGGAATTACAACCACTACAACAACGTCATTGTTCTCATTAAACATAGTTCTGCTCATCTGCTCTACTATCTCTTCTAACAAAAAGCCGAGATCCTTGAGCAGGCAGAGGGAAGTTTCGATGATGATGCCACCCAGGTGGAAACTCTATCGGCTTCAGTCGTGACAGCAGTCCTGCAATGCGAATCTACGCAGGCAGGTGTGGAAGCAACTGACATCCAGCAAGTGGAGTCCGTCATCGATAAGACCCCTGAGAAAGACGATGAGGATACTTCTTTACGGGGCCAGAAGACACTCACTATAGTATGAGTAGGTGTAAGTATGCTGGAAATGTCTTCTTCTTCAGGGGAACCATCAAATAACGGGAAAGAAGAGACTCGTCAGGGAAGTCGTAGGTCCAATCCGAACCGACTAACATCATCATCAAGGGGAAAGAAGGCAGACACCAACTCCGTTCGACCCTAGGTAGTTGTGAGGCGTGTCTTCTAGCGTTAATAAATATGGGAGTCGGGCGCCCATTCCGTATGTCTGACTACTACGAGCACAATGTCGAAGACCTTAGTACAGCTTTTGATGCAGCTCCAGTCGATGATGGGGAGTGCGCGGATAGTGAGCGTGATGATGAGGATATCATGGATCTCGATGTCGCAACAACTGGCAAGCGGTTTAGCTCTTATGCTCCTGGGTTGAGAAGGATTTTTTAAAGGTAGGTAGAAGTAGTAGCGCTTACGGTACTTAGAAGAAGTAGATAAAAAATAGTAGACGAGGGTGTTAGTCTTAGTTGTCGATATCGAAAACGAAATGGAAATTTTGAATTCGGAAACAAAGGGCTAAAGAATGGATCTCAATCACACCATTAAAAAGCTTCTTCATCGCAATTCGTCCTTTTCTAATTTCCAAAAGAAAGTGCGGGAAGTGTGAACACCAACGTGCCGCCTGGCGATGATGGCAGCAGCAGCTGCGCAACATCCAACGTGCCCAGTGCCACGGCTTCGCGTAGTACCACCAAATCCAAGGGGTTGCACCATCAAAACGACCATGGTGAGATGGCGGAGCAAGTGTGCCCATACACCATTTTCAACAACAACACTACAACTACTGGTTTTTCAAACACTTCTGCAAGAACGTCACACAACTCTGACAACAACTCTCCACTGTACCCGAACGTCGGAGGGGAACGACCAGCTGGCTTCGCAGTGCGCAAGGACAAGATCCTGATCATCGACGAGATCAAAGCACACGACGAGGAAGCTGATGAGAGCTGCGAATTGAACCCTCTGGGCAACGTGAGCCTAGAGGATCGTCTCGCAGCGGCTGCTAGACCACTTTCTCCTTATGATGTGACACAGTCATTTTTGAATTCAAATCAATTACGGGTAGGTTAAAGGTGCTTTTGTTACCGTTTGTTATGGCTCTCCTAAGGGGAACGGCCATAACAAACGGGAGAACCCACGAACACCAAAAACTTACGTCTACTTCAAGTGAGGTTTTATCGCGACGCTTACTATTTACTATTTCACTTCCCCTAACAAAACAAAAGAACCCACTCTAATCTTGGAAGGGTGACGATGAAGAAGGTGACCACGCTGATGGCGAGGACAAGGCTGCAGCCACCTACCTGGACGATGTACCTATAGAAGTCTCCTTCCAACTACTCCTCGAGGAAAAGAAAATTATAGAATTATACCTCATCTTCATCGAATTCGAAGTTCTGATCACCATGCATCTCATCATCGAAGTTTTGATCATCGTTAATATCTTCGAAAACCAGAAGAGTCCATTCTTACTACATTTTACTTTTTTGAGATTTTACCACTCCTACACCTAATCCTAGATGTAAACATATAACCTCAGGACGAAGAAGAGGCTGTCCGCAACGCTCCCGTGAACTTCTTGGATCCGAACGTGGGTAATTTCGGTCTCTGGTTCACGCAGTTACTAGACGTAAAATACAGGGACCAAGTGACCCCTTACACTGCTGGCGCACGCGAACGTGGAATGTTGTTAAGGTGGGAGTTTGTTGAAGAAGAGTGGTTCTTGTTAAATTTGTAGATACACTAGAACTAGTTCTTGTAGTAGAGGATTTCTGCTTGTACTAGTCGGAGTGGGAGTACTATGAAAGGACTTTCCATGATCATAGGTCCACCTATATCTACTATGGGAAGTCCTTTCTCAGGTCCTGTTGAAGTACTTTATCAATTATCTTCAGTTGTACGATCAAATATTGCAGCAAGAAATGCAGGCTCTTACCATAAGTAAAGTTACTAACTTAGAAGCGCAAGCTCTAATCCTAGCAGGTGCGCTAGAGGGAGCCGTGGAGAAGGCCGCACAGCCGTGATCTGGCAGTGCATCCAGGGAGTGATCTGATGTGGGTGAACATCAATGTTAGAAGAAGCTGTGTTTCTGTCATGTGAAGGCAATGGTGCCAATTTTGTAGTCATCGTCGTACTAGACGACGTTGACAGCAGTTTAGCTATTATAGTTCTTCGTAAACAAGAAAGTCAAAATGTTCGAGTTTACCATGATATCCGAGTATGTCATAGAAGAAGGAACAAATATCTGAATTAGGTATGTTGTCATAAAATTGAGAATATCTTCAATGTCATCACAGTAGCAATTGTTCTATCTAGTACTACAACAACTACCAGCATGGAGATGATTTGACAAGCTGTCAATTTAATTCAACGAACAGAACAAGTTTCGCATTCGAATATCATCAGATCTTCATAACACTACATCTACTAGTACTGACAACTAATTAGGAAAATTGTACCATGGGAAATCGAAATTAATTATGATTGCTAGCGTTCTTGTTGAATAACAAGGTTAAGGTAGAACAAGATCTTAATGATCTTCGCAGGATTTTTTAATGAACAAGATCAACAACAGGGTGGAGAAATCGAAAATCTTCACGATCAATGTGACATTGATTTCAAAGCTTCAAATTCATGATGCTATTCTTGTTGATAGTTTTAGTTAGGGCATTTGTTGATAGTTTTAGTTCTGGAAAGAAACGTTCTGGAAAGAAAAAGCCTACCGCGATTCCCAGGACGCAGAAGAGGAGCAGCACATCATCATCAAAAGCTTTCTGTTTCTGCCTATTCATTTGTAGATAGATGAAGATTTTTTAATATATGTGGTAGAACTCGTCAGGGAAATCTTAGGCATCTTGCCGAATAGATTCAAGTCGTCAGTTCTTTGAATAATAGAAGAAGACCACAAGAACAACAACGAAACACGAATAACACAAAGAACTGCAGCTCTGATACTAAATGTACTTCGTCTTAGACCGGATTGTACTATTTGATGTAACATACCAACGATGTTTGAAGATATCGAGAACACAGAGAAAGACTATATACTTCGTTTTGGCATGTTGATAGATTGGCATTTACTGTATTTCTAATTCTTAGGTAGAAAAAAATGAAAATAAAGACCAAAGTCGAACAAGCGAACAAGGAGACTGACGACATCGAACATCAAACAGAATGGATTTTGTAGTGTTTGGAATTTTGTCACAACGACAGGCGGAAAGAGCAGGTGCATAGTTCTAAAAATGAAGTTTCAATGCTCATGTTAGTACTTGAAAATTGTCGTTTCGTCCTGTTGAAATCTATCCATCATGATCGTACAAGAAGGGTAAGGTTTGATGGTCGAAGTCTGACTGCTCTGAGATGATTCTTGCCAAAAAATATACCGCACGAGATGAAGTAGACGTCCTCGTCTAGTAGCTCATTCTTTCACATTCCATGATGACCAACTACGTCTCTGGATCGATTCTTCCATACCGAAAACTAACTCCCTACATCTTGCGCCATCATTAGATTCACGACCATGTTGCGCTTGCTTGAGAAATAGAGGAAATGAGCGCCCTCACTGGTGAATATAGCTTCAGACTCTTGTGAGATGAGAGGAGTTGTTGAAGGGTGAAGCAGGGAGAGAGATCTCATTATCGAGGATGGTCACTGCACGAGAATGAGAGGGGGAGGGCATATCAATATCGATTTTTTTTCTGTTGTAGAAAAACGAGGAGGTGCAGACAGTAGAATGTATGGGAAAAATGAGCTGTGGAGCAACTACGTAAACGTATGACAGCAATTCATCTGCTAAAAGAGAGACCACACCGTAAGTAACCACTACCACCCACGTAGTAGCCTAGCTAATGGACAAAACGGCAGGAGTCAGGAAATGGGCTAAGTAGACTCAATAACAACCTCAGCAGTTGTAGGTATAACAAGAACAAGAAGCAGGTAATATGCATCACGGTAATATGAGGCTTTTCTCTAAACATCAAGAACCTCTGAAATACAGAAACAAACACAAGGGCTAAAAATTGTATAAATTACCAAAAAAAGAATGTGAACGTCGAGGTCGTCGTCGCGATATAAATATCGCGATGGCCACCACGGCGCAAAGATACGACAGGGCTTAAATTCGGTAGTTGCGTCGCTTGACGATGAACACGACCACTTCTTCAAACAGGAGTTTTGGGGTCGCGAATCAATCGAAAGCGAACACCAGTCGTGTTTCCCAGGGAGAAGATAGCGAGCTTCGTATTGAACGAGGAGGAGCGCGAGAGCTACTCCTTCAGGAGAAAGAGCAAATACCCCTTCCGCAGAAGAACCGCGAAGAGGAAAGCGAGACCCTCCAGTGTGCTGCTGCTACCTCTTCACCGCATAGTGCCACGTCAATCGTAGCATCGCCCAGCGGCGCATCGACAAGTCCTTCTTCTGTTGTGTTCGACAGGCGAAGAAACCTGTTGTGTTGTGGTTTCTCACCAAGAAGAAGAGATCTCCATCTCGACTTTGAGAAAGGCCCTACCAGCGGATGTAAAGAGGAGGTCGAAACCAAGAAGAGCAAACCCAGTGGAGAACAACAACAAGCGGAAGCGCTTTACCGAGTGGATGTCTCGCCGACATCCGAAAAAGTTGGAACCCTTCGCGTTACTTTTCAAGATAAAACTACATCTTCTTCAACAACCTCAAGAAATAGAAGTTCTTCTTGTTCCACCACTTCGAACAATATCACAGTCAACACAACGACACAAAACATGAGCAACAACACAGCACCCGCGCCCGGAGGAAAGAATAGGAATTGTAGTAAAGGCAAGGGCCTTTTTGTGGGCACCAGTTTTGCCACGTCGTCAACCGATCCTAATGCGTTCCGCGGATCAGACCAAGGCACATCCTCAGATGAAGGAAATAACCCCTTAGAAATGTCGCTGACGCTTCAGGGAACAGGACCTGGAGGGATGATGATGCCAACTATTGGTGCGTCCTCTGCTGAGCCACCACCTAGTGGCAGCACACAAACACAACATCTGAGTGTGGATACAAACCTCCTCCCACCTGCTAATAGCATTCGAGGACCAGGTCCGGGAGGAAGTAGAAGGCCTCCTCCAGGAGCAGGTCTTTCGGTTTCAGCCGGTGCTCCTCCTCGAAGAATGCTGTCGCTAGATATAATATCACCAGGAAGCACGAGTGCCAACAGCTCAAACGTCGCGACACCATCGAATGCAACTGGAGGACCTGGAACTAGTATTGCCTTAGACAGTGCTGGTGCTGGAGCTGGAACAAGCGGGACAGTGAATTACCCAGGTGGTGGTGGGGGACAAGTGCATCCGCAGTATGGACTTTTATGTCATACTAGGTTCCAGTGTCTCTCCTGCATCTCATTATAGCGCGTAAATTATGTGATTGCTATTCTCAATGATCTCAACATCTCTTCTTCTAACCAGAGCTGCGAGGAATCTGGCCAACCTTCCACCAGTCCAACATGTATTACACGCACATCCGTACCATCCACACACTAGTAGGACTCCGCAATCAGGTGCATCCTCCAATGTTTCGAAAGAGTCTAGTACTCAAAACCAGCTTCTCAGCATGACCCACCAGTCCAGACACTCTACCACCTACGCTTCCGCAGCGTCAACGTTAGCTCGTTTCTGCGAGCTAGGTGCGTTACAAGCGAACACGTATGTTAAGGCACAAATAATGAATCTCATGGTCAGCCATATCTTGTTGGATTCTGACCTCAAACACTTAGGCTTTATTGTTCGTCGTCATTGAAGACTCGTCGACTCAGCATCCTCTTCGTCCTTGTCACTACTCACAGGTTAGGGTGATCAGTCCTATCTTGTTACTAGGGTCAGTAGTCACGATGCCCTCCAGAACCATCTTCTAATCGCCACTATTACATCTTCGATTTCGACAATGTTCTTTCCTCCGTGATGCTAGGGCAGCGGAAGAGTACAAGGGAACACCATAGAGAATGCCGACAAATGGGAGCTGTACAAATGCAACAGATGTTATGACTTCATTGTGTCTACTAGGCTTGGTTGTAATCTTCATATTGCTGCTTCTGTAGATGAAATGAATTCACTCCTGATCATACTTCTGCTATTACTCTTACTGTAGCAATGAATTCCCTCCCTGGCTCCTATGGGTGATGCAGTATAATGAAGTAGCAGTGCATCCGCATAGCATCAACATTATACAGTTACTTCTCGTCACACACGACTGTAGTGCTGACTACGCCTTAGTATGTCCTCACTTTCATCACCCAGCGGTGGAGGAGCTCCCGGAGACTTCGAAAGGGGTCCAGCGCAAACTCCAGAACCTCCGTATGCACAAACCATTTTCAGTGGCGACATAGAGGAGGTCTCGGTCAGGGAATTCGGAGGACAGGAACGCGTTTTGCTGTTGCAAGAGTTGTTTGTTTATGGGTGAGTGGTAGAAGTAGCTCCCTGCACTTTCGCTTACCTCAAGGTTTGTCCAGAGTTGCCAGTATCACAGAAATACTATACTGTCAGACCACGTCTCTACGGTCACCATGAACGGCGACAACAGGGACAACAGCATAATATTATACTTTGAGGACAAGAACTTGAAAACTAGTGCGCGAACTACTTACTACAGTGGCACTGACTCGATGGCAATAACTGAGCATATTATACATCTAGATCGATTGCAGTTCAACTGTTGCACTGAAAAAGAAAAGGGTGAACCTGATCTAACTCCTACGTTTACTGCAGAGAGGAAAGCAGTTTTGGATCCTGAGCCGCGGACGCGAGGCCCGCATCAAAGTAGCACTGCGGAACGTGAACCTGTTGCGTTTCTTTGAGTTAAGGATCGTAGTGGGTACTTCTGTACATAAATGATTTAATTCTACTAGTTATTTGAATCACATCAATTATGTCACGTTTGGTTTCATCATCCGCTTTAGAGGAAATTCTTGATTTTGAAGTAAGACTAACAGCACTAGACCATCTAGAAGATGCTTTACCATCAGCTCCCTCTTCTAACCCAGCACAACGATCCTACTATGACCACGATACGTGAGATGTCCACAGCAGGAGCCAGCACAAGTTCTTCTTCAGATCAAGAAGGAACTGGTATCGGTATGATGTTCAGCAATAATTTCACTGCCAGTAATCTACCACCAGACCCTTCCCCTGTAGTCGTCCCAGGTCGAAGCCCAGTGTTTCACACACCGTTAGCAAGCGACCAAGGGCTTGGGCCGGTTCCGATGCTCCCTTCTCCTGTCGAAGTAGATGGACATGCGTCTCTAGTGAGACATGTTTATGAGAGGTGACAAAAGCATGATGAGGTCACTGGAGTTAGTGCTCTCTTGATCATATTAAGCAGCTAAAAAACAAAAAAATCAATCTGATGAATTCTTAAGTAACCTCCTACCATAGCAGGCAATTGGTAACTCCCCCGTTGGCTTCGTGGTGTGCTGCAAATCTTGACTGGCTTCTTCCTTTTCATAAGGATGAAGAGGATTAGGTCCAGCGACGCGTAAAGTACTAAAGTAAAAGAGCCGGTCAGTTTTCCCTCTATCCTTAGGCTTCATATCCCTTCAAGTAATCTTTTGGGGCACGTTTATGAGAAAGGCACAAGAAACTACAAAAAGGTCGTTCGTACTAGGAAATATCGTGGATGAGGAAACCATGTTGTTAGATAAGACCACGATGAAGAAAGGTCCTGCTTCCCACTACTTGCTTCTACTCTCCATTGTCTGTCTCTTTTCATTTCTGCGACCAGAACGGTGTCGAAGATGACGGCAATCCAATGGACCTGCTGCAGCCACTATCGCCCAATACTGCCGCCCGTCGTCCTCCGCCTAGTCCTATAAACCCTGACTACTTGTCGGTCTCGAGCAATACTCCCTTCCAAACGCCACTGAGCTCGACTTTCGACATACGAAACTACGATGCTAGAGGAAGGATACTTGCGAGTGGTATTCAAGATGCTTGTCTCTTAACCAAGCAGCTTAAGACATGATGGAGGCAGGATCCTTATTCTAGATCTAGAGCTAGAGGTAGTTCTCCAACAAATCGTATTTAATCAAAGGCCTTCGTCAATAATTTTCATTTTTTATCACTTAGACGACGGAACAGAGTCACAGACTCAATAATGAAAGACAACATCAACATCTTCACCATATTAACCCTTTTCTCTTCACCATAACCCACGACCAGATACCTTACATCGTCCAAGGGGTATGTATAAAGGCGACCAGATCATGAATCTGCTGAAAGCCAAGGATAATTCCGTACCTCCAACGGACAGGGTGCTCTTCATAGACGACAATGAGGGAAATCTGGATTATGATCAAGGGTTCGAATGTGAATGATGTTGATACAGGTACATGCGCAAAAGAGGAAGCAGTGTAACCGAAGCGCTAGAAGCACTGGATTGCACTATAATCACGTAAGTTCTTGAGCATACTAGTTCTTGTATCAAGATCGACTGAAACAGTACTACCTTTTACAGCCAATGCCGTCGTGGCCTACCTACTTTTTGGTTGTCTCTTTTAGATTAACCGCATGTTGACGAGAGTCTAATTGATTCTCCTATTCACCTCTAATTACCACTCGCACGCGACAATGTGACGGTCTATCAGCCACGCGCAGGCATGCATGGAACAGGGATGAGCTTGGTGGAAATACGCTACTTAATCGCAGCTCTGGATGACATGTCAGGCGTTGTAGTACCACCACCGATTCCAAGTAGTACGTAGAACGCGGCCACAAGTAGAACGCCACGTCGAATCTCCAGCTAGTTGTAGTACGCGGAGGCGCAGGCCATTTGCAGGCGGATTTGTTTTTTGGAGAACCTTATCCTGTTGTGTAACAGATACAATCTAGTAGCAGATCATGAACTTCTTTTTCTAAGTAACAGCATTTTTTCCAACTCCATCTTCATTCTTCTTTTTTTCTGCTACTGTACTCTACGTATGATCATAATCGTGATATCCTCTTGATTGTGGGCTGAAAGTAGTGAATTCTTCACAAATATTTGCTTTAGATAGTGGGCTCTTCGTTTATTCGGTGTGGGAGCTTGTGCTCTGCAGATCAGAATATCGCTGAAGGTACAGAAAAAGTTATCGTGATAAAAGAAAATATACAACTACCCTAATTCTAGTCCTTTCTTGAGTTCCTTTCTTTCGCTACGTATTGATGTCGAAATTCAAGACGTGCTGATGAACAGTTACACACTCAGATACTTGAGTGACAACAACCAAATAAAAGTGCTTCTTTCTTCACATGGTTAAGGGAAATCAATCATGATAACCCCTTTTCTTGGTCTACTTCCAATTCTCGCAGACGAACGATCTGTGCTTGTACTAGTAAGGAATCAACATCTTCTCGTCCTACTTCGAAATCGCAGATGAACGATCTGTGCGTGTATTAAGGAATCACCTTCTCGCCTGGCTTCGGAAAAAAAAGGTGTACAACTACTTTTGAGAGTTGATGTCCTCAAAATTTGTAGGAGCCTCCACAGCAAAAAGAGCAAGTCACAAATAGTGGTGTAGATACTTTTTTGGCTCAGAAGAACAAGAAAACGAAACACATGGAAGAAAAAGTAGAAAAGTTCAAAAAGCCAAATCTTATTCTTGCACACCTAGGCTTTTCCTCTTTCAGTCTGTCTTCTGTCCCCTTACGTAGGGTGAATAGTCTCGCGGCCGTCTTTCTGACACACTGTCCGTTACTATCTTCCCTTGCCGGTGGTTGAGCATGACCACGACCAAAGACGAATCATCATGGTGATGATCTCGCACACGACAAACTAAAACAAGAAAATCATGCCAGACGTGGACAGCACCGTTTGGGGTGACGTGATCGCCTCGCATCGAGGTTTGCGGGAATTCTTGTGTTATGGCGAAGGAGAGCTAGAGTTTTTGAATTCTTCTTAAGTCAACAGTTTCATCTTGGTCTTCATCCTCCTCCACTCACTTCTATGCACCTCCAGCTACACCTTCTAATCAGAGAGCTTCGACAGATGCGAATGGTCGGAAGTGCTCAAAGCTTTAGCCATTTTAGGCCTCCAGTCCGTCGTAATCAAGTATCGAGAACAGCTTGCCAGTGTTGACATGGCAATGTTGTACAAGATTACACGCTACGCGGAGAAATTCGAGGTCTTTCCAGCAACGCTGAAGGCCATATCAGGAGCACCTAAGGATGCTCTGGGCTTTTTACCGGCGAGTCGGAGATCGAGGACGGGATCTGGTATAATTCTTCCTTTGTATAGTAAGGTCACCGACCACCGGGCTCTTAGTATACTGAGAATGGGTGGATGATGTTAGAGACCTTCATAGAAACAAAGAAGCCACGATTTATCTTCGATTTAGCGAGTAGTTGTAGTTTTCATGGATCAACATGATAGGCGATGCAGCATCATGGGGAGGTTCCCGACGTTTTTCCGAGGAGACAACATCGATGCGAGCTCGCGCCACACCAAAAAGAAGACCGAGAGCAAGTGCGCGTCCGCTTAACTCGTACAGTGTGTCGAATTCTACTAGCAAGACGACGAGAAGACTAAACTTATCGCGTGCGAGCGGCTATGTACCATCAGGAGCTCCAGATATTTACTTCTCGCGACCTCCGCCTGTAGTGGCGAGAAAGTATTTTTTAGAGAATTCTTCGCTTTGATAAGAATACGACTTGGTTGGGGTTCAGCTCCTGAGTAGAGGTCGACACGGACTCCACTTTGTCTTTCACCGAAACTGAGAAGTATGAAGTACAACTTTTGTTCTTCCAAAAAAGACAACCTCACCCCACCAGGGCCGCCTTCGGAACATCTGCAGCGACGTACCGCTTTGCACGTATGGGTCCGCCTTTTGCAGATGCGATGGACGTCCTAGCGATGAATCGAAAAAGTACAGGCAGTACAGCACTACGTCGCTTCGCTACTCCGAGATCAAATGGAGGGACATTATGGCCCGTTGTCTATTTTTCGAAATCAAATACAAATTCAAGGCAAGAATGCTATGAAGTTCGAACAGTTATTGTTTTTCGAGGTGTCGGGGTCGCTAAGTAGCAATGTTGTAAAAGCTCCTCTTCCTTCTAAAAGCACGACCAAATTCTTCTCGAGGATTTGCCGGAGGTGCTTCTTCGTCATCCTCGCGACCCCAGAGTGCGCGCAATGCGCGAGAAGAGTCTGCTCGTAGACGTTCTCTATCAGCCAGAAGTAGACGGGAACAAGCTCTTTTTACCAGTAGATCAGCACGAAGTGAGCGAAGTGAGAACCATGATAGTTATGTCTATGAAGACGACCTCGTAGATGATGTGGATCAAGCAGCTTTTAGTGAAATGAGCAGACCCATGTCACGCAGATCAAGGGGAGATCGGAGTCGAAGTAGGTCAGGAAGTGCGAGAGGGTTGGCGGATTCGGGCAATGTGACCATCTCGCCAGCGAAAGGACGCACCAGAACAGCGCCACGAAATGCGCCAGCGAGTGAGTGCAGAGCCAAGCGAGTTGGTCTAGAACTTCTGAGAAGTAGTGGAGAGGACTTCATTAATGGTCCTGAAGGAGCAGCATATCAAGTACAACAACGTGATGTAGTGGATGGTGGAATTAAGGCTTGTTTCATTCGCTACCTCCCACAAACTAACAAGGTGATTTGCGACGTAGATTTTTGGACGTAACCATCAATATTAGCGGATTACAATCAAAGTCATTCTCATTTACAGCCACTGATTGTTGAGCTCTAAAAATCTTCAAGCGCATCAGCCGTCATCGAACAATCCTTTCGCTTTCGATCCCATGCCTCGACCTTTTACAGCGCCAAGCGGTGACCGACCCCACGAGCCTCTGCGACTCCGCGACTTTGCTCCGCAAGCTGTTGCGAATGAAGTCGGGACAAATCTGGCAGCTTTTAACAACTACCAAAACCAAGTGCAGATGGCGAGCAGAGGCGGCGGTGTTGCTGGTGGCGCAGTAGGGTCTAGTTGTACTATGTTGAGTCCTCGGACAGGTGTGCCAGTTCCTAGCATGCTGAGTCCTAGACGACGTGATGGTGACCTCGACATGAACAATATGCTAGGAGGTGCAGGACCAACTAGAAGAGACATCCTTATGCAAGGATCATTGGATGGAGCTGGCGGAGGGGGTGGTGGTACAAGAATAAATCTTGTTCCTCAAGAACAAGAACCTCCAGCAAGGACAATGCTAGGAGCAACTTCAGAACAAGCACCAGTTCCAGCACAGCAACAAGCAGCTTGTTCTCCGTTGCGTACGGTAGATGATATTCTTAATGGACCTCCACCAAACGAGGATCCAAGAGTGCAGCGCGCAACTGGAGGTTCTACTACCGGTTCATCTAAGAGGAACCCTCCACTTCCTACTTCTTTTTTTGTCTCCACCAGTAGTCCCAAACCTATCCGTGGTGGAGGTTCAGCTGCGCGTAATAGGGCATCATCTGGAGCAGGCCAGGTCCCGGTAGATGTCGCAGGTCATCTCTCGTCTGCTGATGTAGCAGGTGACTCCTTGGTAGAGCAAGTGACCCTCGCAGCAAGTGGGGGAGAGATCCGGACAGCTTTGCGTGGTGGTGGCGCAAGCTCGTCGTCTGCTTCCGATAATGCAACCACTGGTGCTGTGCCACACTATGACATCTCAACTTTTCTCAGTACTAGGACATCACCAACAAGCGGAGGTGGAGGAGGTGTTTCAGGAGGTCACATGTCTGGGACAGCAGCTGCAACAATTCCTGGCGATCAACAGGGTGGAGAAGTGCAGGATTTGATCAGAACACTGCGCAACAAACCACCACTTTACACCAGCCCTCTGGGAACAAGTCAAAGTCAAAGAGGACAACAAGAAAACGATATGCTAGTTCGTGATGTGGACGTCTTTCAAGTAGGGTCAACTTCTCAGGTTGGTTCGAAGCTGTCTTCCATTATGTCACAATCAAATGGGTCTGGAACCGTAGGACTAGGACAAACGACTTCTTCAAAAGAAGATATTCTACAACGCAGTACAGGATCAAGACCGGGCTCCGCGAAGCGGCTTCGAGACCAAATTGTTGCAAGACAGTACAACTAAGCCACTTATACAATTAGACGCACCATAGGCATTTGCATTCCTTTCTAAACATTTTGAAATTGAATTTTTTGTCTGTACTGGCTACTAGATGAACAAATAGATGTCGCGCTACAGTGATGTTTGACCACCACAAGAACTACTATGTATGATCATACTCTCCCCCCTCCGACTACCTTTACAACCTCACCACAACAGGGAAAGCGCCGGAGAACTTCCTCTGAGCCAATTGCCTTCGCGCAGCGAAAGACGGACACGGCATATCAACGCGAACAGTCTGGACGCAGCGAATGGACGGGTTCGGAATGCGAGAGCGTTCACATATCGCTTTTAATCAAGGGTGAGGGGGAGAGAAGAATGGCTTGTAGTAGTAAGGTTCTAGAAGTTTTAGTTACAGTACTTGATGAAGGTGGACCTAAACACAATTTCAACTTCTACATTACAACAAGATTGACGATTGATGACTCTGCTTCTATGGAGATCACGACAAGTGGTGCTAACAGAAAAAGATATGGGAAGGTTGATTGGATACAACCAATGCCTAGAGCACTGCGCCAAAAATTCGTGGTGGTCGCGTTGATTCAATGCTCGTTTTTGATGAGTTGACCTGCTGCTGCTACCATATTACAGTGATGCTAAGGCTAAGCTCGTCCGCTCGTTGCTCTCGGCATGTTGGTGTTTCTCTCTTGTTTTGAAGCAAGACGAAAGAAATCGGTCGACGTGTGTCAAGAGTCATTCCGCTTCAGTTCTAAGAACTATGTTGTGGAACTACAAATGAGTTTCGAGATCATGGTAACATTGACCCTGATCATCATGATGTGTCTCACAACATTTTGAAAATTTCAGTTTCTTCTCTGTCGGTCGTATACAAACATCCTGCTTCCTCGAGAAGATCGAGAGACCGCTTTGAGTGGTACTTAGATTACTTGCCCCCTTCCCCTCCTTCCCTGTTGTATTGCTATCTGCGTACTACTGGCTATATTACTACTAGTCCCTGCCTCATGTTCATTGATTCTTTAAGTCATGGAGAAAGCATGCTGAGTTGCAAGAGTGGTTAGTTGTAATCTTCAGACGAGTCTGATCAAAGATCATTTAGTGGCCTTCCATTTACGATTACGAGTATGTCATTTTTCTAATTCAGAAGTAGGTCGCTTCGATTAGCTGGTGTAGCACCGAAGAGTCTTTTCCGCCGTGGTGGTGAGTACCTACAGCTACACGCACGACATATGCTTTTCATTCTGCAAAATCGAAGCCTCGTGCACCTCACCACTTGCTGCCTCATGGATTTTTCCTAAGAACTACAACAAGGACAACATGGATCAGTGGAACGCGTTAGAAATGCATGACAGGATTCGGGAACAGCTGTATGGTATCGATGAGAAATCGTTACCACAGTTGTCGGATGAAATCGAATCCCTCCTGTGCAATGTCCTGCCCTTCCAGGAGATGAAGGACTACGCTAGAGTGGACGAACGATATGCAGGCGATGACGAATACGGGAGAGAGGCAGTTGATGGACAGGGATATTTTGATGTTATGAGCTTTTTTCACATGAAACGGTATTGCTAGTCACTCTGTTCTATGTTTTGAGTTGCAGTTTACAGCGTTACCACAAGTAGTGCATACTGTTGTTATCATGAGCTTAATATTCTTTTTTGCAGAATCAAGCACAGGAGACCGATTCGGATACTAGTTATAGTTCACGACCACCTTGTCGAAAAAACCGGACTACAGTAGTACAATCTCTAATAAATCTGGCACCGCAAGTCCAACTCCTCAACAAGCATATTCCGTGATGCAGCGAGAACAAGGGCAGCATTCTTACGAGTCGATGTTTAGAGACGCAGGTCGTGCTGGTACCACCAGTGGAGGTTCGTATCTCGATCTTACCAGTCCTATGAAACAAGGCGAACAGAATATGAGCACAACAAGGTCAAGGTCGAGTAGCAATCAGTACATTGACGCCAAATTTCACCCGGTTTTTCCGGAAGTGAATACGCGGATCGAAGGTAAGCTGTACGATATTGAGGTGCCACGAAATTCATTCTGCCGACACGGGATTTTGAAAACAGGAAGCAGCATAAGCCCGAGTCCTAGAAGTAGAGGTGCACAGGGGCAGGACACTAGTACAACTCGTATTTTTCCTGATCTGCCACCAACGGTTTCAAGAGCAGGTGGAGGACTTTACTCGGCTTTGTCGCCTTTGTATGGATCGGCGATGCGTGGAGATTCTTCAAACAAACGTGCTGGATCAGCATCAGTCTCTCCACAAACGCGGATGGCTGTTGAAGTAGAACGAAGTGCATCTTCATCAAAACAGAACAATAAAAGTCTTGATGCCTCTTCGATGTCTACTTCTCCTTCGAAGATAGTACTAGGTGAACTACAATCAGGCAGTGCCAGAGCAGGAGCAAATAACTACAAGAGAAGTAGAAGGTATCTCAGCCTAGTCGGAGACCGAGATACGAAGAACAACACCACCAATCTCCTTGACGAAATGCTCAATGAGGCAACAAATCCTCCACCTCCATCACGGGGTATCGCAGGTGCGGCTGGGCGCACCTTGCCATCGAAGAGGCACCTGCGTCTAACACCACCCTTCATGGAAGTGGTGGATCTCTACTCGACTTCCACAGTTACGGCACAGTCGATAAATCATCATTTTAGTCTGTCATTTCCTCAAATAATCATGTCGTCTCGGTCTCGTCAGTAGTCGTAAATTTAAGTTACAGGTACTACTTACTTACTTCCAGAAGCGCAAGCCTCGTCCTTGTTCTCTAATACAACAACCTCATCTAGCAAGCAGGTACCGTCTTGTTCTACCTTGTCTGACACGTCGAAACCGACAACGACTGCGCCAACCGATCATGGAGCACTTTTGGCAGCGGTTGTGGACGACGCCCACGACCTGAGAAACAACTTCTTAGCGACTGGTGGGGTAGAAGGCGTAGGAGCTGGCGTAGCTGGCGGAATAAATAGTAGAGCTAGACGAGGAGCATCAGCTGACTCCGCTCCCCCACCTAGACTCGCGAGTGTGATTATGCCGAGTATCATACCTGAAGAAGATGAGATGACAGACATAAATTGCATTGAAGAACACGTAATGAACCTGGCAGAGCAGAACAATAAAAAGAGTCCACCTAAAAATAATATTGCATCAACGTATTGTTCATCGTCTTCACAGCAAGAACAACCGGCGCCTCAGATGACTACATCTTCATCTGGCGCAGTGTCTGACTCTGCAACTTCTGGACCACCTTTTGGTTTTGTTGGAGGAGGGCGACAGGGGCTAACATCATCCTCTAGTGGGACGAGTGGACAAGAAGTACTCGTAAAGAAGACTGCTCTTTCACAAAGCCAAAGCACACCAGATGAGACGACAACTCCGACTAGCGCAACATCTCCTCAGCTGCAAACTACAGACAACGGTGGAAACTACATGAACAAGAATCAAAATCAAAATGTGACAACCTTTTCCTCCAGAAAGCAATCACTATTCTCGCGGACTCCAGCAACGCAACTTGGCGAGAGGATAGACGCGTTGCTGAATCTAACGATCGGGGATGTAGTGGAGAGTAGAGGACCCTCCTCGAAGAAATCCCAGCAGTGGGCACCAGGCGAAGGAACCGGCATCGAATATCTAGGAAGGAGACGGGGTACGAGGATTGTTTTAGATCATGATCACGATATGGGTAAGTAGGCTAGAGATACAACAGGTAGAAGTAGAACGAACGACTAGATAGAGTAGAAGTACCGAAGTACCATATAATACTGCTGAAAGAAACTACATAATCATGATGATTTTTTGAAAAGTGAAACGTCTCCCTTATCTAACATTAACAGATTCCTATTCACCGACATCGCATCGCCGTCTTAGTTCGGAATCCCCTGGTCGGACTCCTCGACTAAGTCCTAATGACGTTCTAGACGAGTCGCACCACAAGTTCCACAACGACCATCATTTTCGCGCAGTCAAACCTAGCCCTTTGCCACCATCTGACGGCGGGGAGCTCACAGGTCTAGTGTCGATTTTGTTATGGCTTGAAGATGGGCTAGCATTTCTTTGTACCTCATTCACTCTCGTCTCCTTCATGAAGTTGATAAACAACGCACTCCTGAGATCCATGTGCTGCTGAAGACTTTTACCTCTTCAAAATGATGTGTGAGAATTTTTAGCAGTGCCGCTGTCTCTCTTGTGCCAGCACAACTGACAACTCTAATCGGAGCCGACTCTGTTCGAAAGTACGCTCCAGACGAAGCCGCATTGGCCTTAGACACCGAAGCTTTGTGTATGCGAGTCGCGGAAATCGAATCAGAGAGCAAGACCCTAGAGCAGAGTATTTTGGAGCTCAACTCACGCGTGAATGAACTAGTCGATGTCGACGACGAGTTAAACTTGTTAGATGAGGATGGAGATGAAGCCGTTTACCCCACAACTCGGTTGATGGCAGATGCCAGGCGTGACTTGGTGACGTTACCGGGACCCAGTGTGGATGAGACGTAGGGAAGAGGATGTTGGAGGCAACTACACTTGATGACGTACAGTTGTATTCGTATCTATTGTCTTTGTCCTTGATCTTGCTAAAGAACATCAAATTAATGATTCTAATCAATGATCATGTTGAACTACAACTTCTTGATGAAGTTTATGACGTTACCGTGTTGATGGGGGAGGGCCGCCCCCACTTCGGTATTTTCGCATGAGGTGCTTTGGCTTCGGGTTTCGTGTGGAAAAGAGTGGTATAGCTCGGGGGCATCGCCATCGATATTATCGGGTTTTCTGATGACGTCTTCGACTTCGTGTAAGCCACGCAGATCACTTGCTAAGGCTACTTGTCCAAACACCAGGTGACTTGCTGCTGGCAACCCTGAAAAGAACCCTCTTCTTGATCCAACTCATGAGAGATAAACTCAGCATCATCTTGGTTGTTGAGGTCGTTGACAACGACAACAACTTTCCTAAGGATGTTGTAACTAAGGATTAGTGGTCGCAAGAAGATAGAATCCCAAGAAGAAAATGTTGTACAACGTCGGCGCTTGGCAGAGTAAGCGCACGTGGGGTGGCCCTCATGTTGGCGGCGGGCCTAGCAATGGCCACCCTCCACGCAGTAATGCGCACCAGCCGCATCAATCTGCGATCCGGGAAAATCAGTGGTTGTACGATGACTCTAGGAACTGGATGAAAGCCTATGCAACAGCGCGATCGGCGTCTTTGACTGGGACAAGAACTACTTTTCGGAACGCGGGTGCAACTGGAGGTGGTGGCGGGGCTCACTACAATATGGGTTCGACCCATATGGGAGGGTCCTCATCAATGACCAGTCTACCTCAGGTGATGCAGAGTGCTACTGCGAGAACACGCACAACAGCACGCGGAGGTCAAGTACATGGAGGTCCGGCGCAGAACGCCACTTATTCAAATTCAAACCGGTTTCTTGTGGGAAATAGTTCGGCCACGAGTAGCACGAATCCAAATTTCCGGTATAGAAACAAATCGGCTAGCATGGGTTCTTTAACGACAGCGTCTTGGGCACCGGGAGGTGAGCACGACAGCATGGGAGAGACAGGCTATAGCGAGGAAGGCGTGCACATGAGCATGAATCCTGGTGGAGGAGGTATGAGTAATACGATAGGTGCTCCGGGTGGCTTTGGCGTATCCTCGACGGGAGAAAGCATGTTTCAAGGAGCGGGGTCGGGAATACCGGGTATTCTTGGAATGGATTGTGATGACTAAGTACCTACTTTGTCTTATAAATATAACGTGTTTATGTTTTGTACTTTCTTCCTTTTTTTCGAACATAAGTTGATATTTTGCGACATTCCTGATGTTCCTGAGAAGTTGACTCTATTTTCAATGGTACCATGTTCATCAAGAAGAAGAATACAATGTTCCATAGTACCTCCTCTTCCAGGACAGGTCCCCACGCAGTTGACGAAATCCTTGACCCACTTGCTGCTACCGCTCGTACCGATCAACACCAGTCTGTGATGACCACTACCCATTTTTGGCTCAAGCAGCGCAAATACCAGAGAAAGAAGGATCGCATAAAGCAGCAGTTAGGTGGTGCAGCAGGGAATGACAGCACAGTTGGAGAACAAGTATCCGTAAGCCGAAGCTTCTCTGACGCCGGACGACACACATCCTTACACTTTTCGGCGACAGACAATGTCGGACCGAGGCATTGGGAGTTGCAGCCCAGAGCACCTACAGTCAGCAAAGCCACACAACGACAAATACAAATGATGGCGATACGGAAAGCCATGGATCATGACGAGGCATACCAGAAAGAAATCAAAGCCAAGTGGAAATGCGATACCGATGATTACGTACAGAATCAGGCGAAGTTTATGGACAAGGGGCGTCTCGGTTTTTTTCATCAGGTGTACAAACAAAAGCTCGCTTAGTTGTGGCTGGTGCATCGTGCAAAAGTTCTCGCTCCAGCCACCTGTTAATATGCCTCCTATAATTGTGTGCTAAAGCTAATCATCTATATTTCAACCCCATCGACCTTCTAATCCCTACGACGAGCGTTTGGTTTCGCATGTTTTTGAGGAGGTCGTTGCAGACACAATTCAGGGTGTTTCGTGGCGCATGAACATTCCACCTCAGTTCAACGACTCCTTTATGGCGCCAAAAGCACCTTTGTACAAGCATCCAGAGCCTCCATCATTGCGCGAGTTGGTAACGTACTGGTGGAAGAAAGCGGGAGCAGTCGCAGCGCCAGCCCTACCTCCAGCTCCGCATAAGAAATCGAAGAATCTTCTATCGGCTGTAGAAGACGGGCCAGCTCGCGGGGAGGGGAAGGAGAAGCCGGCGAGTCGTACTTGAATCATGAATCTGAGTGATGGCTAAGGGTGGTCTAGACTTCTACTTGTACGATTGATACAGTCTATCTTCATGATCTTGATCTTGTGAATCTGGTGCAACTCGCCTTCAATCTGCTTACAACCAATTATTTGCATCTGTTCTTGCCAGCACAAGAACAAATCAAATTGAAACCCTTCAACATCAACAGCCACCTCAACAACTCCGCAACGCGGTGGTAACACCAAGAACAAGGAGTCCGGGGAGCCCAGAAAGAGTGATCCCGATAAGAATCTGCATGTGGTATACGGAGAACATATTGACACATGTGGCACGAGCATGGGACCAGAGGACTGTCATCGATTGCTGAAGATCATTAGCGACTACAACGAGAGCCAAACGGGTCTCCAAATGAGCGTGATCCACAAGCAACGCCTGCGGAGATCCACTTTCTGTCGCTTTTTGCTCGATTGTGAAGTTGTCGAAATTGATGGCAACGCCATCGTCAAGGATTGCGCGAAAACGGGGAAAATCGGCATGCTGTACTTAAGGCTCAACTTTCATTGGTCACATTGGGGTTGCTTGGTCTCTGACATCAAAGAGGAGACCCCCTGAGAGAACAAGGGATGAAACCCAAGGGACGAAAGGGCGGAAGCTCTGGAAGGGGCCTTGTCCCTTCAGCATCAGTGACCAATGAACTTCGACCTTTAATGTATGTGTGCAACCTATTTGACTCCTACGTGACGTATCAGCCGCAAGCCATCGCTAACGCACAGCAACGCCAAGTAGACAGGAAACTACGGCTCGATAGACAGGCAGCGCGTGAAGCGAGGAAGAAAATTATGAAGGACTTGGAGGACAACCCGTTTGGAAGTATGAGTGCGAATGCAGCTGGAAACAAGGCAGGAGACGATCAAGGGTCAGATGAAAATTCGGCTGGAGAGAGAAGTGCTAAGTTAAGGATGAGGATCACGAGAATGCAGTAGAGAGATGCTGTAGATCAATTAAGTAGATTTCCACATATTACACGACAAGAAAGACAAGAAAGAAATAAGAAAATGAAAGGGTAATTGAATTCACGATAATTATCCTTGTCTTCGTGACCTCTAATCAAAGGCGGGAATGCAGCAAAGGCTAGCTCTATATCAAAGGAGCTTGACCAAAGCACCGGAACGGATGCGGAGAATCGACGATATAACATCTCCTTGCCTGAAATTCCATGTACAACACAAGCCGAAATGTTGTCGGAGGCCACGAACCATCTTGGCACAATCAGTATTCTTGAGATATGGCTGAAGCTGATAACTCCATCATTTGATGGATAAAAGAAAAATGATTGATATACTTACAGCGTGTCTTCATTCTCTTAGTACTCCTAGCAGGAACTCCTCGATTCTCTATCTCATCTGATTCAATCATCGAAGTCGAACTAGTAGCTTCTGGCATTCCCGGTTATTGATCTCATGTCTTCACACTTCTAGTTCTACGAGTGCCACTAGCTACTTCTTAACTTCCTTCTAATTTACGATTTTCTACCCTTGATGGAGAAGATTTTCTACACGGTGCCTGCCGTGGACTTCTTCGCCGAGTATTTGGACAAGGCAGCGGACCGCATTGCCCGTGTGTGCGAGCAGCGAGATGATTAAGGCTGCAATTGTTAATGTGGAAGTAGATGTTAGTTATCATCAAAGATTCATTAGGTCTTCATCGAGTGTAGTTCTAATTGTAAAAAATGTGGATGTTGTCATCAAAGAGTCATTAGGAGGTTTTCATCGAGTGTAGTTCTAATTGTAAAAAATGTGGATGTTGTCATCAAAGATTCATTAGGTTTTCATCGAGTGTAGTTCTAATTCCCGTTCGTCCAGATGCTCGCAGCGAAATTCGATTCGCAGGGAGCCCCCCTCACGGCAGCACTCAAGATGCCCATTCAGCGGAAGTTCTATCCTGTCCAGAATCTGGCGCATCGTGTGGACCCAAATATCTTCAACCTGGCTATCCGTAAGTTAGATGAAGCAGCAGCGATGGACGTCAGCGAAATGGTTAAATTTATCTTAGCACAGAACGCGCAGTTAGTGCAGTTGCGGCAGATGTTCTGCGAACCTGAAATTTGGATGTGGCAGTGGCAGTGGGCACAGACGTTTGATGAGTTGTTTGATGCCTTTGCTGACTTTCCGACCGAATTGCTAGGGTGGCCAGAAGGGCACATGTCATTCGGTGCCTTTCTTCGATTTGCAGTGGATTTCCGATTCTTCCCGCAAATCATGTCCTACGCAGACCTTTTTTCGTTCTACCACTCCGCTGAATGCTGCATTTTCAAGGTACTACAGAAGCTTGTCAATCATACTGATGAAAATCATGGACATGTTGCTAGTATAATAGTTCATCTTAGGTGGAACGTCGGTAGATTGGTTGCTTTGCTCAAGAATATTTGATTATCCTAGGAGGTAGGTTGGTTCCACCACAAATTTTTATCTGTTTGTGGTCATCGTCATCCATCATGATGACACGAAAAATCTCCTCATGACCAGGACTTCGATGGTGATTTGATGTCTTCTGACCCTGAGTTGAGGCATATGACGGAGATGATGATCTCCATTTGCAACTATGAGGAACGCAAAACCGTCGAAGAAATGGCCGATCTAAGACCTGTTTTAGGTCGTGCTGTGAAGAAGTCTAAGCTACTTACGGCATGATCCATTTCCACAATAAAAAAAAATCCATATTTGAGTATGAAATAATTTCAACATTTTTACCAAGAGCTACAACATCTTCGTGGGGGCTCCGTAGATGAAGTTTCTTTTTAAGAGGAACAAACTCAACAAACGGAGACCACAATGCTCCTAAAAATGAAGATGGACCCTTTCTTCTTGGTAGTTGTTCTAAGAGACGTCGCTCCGAGTCCGCAGAGTCTAGTCCGGGTAAGAAGAGTAGCCCTAGCAAGAGTCGTGGCAGCAGTCCAGCCAAAGGTCCAGGCTCCGTTGCTCCTTCCCCCAGTAAACCAGCAACTGCAGTTTTTCCTCCCGATGGCGGCAACAGTGTGGACGACAGCCTGCTCACCAGCAGCCGCATTGCTCCTGGCACAATGGATTTAGAGGACAACTACAAGAACTCCGGAAGTTTTCTCAACTATCCCTTGACTGCTTCAGAGATCTACGGCAAGAAGGTGAACACTGCTACTGTCACATTCCAAGACACAAGACTCGAGCAAATCCAGAACATGAACGGGCACTTTCCCGGCAAGAACTTGACGAAAACGCAGGAACAACAGCAAGTAGCAGCCAAGGAGATGGACCGAGATACTTTTTGGACCAAGAGCTTTGAGGACATGACCAAGATGGAGTATGAGACCTGGCACGTTCTGTCTGCTCTGAGTAATTGGCTGGGCAATCGGGGTGGCGATATCAAGAGGTTGTTCTCGCTCTTCGACGTAGACGGAACGGGAGAAGTGAGTGCGGAAGAATTTCATCTAGGCCTGAGGCAAACACGGTTGGAGCCTTTGCCGAGTGTCGAGGTCATCATGAAAATGTTCAACATGATGGACGAAGACGCGAGTGGAGAATTGTCGGTCAGCGAGTTGTACAGGATTTTGAAGCGGTTTAACTTAAGAGGAGGTGCTGATTGTTCCATCATGTTGGAGGACGAGAAGACAAAAAAGTAGCTAGAAGTGAATGAACGTCTACTACAACCACCTCCACATCATGATCAAGTATGTTGATTCGAGCATGAAGATACCCATATACAACACCAACTTCATCTCCCTCTAACAAAAGAAGAGATGTCCAAAAAGCGAGAACTCGAAGACCCTACAGTAGATTTGTCCACTGATAGAGCGCACACGTTCCTAAAGATAGAGGACTATGGCTTCAGTCCGGCAGCAGTGAAGCCGATTAAAAGTACTTTATTGCTTTTTAATATGGCTTCACGTCTGCAGCAGTGAAGCAGATTAAGAGTACGTAACTAGTACTTGTGGATTCTTTTTTGTCATCTTCATGAACATTTACTCGTTTATTCCATATCTGACAATTATCTGCATGACTATGCTTCGCTCCTACTCTACTGCTCGTCGCTTCGTACTCTCCAGCACTACTAGCAACTACTCGTCTACTGCTGCATGACTAAAGCCACACCTCTTCTTTCTCCACTCCAGTGCCACCACCGCCAAATGTGGTTGAGTCACCTCAACCGAAACGTGGGAAGAACGTGAATACCTATCGCATCTTCGGCAAGCGGGCATTCCAAGAAAGTTTGCTGAAGATGGCTTTTTACCACTTGAACCAAAATGGCAATGCATTGCAAAGAAATGCTTCCACCTACGTGAAGGCACTGTGGTTGGTTGGTACAACCTACTCTTTACTTTATTAACTTTGATGATCTTTCTACTAGTAATACAGCGCTGATTGCTTCCCCGCCTTGACAGAACACAATCGGGGAGGTTGTCGCATTTTTTTCGATTTCCTTTCTAGTTGCTACTTTCCTTACGTTTTTTTTCTCCCTCCCACGATTGAACCTTGCCAAACAAATACTACAGCTTACATCAAGTGCAGTTTCCATTTGTACTACCAAAAAATCGATGACGTGATGGAAGAGGCGACGAAACAAGACGAAAAATTGAAGAAACTACTGGAGAAAAACATCCACGAAACGGCATTGATGAAAGAAGACATGCCTCAATTGCCTGAGGAAAGCACCAATATCCTGTTTGGAGAAATCTTGGGCAAAGAGAGGGAAAAGAGACGAACAGCAAAGTTGTACGATCAATCAACTGCGGAGAGACTCCTGAAATTGCAGAAATTGATTTGCGCGACGAAGACAAGGTACAATTGACTTGAATTTCAAAAACATCATCACTCTTCCAATTCCAGCATGCTCGATGCTCGTCTTGATGTTGTGGATAGAGATGTTGTTCTAGTATAGAGGCTCAAGTTGTTTTTTTGTATTGACTCAATCATGGGTATTGGAATTGCAATTTTATGAGTCTTCCAATTCCAGCATGCTCGATGCTTCCTGCTCATTACCTTTCTGAAAACTCGACACTCTACCCCACCTGATTTTTTCTGATAGTATGTGATGGACTTCGTGCTGTACAGGTAATTTACCTCTAGGTGTAGTATTCCTCATTTCTAGCACTGTTCATTCCGCTTCAAAGCTTCCTTTCCCTCTCGAAACTACTACCTCTACAACAGTTACGTTTCTCCCGTAACGCGTTTGCTTTCACAGCGGTGGGACCCGTTTGCCTCTGTGGAGGTGGTGCAGAGGGACAAGGAGAGCATGGCAAACCGATGCGATTATTGCTTCGAGCAACCAAGGAGATTTAATTAAGGCTCTGGTTGCTAACTCATTTGCATTGTACTCGCAAGGACAAGGTAGTCACTATACATAGTATGATAGATAGTGGTATGAGAATGAGTCAGACTCTGTTATCACTATCAGCACTATCACGACTATGAAATACCTTAGGGCCTAGTACGAGATCATAGGGCGGGCTTGGTCTTAGACTTGGTCTTAGACTTGAAAAGGCATTTTTGCGCCTGAGGTCTAATCCCACGGCGGTTATGGTCCGAATCCGAGTTGTGTGGGGTGCTCTCCGCTCTTCGTGGACGTGCGAAGGAAGATGACAGACTTGCCGTTGTGGCAAGCAATCCGACCCTTTAATTGGCGTGATGAGGTACGCGTCACTGGTGAGAAAAGACGATACCGAATTCAAGTGGGAAAGAAAAGACCTGAAAAAATGGTAATGCCCGATGGGAGAACTGTGATGGTTGGGGGGTAACTGTTCAACTACTTCTAGGGATTAGACCGACGTAGTGGGAGAAAAGTCGGCGTAGGGGGGGTGGTAGTTGTGACATCCCCAAGTATAATAAGGAAGCAGTAATTTTGCCATGTTCTCGAGATAGAAGAACACTCAAAGGTATCTTCATGGTCGTGGGATGATAAGAACATAAGCAGTTGCGTTGCGACTACAATCAAAATGTAGAACTTGTTGTAATAAGCCTAAGTTTATGCATAAGTTGAGTCCCTGACTATTTCTATCAAAGTATGAGGACATGAGAGTGCATTGATTAACATGAGCTTCATCTTCATGTATGAACTTCGATGAAATTAAAAACACTATTGAACGTCAACATCACCAAGTCCAACAAGTGGCCATGTCGAGTGTCATGATGTCATAACCTTCTCGACGTCTTCTAAGTACAATTTGTTGAAAGTCAAATATTAAAGCAAAAATTATGCGACGACTAAACTGATCAACAAAGTCAACTGTTCCTAGAACTCTCTTCTCTATTTTCATACCAAACTTCTCACTTCTACCATGTAGAAGCAAGATGCATCGCAGCATGATAGATGTACTAAGAACAGGAAAACGTAGGACGCAGGTAAGTCAAGAGGAGCTTTTAGATTCCAAATGAACTAGCACGCCAACATCGTCGCTGACTGATGGTCATTTATTTCGTATGCATTTTGACTAGTAGAGAAAGAGAATGCACATCAGTAGACCTTCCCATTACCAGAATTATTTGAATTTCATTGAACAAATCCCATACAATTTTCCATTTCAATGAACAAGAATCACAAGAACGATGAATATTGCTATTTCGAATCTTCTATTAACAAACGACTTTGTCGTGGTGAAGTTATGAGTTAAATGTTTCTGTTGCATATCTTCAGTTACCAAGTATAAGCAAAATTGTGTACAACTTTTCCAGTCCTCTCCGAGAATGCTGCCTATTTTACCTTGCTTGTGCACAGATGAATCGTGAATACATCCCTATGCTCTCTTCAAAGATCTTCCACGAGTCTGGAAGTTCTCTCCGAAGAAGCCAGTTTCTGAAGACTATCCAATTCAGCAGATGCGTTTTGAGAGTTTCACATAAACTATGTTTCACGTAAACTATGTTCGACGAGAGCTGCATAGGTTCAGTCTTGCGCTTGAAGATGGCACCAAGAAGTAGCCGAAGCTGCTCTCTACAACTGCGTAGATATGATTGAAACTAAAGTCGTCAGTGACAAAAAGCACCACTGATACCCTTGAGTGTTGTGAGATGTGTCGCACCCGAGAGGAGGCAGCAACGGAGATATCCGAGTCACATAGCCCTCACACCGCAGCTCCTTTTCTTTTCATTTTCGACCGAAATTTGTTCTCTTCCCAATGTAATTCCCTGTTACCTCTCTCTTCCCATTCTTTTTGGTATTTCTTCCTCCTGCTTATTATTGTTTCATGATAGCTTTCCCTGCGAATAGAATATCTAGAAACTACTCAAATTTTTTTGTGGTAACTCTATGAAATTAAACACGTGCACTCAGACGCACGCGATTATGAATGAATGGCATCACCACGAATGAGATTCCGTGTATTGAGTAATACATTTTACCCGCTAACAAAGTTGATGTCGTCGATGAAGTGCGCTATCGTGGACGCGGACCACGTCCGTTCTAGCTGTAGGCGCGCAGAAGATCGCCCCATCACGCTCAAAAATGAAAGGATGACAGAGGAAGAACGATGTTAGTCTGTCTGTGGGTGACGGGCTTCGTGCTCGCCAGCGTCCTGGTGCGCTACGCGCCACGATGTTGCAGCGGGTGTGTGGAAATGCTCAGAAAAAGGTGGTTTTGGCTCTTTTTCTGGACACAGGTTTTTTTCCTAGTTCGAGAATGGATCATCATATCTCTGTTGTCGGAAAGTGGATGGACAATACTGCTGATGGCTTCGCATGTAGCAATGGCTTTCGTAGCATTAGTGACGTTCGCGGAACTGTGGCAGCTGAGTCATCTGAGAAAATACAGTCCGACGGCGATTGTTATGAAGAATTGTCTTTATTTTCGTAAAGGTAGTTACTAGTTATAACTGTAGTACCATCAAATAGAGTTTGGCGTTGATTATATTGATCTAAGTTTCTACAAAAGAACGTTTTTCGACACTCCTGCCCCCTCATTGATGACCACTTGTTCTCCTGCTTCTCCTCTAACGTGCACCAAATTCTCGACATGGTTTTACTGCCATCGAACTACGGTTTATTGATGGCACACACGGTTCGTATTCTTGGGGAAATCGGAATTGGATCACTGCTTGACGACTACTTGCGGGACAAGAGCAGCGGTTCATCTAGTGGCAGTGCCTTGTCTGCGGGTGCTGGTGTTGGCAGTGGCGGTGGTGATGCTGTTGCTGGTGGCCCACCCAATGATGTCAGTGCTTCACCACCAAACTTCATGATGTTTAATCCTTTTGTTCCTCAGCATGGCACATCAAATAATGGATCATTATATCATGCAGGAATGCCATTGTACACGTACGGAGGATCCTCGTCATCGACAGCTAGTACTTATAGCCTACCAACAGGACCACATCAATACGTTCCACAAAACGATCACTATTTCTACAATAGTGAATGGCACCAGGGAAGACGACAATACATGCACGATCTGAGACAACACTGGCTTGGAGGGGATGAGAGCACAGTGTCTTCATCTGCAGCAGGAGGACATGGGTTGTATTATGGCGGAAGTGGAACTAGTCCAAGTGTAGGTGGAACTTCAACATCATCATCCAGTTCTTCATCTCCGAGCTTCCTCACTCAAATAGCCAGTACCGTGCTCAATAGCTTCCTTTTCCAAGATTCCTTCGTCTACTACACCAACCACTTCAACAACCGGCCACCGCCCTCATCTTCCTTTCCTTCGTTTCCAACGACAGCTACGCCTCAATCGTGGAATGCGAACTCCCTCAACAACGCCTGGTCAGCAACGTCATTCGGCGGAGTGCCTGATGACTACTTTGGGTTATACCAAGATCGTGGACCTGTTGTTAGCGATCATGTTATGGGTACCGTCAACCCATCTTTTACTCTAATATCTTTTAGCCAGTTCCTTCATCTAGGAACAAGATGTTCTAAATAAAGATAGGTAGTTGGCGGTAGTACTTCTAATAATGTGGTGCTCCAGAGAAACGAAGAGATCAACACGGCAAGGCTAGCGGTTGCCGATATGACCATCCAAACAGCCGATATCTGGGAAGCTTGGGCTCTGTGGAGTGTCTTGAAAATGTTTACGACCATTGTGGATAACGTAGCGAAAGCAGCAGCGAGACGGAATGCTCAGCAACTAGAGGCGATGAAGAACAGCAGAACTAAAACAGGACAGGAACGGTCAGGAGGAGACGAACATTGGACCATATCAAATACGGATCAAGGTGGATTTTCTGGAGGCGAAGCAGATGTGTCAGCTCGCACAACACAGCGTGATCGCTTACGTGGTGATGGCTCTGGTGGTGGTAATTTGCAACGACCTTTGCTGGACTCCAACAGAAACAGTCCCAATACAGAGGATGAAGCGGATTTTGGCACTGGAAACAAAGGCAGTAAAGATAGTACAGCAGGAGGAGCTTCATCATCTACTGGAGATACAAATGCCGGAGCTCCTGGAGGTTTCTTTGCCAGGCTCTTTGGTCGGCGGGCAGCGGATGATGGTGGTACCACTACGGGCTCCGCTCCAGGAACAGCAAATAGAATAGAAGGCGACAACCGGACTGGCGGACCGACCGGCGTAGCGGCAGTGTTGCCGAATCCATCCCTCGCGGATCGTGCGGTGACGTCGTTCCAGCGCTTCTGCCTAGCTGTTTTACAGCTCTACGTGCTTTTTAGCATGCTCTCGAATATCCTGGAGGTCATGGTGAAGGGCATCCTGGGCATCCATTTTCCAACCTTGTGCCCTTACATATTGCAGACCTGCGAATACTCCTGTATCACGTTTTGTTAAGGCTGGCAGTAGTGGGTTTTGAGTTTGTTCATCGTAATTTAAAAATGGTTGAAGAAGCTGTGTCATCTCATCTGTGTCTAAGAAACGACGAGGCTTTCGCAGCCTGTAGTTTCGTCGCCACAAAACAGAATAAATAATTTTCATCGATTGCCGTCTAATCCGCGGACGACAATGTCGGACCTTACCAAGCCTTGATCATTTCACTGCTCTGCACAGCCGCTATCTACTGCGTATTCGTCTTTGAAGGCGCCTTCCATGGAGAGCTGTCGCTTCTAGACCCTTATTGGAAGTTTTTTGGCGTCAAAGGCGTAGTATCCGTTACCTGGACACAGTGGCTGGTCATTCGCTACGCCATCTTTGGGTTTTACTTGCAGTTTGAAGCTTACTACTTCTACGCCTTCCTTTGCGTTATGGAAATCCCCATTCTTACAATCATCCACGCCTTCTTCGCCTATCCAGTGAACAACATCTATCTGAGCGTATCACCGGAAGCCGCGAAAAAGTTCCTCTTGGAGCAGTCACAGGCAATGCAGCGAGCGGAAGGCAAAGCACCTCCGGGGCCGCGGAAGTCGTCGCGTCCTAGGAATAATTATCTTCGCGCTGCTGGAGGAGGTAGTAGAATTGGCGTACCTGCTTCTACCGGAGGGGCTTTCGTAGGTGCGACATTCTTGACAAAATCTGCCACTACATCAGGGTCTCCATCAGAGATGCTGCCTTCACCCTACGGTCATTTAGAAATAGAGAATATGGCGCCAGCAGCTGGCGCTCGAAATTCCATTGGGGGAGTTTTGCCAGCCTACCCACCAGCAGAGCTAGGGAATTACGTAGTCGCTGGAAGCAATCTGTCCCTGGCACAGCCATCGTCTAGTGGTTCAGCCGGTAACAACAATAGACCAAATGGTTCTGCAGTGGGTGGTTTAGGTGGAGGAACTTACGACGGGGGTGGAACGGCTGACGAGGGAGGATATTATTACTATGGGGCTGATCCTTACGGGGAGTCGGGAATTAGTGCTCGTGGTGATGAAGACGCGGATGCTTCACGGCCAGTCGTACCTCTGCGACAGTACGTGTATCAAACTGTGATGTCGCGACCGGAGGAGGACATAAGAGCTGCTCCTAACAAGAAAATCGTCTTCGCAACCGACAGCTGGATTCGATATTTGATAGAAACAAGTACGCCACTGAGCAATAGGCCAGGTGGGAGCAGCACTGTTAGGCTACGGAAACGTGGTCTTAGTTTCGTTCGACCACCGGACAGAGCAACGACGCGAACATTCAACGCGTTTGACGTTGGAGGCAACAACTTGTCTGCGAGACAACGAAGCGGGAGTATCCCTAGAAGATCTGGTGCACCAGGGCCACGACAGGTGGTGCCACAGTTAGCTCTAGCAGGCGTAACTTCACTACCTGCGGATACAGCGGCCATATTATCATCCGCTTCTAGTGGCAAGGGAGGAAGCGGGTCTGAGGAAGTGATGAGTGAGTTTATTTACCAGCAAGGACAAGGAGGTCCTTGTTCGACTACATCAGGAGGTGCAGGAGTATCAAAAGGCTCATCATCTTCTACATCAGGAGTCAATAAGCCGTTTGTCGTTAGTCCTCGAACCAACATGGTAGGACCTATCATCATGGATGCTGGCAGCTCAAGCGCTGTTTCCTCCGACGAAGAGGAGGAGGAAAAGGGAGACTCACATGTAGTTGTCAAGAACCGGTTAGCGTCAGGAATCGAGGACGAGACTTCATGCTTGGGCCGTGTTGCATCTTCAATCATCGGTGGTGTTGTTTGCGCCCCTTGTCGGTGCATTCGCAGACGTGTGCCTTGCCTGGGAGGTGGTGCGGACGATTCCACAGGTACATCGGGAGAGCAGGCAACGCATTCGGCATCATCTTCGGCTACCAGTCTCAACAAAAGCGGGGGTCCTTCTCTAGCAGGTCAAACACCCTCTTTCACTTAAGGGTAGGTTAAAGGTGCTTTTCTTACCGCTTTTTATGCCTCTCCTAAGGGAGAAAGGCATAAAAAGCGGGGTATTAAGCGAGCACCAAAAACCTACCTCTAATTCACCTCTGCACGGGGTGGAGCCATTGTGGGGGAATCTGCATCCTCATCCTTTCCAGGAGGTGGAGGTGGAACAGATAGAGATAGTACGTTTCCGACTCCTGCAGCAGCCGGAGGTCGACTTGTACCTGCCGGAGGAAAATCTACGCCAGGCCTCGGAGCGAATTTGTTGTCTTCTGCTAGAATGAGATCCGATTCCAATGGCTTAGTCTCTTCGGCTGGAGGTGAGCAAAACACTACCTCAGCTGCTGTTGACACCACAACCTGCTACGAACGGGTGGTCACAGCACGGCGGCTCCGCAACTGCCGAAAGTGCATCAAACGGACCATCATTTTCTTAGCTGTGATGTTCGTGAGTCTGCTATTCATGTTGTGGTCACTGAAAGCTGACAATCGGCAGGACGTAGGAACGGTGTTCTGGTATACAGTAAACTGCGTTGGAAGCTTTCCGACATTGCCTCACACCTCAATACTCGGCCATGAGCAAAGCGCCATCTGTTCCCGCACGCCTCTAGCCTGCCATGTGGGCTACCGCGGTCAGCCCAGTGTCACTTGCGATCCTAGCCTTGCTTTTCGCGTGGAAGGTACGTGTACGGTAGTCGGCTGTGGCGCGCCACCTAGGATACCGAATGCTAGTCCGATCTACAAGGTTAGCTCTGACGACAACGGGAACAACGGGATCCACTCTGGAGACCACCAACTAACCAGATTGCAAGACGGATACAACAGTTTGAATGACAAGTTTGTCTGGAATGCGGGTGAAATCGTGCACTACACTTGCAATCCGGGATATACTGGGTCGGTGCAAGCGAGGTGTAGTCCTTCAGGTGCGTTTTCGATTGAAGGCAGCTGTGAGCTAGTCGGTTGCGGGGTGCATCCTCCACAGTTGGAACATGCGAAAGCAATAGCTGGTGGCAACCGACACGGGCACTCACGACCAAAGGGGGACCACGATCATGATGATCTTCAAGGAACAGGACACCAGATTGCAACAAGCGTCGCTGCACAATTACCGACTCCTGCTTCTCCTCCAATTTGGCAGTTTCCTCAAGTTGTAATAGCTCAAGATGAGAAAGTAGTAGAAGAGTCGAACTTAGAGTCGAACTTAGTCGAGGACAAGAAGGAGACATGGTCATCGTCATCGAACGACGTCGTGAATGAACAAGAGAAAGAGCCTGTTGAAATTCAGATCGATCAGAGGACTAAAGACCAAACATCTACTTCATCACCTAGCAGAAGTCAAGATGTCAGAGATGAAAAAACAAGTTCCGGAGCGACAGCTTCAACATCTTCATCATCTGCAGAAGACGCATCTTCCAGAGCCGCATCAGCTGGTGACGATATTCCGTCAAAAGGGAAGATGCACGGCCATTCAGATTCATCTCCTGATGGTGATAAAAGGAAGAAGGACACCAGTAGAGAAAATGACGACTCATTTACTTCCAGTACCGGTACTAGTTCATCTTCTACCAAAGACGTAGATTATAAAGAGGGCTCACCCGTGACAAACGGCACCGTGACTCTAAAAAAGTCGTATGCAGGAGAGCGGATAGTGTTCGAGTGTGAGAATGGCTATACAGGCGCTCCAGTCGCAGAGTGCAGGAACGACGGGCATTGGATTACCACAGATCAGTGCAAGCTCTTCACGACAACATTAGGTTGTCATTGCCTACCCCAGTGGATATCCTGTGACGACTCTCTGCTTGGCACAGATTGCTACCTGAACTACGGATGCAAGCATGCTGGGTATTCTACTTTTTACTGCTAAATTCTTGTAGACAGTTTCGAAGTGCTGTGGCCAGCTAATTATTATGGTAGTATTTTAGAGTTTTTGACTCAACTCTGGTAGACAGTTTCGAAGTACTGTGTTGACCACTGCTTGTAGCTTTCACTGTTGTCTGCTCTGATTGCATCATCGGCCCCGCTTCTTCTATTGTGCCCAACCAAACACCTTCAGCGCCTCTTACCAATGGTGCCGTGTCGATCCAGCTTCGTGCCCGCTGGAGAGCGCTGTTTCTTTCCTCAGCTTTAATCTTTTCCCCGGCTGGGACTATTGTGTGGACACAGAAGAGCGTCCCAACGACGAAAACAACCGTAAAAGCGTTGACAGCATCGGCATTGACCCATTGCGTGCTGCGGCAGACGCTGTACCGCATGAGGGGTTCCTCTTAGTTGTGCCAGCTTTGGTGTTAATGGCAGTGTTGCTCATCGGATGTTTCTTCTATGGTGCTTCTAGGAACCACGAAAGTATTCGAGGAAGTGTAGGAGTGTTTGGCTTCGGAGGCGACCGTGATGGATTTTCAGCACTATCAAGTCCGTTGTTGGACGGCAGGGACACGCTGGATGGAAGTGGTATAATAGAGATTTCCATAATAAATAAAATATTTATCAGAAGTTGAATTACATTTCTTCAGTGTTAAAATTTTTCAAGAAACTACGTTGCATCTTCAATCAAATTCATCTAAGTACTAGAAGTAAGTAGAAGAAGAGGAAGTCTTTCTTCACCGCAAAACCTTCTTCTAAGCTAATGATCTTTTGAATAAAACAGCGCTTTCATCACCCGGCGAAAGTGCCTCACCAGCTGGACATATGTCGGTTCTGCTCCAACATCCTCGTGAGCTTGGGGAAAGCAGCGAGAAGCTTCAGGGACTTGAGCAAACCCAGAAGGCCCCAACTGCCTATGGTGGGAGGATAGAGCAGCATCGTGTTCGGAGTCCCGCGCCAGTCAGAAGTCGTGTTTGGAGCTTGTTTTCGCCTTGGAGCAACGACGACTCACCTGAAACGTCGCGACAAATAGCGGAGAGAATCCTGCTGCCTCCACCAAGCTCGAACGCAGCGGTTCAAGGTGTAGTGGATCTCGCTGAGCCTGCCCCACAGCATCTGCAGCAAATGCAGCAACAACTATTTCCACCTCAGAGCAGCAGACGAGTCGATGAGGAGGAGCAGCATACACCACCGAATCATTATCAACGCGACCAACAAGATGCTGAAGATCAGGTCGACAATATCGATGCACTACTCAGGAAACAGCAGCAGGACTACGATAGAAACATCCTACAACAAGCGCAGAGATTGCAAAACGCATATGAGCAGTTCGATATGGAAGCTTGGGACCGACAGCATTTGCCAGAAGAATTAGATCCACAGCACCATAGAAGTAGAGACGAGCATCCGCCAAGCTCCTCACAGGCTCCTAGAAGTGTGATCGTACCAGCAACGTCGCCATCTAGGAGTATTCCTTCTAGGTCTCCTGACGGTCGTGCTCGCCCAGTCGTTGATCAAGCTTTAATAGCTTCTGCCTTACAACAAGACTTTGAGTATGATAGGCATCTTCTAGGAGAACCACCTGCGCGTAGTGTAGATGCACGAGAACCGAAAGTGGTTTCCAGTGCAGTGACGAGTGGTGGAGGAGTTTTTGATGGGGATGAAGATTATTCTGCTGTTGGATATGGTTTTCATGAGCCTCCAAGTAGGAGCTACCTTCCTCCAAGTAGTGCAACTGAAGCACAACTTGATAAAGAAGCAGACGAGGTGGACCATCTTCAAGTAGAAGAGCCTCTTTCAGCAACTGCAAAAAGACTAGGTGGAGTAGCGGAAGGGAACGCTATGGAAATAGGTGAACAACAAGAAGACGAAGTAAACAACTCTATTGCAGCTCGCGTCGCAGCCGCTCCGAGTGCCTCAGCCACGACTCGTCTCAATGAACAGCGAAAACAGCATCCACATGATTCCTTTTCGTCCAGTATGCCTTTGCCTGATGTGCTAGGCGAATTACCTCCAGGACCAGGAACTGTTTCGGCGGGACTTTTGGATGTGAAGTCAAGTCCTCCACCTCCTGGAGAGCGAGAGTATACTGGTGATGTTGAGACTTCATCACCACACACGAAAATTAAGGCTCAGCTTTCAATGGTCATTGGGGTTGGTCACTGAGATTCCTCTTGAGAGAACAGGGGAAAATGAAGGAAAAGCAAAGGGAGAGGCTTGGTGCCCATTTCTTTCAGAGTCAGTGACCATTGAATGCTGAGCTTTAAGAAAAAGTCGTCATCTCCACCACCGCCAAGAATACCAATAACGCCACCACCTGTCGTGGGCAGAGTGAGTGCCGGTGCTCCTCGGATTGTTGAGATTCAAAATGAGGAGAACACGACAACACCAAGAGCATCCATATCATCTTCGCCGACTACTACGGCTGTTTTTAGTCTTGAGAGGAAGGAAAAGCCATCGGTTCTATCCGCGACGAGAGGCACCAGTGCTCTGAAAAAAAGCGCAGAAAATAGTACGTCGAAATCCTCCAGCAAGAAGAGTGGGGAAGAATCGCCGCAACAGGACCGAGCAACTTCATCTCGCGCGCTGTCAGCAACCTCCTCTCGTGGTTTGTCCAGTCAGTCATCCATGGGCTCTTCTGGTGGTGTATCTGCTAAGGGTGGAGGTGAAATAAAGAAGAACCTAGGACGGATCAATTCTTTTGGGAATCAACCTCCACGGTCAGGAGTAGCAAATTCTTCTGTAGGCAAAGGTAGCAGGACAGAAGAAGCGACGGAGACGACAGGAACTCAGGGTAGCACTAGTGGTAAAAAAGGTAGTGGAATGAAGGGAAGAAAAAGGTAGCAGAAATAGTACCGCTTATCAATTTTTGAATCATCTTTGAGTTCTTCTTGTTTTTAATTCATTGTCCCACTTACTGAATTCGCTCACGACTTTCTACAGAGCTCGCTCACGCTTAGAAATTGTCCTATCAACAACAAGTAACCGATGTGATTTCAAATTCCAATTTGGAGAATTACCCATTAAGAGAGACTAAAACGAAACAAACTGCATGTGCAATAGATAGAGCACGGCTGATACTTTTTGAGATTGATACGCAAGCAGCACATGAACCTCAATTTACGTCATTCTAGAGCAGTCCGTAGTTCGAACGACAATCACAATAAGTTGTATCTCACAATACAAGGACATCGTGCGCGCAAGTGCCAAAGGGGCCCTGACTAGCTGTGTCAAGTTTTACAACGTATCTACTATCATCATTTGTTCTTGTATGAAACCAAAATATGTTGTCATTATCAAGCTTCTCAATTAGAAAAGAGCGATAATGATAACAGATTTTCTTTTCATATCTTGCATTCAACACGACTTCAACTAGATTTTGGATCGAAATGAGACCAGTCTAGTACATCACCAGTGACTGCCAGCACGACGCTAATGAAAATTTACGTTCCTACTCCTGCATCCATCTTCTTCTTCAGCAGTGAATCAAGCAACAAAATGATGAAGGTTCTAGACTTCATGAACAAGATGATCGAGTTCGAAACGACCCGTCTCTCGTTTCCCGCAACCGCAATATGTGCTGTAACATGTTGTGGTAGGGGAAACAGACGAGGGGAAACGGACGAAGGTAATGAACAACTCGACAGCATATAGTCAAGCTCATGGACGTACTAGTGTCGCACTAAATTCATGCACTAGAAGGAAAAATGCGGTGGAGTGTTCTTCAACATCATGTACTAGTCCGTTTGGATGGCGGTCGATCTTCTAAAAGGACCAAGTAGGATATAGGCTCATTCTCTACAACTCCATTTCTCAGAGTAGAATTTCTACTCCCGAAGGTCTCGCTATGGCTGCCATATTGAGTGGTCATCTTCAGTTCTTTCTTCAGGGTGATCTTTTTCAAAGCCTCCAGGAACCTTTCGTCATATCTTCCCAGTTCGATGTAAAACTACGGTCTTTGATTTTCTTCTTGGTTTATTCTTACTCGAAAAGCTTACTCAAAGTAGTAGAAGAACAACCTGTTGTATAGTACTTTTACTTACAACGACAAGAAAAAGATGTCGTTTTCCCAAGTGGCTCCTCCTGGTTCAGAACTACAGCAAATGGTAGACTTTTCGTCTCCGTCGGTTGTTACTGAAACAACCGTAGTACACGATTTCGGTGGACCTCAGAGCGACGACCTCTTATGGACTTGTGCTGTCTCTGCACCAGAAGTAGGTCTGATTGCCGTGAACAGACAGAACCAAGGTATCGCAGTTTACCGCTACTGTCCGAGTTTGGAGCCACCAGCGACTCCTCTGAATCGCAGTCGCAGTGTATCACGAGTCCAAGACTTGGTAGCGCAGGCGGCGAATCATGGTAGTAATGCGGCGGCGAAGATCGTTGGTGGAGGCACGACGATCAGTGGAGGTAGCACCTCCTCATCTTCGTCTCGCCCTAGTAGCATGGTTAGTCGCACGAAATTAGAGCAAACAAAGACGGCCGTCCTACGCTTTGAGCAGACAGAAGATGATTTTGTAGCTGGTTTGCCACCAACAAGTACAAGTAGAACATTGACTAGAGAAAGCTCTGGAAAGAAACGAAGTAACGGAGGTGGCTTTTTCGGAAGATTTGGAGGTGGGCAGACCAAGTCCTCAAATGAAGGTAGCTCGACTTCTTCTAAAAAGGAGGACGTTGCTGGTTTTCAGTTCTACTGCAGTATCGATTTATCCCAGGAGGCTAGCAGAACCGTAAGGTCTCTCGATTTCTGCCCTTCCACACTACCAAATGGAGGCGTGTTGCTTGCTTGCGCAACCTTCGACGCTGTAACCGTGGTGTTGAAGCATCTGCCCAAAGGGCCGACATTGTTGGCTGCGGGTAGTGGTGCTAACCCAGGAACGCTTCAGAAGCCAGCGCCAAGAACGAGCATTTACGAGGACTGCGAAGTTGTGCCTTCTATGCCGCACAGTTGCCCTCCATGGACAGTGTATACTCGGTTACTGTCGCACGACAATGAGGTAAAGTGCGTGCGCTTTTCGCCTTTCGGGAGTTACGTCGCGACCAGCGGACGCGACAAGGCGATCTACATCTATCGTGCAGGGGATCCGGATGAGTGTCTGGCGCATTTTGCGGACCACACAGGAGACGTGAAATTCTTGACGTGGCGTCCAAACCGAGAAGACGAACTCATCTCTTGCAGTTTCGACGCGACTATCCGAGTTTTTCGTTCCCTGCCGAACCAGCCTGACGACTGGTTCTTAGTGGACACTTTGGAGAGTGAACAATTCAGTCCGATCAGTTTGCTGAGAGGACCACTCAGTGTTTCTCCAACATATCAACAAGACGCCGCGCTGAACAACATCGTCTGGAGTTTGGCCTACAAACCTGATGGAAAGGCGTTTGCAAGTGGAGGACAGGATGGACGAGTGCTCTTCTGGCGTGAAGTCGCGGACAGCAGTGACGAGAAATGGACTGCGAAGCAGCCTTTAGCAGGAAGTAGCCCTATGGAAGATGTCGCGACGGATCTTATGCTCATGGGGTACTGCTTACATTTTGATCAAATATGATTTTGATCAGCTGACTTTCTACTAACTACATCTTTCTGCAACTTCGAACGTAGATGTAGATCTTAACGACCTACTTACTACATCTAGATGTAGTTGGTTCTCATCGATATTTGAACTTATGGTTGGCAACGTTGTAGTTTAAGTGCATTGGGCAGTTATACTTGTATCATGTGTATCAACCCTGAAAAATAAATAAAACAACAGTCCCTTCACCGGCTTGGCGCAAGTGACATCTGGTGCATTTTCTCCAGCCGAAAGGATAGCACCGACTTCCAAGAAAGCCTCAGCTAGAAGAGAGCAGGATGACAGTCCGTACATGGAACGTGCACGTCGTATGATAGCAGAAGCTGAAGCTGCACGAAAACAAGAGCTACAACTTGGAGACGACGGAGGAGGTGCGATAGATCATCGACTACAACCAATAACTGGAGGAGGAAGTTCTTCTTCTAGCTCTTCCTCTACAACGAGAAGTATCTGGCAAAAAATGAAGACTGTAGGTTCCACAATCACGACGTTGGGCAGTGCTGGTTCTAAGTTCTTTGATAAGAGAGCGGAGAACCAGCACGAAACTTCTACTGGTTCTCAAGACATCGAACGAAGGAAGGATCTAGAAACTCCGCTAACCAGTCGATGGGTTGCAGACTTCGCGATTGATGGTATCTATTGGAATTTTTTTCCGTGGTGATTGATTCATTCTCGAGTATCTACGAGTAGAACTACATTGTAATCAATGAATTACGAAAGCCAAAGCGTTTCCTTTTGCACCTTACATTGTAATCAATGAAGTACGAAAGCCAAAGCGTTTTGTACCGTATGCGAATGACACTTTCCCCAAAACATCAAACAGGTCTGCACGAGCACAGTATTTACAGCCTTTCCTGGATTCGCACATTAGATGGGAGCAATGTTCTGTGCACAGGGTGTGGTGACAACATGATTCGCTTTTTCCTTTTGGATAGTAACGACGAAGTAGCTTTTGGGGATGTACATCTACATGGAGCAGGGAACGGGAAGGGGAACAAGTTGCTAGGGTCCAATTGCACAAAAGCTGTGGTAGCAGAGCAGTCTTTCACTCAGGCGAACGTCGCACAGCAAGACTGGGACCACAAATGGAGTGACAGACTCCACTACAAACCTCTGCGCGATAGAGTCCAGACTGTATCAACTCAAATTCTTGTCATCACAGGAGCATCTACATCCCCTATCAGTGGTGCTCGTCGTGCCCTTCATCAAATACAAGAAGAAGAAAATGAAGCGGCTGCTCAACATATTGGAAATGGATCTTCATTAGTCCAAAACGTGGGGAATGGGGTTCTTCAAAATGGAAGTGGACACGAACAAGAGCACAATAAAGCACCAACAGCTGCACTTTCCTCTAGAAGAACGCGCTCGCCGTTGCGAGGTCACCGATACCGTCTCCTACATGAAATGAACCAACATATGAACGACGTTCATTGCGTAAACGCCTGTGAAAACTGGAATGGACACCGCTACCTCTTCTCGGTAGGCGAAGATGGCCGCTTCCTCGTGTCTGAGTGGGACATGAAGAATGGAAGCTAAAAAGGCCTGACATTTGTCTACCATCCACTATGATGTGTGTCCACCAACTTGATCTTCGAAGCAGGGACAATTTCATACTGATATCGGCCATACGTTGAAGCACTTAAGTACTTCATCCTCCTCTCCCTGTTTCTCTTTTTCTGCCTTTTGATCAGCGGCTGGTCCGTCAACTACAACATGTTTGAATTTTTTTTAACGCAGTTTTTTTTAACGCATTGAGGCAAATAAAGTTTATCTTTATTGGTGCAGATCCGGCGCAAGAATGAAGGAGCTCGCTTGTTCTGTCAAGGGACGATAGTCCTGTGGTGTAAGAAAAAGTAAAATTACAACTGAGTTGTATTAAGAGGCGAGTGATCTCCTGCGCTTCGAGCGATGAAGAAGAGGGAGCAGTTTCCGCGCGAATGATTTGTTTCATGTAGTTGGCAATTATCTTACTTTGAGATGTATTATTTAATTGACAGAGCAAGAGACACGAGATACAGAAGCGGAAATGGAAACTTGGAGGAGAAAGAAGGAGACATATTTTACAATCTTCAGTACTTCTCAGAGCGCCATCATCAAGTAGTGTTTGTCCCACAACTGACTTGCTTAAGTAGCATCAATCAGGATCAGGAAAAAATGGTGTCCCCAGTCGAGGCACGGCAAGAGGTTCGCACGTACAAGGAATGCGTGCAGCGAGACGGAAAGACGGCATGCAAAGCACAGCTTGGACATGCGGTGAATGCGATATTTACGGAACAACAAGTCGATGAACATCAAAAACAACTATGTTAATCAGGAGTTGAAGAAGACTTCTTCAGTCTCTTTCTCTACTGAAATCTAGAACCATGATCTAGTAGATCCTCTTCTCCCTCTAACTCCACAACGATAAGCTCACGGGATTGTGCACCGTTTGTAGAGGATTTTTTCCAGTGCTACAACCACAAATTCAACCTGGCCACATGTTCGGATCAGACGACTGCCAAGCTCATCCGATGCCAAAGCGACACGGCGAACCAGGTACGGACCTTTTTAAATTGCCAGGTAATGATCGTGACTGGGGAGATACGGATAGACGCAACAAAAAAACTTTTTTTTTTAGTTCATGGAGAGTTTTCAGTTCTCTTACTGCTATGATCGACGCACCAACATTTTTACACCGCATCCTATAGATCATGATCCTACCATAATTCAAACTCCAGATGCTTACGTTGTAGTCGCACATGTCGCACCGCCAATTTTACGGGGGATCGCGCCAAAGCTATGAGAGCACACCTACAGGCTTCCTTCAACATGTCGAGCAGGTTGGATTCCATCTCTCTACTCAACAAGTGACCCCACTTTTTAAGTGAGCTACTGCGTTTTTTTCATACTTACCCTTCTTGCAGTCAGTGCACATTTTACGAGAAGAGCTCCATGTCCAGCACGTCGTGAGCAAGTTTTTTACGAGATGAGTGTTCAGCTGCGCCGAGGATTATAGCACATCAATAATTTGCTTCGTTTTAAATAGTGATCGAACTCGAAGAACATTGAGTGTAGTATAGTTAGTTAAGAAGAGCGAATCGGAGAGACGGAGGCAAACGAATTACTGAGGGTTGGTTATGTATCGAGAGGAAATCGCTCTCGATTCATTCGTGAAAAAAATGGTAAAAGCGCATGTTTTTCGTTTTCACAACTACTAGCTGCAAGAGAAACAATTTGAAATGGGAAAAGAGAAATCGTGCAGCAGGGAGTCGTTAGTCTAACGTAGTATGTCGTTAAGAATTCGTGAATGAGGCTCTTCAAGGTGAGGAAGTACTTGTTCACTTAGATAATTCAATTCAAAATCGTGATGCATGAACACGAATTTGAAGATTTCCAAGTAGAGGACTCCAGAACAAATAGTACATGTGATTTTCTAGTGGTAGTGATAGTGAAATAACAAAAAAACACATGTGGAAAAAAGAATGGTGAACAGATAATCGCTGCGGGCCAGTGGGCCTGGCCCGGCCATAAAAGACGCACGGGCGCCCACGCTGGGCTTGTTGCCTAACAAAGGGAGCCGGCGTAGTCGTGTGCAAAATACGTATAAGAAAGGAGCTGGGTCCCGATTCCCTGACGCAACAGGGGAACGAGGAAGGCGTCCACGAGAACACCTATTACTACCAGAGGACTGGTGACGGATAGATCTGGCATCAAGCTACATCCCCTTCTACATCAACTGACAACGAACAGCACAAGCACAACTAGTCTTCCTTTGTTCCTGCGAGAGTTTCGTCGCATCGTCAAAGTCACGACTTCCTTGTAGTTCCGACGTTCTTGTTCGAATAAGTACGTCCTCGACTTCTTCTAAAGAGAGAATATTAAGCTGCAAGATGATGGCGACGCACACCAGTCAGGGTCGTGAGCACAGTAGGTCGGGAGACCTCGAGGAGAGTAGGGCGACTTTGGCAGCACCAGTTGATCCTGGTGATGACACTGCAGGAGAACATGGCTTCCGAGCATCCGAAATTTCCTTTCTCCAAGAGCAAAATAACAATGTCCTCCAGGCGTTGGAGAACATCGAGGCGGAGCGGGATAACACGCTACGTACTTCTTTTGTTTGCTTTGATGTTCTACCTACAGGGTTACCCTACTTATACACCTTTAACAATCTACAACACAATAGATAACACCTACGCTGCACCTACAACAATCTAGAAAACTTCATCGATCTTCTTACAGAGTTATTAAATAGTTGACTTTACAGTTCGAAGTAAGTTGAAGATGGTTGAAAAATGCAATCTGGTCTTGGTGATACATAATGATAATTTCAGAACGAGAAAAGATCATCTTGTTTGACATCTTGAATTTTAAGTCGAAGGATAAAAAGCCTACCTCGCTCCCCCTCCTTGAAGATAAAATACTTCTTCACCCAGGCCTCGTCCGCGAATGGGAGGACAAGGAGCAGCAGATGCTGGTGGAGACGGCGGCTGTCCAGGACAAGATCAAGGTCCTTCAAGACGGTCTAGTCCAAGAGAAGACCGAACTCATCTCCAAAGACGAACATGTTCGCGTTTTGTCACAACAGAATCAACAGATGCTCGAACTGTTGGAGAAGGAGGAGCTGAAAACAAAGGAACTAGCAGCTAAAATCACCGATTTGGACGAAGAAAACAACTCCCTCAAAGTGCTGGAAGGCGAATTCGACAAAATCAAGGTGGAGATCGAAAATCTCATCAAAGGCAAAAAAGAAGAGACCATCCAAATGGCCGACCAGCTGCGGGAATTTAGACAGTTGAATTTATGGCCGCAGTGAGACTTCAGAAAATGTATATCCTTGTAGCAATTGAATTTGTAATACCCTTGTAAAGGTTAGACAGTTCTCTTCACCTCACTGTCACTCATCCCTTCTAGAAACCTCCTCCTTGATGTGCGGAACTTCTGTTATCCGAACTAGATCTTCTTCTTCTAGAAATCAACTAGCCTTTCCTTCTCTAACGGCCGAATCTCTCCGAGCCGACATTGCCAGCGTGGATGCCCAGACACAAGTCGATATTGAGGCTTTGAATCAAGTGCTGACGGTCGTATCAGACAAAAATGTGCAGTACTTGTCCCAGATGCAGAGGCAGGACACGAGAGAACAGGAACTGAATGAAGAGCTTTCGGGCTTAAGGGATGCGGCGGCAGCACTCAAGAAAGAAATCGAACAAATGAAGAAACAAATGGATGGGGATGAGGTAAGCTTTTTTGAACTTCAAGGGAGATGCAATTAAGGATGCTGGTACTAGTTTATCGTTCCAGAAGGATTTTGGCTGATATCGGGGCACTTTTTCTGTTGAAAATGCATCGAGGCCGATCTTCTGATTCTTCTTCAAGAACGCAATCGTGAATCGTCCACTTCCACAGGTTGAACGTTCAGCTTTTGAGCGTGACAAGGCTTCCCTGCAGCAGAAGATCGAGTCTCTAGAGAGCCAAATCGACGTGCTGAAGAAAACCCTGAACACCGCAGAAAAAAGCAACGAGCAACTGCATGAAGAGAATAGAAGGAGTGCCGAAAAATTTCGAGAAATGGCGGATAAGGTCTACGGTTTGATGGACTCTTTGCGGCTGAATCAAGTCGAACTGAAGAGGATAGAGGCAGAGAATGTTATGCATGGATATTAAAAACGATTTATAGTGGGTGCTTGTTATCTGTTTTTACCTCTAGAGATCTAGCCCTTCCAGCAAGATAAAGTGCTTGTTATCTGTGAAGAACAAGAAGAACAAGATCAAGAACAGCTGCAAAGTCGTGATTATCGTGATCAACATAATTGAAGTCCTCCTGGAAGTCCTCCAAGAGGTGGATGAATGTTGATCACCTCTACTCCTCCAACCTCCGCGCATCATACGCATATTACCCACTCTAACATTCGCGCCAAGCAGAAAAAGTTCACGAATACAGAGAAGCTGATTGCAAACGTGCAGTCGAAAATAAGCGTAGAGCTAGACGCCAAAAACATAGCGGAGCAAGAAAAGCGCGACGCAGATGGCGAGAGCAGCTTGCTGAAAAAGAAAAACAAGAAAATCGAGGAGTCGATCGCCACGGCGCAAAATATGCAGGAATCGGTAACACGCCATTGTTGTGATTTGTTCTGCTCCCTTGGCACCTTTTTTCACGTCCATGTTGATCATCTTCCCGCCGCGCCGACCTAATCATAAAGGCATCTATAACTAAAACTAGTTTTGTTCCTCTTGAATTTGAATACCAAAAGAACCCTCGACTAAACTCAGATCGGCAAGCACATTGTGGAGCTGAATGAGCAGATTAACGCCTTGCAGACGCAGAATGCGTATCTTGCGAGTAGAATAGACGGACAGGAAGAGGAAAAGTCATCCCTCAAAGGTGAGATCAAAAAGGGTAGCGACAGGTTTGCCGATACGTCGAAAACGAACAACCTTCTCCGAGAAGAAATAGAGAAATTGAATCTCACCTTGCAAGATTTGAAAGAGGGAGCGGTGAACTTGCGGTATAATTTGAAACGATTCATTTTGTGAAGGTTAAGTGGTTCAAGATGAACTCCTATATGAGAAAAATACTAATCATTGTTCGTCCTTATTGAAGGTTAAGAACAGCAACAGAAGAAGATCATCGATAAGGGCCCACGATCATGAATTATCACGACATCATGGTCTGAAACAACAGGGCCGAACTCGAGTACGTGAAACGTGAGGACGTGTTGGATGAGACAGGAAGACAAAGGCCGATCCTCATTCAGAGTAACGAGTCGACACTGCTGGAGAAGCTTCAAATCAACGAATTCCTCTATGAAGCACAGCAAAACAAAAATCCAGTCCCAAGTTTGGTCGAGAAACTAGCGCAATTGCTGGAGTTGTTGCACACGGCACAAGGTATTGAGGTTTCTCTTTGTTTGGTCTCCATTTAACCTGTAGTTCTTAAAGAACAAATGATACGAATTATAGCCAATTGATCCTCTTCATTTATGGTCAGCTTTTATCCATCCTCCTCGGCATCTTGATACCTTTTCCCCATGAGGGGACCAAGATGGATGAGAGCTGAGGCTAATTCATTGTCTTCCCAACTCTTCTATAACTCCTCCTCACATGATACAGGTCACTGCGACCAATACCTTGGTGACCTGGCCAAGAGTAACTCGCTTGTCTCCGCTTTGCGACAGAAGAATCTGGTGTTGTTCGAAAAAACATCGATGTTTGAGTCCTACAAGACGAGAGCACTGGTTCGATATATGATGAATTTGTTCGAGTCCGGAGACTCCTACAACATCAACTTAGACGGTCTGAACCTTACACCTCGAGAACTGCAGGAGCTCACTTCACTCATCCAGCGATATTCGCTTCAAGAAAAAGTCTACTTCATCAGTCTGGCAGAGAATGGTACTGCAGCTATTGTAGGATTAGGGACTCACTTGTGTGTTATTGATTGTACTTGATCAGGGACAAACTTGGATCTTCTACTGTCATACCTTCATTCTTATTGTAGTGATTGGATACTTTTTCAATTTCTAGTGGTTCGTTGTAGCAGACAATCACAAAAATTATCATTTTGTTACTCAAAAATCATCAACATGCTCCTGCAGCTGCTTCTACTAGAACAAGTACAACTACAGATCAACAGAAGGTACAGGATAGTTGAAAGGCCTCTATGGTGTCAGTGCGACACATAAAAGAGGATCCATGACATGACATGACAAGCTACTCCTCTTCACCAGGTCTAACCGACGACGCAGTGAACATAATTTTGCAGTTGGTGATGCAAACGCCGTATCTGAAGGCCTTGGATTTGCGGAGAAACAACCTTTCGGGTGCTGGAATACAGAAGGTGAACGACCAACTTCGCGTGATGGAGGGTGTCACCAGCGTCATCAAAACCGCAACTGGAGCAATCAATGTGCATAGTGGAAATCAATTGAGGTATAATTCAGTCCACCTTCTACATAACTTTGTCGGTCCTTCTAAGTAACTACTACAACAGGAGACTTCTTCTTTATTTTTTCTGGCTGGGCTAGCCTTTTTTGATCCCTTTCCCCCTTTTTTTGTTAGATTTTCAATTATTTCCCTGACTATGTGACTCTCATCTGGTCTTGCTTACTTCAGCTCTTCTAGCGTGGTACTTTTTCTTGAGTTTGTACTTAACCTCAATCACCAATACTAATGGTTGTTCCTTTTTTGAAAAGTAGTATGTAAGTTCTTTCATTCCATGTGCAAAATCCCCATTCCACAGAAATCGAAGATCATCTTTGTGGTTCTTGTCCGCACATCAAGGTCAACAGCGTACTTGATCAACTTCAACAACAACATCGACTTTATTAATATTCGGAAATTGCGTAACTAATTATAATGCAATCCACCAGATTATGCGTCGAAGTCGCTGAGCAGAGCGCGAGGTATGTTGGTGACGACCCTACAGAGGGCAAGCTGGACCCGACTTTGAATGTGAAGGCAACAGACGAATTTTTGGGCACAGCAGGAGGGCTTACACAGCTAGGCGGTCGAGAAATGTATGCGCAGGCCGACCAAGGTGGCAAGGCTGGGTCTGGGGATAAACTACCAGCCGTCAACGGCAACAAGGCTCGCGCTAAGGCCAAGGGCGCAGCTAGGAAACGCATCCCGCCACCACTGCATCAGCTAAACAGGAATGCAGGAGGCGCCGTGCCAAGTAGCAGAGAAATTATGGCTTCAGCTCCTAAACCTAATGCATCTCTTCACTATAAGATTAAGCATCCTCAGTAGATGGGTCTTCTTCAAGTGAAAAACAAGGGCCTGAGGATGGATCTTGAGATGGATTCGGGCGACCTCTAAAGAACGCAAGAAAAGCGGTGCACCTCCGAGAGGTGGAGGCGTGTTTGGTGGTGTGCCTATTGGGTTAGGTGGTGGTTCTAGTGAAGCAAATAGTCCAGGAAAATTCTCGAGAGCTGAGTCCAGAGCTGATTCGCAAGCAGAGAGCAGTCCTAGATTCAATAGCGCCCGAAGAGAAGGTCAACATCATGCATCACTGGCAGCAACGATCGGAGACCGAGGACCGACGTCCAGTAGCACCGCTTTTATGGACGATTGAAACTTCTCAATCTTAATCTTTTAGTTTTGTTGAGCAAATATTCGCCTGCAGTTAGTTCTAGTTGAAAGTACCAGTAAGAAAGTGGATGTGAATGTGTAATTGGTCAGCATTTTATAACTCATGATTCTGATTCTCCCTATTCTTATAATAAATATCGCTGGGGAACCGGAACAACTAGAACTACTTTGCATTACAACTATTAGACTATAATAATAAATATCTCATCTTCTTCGTTCATTCTTCTAATTCCCCAGCACTTCGTAGCAACTACAACATCGGAGGACAGAGGCCTGGTTCTAGCCGAGCTGGAGGGTCCTCATCATCGACAGCTGATGGCGCTGCTCCACGACTAGTCTACATGGATCAGTACATGGACCAGCAAAAAGGCAGTCGTGGTGGAGGTGGTTCCCGAAGTAGACGGTCAGGAGACAACTCTCGTAGTCCGAATAAGACACCAGGTTGGAACGTGTCACTAGATTTCGGCAATAGCAAGCCACCAGGTGGAGGGGGATTACGTGGAGGAGATTTGTTGATCGATGCCAGCGGTTCAGACACTGACCATGACCTACAGCCTACTTCTTCGCGAGACGGAGGCGAGGATCAGGATAGATACTACTATAGGAGCAGAGGAGGTGCCGTAGAACCACTCCCCATGGGAGCAGGTACTTCTATAGGTGGAAGTGTTTCTTAAGGGTTACCACATTGCATTCTTCACTACCATCCTTGACTTTTTTTCGAGTAGGAAAAGGGTGAGGGATGATCTGAAGCATGCAATGTGGTAACCTCTAAGTTTCAGCGTCGACATCATCTGGTAGGGGAGCAGGACCTCCAGTAGGGGCAGACGGGTCATCTAGACCACCAGCACCGCCGTTTCTGCGTCAGCGGTCAGCAAAGCGCAGTAGCGAAGGCAAAAGAGTGCCTAGTGAAAGGGTCATCGATAAATGGCAGACCGGGAACTACAACCCGGACAAATTCGAGGTGCAGCACAACAATTTTATCCGACCACCGTCGCGTGAGCTCTAGGGGTTGACGGTGATGAAGGTGAAAGAAGCACCTATTTCATTAGCATTGTAACTGGTTATCGTTATGATGTGCGGTTGCGGATGAAGTAGAAGTTGTACTGGCACACTTCTCCATGATTATATGAGCTTGCCAGACATGTTGAATTTTGAAATAACTACGGTTACGGAAAGTCAAGGTCGCTCAGTGTTTACAGGTTTTACATTTAGTTAAGCAGCTTGTTCCTTGTTATATCTTCTTCGTGTTTATCTTCTACTTTTATCGAATGTAGTTAGTTCGCTTTCTTGGCATCCACCAAGTCGCACTTAGAAGGTTGTTCGGTGGATGTTGAAGTTATAAGATTCGTTTGTTTAAGATTTTGTGACGTCGCTCGTATGCATGAGATAAACTGTTGTAACCCTTGCTTAGAAATTATAATAATGCAAACTACCTCTACCACAATGATAATGAATGTACCATCTATTTCTAGACGCGCAAAAGAAGACGCTAGAACTGCACAGAAAGAATTATAGAAGAGGAGGAGGTAAACTCAATAGATCAAATATAACGAAATCCTCAACATCAGAGAATATCTTCAACTTCATATTACAGTTTTTCATCGTCGTTGTCGCTAATTCACTTATATCCAATATAAAGCATTTGATGTCCTAGTATTTTCAGTCTATCCTAGTATTTTGTCGAACAGCCTAGAACTTCTAGATGAAAAGAGCAGATGAAGGTTGTTTATGCGTTTAAGATGAAAAAGAAAAAAATTTCGCATACTCGTGCTCGTCAAGAAAATGAACCAAAGAGAAGAAGACGTCAGATACATCTACAACAGGAACTACACATCTGCATCCCTCGTTGATGTTCTCTGATTCTTTCTCCGCCGTGAGTGAGAACCGCAAAGGATGGTCAAGAAAGCTATGATATTCAGAAAAAAATCAGCCATGCTGGAAGATGTCGATGAAAAAGGGCTACAAGAAATAAACAAACTCGAACAGTTGTAGTACTATAGAAATGAAATTCTAAAAGGAACAAGAGAGCGAAGGCAGAAATAAAGATGAAATTGAGACTCACTTTATCTAGTCGGCCAAGCAACATGAGTACAGTAGCAAAAACAAACTCAACCTACTAGAAACTCACTACCACAACAAGAACAAAGACAATGACCTCGCTGGGACCATCCACCACCTCCACGAAAAGTCCAAACAAGAAGGCAATGACAATGACCTCCCTGCCATACGCACCACGAGAGGTTTCGCTGCATATCATTAGTTTTCTTGATATGCAGAGTTTGACCCAATTCGAAGCTTGCAGCAAGGAGTGTCGCGACATAGCACACGACTTCCTGCGCGTCAGTGCGAAGCAGTGGTTGTTGAATCGTCTCGACGAGGAAAGATCTACTGTGGTAGTCGAAGATGATGACGCAGCTCCTGTAGTTGATGTTGATGGTGATTTTATTTCTAACGGTCGTGGTCGTGGAGTAGATGGAGGTGCGCGTGGAGTTGTTGAAGATGACCACGTAGACAGTGTAGTTGCAGGAGGTCGACGTGGAGGTTGTAATGATCCTCCTGCGTTAGGGAGAACGTTTCTCCTTCAGTCAAATCTCTATTCTTGTACCGCTGCAATGACTTCATCTAGTACTTCTAGTGCCTCTTCCTGTAACACTACAACGACTTCTCGGACGAGCCGAAGAAAAACGGATTGGTACAACCTCTACCTGAAAAACATGGTGTCACCTTCTACTTCTTCTTCATCTCCGTGTTTTGCTTTTGCTCTGCGGTCAAGAATCAAGGTTGCTGCGCGGGTGGCTGAGATTCTGAACGACTGGAGGGAGGAGAGGGACCGCAGCACGCCAGGTTATTGCAGTATGATTGAAAACAAGCTTCGGCAAAGTAGGATGAAGAAGGCTCACGACTATAATGAAGAACGCGTTTTTGTAGCACGACTAACTTGGACCACTCCAGATGTGTTCATAGCAAAAAATGGAGCCGCTGTTCCTCTTGTGCGGACACTTCTGCTACAACTTCTACATCAACAAGTTTTTAACATGACTCATAATCATGGAGATGGAGAAGTAGGAGCACAAGCGGAAGAGAGACATGGAGATAACGTTAACGATGAAGATGAGGAAAATCCACAAACGGAAAATCCAACATCGACACCGACATCTACAACTAGTAGTGATGAAAAGTATGGCCCTGAACCTGAAGTAGATCGATCACTAGGCGAGTACATAGTCTGGATTCGCATGCTGGAGTTGCAGGCCACAGAGCGAGCGCAATTTTCAAGACTGCTAGCAAGGGAGGAGGACCGGATCAACGTTGTGATCGATGCAAAATTTCTCACACTCCTACTTCGCGTTCTTTTAACGGTAGAAAAGTTTTTAACGACGCAGTCGAAAGAGGAGGGCGACGAGCCGGCAAGGGATGAAAATGCCGAAGATAGAAGAGTTTTATCAGAAGAATGATGTTGATTGATGGAGCCCTTCCTTGGAAGTCAAGCACGGTATTAAATAGTCCCGTCGACAGTTTCGGAATACTGATCTGGGCAACATTCCATTCCATAGATACAACAACGACAGCAAATCACATTCCTTTGTTTTCAGGATTATCAAAACTTAGGAAGCGTTCGATAGTACAGTTCCTAGTTTCGATAAGAAGGAAAAGAAGATCACTATCGTCCAGTACCTCCAACATTATCAAAACCAAAATATATTAACTTGAAAAATACGAGTTTAGAAATCCTAGTAGTTGTTTGACTTTTTGAATACAACGAAGGTGATATCAATATCATTGTTTTACTCGTCAATCAGAAGCGATATGTGACAGTTGCTCTCCTTCGACTGCTTCTGCTCAACCAGATCTAAAATGAACCCCCCATCGTCATAGCGTTGAACAAAGAGACCCATAATTATATACATGGACCAGAACTGGGAGGGTACCGGTACTAGAAGGGGTGGGAAAATAAGGGCTTCGACAAAAAAGGTAGAATTATCGATAAAAAAGGTAGAAGTAGAGGAAACGCAAAAGGTAGAAATCGAGAAAAGTAGGAGCCTTAGAGAACCAAAAAAGGGGGAAAAAAGGTAGAAAAAGACGCAAAAGGGGCTTGGCAGGAGGTCGCAGCAAAAGGACGAAGGGCAACTTCTACAGAAAGAAGGGCTTGTCCATCTTACTTGCATATGCACGCACACTGGGGGGGGGCGGGGGGATCGCAAAGGGAGGGAGCGCGCCGCAAAGCTCCTGCTGCGGGGGGGGGGGGCGGGGGGGGCGCAAATGGCGGAAGCGCGCCGCGAAGCTCCTGCTGCCTGGCAGTTGCCCGCGCGCCTGCCTCTGGCGGGTGCGAGGTACTGCGGCAAGAGCGGGAGAACATAGAGAAACGGAAGGTGCAGCAAGATGCGCCAAGCCTGAGGGACCGGCCGCAGCTTGGTGGCAATCCTGCCAGGACACTGCGCGGCCAAGCGCGCGCGGCTCCCCACCGGGCCCGGGCGCGCATTGCACAAGCCACCGGGGCGCTGCGTTGGCAGTGAGTGGGGTGGAAGGAGCAGCCTACAAGAAGGGCCAAGGTCAGGCCCCCTATTTTCCGGGCCCCTTCTGATACCGCGGCCCCAGTTTTTCCCGGGGCCATGTTGGCCCCAGTATTTCCGGGGACCCCGCCAGAACTATAAGGAACCCCGCGGAAAAATAAGGACCCGGGATTTTTGCGGCCCCGGTCCGATTAAAGGGGGAAAAGCACAGGGGCCCTTATAATACAGGGGGCCCAGTTTTTCCGGTCCATACATAGATACCTCTATCTTTGCACAGATTTGCACAGTCACAGATCGATGTCATTTCGCATGTCGCCATAAAGTGCTCTCCAGCAGTTGCTCAGACTTCTAAATATATTTTGCTTTTGTGAGCTATTTTCCTTCGAATTCCATCTGCTTTTGAGGAGTACAGACCGTAAGTAGTGAAAGTGTTCGTTTCAGCCTTTCGGATGTTGAGTACTTACGTTAGAAGATTGCGCTGTAACTGCACTGCGCATCGTCCACCAGCAACATGATCCAAACTAAGCAAGCCTCTAGCACAAATTGCTCTTTATCGTCCTTCTCCTACTTACCTACGAAAACATTCACCCACCTACATCTCAACTTCTATTTCTCCTGGTTCTTCTCCAAAGTAGTACAAGACCAAGACTCTGACTCTGAGGACTCGGAGTGCTGTCTGTCATACTAGAGACGCATGATCATAACATGAGGACTGCATGCCCGACTTCCACTCGACAAAATGGGCAACGTGCAGCCAGGTAGCGGTTTGAATCCAGGCGATGCTTCAGGTGGAGCTCTGGAGCTGCGGTCAGGCGTGCAGTCGAACTTCTATCCGTGGAAGGAGATAATTTTACGGCCAGCTCAGCTGCTGCAATTCTTTCACTATCAATGAATCCCACGGACGACGTGGACTAGGTTCATCTTGAGTGGGCGGTTCCTTCCCCCTAGAAGTCTTCAAGGGGAAAGAACTGTAAGTGTGGGAACAGTGGCAACGAACTCACTCAAGCAGGGATAGAAGTTGCATCTCAACTCACTGCTCAAGCAGGGAAAGGGATAGTGATTGCCTAGTGTTAATACTTGAGTACGTCTACAACAAAGCTAATGCTGTGCCTGCGACGGGCTTGTCTCGAGAATTGCTGATCCAAATCCTGGAAGGCATCGACCCGCAAGTGAGGGAGTACTACCTTTTTGGCACGTTCTTTTAGTATGTATAACAGAGTAGTTTATAGCACGCATGGTGCATGGAGTGCATGGAGCGCAGAGCTTTAAGGGGCGCAAGAAGCTCCCCCTTTAGCTCCATGCTACTCCATGTGATCCATGCACTCCATGCCATGCGATCCGTGAAACCTTATAAATTGCTCTGATATAATTCTCGTGTTGTTTTTTTACCTCTGCTCCTTTGTCTTCAAGAACTTCATCTTACTTACTGCTGCTTGTGATTTTTAGAAAAAATGGTTCCCTGCTCTGGGACCCACAAGAAGTAAGTAGCTTCTCGTCGTACACATACACGGAAGTAGGGGTTGACAATAACGAGCAATAAATCGAAGTGTATTTACAACAATAATTATTTGATGTTCCTAAGGTTATACAACAATTTGATGATGCGACCTTAGGAACTCCAACTATCCCCACAAAACAACAGTCTAACCGAAGGCAGCAATGTGGATATTTGCGATAAGCTGGGTCTGGAAGGCACCTTTCAGCCTCCAACGGATTGGGCACTAGCGTTGCTGAAACAGATCCCAACTCTACAAAAAGCCAGATACGAAATCGTGCCGAGGTTCATTGTTATGTTGAAGATGCTTGCAACTACTGAGTACCTCCATGTTGTTGTACTTAGTATCTTCTAGTTGAGCATAGGCTATGTTACGAAGAGTGGAGTATCTAGGTGAACATAGTCTATTGAGGAGGGGAAATCCTAGTTGCGGTATCTAGCGGTGGTGTGGTCTAGTTGAACATATACTATGTAGTATCTAGGTTGAACATAGGCTATGCAGTATCTAGGTTGAACATGGGCTATGCAGTATCTAGGTTGAACATAGGCTATGCAGTATCTAGGTTGAGCATGTTACTTAGCACGACACCGTCTAGAAGCACTTTATGCAGAACAAGGTCTAGATCTTTCTTGATAGCGACCACTTGTAGCATATAGTATGTGGAACCAAGATCTAGAACCACATCAACAACTTCAAGGGTAGCTTCATCTACTTTAGTTCCTCTAATCTCCAAGAAGAATCGTTCTGGAGTCGCTACTTTTCGCAAATTCTATACATAGTGCAGGACGAGCTGGAGAAACATGGGATACACGTTGAAGACACGAAGCTTGCGGATGAGGGCTAGGAGAAAACGTACACTTTGATCATGATCTGCGGTAGAAGATGCGCAAATTGATGAGGCTGGACGCACACATTGATGAGGGTGGATTCTATGATAGACGCACACATTCTTATTGCGTGTGTTCATTCAAGAGGCGGAAAGTGTGTGTGTTTTTTCAACCCCGGCACACGACCACCGAAGCGGAAAAGGGAGCAGGAGTAGACGGGCAGAAGGACTAATCTTAAAAATGACATCCCGTCTAGGAGGTGCGTCATCTTTGTTGAAGATACGAAGCTTGGGGATGATGGATAGTGAGTCGTGAAGAGCAGGAATCAATGCAAATTCCATATAATTGTAGACGCACACGTCGACATTGAAGAGCATTATGATCCTGATCCGCTATACTTCTAAAACTAAAGTCCTCCATCAGCACATTATTTAGTTAAATCTTCATGAGCAAGCTGCAGAATGCATGTGCACCTCAGCACCATTTTATTCAAGAATTGGCGCGTCACGAGAAAGATGAAGATGATAGTCTTGTGAAGATGTTTCTTCGGTTCCAACTATCCTTTAGTCAAGAAGAATAGACGGATCCTTGCAGTCGTAGTTGACAGCTGAGTCAGGGAAGTCGTAAGTCCAATCCGAACCGACTAGCATCATCATCATTATCAACTCGCCACAAGTAGAAGCACGACTGCAGGAAATCGACAAGATTATCTTCATCTACGAAAACATTTCTACTTGTCAACCACGATAAATTTTTGCTCGTCGATTAACACTCTGTTTGGTCTTGTAACAAAATTTTGATCACCCACTTCCACAATTATCTCGAAGATTTTCTCTGCTTCAACCTGCACAAGAAAAAATGATGTCCTTCTCCTTGCACAAGAAGATGAACCTGATCCATCATCTTACCACTATGGGTTCACTTCCCGGCTTCTTGCTAACGCTGTTTTTCCTCGGACAAAAAATTGAGACCACGTTGATGGTGCACGGACTGCGACTCCAGTCTTCAGGTGGGTCCATAACTCCCGCTACAGCGTCTTCAGGAGTTCTACAGGAAGATCTGGCAGACCTCCAAAATGACATCAATGAAGCCGTAGTTCTTGGAGTATATCCTACCACTTGCTCCTTGACGGCGGACGCCAATGAGCAGAAAGAGGATCAAGACGTTGGAGCACCTGATGTTACGGGTAGGTTAACCAGGTGGGCTTTTGTTACCGTTTGTTATGGCTCTCTCCTTTAGGTGGGGACAGCCATAACAAGCGGGGTAAACGAACACCAAAAACCTCCTTCTAATGATGACTCTTCTATATCTATTTCCTCGATGGCGGAGAACTACAAGGAGGACGGTCAAAACGTTGGTGGAGGAGCACCCCGCCCTCCTGCAGCTGCTGTTCCTGAGTCTACTTCCGTGAGGATTCTGAAAATGAACGGGGAATCTTTCACCGTGGGATGCCATGATGATATCAATGGAGGTATGACGAAAGTGCTTCACCTGAAAGAACGCATCGAACAGATCAAAAACATTGATCGTAAGTTGCAAAGGCTTGTGTTGGACAGTCGCGAGTTGTTGGATGATGAGTCTCTCGCAGTTGCCCTTGGACGAGGGAAGGACGATGGACCAACTACAGGAGGTGGAGGTGATATTTTTTTCCTGGCGCACACACACACATCGATATTTTCAGTACCTAGATGTATACCACGATGAAACAATTTTCTGGTGTAGGACGATAGGTAGAGAAGTTGGGCAACGTCGATCAATACACGACATAAAGATTTTTATACCTCCAAGTAGTTGCTGATTGCAGCTGCCTATGTAGTTCTTGAGCGCGACTATAAAAATCATGCTGAAAATGACATTACAACACCAGGTTCTTCGACCTCTTCATCGACGCTGGTACCTCGGACTAGTCCAGGAGAACGAGGAGTCGTGACGATTCAGTTGATTGTATGATACTCCTCATTGAGAACGAAGATGATATGGGAATGTCCTCGTATCTAAATAAGCTTAGAAGACAAAAGGGGAACAACGACATTCCCCTATCGACAGTCTCAGTGTATTAGATTAGTGTTAGTTTTGGACCTAATAAAGATTAACTAATCCACTATCATCTAGAACAACTGCATTATAATTAAGTGAAAGCATTCATTGAGTGTTGGGCAGCCCATGGCCCTTCAAGCTGTTGAGGGTTTGAAGAGGCTCCGCAAAGAAATCCGCTTCCGCGGCTTGCCCAGCATTGACGGAAGCGACCCCTTGAGTCCTTACAATAGATCATGGAAGGCTGTCATGGCTCACGTTGCTACTTTGCGGGAGTTTTTCCAACGGGAAGGGGAAAAACATTTTTTAAGAGCAGAGAACAAATCATACTTCCAGAACAAGATAAGATTGAAGATCATGCTGATATGATCATCATCGATCTTCTAATATGAAACCAAAATATGTTATCATTATCTTCTATCATACTTATTTTCTAGTTCTACTTAAGAAACTTGATAATGATAACAGATTTTCTTTTCATATCTAAAATGCGGATCTTCATACTCGTCCATGTTTTCTAATGACTATTCTTGATTGGGATTCCTTTGATGGTGTTTCTGTTCCTCCGTGTATGATGATACGAGACCTGCTAGAACTACACGGATTCAGTATCTTTATGAACAAACGGACACGCTTGTGGAGGAGGAGGTCAAAATTTAGGGAAAGTTAGAGGATAATATTATGGTTCCCTAATTTTCCCTAAAATTCGTATGTGGGTTTAAGCGTGTCCGCTTGTTTCTAATATCTGCAGGGCGCCGGACTCAATTTTGGTACCACAAAGTCTCTCTTGGGAGCCCTCCTCTTGTTTAGGCTTTGTGGAAAATAATTCCGTTCAGCCGTGGATCATGGGTATGGAAGAAGATGACTTTGCCGCATCTATGGCGGCGATAGAGGGGGCAATAAATTGGCTGCTCGACCTACCACCACAACTAGTAATGGACCGAGAGCAGATGCAAAATTTTTGTGTGCCTCCGTCCACGTCGTGCAGTTTCACGTTGCTGTAGGAGTTCCGGCAGCACAACCACAAGGCAACTCCAACTCGATGGGGACTTCATCTGGTGGGACAGCGTCATCCCCATCACAAAAGATCACCAGTCGCAGAGTTGCACATGATGTCGAAGAAATCATCTTCAGGTCCCTGGGACGTGGAGGAGGAGGAGTCCGAGTCGGAGCGGTTGTCTACGTCATCCTCACCATCGATCACAAGATCCACGGAACTTCTGTCGTCGACTACAGACCTGATTATAGATTCTTGTCAGACTGCTGCAGGAGGCCTGTACTGGAAATAAGTACCAGAACGACTTACTACTTCTAGTAGTACAAAATAAATCATTTACATTTTTGTTGAAAGAAATCTTCAGACTGCTATGATGGGACGCGCTCCGGTTCAGGTTCTTTACCTCCCCAGGTGTAGTCCTTCACTCATTTCAAGCACTGTTCTCTCCGCTTCAAAGCTCACTTTTGAAAGAAATCAGAGTGCTGCTGCTGGTAGTCATACCTTTTGGGGTGAAGACTACTTCTTCTTTCCGAGTTTTTTCCTTCTTTCACAAGAATGTAGAACCCCCTCCATGAGTGGCGAAGTCTGGTTTTGGAGGCGTCTAGGCGATCACTCTTTAGCTTTTTTGCAACTAATTTATTTCTGTATTTAAGAAAGACGGAACTTTTTGTTTTTTTTCAATGTCCTTCTGTTGTCTCGTTTAATCATAGTTTTTTTTTCACTTGTTTATACGAGTGGTTTCCTCAACTTATCAAGTGTTATGTGCTCTGTCTTATCGTATGCTTCCTCTGTCTCTACGAGTGAGTTTGAGCTTTATAATGGTCCTCTGCACCTCTGTTTCTTCTCCCTGCATATTTATCTGCGACTCTTGTAGGGCTAGGTACTGCGGTGAGCATGCACGCCTAGGCGTAGTGCCTTATGCCTGTTCTACTCAAGTGTGAGCACCCACTCTTACTTCTGGGTAAGTACTTTCCCCAAAGGCAAAGAGTAAGAGACCCTACGGGCAGAAGCAGATGACCCCCGTTAGCTTCCTTCTATATAAACATGAACTATATTATTGAATAACTAGGGAAGTTGCTCCTCTGGACCCCACGTGGCAAATGTAGTGGGCTAGGAAGTTCCTCCTTACTGCAACAAGATTTCTTTAGCTTCCTTGACTATTTTGAAAACGAGAAAGAGAGAAGAAAAACACTCAAGCAGCTTGAGAGGCTCAAAGAGTTGCAACGTCGAACGCGAACGAGAAGAAGAGTGAGCGCAGTTTGTTGTTGTTGTTG